AATTCACTTTTCCACATCTAAAATGTAATTGTTATATGTAAACAATGTTTGCCCTGACATTGTCCTGAAGATGATCTCAATAAAGATCGAAACGTTGGCACGAAAATATTTTTCTAAAACCTACGTCACACCAGACCGCATCTCACGATTTCTAAATAAATTTATAAATTATTTTAAAACATTTTATCAGGACAAAATTTGGACTTTTTTAATAAATTGAAATAGTTCCAAAATATATTTATTCTACTCGTATTTCCAATCGATATTTCAATACTATTGATAAAGCCAGAATGTAGTTGTTTTGTTAAACATTTACACTTCGTTCTTAGGCATCCGGCTCGTGGACCTCTTGTAACCACGTCTCAGAAAATGGCCAGGTTTCAATTCGCACGGGAACACGTGAATTGGACATTGGAACATTGGGGACGAGTTCTCTTTACAGATGTGGTGAGAGTTGGCCACAAATCTTCAAATGGGCGTAATATCATATGGAGACGCACAGGAGAAATGTACGCCCCATGCTGTATGGTTCCTCAGGTGGCATTCCACAGTGTGTCATCGAGGCTCTAGAGTGGCAGTTCCTTGGACGCCCGCACCGAATTGGTTGTTGAGCGCGGAAGATTTCTAAATTCACAGTTACTTACAAGACATAATCGAAGAACATGTGCCATTTGCCTCTACATCAGTGAGAGACTCTTGCTAATGCAGGATAATGCCCATAGAGCACGTATTGTGGATGACTGACTCCAACCTGAATGCGGTTGGAATTGAATGCTTGCGTGGCCAGCTCGAAGTCCAGATTTGAACCCAATCTAACACATTTGGAACCAACTTATGCAACGACAACGTCGGCGAAACCCAAGTCCAAACATCCTAGAAGAGTTGGAAACGGCTGTTCTTGATGAATGAGAAAGAATTCCTTAGGATTTTATCAGAAATCTATTGAATTTTTGAATAAGAAAACGTTTGCATTAAAGGGGACAACAATTTTTTTTAACATTTATATTTGTTTTTGAATTTTCTGTTTTTTGTTCTTTACTCAGTAATTGTTTTTTTAGAATTAGGTAATAAACTTTTCTTTTTAAATGTCTTATACCTATTTACCACTTATATATTATATCTTATTTTTACCCTATATCTTATATCTTATTTTACCACTAAACCTATTTTTGGTATGGAAAATATGAATAAACCCAAATACAATAAAATTTAAGGGTGGTGTGTTTATTTTGTCCATCAGTACATTTTCAGATTTACAAAAACGTAATAGAAATTGCACAAAATATAATAATGAACATTTGTGGTGTTTAGAGACCGTTAGTTAATTGTTAATTTCTGGTGTCGCGTCGTCGGAGTAAGTAATTTTCAACAAAAGCTACAACTGGCTTAATGAACCTGAAATTTGGTTGTTACGGTACTTAGTCTGAGACACACTGAAGACGGCGATATGCCGAAACGCGTTTCAGAAATTGTCAACAAATATCGTAAAATTACATAAAACATCAATAATTAGGAAAAATAGAAAAAAGGAGTAAATCACCACGTCTTAATTTTTCGTATCTGCAAATTTCTACATTCATTCCATTAGTATATCATTGCTTTTGCCATATCGTTTATTTGCGCTAAAGTTAAAAAAAATATTACCTTAATTACAAAAACTCATTAATAATGTAAAAGAGCAAAAGAGTAAATTTGCCACTTCTGACCTTTGGTATCTGCAAATGTGTAAGTTATTCCATTTGTTAATTATTTATTAAAATGCCTACAAGTATCAATTATACAATAAAATAAAATAGCTTATTTATGCTAGTTAACACAAATATCTCATTAATTACAAAAGCTCAATGGTATTGTGAAATAGCGAAAATGCCACTTCTGCCTTTTTGTTCTTTCCAAGTTTCTCTTCTTCCTTAGTTATTACATTTATTAAAATTTTATTTTGCTATAACTGTTTATTTGTGCGAAATTCAACTAAAAATGATCTAAAGTGTTAGAAAATATCATTAAAATGAATTCTGAAACCTTTAAGAATCAAATGAAAAAATGAACTACCGAAACAATAATTATAAAACACAAACAAAAATATGGAAACGAAAAAAAATGAAAACTAGTAAAAATATCCAATGAGGAGAGTCCACATCGACGGAATTAATGAAAAATTAATGGCTGATGTTTCTGTGCATCATTTTCATATGAGTGCAAAGCAGCTAGCAGGGACAGCATAATCAAAGAAAATCAACAGGAGGTAAAAATCTGAAAAAACAAAACTCGTTCCAAATGCGCGGTAATTTGGAATTCATAGGTTTAACAGAAAAAATATGGGTTCGAATCCCGCTCGTGACACTGACTTTTTTATCTCAACTAGAAACCTTAATTAATTGAAATATATCAATCGGTCAAGCGGACCACGAAAACTAGTGAATTTAGAAAAAATAACGTTCCCAGCGAGATCTTTGGGATTTGAAAGAAATCACTGTAACTTTAGATGTCAAACGTGTATTTAATTATAAAGAGAACACTAGCCATTAACAATGGAAAATAATAAGAAAGAGGTGAATGTGCCACTTTTTTAAATGATTAAATAATTGAAAAATAACTTTATTTTTTTAAAAAGAAAAAGAAAATAGAAAATACTTCTTTACAAGCTAGTACAAACAAACAGTTCTTATACAGCATAGGATACAGTGAACAGGAGGAAATTCATTTGAATAGAATATATGTACATAAAAGTGATGATAATAATAAACAAATAAAATTAAAAATTAAACTGCTCCACAAACTCTCAGCAGTACTCCAGTGCACTCTAGCAAAATTAGGTCTGAACAATTTGTGTATTTGAAACTTGGCTCTTAAAACTCTTGTAGTTCTTGTAGAAAAGAAGGGATGAAAGGGATTTAAGACCACAAACGTAAGAAAGAATGATTACTTCGGCTGATTTCGAAAGAAATAAGTGATCTCTTTGCCAACAAATTGTAATGTTACAAATTGATTATTGATGATAATTAAAATAAATAGCACTGCAATTGTAAGTGGCATCCATAATAATTCATTAAAAAAATAAATAAATAAAGCAGAATTCGCTATTTTGGGACTATGCATAAATAAATTATTATACAACTGATCTTTTGGTTATTTCCCAATATTAGTTATATTTTAAGACATTTATGTGATGTATATTATAATTTATATGATATTTTAATAAATTTAACATAAATAAACAGTACATGCCAGAAGAAATATATAAAAAAAGAAATATCTATACAAACTTTACTGGTACTTATTAAAAAATTGGCACATTTAGTACTCTTCCCCATATTTATTATTATTGATGTTTTATGTAAATACAATGATGTTTATGAATTGTAGCATGAATAAACTGTATATAATGAATAAATTTTTTATTTAAACAAGAGTAAAAACATTAACTTTACATATTCTAAAAGATATTATTGACAATGGCCTTAGCTGTCTGTATAAGTTGCCTTATATACCTATTTTTGTTATTTAAGATACACTAATTTGATTTTAAAAATTGAAGTGGTCGATCAAACATGTTTGGTAATGAAGGGCATGAGTAAGGTACACAAGATTCCTCCAGTTATCCGTTCCGTTAAGGATTGCGATAAATTCTTCTTTATCCAGCTCAATTTCCCAGAGTATTTCTGGCGGATCTCTCTTAAAACAAGGCGGAGTATTCCCATGAAGTTAAAAGCGCCCTTTGGGACGTTGTGGTTACATAAGAAGCAAATGATGATGCTGTCCAGTGTTCACGGTTGGCAGCTCAGTTGGAGCAATTCACCCCTCTCCCTTAAGACCAAAGACATGTCATACTAGAGACATACATGTATTTTCGACCTAAGCCTAAATCGAACCTTGCGTACAGTTGTGGGGCAAGCTATTTCTTTTTAACCAAATCAGTGGTATTAGGAGACTTCAGTTCCTCCTAGACGTTACAGCCAACCTAACTCGGACAGATGACATATTGGCTTGTCATACGAGACACTTCTCCCACTATTTGCTTCATTTCAATTTTTAATAGTGTAATTCGTAACTGCAGTGACATTTAAGTTAATTTTAGCTTAATTTTTCGTACAAAACAATTGCTGAAAAATGTGAGGAAGTTCTAATTTGCTAATCCGACAGGTCAGAAAGTGGCATATTTCACTTTTATTTAAACAATTCCACTTATTTTGATACAATTTATAATTTCTTTAATTAAGTTAATTGTAACTCATATATCCAGTGTATAAGAAATCAATTGCTGAAATGGGTGAGAAATTCAGTTCAAATTTGTTCCCCTGGCTTGTCATACATCTCAATTCTCCATCTATTTTTTAGTTTCAATTTTTATTAGTATAATTCATACCAGCAATGATATTTAAGTTAATTGTAGCTTAATGAACCATTTTGGTACAAAACAATTGCTGAAATGGGTGAGAACAGTTCAAATTTGCACATATATTGGCTTGTCATACATCCAAATTCTCCCATTATTTGTTTTATTTCAATTTTTAATATTGTAATTCATAACTGCAGTGATATTTAAGATAATTTTAGCTTAATGAACCATTTGGGTACAAAACAATTGCTGAAAAATGTGAGAACAGTTCAAATTTACTAATACGATAAGTCAGAATATGGAATATTTTACTTTTCTTTCACCAATTCCAATTGTTTTGGATACAATTTATAATTCCTTTGAAATTTCTGTTAATTGCTGCTTAATGAAATAGTTTGTAAAATTACAATTTTTGAAATATTTGAAAACAGTTGAAATTTGTATATATTGTCTGTTCAGAAGTGGCATATTCAGTTTATTTGAACTATTATTCTGCATACAATTTTAATTGCTGTTATATTTATGTTATGTGTATATGTAGTGTTATATGTTGTCATAAATAAAATTTGTTAACGCAGTTAAAGACGAGATATCGATTTATTCTTTAATTAAGTCAGCAAATCAATAGAATAATTTATGATTTAACCATTGTGGAGGTTTTACTACAGTACCTACTACCTACTGGCTACTGCCTAGTGCTTAGTTTTCAAACCGTCTGGCGTTGTTTATTTTTACGTTTTATTATTTTCAAATATATTTTGGGATCTTGTAAAACGTTTTTATAATTTATTTTATGTCATATCCGGCATCACTAGATGTGTGTTTACGTATTACGTTAGTGATTTTTGAGGTAAATAATTTAGTAGCGTTTGTAAGACATGGTACAAAAAGATGAATTTCTTCTTAATTGTATTGTTTACTTTTATGTTGTAAAAATAAAAAGTAATTAATTTCTAAACGTGAATTTTGTATTGTAAACTCGATACTAAATGACTAACTTCCGAGCTTATACACACATTTGTATTGGTTTTTGTTTATTAAAATTATGTGCTTTGACTTAAAGATAAGCACTATGATAAATTATGGCTAGGTGTTTAACTGGTGTACTCTGACAATATACCATTATGTAAAATACGTTTGATATTTTTAGTTTTAGGTTTTGAAGTTTTTGTGCTTCAGTCATGACAAAAGACATAGAGGAAGATTCGTCTAAGAAAAGAAGGAAGATCGACACTGCAGAAACAAATGGAAAGCAAACGGACTCGGTTAAAAACGATGTCGAAACGGATAACAAAACGTACCCTCTTACCATTTATCATGTATGGATGTTTTTTAAATTTTATATACATACATCCTAAATTGTGTATTTTTCTTTGCATTTTGTTCACTATTTTTAACAAATTTAAATTTTTTCTATTCCAGAAAGTGTCAGCTTTTGAACACAACGAGGCTTTAAGAAGGGATTCGCAAAAAGATTTAAAAATTTACAGAGAGACGTGTTCAGAATTTGCACTACTTATAACAGAAATAGCTGATTTGAAGTTTAAAAAGCCGGATGGGGTAAGAGTGAACATTTCCTCTTTATAAAAAAATTATTATCAATCATTAATTTCCTTTGATGTTTAGTGGGAAGATCAAGTGGTTAAAAAGAAAATCGACGCTGCCCTTTTAACCATAATTTTGAAAAAACTTAATAGAATAGAGAAAATTCGTAATAAGACGTCAAGGAATAACGTGACAAAGGTCAGACAGCAAGTTGACGTGCTTCATTTACAATTACAGAACTTATCCTCAGAAATTCAAAAACTGCAGCAGGAAGTAGACAAATGCTTACAATTCAAGTAAGACTTTTCACCGCTAAGAGCATGCAATTAACTTGACTTAAGCTGAATGCTTTGTTTCGATTATTGCAGGTCTAAACCTTTAGGGATAGATTTAGTACCGATTGACGAATTTTACAAAAATGCACCAGAAAGTATCTCGAGGAAGGTGAGTAGCTGTTGTATATTCTCTGGTTGTCGCATGATAGAATCTTGTCTTGTAGGAAATCACACAAACGGATGAGCATCAACTCCAATTGGCGAGATTAGAATGGGAATTACATCAAAGAAAAGAGCTTTCTTTGCTTTATAACCAGCTTGTTGAAAGAAAAACATCAATATCCAAACTAATAGAGAGAAAAATCAACGATCTAGATAGTTTATCACCGCATATCAAAGAAGTTTTGAATGTAATTAAACTTTATTTGAAATATTTTGCTTTTTGTTTCTTGTTTAATTTCTTACATTGAACTGGTGAGAAATCGTATACGAGACAAATTTAAGAGATGAAAATTTAAAAATTATACTGTTTATTAATAAATTATTAATTTCAGGTTACAAAGCCTTTACAAGAAAGGCTAGGTGTACAGACGTATCGTTTTTCCACGACCAGTGATATTGCTTCATATTTACCCCATGCTTTATATTTTCTGTATGTTCAAGTTATCGCATACAGTGAAGCTTGTGGTAAAATACTATTTAAAATAATGATATAATGATTGTGATATGTCTGGTCTAAACTTTTTTTTTTATTTTTAGATAAAAATATCATTGTTGACATTGTTGGAGACAAAGAAAAAGCCAAGCTTATGAAAACTATAGATGTAAACGCTGAAAAGGACTCTTCGAGCGAAGGATCTGAAAATGGTGTATGTGATTTCCCTCATAAAAAAAATAATAATTCACTAATTTTGTGGTCTGCTTGACCAATTAATATATTACAGTTAATTAAGGTTTTTAGTTGAGCTAAAAAAGTCAATAGCACGAACGGGATTCGAACCCACGATCTTCGGCTTGACACCAACTTTTACATAACATTTGAAAAATGGCAAAAAGGAGGAAAATTCAAAAGGTGCGGTTGAGATGGGAAGTTAGTGTCCGAGTGGATTGAGGTCACGATAGCTCAAGTGGTAGAGCAGCGGCGTATCTAGCCGAAGATCGTAGGTTCGAATCCCACTCGTCCCATTGACTTTTTTATCTCAACTAAAAACCTTAATTAATTGTAAAAAAAAAATAATATTCATAATGTAAATGTGCTACATTTTTTCTTCTTTTTTAAGGATGTCGGGAAGAGTCAAAAAAGGGAAATGAAAGAACTAAAGCGGAAAAAACTATTAGCAAAGCATCCTTTGTCTGTCAATTTAAAAATGAATTTAAAAGGTATATTTTATGTTATTATATCATTTATTGGATAGCCAAGTGGTCAGCATGATAGACTCTTGGCTTATAGACCCGTCATTGTAGGTTCAGTTCCCACTGTCGCCCTTGGCCTTTTTTCATGTTATCCTCCTTTCCCCAAGAACAATTAATTCATCTCATTCTCTGATTCTTACTCTGGCCAATATTTAAAAAAAATGTATCATTAATAATATTTTTAAATATTAATGAAACATTCTACTTCTGATTGTTTTGGAAGTGTAACAGTCCAAAAACGAGACATAAAATTTGGGCTCTATATCAAAAGTGCTACATCAATCAGCATGTTGAGCAGCCAGTTAAAATCTTGTACTGGTCACATGGCTCACAAACTCCTCACCCTTGAAATTATCTGATTCCATCATATCTAATTGCATCATACCTTCGCAATTTTGAAAGAAAAAAATTACAGACTAGAATGTAAAATTATTGTAGAAAATCCTGTGGGGTAGCTGATCACTCTCGTTGTCCTAGTCTCTGCCCTTGCATTTATACAGGGTAGTGTTTAACTTCAGTTTCCCCTTATAATTTTTTTTTCTTTGGTGTGTGTGTTTTTGGCAAATGTACACTTATTTTTGTCTAGTTCAACATAGGCCAAAAAGTGTGGTCTACGAATAGGAGCTTAACTATTTCAAGTGACAAGATACTCATCAATATACATTGTTTTGAAGGTTTTTGATATTAAATTCAACAGTGCAAATGGTTTTTAATTTGGAACTACATTCTCAAGTGATTTGCTAAAAACTATTTCTGAGCGTCGTTTTTCGGTAAAACAAAATCCAGCTTTTTTAACCCAGAACTAATTAATTCGACATTTTAATTGTTCGTAAGCTAATTGTTTGTGGTACTAATACAAAAATCGAATAAAAGACAAGCATTGCCTATTTTTGCTTTAATTGATGGTTTTTATAAGTAGGGACCCATAATAGTCGCTCAAAAACAAAATTTGTCAAACATGTCAGGATCCGATCGTTGCTCCAATCTGCATATTATTGAATATTATATACAAAAATATTAAGTATATGTTCCCTACCTATCACTTGCACTGCCTGTCCCTTTTGATTTCTGCATAAAAAACTGCCATGAGAGTTGTACTCGGCTTTTGCACTGACACGAGCCATAACCACTCCTCTGATCATGCTCACTAGCCCAGAAGTGGGCTGAATGTAAATGGTGGGCATCAGTTTTGTTACTTACAACTGCATCAGGGAGGATAGGCAGGCCAGGATGGTCGGTAACGACCAAATTCACAAAGAGAGAAATTGAATTAAAATTGTATTAATTTCAATTTGTATGTTTTGTTGTTACATCATATACTTGGTAAAGACTTGAATTATTTGTGAATTTGTCATCATTTCGTGACAAATATCTGATATTTATATATTTAACATTCTTAGCATATTGACCATGGCCACGGGTACATGTTTTCTTGACAGACCTCAGGCACAACATATCATGGTTCTGTGCTTTTTTTTAGATCTACAAGAACATTTATGGTGGAAAAGGGCATTTTGTTAGAACGCTGATTTTTTTAACCTCAATTCCTGTAAATTGTTGACTATCATTTGCTATTTATTGTTAGTAAATTGATTAAACTATTCAAAAGTTACTTTTTTAGTAGCAACAGAATTATGTCAGTGAATGCATTAATGTAGAATTATTTTATACTTTGAAGTATTATTTAGGTTTATTTACACTATTTTCCTGTATGTCGACATTAATAATAAATATCTTATCCAATCTTCCACTCCTAAGAGAAATCAACCTTTTCAATTTGCTTGTTGTAGATGGAACTAGTTTAACATTAGAATTTTTTTACTTGATGAAGCTAAAAATCGTAACAGTCCTGCCCAACGTGGTTCTTCATACAAAAGTGAAAAGCTCTGCAGCCAGGTATTAGCCCCTGTTCCCACCACCATCTTAACGTTAATAACTTTATTAATTAACACTACACCGATTTCAGTTCATTGTTGCAGAATAATAACATTCTAATGAATTTATTTTCCGGCGATGTCGGAATTGAAAGTCCCAATGTCGCTAATCACTATCAGCTGAGAGAAGTAAGTGTTAACAAATTACTGGAAAAATTATTTAGATCAATTTTTATTTCAGGTCGGCCTAGATAATTTCGATCAACGTAAAGTAGGTATTCCGTACCTATGGGCACAGAAAATGGGCGGTCTCAATTTTGGTACATTTGGAGATTCAGTAGGTGTGGAACCAGTACAGAAAATAGCCAAATTCAACTTACCGGTGATTATGAAAGAGATCAGTAGGAGGATAAAGTCTCGAGTGGCTCTGGTGAAACAAATATTGGATCTTGGTATGCTCATTTTAACTTATACATAGTTAATTCCCAGTACAGTACCTCATGAAATAAAGTATTAACTCTCCTCTCCCTAATGGATCAGCGATCGTCTTCATAGGAAAGATCCTTGGAAAGTTCATTCAACAATCATATAAGAACCCTTGATAAAAATTTTGAAGCAGTTTCGAAGAAACTTTATTGACAATAGATATTTTAGGTCAAAATGGAAGAAAAGAGTCTATGGGTATTGGTTCCCCCTGAGGCTTCCCTGGGGTGATGGAAGGATGCAAAAATGATTCATAATTGATCCTCGATCTCCAATAATGCGATGATCGTATAATTCTTACGGGATTACTATTTAACTTTCATTGGTGTCTAACGTATTACTACTGTACGATATATTTATTTCAGTAGTTTGATCGTTTCCTACGACTGGGTTTATTTTTTGATTATTGAACTCAGTTGACATGGTGTGCATCACTGTAAGGTGTAGATCCTAAATCCAACAGCTCTTCATTCGAGCTTGATGTACTTACAAATGGACTTTAAACAAAAAAGACATAATTGACATTGGTCTTATGTTGATAGTCCCAATTTGATGATATTTAACTGAAGCCTGTCCTGGAAATACGTAAGCTAGGAGAGCTTTCGAGCTGCCTGATTGAATGAATGATTATTTTTATTATTGATTATTTAGAGATCGTGAGATGTGGCCTGGTGTGATGACCTACGAGTGTAGGTTTAGAAAAACATTTTCTTTATCGTGCCAACGTTTCGATCTTTATTGAGATCATCTTCAGGGCCTGAGATTTATAAACATTGTTTAAATTACACAGATGACTACACAATTATGTACAAAATATAGTGATTATCTTTGATATCTTTTCTGATTATTTCATGTGCACAGTTTGGCTTGAAAGTTGGTTGTGGTGGGGCCGAGGGTCATGTAGATAATTTATTACAGTAAAAACAACCTTGCTTAAAAAATTAATTCCCTTAATTAACTATTAGGTAAAAATTGTTGCTTATTATAAGGTCATATTAATAAATTTGTTTTTCCAATGATTAGAAAATGGAACCATATTAGGACCGACTGAAATGAGATCTGTAAAATTATCCTGCACCTTAAAAAACTGGGAGACGTGTACGTGGAACGATTTCAAACACCATCCTGCGACGTCTCATCTGAGCAGTTCAGAGCATATATCCCAGTACGACATATTTTTCAAAAGCGTTATAACAAGGGAACAAGGTATACCAACTGTTTTTACTTACAATAACGGTGTGTGTATATTATTTGATTTATTTACAGCAATTTTAACTATGTTTGTATCGGTGAAAAGCAACTACCCGATCGCTCCTCCGATATTTTGTTTTCAATTAGAGTGGAATGATAGAGTGTGGAATTCTAGTAACAATGCTGACTTGAGTGTAAGATTTTATGTTTGTAAAACAATTGGTTTTAGTTTAAAATAAAGCATAAAATCAACTTTTGCTCTTTCCGCACAGAATATGGAGAAGGAAGTGAATTTTTACTGGCGAGAACTTTTAACGGAAACAAACTGGGCTCAATCGTTGCTCATGTTTCAAGTGCACAGGGCCATGGTGTGTTTAGACATAACGCTGGAATGTATGTATCCAGATGAATTTCGGTCAGAGAAAAAGACTTTCTTTCACCCTTCAAGGTATTATTAAACATTTGATATAGTAATTGTTTTATTTTACTTATCTAGATTGTTTAATTTTTTTTTTTTTCTGCAGAGGAAGAAACAGAGGCCGGCCTTATAAATATGAAGCTATTGGAGAAGGTGTCTTCGTTCAGCGATAAAAACACAATCGTATTTTTAGAACTGAACATATTTCACATAAAATTTATATTGATTGTATCAGAATTAATTGAAAATTGTTTTATATACATTTTATACAAAAACATTTAATATTAATGTTTGACAGGGCCCTGTAGACATTTATTTGAAAAAACCATCTTTTGTCATATTTCGATATACTTTCTGTTTCATAATTTTCATGTAAATCAATTATGTATTAAATCATACAAATGACATTTTCCGTTTGCCATTTGTTCTGTAATTTCTTTACAGCAGGTTTACAAATATAAATTATGTAATCATATTGACCTGACATTTTGATCAAATTCATTAGATTTCGTGGTCCGATTGACCAAATAACACCTTTCGATTAATTAATCTTTATGTAAGGTATGGTTAAAATAAAAAAGTTAGTGTCACGAGCGGGATTCGAACCCACGACCTTCGGCTAAATACGCCACTGCTCTACCACTTGAGCTATCATGACTTCGATCCACTCGGACACCAACTTCCCATCTCAACCCCACCTTTTAAATTTTCCCTCCTTTTTGCCATCACGATAGCCCAAGTGGTAGAGCAGCAGCGTATTTAGCTGAAGGTTGTGGGTTCGTATCCAGCTCATGATGCTGACTTTTTTATCTCAATCAATACCTTACATAAAGATTAATCTATTTTATCAGTTGGATTGATTGTCTTTTATGAAACTTAAAACAAGTGTATTGGCAAGATTTGAATATCGAATGTTCGGCATTTAAGGAAGTGCCATTGAATATCTACTAGTTATTTGGTGATAAAAATGATAATTTTAATGACAAAAAAAAAGGGGCTTTTAATAAAAAAGAAAAATGCTTAAAATTGTCGACCATGATCAAAAACATTAGCTTAATTTTGTAGTCTGTCTATTTGACTTTTGCTCTCACCATTGTCTTTTACATTGCAGACTGCATATCCTCCTTCCTCGAGCGCAAAGAATATTATGTGAAAGCTTTTCATGATGGGTACAAGGATCTTGAGTATTAATTGAAGCTTACCTTTACAAATACTCTCTACTTATTCGTACACCATTGGAGCCGTTCTTTCAGGGCTGACAAGGATCAGATTACTCCAATTACAGCTCTCTGGCTTGGTAGTTTCCAATCATTTTAGACTGCCTACCCGCACTGTTTTGGCCAGTAAAATAAATATAGAGAATAAGCAGATTAAATTGATCAAAAATGGCAGATTCATCACCCTGCGACCTTACCATAATTATTAAAGGCCTATGTGTTACCGTTTTTAGAATTTTTTTTCAATACATACTTTTTTAATGATCAGGAATGATTTTGATTTTTCATGGACAAAAGAATTTATGCGATTAAAGTTGGTTAAAAAAATTTAATAGAAACAATTTTATATAATGACTAGAATGTTAAAAGTGTACAATATATACAAATATTGGGGAAATAAAACGGGTGTCTTGAAATTTGTTACAAATGTTTCAATTATTGTTTATTTCCCTTATATTCGACAAAGAAAATTAAAACAACAAAACGTTTAGAAAAAGGTTTTACGTAATAAGGCTCTTTTTGCAATATGTATATGTATCAACCTCCTCATGCATATATTAAGCGGTATATATACATATATATCGTCACCTGTACAGATTATACATGAGAAATTATGATTCATTAAAAAATGAAGACACTGTACAATAGAATTACAAAAGCAATTACATGATAATGTATAATTTAAAAAACTGACAATAAAATTATAATTCATACTTGAAAGTACATTTAAAATTATGGCCGAAAAGCCATATCGCTAGGACTGATTTTTTGTCGGAGTATTTTAATTTTCTCATAAACTAAACTCGCTTGTTCCTGATCCAAACCCATGCAGTCTATCAAATCTTGGAGCGAAAGCATTAAAAATGAATCGCCATGGATTTCCTGAGGATGAGAAAAAATAAATAACATTCTGTAATTGAGAAGTAATGTAAGTAAATTACCTCTAGTTGGAATTTTTGAGAACTTAAAGTTACGTGTTTAATATAATCACAGACTTCGTCCACGGACCATCTCAAGCAGTAAGATTCCTTGGAATCGTATTCCATATCCTCGAAAGTAGTCTCCATCTCCATTTGCTCCCCGCTACAGCTAGAAACACCGTCCTCGCTAAACTGTTCTTGTTCTGGCGTGGCCGTCTGACTTTTTGAAGGTAAAGACTCTTCCTTGGGCTCAATGCTGTATTTCGTCTCGTGTTCGAAATATTCTTTATTTTCATTTTTAACTTCTTTAGTTTTCAATTCTCCGACACGTATATTTTCCAATGCATTTATTTTTTCAACGGATTTAACTTTCAGAGTTTCACTGCTTTCAGCTGGTCTATAAAACTGCTCAGAACTACTAACATTGTCGACTGATGGTTTTACGTCTTCGGGTATCCTCATATTGTTTTTTTCAACTTCTGCTCTCATTTGAACAAAATACCTGAAATGAATAAACTTATTATAATTTTTAAAACTATAATTAATTTGTTTTAAAGCATTTCTAAAATTTCTCTGATTCAATTGTCAGCAGTTTTTAGGCTCACCATCGTTTTTTAAGTGAGTCTTCTTCTTCATCGCCATCAGATTCATCTACATCCAAATCTATAATATCATCATTATCAAATCTGAAAACAAATTAAAAATTATATATTAAATTTACAACCTTCATTTTTGGATTAAAATATGTGATCTGGAAACCTGGTATAGACTTGATGAAAAAGCAAAATCAATTGTTACCGCCAAGCTTTTGTCCTCTTTTAATGTCATCATCAGGGCAAAACAATGTTAAATATGTCTACAAATTGACAAAAAGTTTTTAACAAACAAATTCAAATTTCTATGAAGACCAACTCAGTTCCAACATTGCCAAGGTATGAAAGAACAAAAGAAATTTTAAAAAACTAATCAAAGGAATTGGAAATTGTCTATTAAAAACTTATTTATAGTTTGTAGATATATTTAAGATAGTTTTTCCCTGATGATGACCTTAAAATGCGTCAAAAGTTTGACAGTAACAATTGAATTTGGTTTTTCATCATGACCATACCATGATCCAGATTCGTGAGTAAAAAAAAGTGGTCGATACATCTAACTCTTAAAATGTAACTTATAAATTATCACTTTTATGCCTTCCATAAAATTCTGAGTTATTTTTCTTTCTACTGTCTGCTTATGAGAGACATTAACATTGAAAAATCTACCAGGAAACCAGAAAAGTTCTTCATTCTGTTTTTCATTTGATGTTGTTTTCTGTGACATTTTTATTAACATAGATTAGATGTTGCATCACATAATACAAGAGGATAATGGTTGGTTCATAAAGAAAGTCTTGAATAGTTCATTGTAAATTATAAAATATTTTCTTTCTTATGGCTACAAAACCCATAAATCATGTATGCATACTGTACAAATTTAAATTGGCACTAGGGCTGTCGTAGGCTGTACGAGACAGCTGTAAAATGTGCACTACATTCAGTGATGAAAAGTGAACGCACTGCCTAAGAGTGATTAAAAAAGTATGCTTTTGGAATGAAGAGACTGAAGATGAACCACGGTCTCGTAAAATCTCCTGTCTTGATTAACGACAAATTGAGGGGAAGTTTTCCAACTGGATTTGAGCCAAACATGTCAGGAGCTTGTCAGTCTTCAACAACGTAAACGATGAAACCATTTGCTCTAGCTAATATAGCTCTATATATATATATANACTTTATTTTCCATAAGTGTTCTACAACACACATTGATGGCCCAGATTTCCACCTGAAAAACGGAGGTGTTATTGCCAAGAGGGGAGGAGATGCTAATTCCTAATTTTGGTATGTAAATTCCTGCACCACTCCCTCTACCTTTGATAAGTGATCCATTTGTGTAGCAGTCTATGTTACGATGGTCATCATCCAGACTATAATTATAATCACAAGGGATGACTACCTGAAAGTGCTTTTTCCCTGAAGGGGTTTAATCTTTTTATCACTAACGCTTAATAATTGACCCTTAAACTTACTCAATAGTTGTGAGATTTTCGAGTAACCTATGTTATTGCACTTAAGCGGCCCATAGACGATCAATATCAATATCGACAATTCTCCTATATTGTACCATTGATATAGTGCCTTTCCTGTATATCTTATTAATATGACCTTTCCAATCAAGTTTCCTGTCAAGTGTCACACCAAGGAATTTGATGGAATCCACTAACTTTAATTCTATGCCCTGAAATTTAGGGTTTTTAAAATTACCTGATGTTCTTCTCCTGCTAAACATTATCAATTCTAGTTTAGCAGGATTAATTGATAAACCTTTGTCACAACACCACCCATAAAGCAATCCCACGGCGTTTTCCATCAGTAGTGGAAGAGTCAGGGGATCCCTACCTGAGCATTATGGTACCATCATCTGAAAATAATTGACTGTAGAAACCTGAATTATTCAAAAGTTCTATTAAGCTGTTTACGGCATTGTGCACTAAGAACTGCCATGAGGCCATCACAAAAATGTACTCAAGCCAACTGCAACGAGTATCTCTTTCCCTGGTCTAGAAACAACCTGCCCGCCTGAACAGGTGAATTTTTCACAAGGACAATGCCAGACCTAATACAGCCAGAACAACAACAGTGATAACGAAGTTTGGTTTGTCAGAGAAAAAGACCAAGTTGTACAAGTCAATGGGATGGTTAGGGGGAAATGTACATACTAAGTTTTCTATGTAGGCCCTTCTAATAAGTGGATGATTGTACTCTTGAATGTTGTCTCCTTTGGTAAGTTCAACTTACTTGTCACACTTTTTAAAACTTTTTTACTATTAGGAAATTCAAGGGGTTTCAGTCGGAATGGAACCATAATCATCTGTGATGCACCATGAAGCTGATAGCCACAATTGTTCTTAGAATGAAAAATTGCATACATCTTTGAAAGTGATACAAATGCAAAGATGTTTCGGTATCAAAAAAGAACAAAAAATTAACATGGAATGACAGTTTAAATAATGAAGAACTCAGAATGTGATAAAGAACTCAAAAACTGATGAATCTAGATTCGTTGAAACTTACTTTATGATATATTTATTATTATAAATTATGATTTTAAAAAATAATAAAATCAATACCTTTTATTCTTTTTTAAGCAGTTCAGGCGATTTGACAGATGGTTTTCCGAATTAATATTTTCACAGCTGTAAGGGCATTCCTCCACGCAATTATGTGTTATGCCTAAACCCTTAAAATTACCATCTCCGACACAACCGGGTGTCTTGCAAGTTGCGTTTAACAATTGAGCTGTAAATAAAGAGTCCATGTTATTTAATATTTATAGAACATATTTGAAAGATATTTACAGCTGGTCGGAGGAGGTTCTACAGGATGGCCGGTCTTAAATCCCCAACCGACCGGATGTAAGTCAGAACTGTCATCATCCACCCAGTAGCCGAAATGATCTGGAAAGCCGTCAAAATGTACTTTTACCTGATACGGTAAAACATCACAAATGGTAGCCACTCTAAGTAAGTGCGGAGCTCTTTTATCTATCATTTCGAGCTTTGTGCCATTTTTGAATTCTAAATGAGGTCTTAGACAGAACGCCTTTGCCGGGGCTGCAGTACTTCCTGTTTTCTTTAAATACATATCCCATGAAAATTGAGTATGTTTGTAACCTAAACAGACACACACATAAATAAATATAAATTTATTTAATTTACAAGAAGTAGTCTATACTTGCCATTTGGTGGGGTCAGCTCATGGTTGTTCTCCTTGCACCACCCTACCGGATGGATGTATGGACTGGAAATGTTAACCCAATAATCATATACATCACTCCAAGAATCGAAATGAATGAGAATTCTACTTTCAATCACTCCAGCAACTGAAGCGACACAGACTAAAAATGTATTTTTCTTATCGACCGCTTCCAGTTTCATTCCCACTTTGAATAGATTGTGAGTCATCTAAAATTTTAATCACACATTTTTTATGATCTTTTGGTTTACCAATCGATCGCTGCCAAATCTTACATTGTTCAATTTGAAAGTTGGAAAACACCAGTAAGGGACAGGCTTTGTCCCTTTGTTCTTATGATAAACCTGCCAATTAAAAGATTTCTGGTACCCTAAAGGTGGCTGGAGTTGAATACCATGTTGCGAACAAAAACCGCACGGGAAAATGTTTGGGCTATCAGCATTAACCCAAAAATCATATATATCAGGATACCCCACAAAATGCAACCGTAGTCTATATCCTGAAATAAAAAATAATTAATCAGCTGAATGAAACTATTTTTAATATTATATATAATTACCTTTTACTTCGACTATTTTAACAGCACAGAAATAAGACTGATGTTCAGGATCGATAGCTTCAAGGTATGTATTTACAGTAAAAGAGTTAACACAGTCTGGAAAAGGGTTGTTAAATAAACGAATCCAACTTGGTTTTGATGATGTCATGGACAAATAATGACCCCAAGGGAAAGCATATTTATCTTCCTATAGAAAACAATATAAGTACTAAAGTACATTCTATTAAACAGCTTAAATTCATAGTAATGGCATAATAAGAGCTTTTGCAGAATTAAGTTTTGATTGTGAGATAAGGCTTAAATAGGTGTATGCCTGAAGTTGATCTACAGTGAACTACAATTCAAAAGAAAAGAAAAAAATTAGAAGAGCTATCCAATCTCTCCTAAATCAGAATTCATTCACACTATCTAAGAGTAATTTTTGAGACCACTCTCTTTTAAGGCTTCAAGGATTGTTGGGAAGAGATCAGGAGGAAATATGTTGTATGTGGGGATTAGAGAGAGAGATTGGAAGTTAGTGTGAAATTTTTTGTAGTGGACTGTGCAAATTCATTTAAAAAGGGAATCCCACTGACACTTGCTTTTTCATCTCAACCTAAATCTTAGATTAAAAGTATAAATAATTAAAAAGGGAATATTTAGGTCCTTCTGGACGGTTGAAAACATAGAAGGAAGTGTTGACGATAGATCTAAAGATTCATAATTTCATGGTGATTCTGCGGATATTGTAACATTTGCCATATATCCTTATCGGTTTCAGTATTGACTTGCATACAAATCTTGTCAAGGGAGAGTTTAGATCTGTTGTCTTTTAGTCTAGTATCCTTATGAGAAATCAGAACTGTCAGTTCAGTTCTATCTTTTTGAGTCATGTATGAAAATTCCAGGTGAGTTGTTTGCTTAGAGCCCTATACAGAGTGATGTGATGGAGTATGAAGTTTTGTTTTGGGACTTAGTGGCTTTGCCATTTTTTGAATCATTATTCAATGGAATACAGGTGTGGCTGAAGGGTTCAATGAGCTATGACTAGATCGGAGTATAGGATAGAATGGCAGAGTCATCAGTATATGTCACCAAAGTGAGTATGAACTGAAAACAATAGCAGGCCAAGGATCGACCCATACTACAGAGTACCTATCAGGATTTAAAGATAAAATGGAGTCTAAAAAGAAATCAAAAGAAACTATAAAAAGGCCCAGGGGTAGAAAGGGATCTGACGTGACAGAAAGTAATCAAACAGTCGTCATGGTAGTAAGTAGTATAAGGTCGTCACATAGAATGTGTGAGCAGTCTAGGCTATCACATTTTTCTAGTGAGCATAGTGTTTTCATAACACATTTTTTTCTTTCTCTATTGTTATTGAGTATGGTTTGGGAAAAAACAACTCTATCCTATTAGCATTGCAAAATTGAAAGAAAACGAAAAGAATTATGAGGTATATGAAATATTAACAAAATACAAAAATTAGAGGAATACCAGCACCTAATTATTTAAATATTTAATTACAGCTTAATTACTCAAAATATTTCTCTTTGATCACTCATTTTAACCATGAACAAAACTCAATCTTTGCCTAAAAGAACTAAAGTTGGTAGAACGATCGCATGGGAAATTTGTGATTTTGTATAACTGGATTGCATGTAGCGACAAAATCAGGCCCAAAGGCCGATAAATCTGATAAATCTGACGGGGAGGATGAAGGTTTTGTTGTACTATATCGCCAGACCGCCTTGGTCTGATATCTCTCACCACAACAGATGGTTTTCTTTCTGGCCGAGCAGGGTAACAAATAATATTAAAAAAATTACAATTGGTTCATCAGCACAATTGTTTGTAAATACAAATTTGTGAAAACTGCATGGCTCAGTAAAGAATATATAACAACAAAAAAAAGAGTAAGAACTTACCAAATTGAAACTTGAATCAATTTCAACTTTGACTTCTTCCCCTGGATCCAAATCTTGGGAGACAAAATACGATGATCTTTTTTTTACAGTTTTGTCAGCATTTTCGACAATTCTAATTTGCGAACCTCTTAATTCAGATTTGTTAGCTGCTTTATTAGGAGGGAGTATAGATTCCAGTTTACTTTTAAACTTAAAAGATGTCCTAGAAACTCTTCTTTCTTTTTGCTGTTCACACTTTGTAACTTGTAGGGATTTTTTAAGCAAAGACGGCAACTTATTACAAACAGGAGGAGTATCTGAACTACTGCTGTCATCGTCTAAATCTATCACTTCGTCATTCTTAACTTTCACTGTGTCATCTTGCTTTGGGGATTGCAAAAGTGTTTTAGTCTTAATATCAACATCCTCATCGGTACTTTTTTGGTTTGACGACTCCGATTTAAAGAGTTTCTTTTTCTTTTTTTCCGTGAAAACTTTTTTCTCTTGTTCTGTCTTATTACATATGGCTTGTTGTTGAGCAATCAGGTTATCCTTACAAGCTACACTGCAATAATTCTCATTGTAGAATTCGGATATTAATCCATAGCAGCTGCATGCAACACAACAATAAATTTCATCTGGATCTCTATCCTTCCGCTTTCCTGGAATTTGAATTACATAAAATTATTCAACAAATTAATTTATTAAAAAACTATCTCAAATAGAGGTGATCAAATTACATATGAAAGCCATAAACTGTTCTTGTTAACAGTATAAAAATATAAGTGATCAATTACCTTCAATTTTATCTCCAGAACTATTTGAGTTTCCATCAACTACAGATTCATCATGAACTTCCAGCATCCCAAACTCATTGATTGTCATCTGAAATTATCAAAGTTACTGCTGTTTCATAAAGTTAGGGTAATGCTAGGTTTAAAGACATGTGATAGAACCCTTTGTTGTAACTTTTTTTTTTTTTTTTTTGCATAGAGTAAAATAATTAATAATGAAATTACAGGAGGATTCGATAAAATATTTTACAATATAATTTAATTTGCAGGCATTTTCAATCAACCTGGTCTAATCACTGCTTCTGTGAATCAAGCACATTCTAGCTTTTGATCAACTTGTTTTTATTTTGTTGTGATATTTTTGTTTAGGTAAGATTCCTTTTACATGGGACAATGTTTTTGTTGTCTTTAATGCAATTTTTACACTGAATTAATTTTATCGTATTGTTCAATACATCTCCCCACAAATTGATACGTTTTATGCAGGAAATGAATTTTCGTGAAAAGTGAAAAATAGCATAAATTGCACATAAGTTAATTTTATCTAGTAATGCAAGCACTTTTTTTTTATTAATATACAGTAAAATTTTGTAAATATGGTTTTGTTGACTAGTATTTTCTCCAAAACGTTTTAAGCTATATAAGATGTCAATATAATGAAACTTATGCAGAAAAGGTTTGGGTGGCCAACACATACACCTACACCCCTTTAAAGTCCACGAGAAAAAATTTGAATAAGCGATCTAAGATCTATTGTGGCTGGTTTGGGTCCTGCATGCCATCCCCCCAAAAAAAATCAAGAATGGCACAAATCTCCTACTACAATGCACTACTTTCAAAAATCCTGTATTTTGGTATCATTGCAATAACAAATTTCACTTACTTTTATATTACACCCAGGCAATGCGCCAAGACCTGTGGCGTCCCACTCGACTGTCTTAAAAGGGTCGAATTCTTCTGCACCTGGTAGTAATTTAAGATTTTCCTGTTGGCTGGCAAATACTTTAACGGGCAATTCGTTCACCAGAACAATTCCTTTCCGTTTCCTGGCCCTTTCTTTTGGAGCTGGTGGTAAAAGTTTTTCTTTCTGGTGTTCACTTGGATCCTTGGCACTTTTACTTTCTTTAATTGATTCTTCCTTAGGTTGGTCGACGTCCAACTGTTTGTCAGTGTTATCTAAGCCTAAAAATAAAATAAAAAAGTTTTACTACAGTGAGAGGCAAAAAAGTGGCCACCCTTAATATTTTTTACTTCCCTCCCAGACAATCCTCCATTGATTTTCTTACAATATTTGGTCTGTTTTAAAGGATTAAAGGTAAATAAAACACTGATAAAATCTCCCACTTGGTTTACAATTGGATTTTGTAAATAAATCTAAGTCAATCTCTTCTTTGTTGGTTTTTCTTTAATTCTTTCCAATGTTCCGAAGGTTTGATTTTTTAAGTTGGATTATTTCTAAGTTTCAAATTTGTGTGAATGATAGTTTTAAGCTAGAATCATAGCATTGTTGGAAGATAGAAGAAGTCAAGCGAATGTGGCCAGGGTGAAAGGTGATCACTGGTTTCTTTATCTAATGAAACTTGTGCGGAAAAGGTTTGGGAAAACTTAACATTCCCAGAGCAACTGTTCGAAGGGTATTTCATCGCTACCAAGATCCTGGCGGTTACTCAAGAAGGCATGGATCAAGTCGCCATCGTGTCATCTCAGAGAGATCATCATTTCATTGTTTTGAATGTATTCCGTAAATGAAATTTTACCACTGATGAGGTCAAGGAATATCTTCAACATGTTAATGTCAGTTTACAGCTCTGTAAGGTGAAGACTTTCACAAGCTGGATTACAAGGGAGAAGGCCTGCCACTGGTCCAGAATTTGTGACAAGGCATAGAACAGCTCAGTTAAGTTTTGCAAGAAATCATGTCAACTGGTGTAGTAAGATTGAACTAAAATCTAGCTTTAGAATGAGTCAAGGTTTTGTTTGAGGTCTTCTGACAGCCGAAAGAAAAACAGGAGTGCGATAAATCTCTGTAAAAGTTTTCACTCCAGAGAAGCTATGGATGTGGTGGTGTTATGGTTTGGGCAGGCATTCTATGGAAGGTCGCACAAACTTGATCTTCATCGAGGGTTCCATAACAGCTGCGCGATACTTTCAAAATGGGTTATTAGAATTTGTTTCTTATACACCACTAATTGGCGACTGTTTTATTTTTATGCATAACAGTGCAAGGCCTCAACAGCTAGGATCGTTGGTGACTACTTGGAATGGGCTTCAATTCAATGTTTGGAGTGGCCAGCATGTAGACTTAAACCTTATCGAACACCTTTGGGTCGAGTTGTCAAAGAGGGCAAAAAGTGGCCTAGTGATTCCCGACTTTTGACAGCTATTAAGAATGGAGCTGTTGGAGGAGAATGAAAAAATTCCACAACACTACATTCAAAACCTCATAAAATCTACATTAAAAAGTGTTTTAAATTTTAAACCATACATTAACATATCTACAATTTGATATGTCAAAACTGAACAAAACGTCCAATCTTTATCAGAAAGATATTTAAATATTTATTACAAAATTTTAATTATATGAGTTGTAACAACATATGATATACATACATCATTAAGATAGCATGATAATTTCAACTAACATAAAACTTTAACAATTCCCCCTTAAAAATATATTTGTGTGTTTTGCAGCTTGTGTATTGAACAAGTTTTTTTTTCATTAACTAAATCAAGTTACATCATACACTGACATTATATTAATTTCTTATGTGAAATCTATCCTTTTAAAAAATAAAATTTGAAAAAATAGTTTTATTATTACTGTTATATAGATTCAACTTACATTTTTCATCTTCTTCAGTTTTGGGTGTGCATGTTGAATCTGCCCCCTCTTCACTTGATTGTTCCTCTTTTACTTCTATAACTTCTGACTTGATTTCTCTTTCCACATTTTCTTGATCCTCAATACTTATTTTTTCATCACTATTACTCTTTTCATCTTGTGGTGTTTCTTCTTTCATCGTTAAATCATCCTTTGACTCGCTTTCATTAGTACTATCAGCTGAATTGGAAGAAGTTATATTTTCTTTATCTGACAATTTTGATTTATCATTTTTAGCGTTTAACAAATTGATAGGGCAAACCAAACTGGAAGCAAGCAGTTTTTTAGCCTGCAGAATGTTAAACGGTTTTATCACAGAATTTGTAATAATCTTTGAATCTATACTTTTCTGCCTGATAATGTTCGGCGGGAGCAGTTTGGACTGGACAGGTTGGGAAGTCAGCGGATCTATAACGACGGTGTTACGAGAAAGTATACTGATCGACGACTGTTTGACTTTTGGATTAGATGAAGGGCTGACAACATAATTCTTGTTCGTCTGTTTACACGAGCTTTGAGGCAATATCAGACTCAACGATGGTGAAGTCAACGTAGTCGGAGTAGTGCTCGCAGTCGTCTGAGTTGTACGTGGGAGGATGATTCGTGCCACAGCACCATCCTTACTTTTCATAGGAGCTAGCAGAACCTTTTGTTGAATGCAATCTTGACCTTTAACGACCGCCTTGAACAAAGTTCCAACATAAGCGATGTTATTCGGCCCCGTTACAGGAATTAACTTTCCATTTGCAATCTAGAAAAAAAAACACTTTTAAATCATCACATTATTTTTAATAGGTTTTGTTAAAAAATAAAGAAAAAAGTTTAGCCACTAAGTTTTAAAGAAAATACACACTATGTATATTTTATTATGTGTATTTATGCACATATATTTTAATAAATTAAACAAAAATAAATCATATTGCATATTTTATGAGTAACTTTTCATTAGTTTACATGCTCAGAACTTGATCACTTTACTAGATTTAGTTTAGAAGTCATTTAAACACATTTCAGCTTATGCCATCTTCAGTGATGAATAAGGAGTGATCAGGTGACAATAAAATGTTTTCCCCTAATTGCAGACCACCAACGTTAACTTTTCATTTGTTAGACATTTTTCACAGTTAAAATTAAAATATGACACTTTATAAAAAATAGAAATTTATAAAGGGTGTCAGATTTGTTTATCATATCTCTCTTATGTTTGTTTAGAAAATGATTAAGACAAAACATCATTATTTATATAATTTTTCATTATAGAAATGATGTCATGATCTGTCTGAAAATGTTAAAGTCTTGAGAAGGAGGCTTTAATTCTGAGGATTCAAATTAGAGTAAGATTGGGCCTCTTTAGGACCTGCTCACCATGACCAGTATTGGTCTATTGATGTCTACATCTTAAGGCTTTTTAACAAATCACAAAGCTTTTTCAAGGACCTCCATGTAATAATAATTGAACCTAAATTTCAGTCATGGATGTAATAATTTTTTAACTTCTAACAAATGAATTGTAGTAATTGAACCTAAATTTCATAGTCATGGATGTAATAATTTTAGTTGATTCAAAATAAATTATATATAATAATTGTACCTAATTTTCATAGTCATGGATGTAATAACTTTTAACTTCCTACAAATGAATTGTCGGTAATAATTGAACCAAAATTTCATAATCGTGGATGCAATAATTTTTAACTTCATACAAAATAAATTGAGTGTAATAATTGAACCAAAATTTCATAATCGTGGATGCAATAATTTTTAACTTCACGCATACGAATTGTGTGTAATAAATGAACCAAAATTTCATAGTCATNATAGTTATGGATGTATTAATTTGTAACTTCATACAAAATAAATTGTGTATAATAATTGTACCTTATTTTTATAGTTATGGGTGTATTAATTTTTAAGTTCATACAAAACAAATTGTGTGAAATTACTGTACCTAAATTTCATTGTACTCTTGAGTGGTTTTGACTAGATTTATTACCATTGCAACAGGACATCGTTCAAAGGGAATTATTCATATTTTTAGAGAAAAAAAATATTCCCCACCAGAATGTTTTTTTCAGGTAGAAAATCTAGGTAAAAGAGCCAATTTGAAATCAAACTAAATACAAGACGACAATTGGGTAAATAATAAGACGTAATCGTATTGCAATAAATATAACTGGTCGAAATCGGGGTGAACAGACTTACCGAATGCAAAGGATTGGCACTGGCAGTTGCAGTGTTGGTCGATTCGGCCGTGGTACTATCATCCTTTGCAGAACCTTGCTGGACGAATAATACTGGTACCACTTTCTTGTCCGGGGGCGTTATCTCCTGGCTCGTACTTTCCGCCGATTCCTCTTTCGTCACGATTTGCGGCTCTTCGATACTCATTTCTCTATGAATTAGGAACGCTCAGGAAATGTTCCTGACCAGGAGATAAAAAGAGGAAATACTTGAAAACCATTTTTTTGATACCAACGCTTTAAAGCCCATGTAGTTAGAAATGGAATTACCTTCTTTTTTTCCGACCGTGACAAAATTTCCCTCGGAAGGTCACTAATAAAATTTTATTCTCCAACCCGATTATCTACTCAAGATATTTCCGCGCGTTGCGAAATCATTTTAGAAGAAAGAGGACGAGTGGCCCGGGTTCGACCGTCGAATTTTCGAGTCGGGACCGTCTCGCGTTATCGAGCGTTTTCCACCGTAAAACCTGTTTCGAGCCTCTTGAGTCGGAGCTCGTCTTTTGGAGCCATAAGAGGAATTTTACACGAGATCAGGACTTTGTGACTTTATCCAGGAGACTTGCACTTTACTCCTCGTATCGCGATTGTTAAAAGACGGATTTCAACGGTGTATCTGGACAGAGTACGCGCTCCACGGTACAGGCACGGTTTCAACAGGCAGAGAGAAAAAGCGGATTACGCGGGCACTGAAATATCCCCGCCTTCCTTTCTTTAAGACTATTAAATGGACTCCTGCCTTTTCCTCGGGATAAAAACCACCCAAAAACAATTTTTTAGATTAAAAACAACACTCGCCGCGTTTTATCGACTTTCCCCAAGAACCCGCTTCCCCTAGGACCATTTGGGCATTCTCTCAATTGGGGATAATTTATTAAACCGACCGAAAACCTTGAGAGTTCGATCTTCGATGGTCGGTCGAAAACTGGCAAACAAAAAGTCAATTAACAAAACAAACAAAAAAATAAAAAGCCAGAGATATTAAAATTTAAAAATAAAATAACATTATCCCTCTATTCTTAAAGAATTTAGACGTCTTCCTATCTCCAATTATTTATAACTTCAGTAAAATAAAATAGAAAACTTTTTATTCAATATTAACGTTTAACCAGTCTTGACTTTCAAGAAATTATGGAAAAATAGCACACAAAACAATTATGAAATAGATCGAGATCTGCGGGATAATAAGCCTAGTTATAAAACTAAGGAAAATAATCCTTCACTCATTGAAATAATCGCCATTGTTTTCAAAAACCCTCATTGACCTGAATCTTTCGATCGAAAAACTTATATTTGAAGTCAAAAAGAGCCGATTTCTCGAGACTTCGTTGGTTTTACAGAACTTTTTTCTGCTTAAGTCTTATTGTATATTGTATAATCTGTTAGCGACAGGTCTGGAAAACATGGAGGACGTGGCAAAGTCTGTTTTTTGCCGTCTGTTTTTTCATTGCAATTTTTATGCTTTCAGGCGTGCATTATCATGAATCCTGAGCCTGGATCGAAATTCTGAAGTTTTGGATGGTCTATAATCACCAACAGTGATGGTTTGACCAAGAATCGAAAGCTCATAGTGCACAATATTTATGACAGTTTGGAAATTAGTGAATAAATCTTCTTTCTGAAGGTCAGGCTTATGAAATTTTCTAGATTTTCATCAGGGGAAAAGTCATTATTGTAACGGCCTAAAATTATTGTACAGGACATTTTAACTAACCAAAAGGTTTAAAATATTTAGATATATAAATCAATAAATTTTCATCACTTAATTTCCATTGTCTTCATTTATGTAACATTTTGGCTTTTAGCTTCGTTGTTTCCAATTGAATTGGACTGCTTTTCCTTGCTTTTTTGATCTGCCATACTCTGTCTTTTGCCATATTTAGTGGTGGATTAACTATGGTTGTATCACAGAAGGCGAGAACCTACAGGTTCATCGAATTCATATAAGTCTTTCAAGAGAAGACAGTGACTATGGTACATTATCCCAAGAAAGCTAGGTATTATAAAAAAAAAAAAATAGGCAGCACTAAAGACAACTACCTCACCAGTAGCAAAGTCCAGTCATTTGGAATTGCAACAGAAACATTGGGGATGAGTCCTATTGTTGAGAGCTGTGAAAAGATGGTAATTTGTTGGCAATAGGTCTATTTTCCCTTAGTTTTAGAAAGTATTTGTAGATATTTTGACCAATTTTTAACAAGATTGCTACACGAGATCAAGATGAACTAGTTGAAAGGCTTCATTTGCTAACTTGCAACTTTTGACTCAACCGATAGTTCAAAATCATCAAAAATTTTCCCATATAATTTTTGTGTTGTTCACAGATTATATTTGTTGTATATTGTAAATCATCAGAACTAGTTTCCAAGTCCCAATGAATGGGATGTATACATTGAAAGCTCAACAAACGGACTGACTGTTTTTCTTTCTTTCAAATTCTCCTTACCCTCGATCTTGTATGTACAATTTAATTATTCTTGCATAAATGTTGAGAAAATCATCAGCCTACCATTGCTTACATTACAATTAGTATAAATTATTTTCAAGTTGAAAAATTTATTCTTTGTACAATCTTCCAAATCCCTTGCTAGGAAGAGCTGCTACACCACTGGTACAACCTGTACACTTTTGTGGTATAGTAGTAGTAATTCCTGACGTATAAGAGGGTTAATCTACCCTTTCAGAGTTGTGGTCAAGGGGTCAAACCACTTTACAATTCTTTTTTCGCACTATAATTAATTATAAAGTTTTGTACTCTGCTGGGATTTGAACTGAGAACCGAGCATAGCAAACATGAGTTAGATGCCTTAACCACTCCCCTGACTAAAATTTACACGTTTGAATCGCACTTTAATGAACTACATCCTTTTTTCTTACAGTTATTTGAAGAAATTATGTGTGTTTGGAAACCCATAAAACAATTAATTTATTAATAATTAAAATTATTTAAAAAACATTTTCAATTTAATTCAGTGTTAAAATACCATTAAAAAATACATTGATCTTGCTATTTGAACTAGTTAAGCCCTAATTTGATCCCACTATCCTGAAGAGTCAGATCAACAATTTTTGGCTCGTGGGAAATTACAAACAATAAATTTTAATTGTCTCGGATTTTTTTAATTTAAAAACTGGCCGACTCCTCGATAAAAAGTATCAAAAATAGAAAACAACAAGGCTGGCGAAAACAAAATAATTATTTTTAAACATACAAAATTAATGTATGGGTTAAAACAAGGTAGCATTAATTTAAACATGCTTAGCAAATAAAAAAAATACTCATTTTATTTACAATACACAAATAAATTATATTTTCTAAACAATAACAAAACATATTCTATACATTTAAAAAAACAAAAATACAAAATGTAAGATAAACGATTTCTCTAAACTTATTAACTTTTAATTTTGCATAAAGATATTTTTACTCATGGAAGCGAATTTACCTTAAAATGTACACAATTTGGACATAAGACCAATGTCACATGTTCATGACCATACTTTTTTTAAAAAAAAAATATGCGTTACTGAGAAATACGCATATCAAGTTTATATTTCAAATACATTTTGGACCCAACATTTGTTTGAGATTAATACGGGGGTGGCTGCTGATACATGTGTTGCTGGTTTTGTTGTTGGTTTCCTGAATGCATTTGTCTTTGCAGTTGGGCTACAATTGCTGTTGGGTTTTGTGACTGCTGCTGCTGATTTTGATGTTGCATCGCCATGAGCTGCTGCCTCATTCGTTGTTGATTCATTTGTTGCTAAAAAAATATAAAAAAATTAACACAAATACAAAGTTTTAAAAAAGGTTTATAATACCTGAGTAAAATGCTGTGGAGTCGGTTGTGCCTGTTGTTGTTGCTGGTTTGGAGCTCCGGGCCTTGTGTAAGGTGGTGCTGGCTGGTTCTGACTTAGAGGTCCACCCATAGAAGACATAGTGACATTGGGAGCCTGCTGTAAAAAAATATTGTTTAATGTGTGAAAAATTGAGTTTGATAATTTACTAACTTACCTGCATGTATGGGCCTCTCATTCTTTGTTGGTACTCGGGAGTTCTCATCATAGGCTGGTCTGGGAACATTCCTGTGTTTGTAACCATACCACCAGCTCCGTAACCACCATAATTTTGATTTATTCCTAAGCATATGATAAGGGTAAATGTAGAACTGTGTTTAATTAATACCAGCCTTCACTAGAAATTAGAATTTTATGTTAAGAAAACAGGGTTACATACCTTGTTGCTGTATATTTTGGTATATTTGTTGTTGTTGTGCTGGGAACATTTGATTTGATTGATTGTTACCCTGCATTCCTGTTTGTATGCCTTGTATTTGTTGCCTTGGTACAAAAAATGACAAAAAACATAAATTTCAATATATTGGTCCAAATGGAGTAAAGTGAAGGAAAAAATGTTTAAAAACAAAACAATAATGTAACAGTACCTGAACATAGTTTGACGAGGCATTGGTTGGAAATTTTGCATTTGGGGTTGATTTTGCCCTATGTACTGGCTTGAAGGTGGTATTCGCATTCTAAGCATATTTGACAACGCTTGTTTGCTTTGGTTCACTCTTCCAGGACCAGCAGGATTACCTGCACCTATTAAGAAAATTTTGTAATGACAAATCCTTTATTAAAGCTGTATAGTTTATACCTTGCTGCATAGCCTGTTGTGGATAGTACACTTGCTGTGGATGCTGCTGTTGGTATGGAGGGGCACCACCCCATTGAGACGGTTGAGGCCCACCAGGGAATATGCCACCTTGCCCTTGCGTATTATACGGCCCGACCATTTGACCAATTTGATTCTGTGGTCCCGGGCCACCTTGCTTCATTTTAAACAAGAATGAAACATATCAATAAAATTTATCAAAAATAAGATTTCAGAGGACTAACTTGAACATGCTGCATGACAGGAGTTCCCGGTTTGTTCGTCTGTTTTTTCCTTCTTGTACTCAAGGCCTGTTTTCCCATGTGGCGCTTTCCACCTCTCGGGCTGTCTACAGAGGGTGGCGTGCTCTCGTGAATACCGGGTCCGCCCTTCATCTGAGCGCAATACACACAAGTACACTATATTAGGCATGTTCTCTGTTCTTTCCAGCTTCAAAGTAGAGAACTAAAAAATAATCGTTGGCCACTACCACTTTAATTACAAATACAAGTCTTGCTTAATCTGTAGAACTGATTATTTATTAAATATTGACACTAATGGGTTTAAAGAAACACTGGTGTTTAATTAAGCAAAACAAAATTTTAGAATAACTATCTTACAGAGAAAGTAGAGAACACATAAAAAATAATAAAAAAATATTGTCAAGTAAAAAGCAAGCCTTGTAATTGAAAATTATAATGGTTAACAGCCAGTAAACATATATTTCATAGTAAAGCTCCAACATATCCATGTTTAAAGATAGAAAAAATAAATTAAAATTTACTATTATAATAGCTAACAATTAAAATTTTAATTAAAAAAAGATAATACTATATTTGTGTAAATATTAATGGATAATAGATAGATTATATATAAATTTACAGAATACAGGATAGATGTACACTTTTCAATGAAATATATGTCCTAAAAACTAAACAAAAACATATTTTACATACAATTATGGAAAAGTATATTGCACTATTAATATACACAGGCATAAATTATTAATTTTGATCAGACATTAATTTATTCGGTAGTAGAATTTAATAAGGTTTTTATTTTTTTTCCGTAACAGCAGAGGTATTATGTTGGTCAGTCATATTATATCCTCGGGGTGTCATTAATTTGGGGTGTGAGAGAGAGAGAGAGAGAGAGAGAGAGAGAGAGAGAGAGAGAGAGAGAGAGAGAAACATTTGTAAGTACAGTAATGTGTGCCATGTCAAAAACTTGACCATTGCAGCCACTAACCACTTTTTTAACTATTATTATTATTTTTTGACAATTAAAATGTAATACTATTAAATTAACTAGAAATATATAAAATTTGAATTTATTACCCCTTACTGAATAAGTAGTTAAATGAAAAATCAACAAAATAAAAACTAGAATCAATGACTGTGTACATTTAAACATAGTAATGTAAAAGTAAGGTATAGCAGACATACAGGCTTTGGTGGGTCAATATCTTCAGGAGGAAGAGGCAGTGGCTCAAGATAAAAATCAGAACTCTTGGCAAGCGAGTGAGTGTGGCACTGTAAAAGCCTATGCGTCTCCTCGAATGGCAAAAGTCTCCTTTCAACACGTATCGCACCAAACCAAGGCCAAGAGAGTGGCGCCAAATTCTTTTGCCCTTCGAGGATATCCCATGGATTTATCCTTTGCTTCTCGCTGACTTGAAGACCCTGTCAAAATAAATTATCGTTTTGAATTTTATGTGAGCGAGATGTCGCTGGACGAGTTAGCTTTACGTGTTTGTCACTCGAGTCGAATGCAATCTTATTTCCTTTCATATCGGTGACCAGCCCAGAAGGGCTGCAGGCAATAACTTCCGTTTGCTTCTTTGGAAGTGGTAATAACTGTTTTACATATTGTATGGAAGGGGAATTTCGTTCTCCGACTTCCTAAAATCACACATGCCAAAATATTTTCATAAGTAAAAAAAAGAAGATGAATACACGAAAACAATTGCAAGGAAACATACTTTCTTTAATTTTTTCATTAAATTTTGATAGTGTTTTCTATTTTCCTCGCATTTCTCTGACTGTGAATCTGATACGAGTGTTGAGTGAATTAAGGTTGCTAGCATATCTAAAACCGTATTAAAGAGCTCCCTGAAAAAAAAACATTGATTACCATTGGATCACACTTCCATCTTTAAAACAGCATAAATTCAACTTACGAATTGTTATTTAAATCTATAACACCATAAATGACTAATTGAACTAGAAGAATTGCCCAGTCAGTAGTCAAAGTTGTATTGCGTTGGATTGTGTCAAACATCCCGCCAATTAGGGAAAATCTTAATAACAAAGCGTCTTGCATGGCAGTCCGGCTCTTATGATTTTCACATATGTAATTGCGATCCTATGAACAATAAAAATCAAATTATTTCTTACTGAACAATATTTAAACAAATATTAAACTTACTTCTTTAACTATTTGCAAACATTGTGTTAACTGTGTCTGCAGTGATGTTAACAATCCTTCCCGCTGATCATCTTGCCCTTTTAAACAAGTTAAAACCAGTGCTAAAAATGGCTGATGGTGCCCCATATGCGGACCTGAAGATGGCCTTGTTGGTGTACTTCCCTTGTTTTTGGCACTGTTTGTAAACCAATTTCCTGACTCCAACACTTGCCCTAGATTTGTATTGTTTTGTACAATTAATTTCGAAAGAATTATTAAAACTGAGTAACTCAAATATACCTGCTACTTTCAGTACTCTTCCTTGCACTGTTGACGGTAATTTCGCTACAAGAGGTGCAACCAACCACATTGAGTTTTTACCTTTGCAATTGTCTTCTCTGTAAATATTGAAAACACTTGAGGTTTAATTTCAAAAGTAAAAATGCTCAATTATAATATATTTTGTATTACTTATTGGATACTGGCAAGTTGAACAAATTTATCGCAGCTTTAGCAACGATGTCAAGCCACTGGTTTAACTCTTGATTATTCGACGCATACTGTTTTAACATCAACTGCATATCCAGCCAAGAAACTCTCAATGTCCAGAGCTCAAGATTCTGATTAAATATAATAATTACATTTTTTAGTATATTATTGTTTAAACAAAATGTATTTTTATTTACCTCCAAAATGTTTGTTATCATTGTTTTTTGATCTAGATTCACATCTGTACTGACAGGATTGTCAGGATAGCATATCATATGAAGCAGTCTCTGTGCCTTAAAAGGTTAAAATGAATATTACTGATAAATTGTTGATAAAAAAATAACAAAGCTTGATTTAAAAAAACTGCATGGAAGAAATTGTAAAAAAAAATAATACAAAAATAATTCAACAAACTTTTAGAAATTAGTTTTGTTTTTAGAATTAAACTTACAATCAAAAATTTCTGCTAACTTGTAAATATTTTCTTTCCTGGTTATTTTTGATATTTATTCGATTTTAAATTGACAAAATCTTTATACTTTTAATAATTGAGTATATTTTGTTTCAAAAAGTAAATGTAAACAATAATCGCTCAGGAAAACTTTTTTTTCTTTTTAGCTTTTCATCAATAACTCAAATTTCCTCCTCTTGTATTAACTGTAACTTAAAGATGCCTTGGCAGGCTTTCTCAAAGCCAGGAAAAGTCTCTTCACAGAAAGTTAACCTCGTTCATCATGAAGAGCCCTTTCAAGATTCTTGAATCTATCAGGAAGGGTTGCACAAGCTCTTGTTCAACTCATAGAATATTGGATTGCCCAGTGATTCGGTTCCATATAGCAACCCTCTAGGAACAACAACCAACTTTGTATGACCCTCCATTGAAATCCCTGTCCAAACCATCAAAACCTTGAAATGGACATCAGCACTGGGAAAAAAATTACATTCCGCTCACTCGTTTTGTCCACATGAAGCCTGGAGTTGTAGAGCAAATTTGGACTCATTTGTAAAAAACTGGTGTGAGAACAATGGTTGTGTTCTCAGGCAAAGTAAAGTCATGAATCTCAGTGTGTTCTGGTCAATTTATATAATCTGATGCAAAAAGCCATTAATCCAGATTTTTTTTTAAACATTCAAGCAGCTCATTTAAATATTTATACCCCTTGTACTTCCTAGTGCTGATGAATTGTTTGACTTGTAAGCATAAAAGAAAAGCATACATTTGGTTACAACTCGAATGAGAATCAATAAATATTTACCAAAAGTAAATAATGAGAATGAAAATGATTAACCGAAAATCCAGTCTCTAAATCATAATCCCAATTTTGAAGATAATATAAAGAAATATTTATTGTTAAAATTGAGAAAAATTAACAACATAATTTTATTATGGTGCAGAAAATAAAAAACATCAAGTGTGCAGAATTTTTGGCTTATCAGAGTTCAGAGAAAAATATTTTTAATCTTCACTTTCATGTCAAGAAATAATCCAATTCTCAAAACTGCATCAAAGCTTTAATATTAAAGTCTATACAAAATTATTACATTAATTCTGTTTATACAAGTGAATTATTAATGTATGTATGAACCCTAGAACCAACTATTTTATCTTTAATTGAATTTACCTGTTTTGCAGTTAACATACTGTCCAACATCATATCCTGAGTGCAAAGATCTTCAGGCCGTTGCAAACAACGTTCCAACACCCACTCTTCGCTGCACATTTCTTTAAGAACCAACTGAGCTAGCTCTGACAAGCCTCCATTGCTAGATATATTGTTTCCACCACTAAAATTAAATGGAAAAAAGTATTATAATGTTTTGACAATTGATAAAAAAATTCCCCTGACTATCAATTAACATTAAGAAAGACAACCATACCTTAAAATCTATACAAAACAAAAATAATAAATTTTTATAATGAAATTTAAAAAAAAAATACCCCAATTCCAATAATAATTCATCACGCGCTCCTCCCAAAGAATCTGAAGTTCCTAAGATATGACTAATGCTGAGTTCTCCTTGTCCACTAGGAGGAGTCATTTTATGAGGCTTTATTTTCCCACGGCTGCCTCTGCCAGCTGTTGCGTCACCGACAACGAGGATACCCTAAAAAAATAAGTTTATTATTTGTTCAATAAGATGAGCAGATAAAACAAACCTTAAGTACTGCTAGCACAGGGCCAACTTTGATATTGTTGTGTGCAGCTGCTAAAAGATGCCTATCGCAGCTTAACTTAATACTCGAAGTAGAGTTTACCGGTAGAGGATGCGGCGATGTACCTAAAATTAATAATGTAAGTGATTCCAACAAAAAAATCATTTTCAATTCAAATTAAGCTTGTTCATTTACCAACGGAATACATTGCAGGTTGAGGAACTTCACTTGTTTTAAAAAGTCTTAACAACAAATGACATGTTAACCTAGCTCCTGCTTCAGCATCTAAATCAGCATCACCTCTACCTGTATACACATTCATGCACACATATAGTAAATTATCAATTAACAAAAACAAGAATTAAAAACTGACCTTCATTGCAAACTGTCATAAGGGATGGAAGAGCAACATGGACTACAAAATCTTCAAGAGAGAAACAGTGCCTTGCTTAAAAATAAAATAAAAGTTATCTTTTTAATTAAAATATTACATTTTAAATATATCTATAGAAATTTTATTGACTTACCAACTAAAATTGAAGTGAATAATGCTAGTGAATTGTGAATAGAGAGGTCATGAATGTCAACATGGGATGTAACTTCTGTGTAAGAAGGGCTACTAGAAGTGTAGCAAAGAGCAGTTAGAACGCCTGGAACAGAAGCCAAATACTATTGTGAATTTACTACAAAATAACAGCAAGAACAAGTATTGTATTGGATGTGTGCATAGGTTTTTTTTTTCATTTTCCCCCATCAAATTTCGACTTTCGCCTTATAAAGGTGGCCATTCACGATTGCTCCAAATGCGCCAAGCCGTACAGCTCCATTTGGAGAGCCTGAAATTTGAGGGGGCATTCACGACTGCTTCACAGACAGTCGCTCCGAACATCAGCCAGTGAATTACCTTCTCAAAATGGATGACAATCTCTTGTGCTACGCTGCTGTTTGTTTATATATTAAAAGCAAAAAAAACCAAAGAGGAAATGGTGTAAGAAGTGGCTCCTGAACAGAAGCAGTAATACTCACGTCTTATTTATTCATTATATTTAGTGTTCTATTGACCAAATTACTTCTTTCAATTAATTAATCTTTTAGTAAGGTTTTGGTTGAAATGAAAAAGCTAGTGCCACGAGCGGGATCTGAATCCATGGCCTTCGAGCTATCGTGACTTCGATCCTCTCGGACACCAAAATATGGCAAAAAGAGAGAAAATTCGAAAGGTTTAAGGTTGAGATGGGGAGTTGGTGTCCGAGTGGATCAAACTATCGAAGTCACGATTTTAGCCGAATGTTGTGGATTCGAATCCCCTCGTGACACTACTTTTTCATTTCAACCAAAACCTTACACAAAAAAAAGATTAGCGTCTTATTTATATTTACTCCAGCTTGTTACCCCTTTGATTAGAAAACAAAAGACAGACATGAGAGAAATCATCACTCTACATGAAAGGTTGGCAGCCACATTATGATTTCTCGCTACAGGGATGAACTACGAAGAACTTAAGTTCTCAACTACGATTAACTAACTCAGCACTTAGGGGTTATCAATACCGCATCTCTCGTTGCATTTGTATCCTTTGTTTTGAAAAGGTCGACCAACTGGTTGAGAACCGAATTTCTTTTATTTCTATCGTGGTAATCATTGTCCACCACTTTCCATAAGCATGGTACATTTTAATACAATCCAATCACCTCAACAATAAAATCTCGATTGGATGTCATTGCCAATAAAGAATAAACGTTTTTGACTTTTTGAGAATGTAGGACGGAGATGTTTGCTCAGTGACAGAAAGATGGAGACTGCGCCAAAAAAACGCGGGTTTTCCCATTCACGACCAAGCCAGCGCTCCAATATTCCACCGTTCACGCCAGGTTTTCCCATTCACGAAGGCGCCATGCCGTCGTTGCACCATAGTCGTGTGGAGTGGCGCGATGGAGTTTGGACCAGTCGAATATTCGACCCAGCTGGGCACGCCAGTTCAGTTTTGCCATTGACGTGGTTTTTGCTAGGAGTGATCATGAATGGCCACCTTAAGGTGATCAATTATTACCTGCTAGCCCCATTAGCTCTAGTCGGAAAAGACTTATTGAAAGAGTAAGAAAGGGGCGGTTGATCCCAAAAGTCTGTTTAGAATAAACTGTGACGCGTACAACATGGAAGCAGATAAAATTCATTTGAGGCATTGCTTGCTACACGACTTCAATCTGGGGCATAGAGCGGCTGATGCCTGTCAAAATTTATGGTTTATTTAGTTACTGAACATGAGTGCCAACAGTGATTCCAACATTTTTGTAATGAAGTGACGAATCAAAGACCAGCCTTGTTATTGACAGCATAATGATCTTAAAAGCAATGATTTATTAGTGGCATTGGAGGATGAAGACAAATTAAATGAAGCAGAGCTATTAGAATGATTTCATATACATCCCACAATGGAAAGAAGGATCCGATCTCTAGGTTACAATGTGAAACTCGATTCATGAGTTCCCCATGAATTGTCCCTTAGGAATAAGAAATACCATATGGCTTGTGCGTTAATAAGCATAAACCAGAAGTGTTTATTCCCTATTTGGTCAAATTAGAAATGAGAAGTGTGTCCTTTACAAAAATGTTACAGCTGAAAGATCATTTGCCACAAGAATGAAACACCGTCATCAATGTCAAGAGCTGGATTGAATCCTCATAAGGTCCTAGAGTCTGTTTGGTGGGATATTCGAGAAATAATTTTTGGGAACTCTTACCACATAGCCAAACCTTTACAGCAGGGGTATACTGTGGATAAACATCCAGCCCTGGAGAATAGATGCAACATCTTGTTTCACCATCACAATGTCATTCCTCACACAGCTTCACTCACTCAGAGTAAAATCGCCGAGTTAGGCTGGCAACAGTCACCCACCCTCCATACTCTCCAGACCTTGCCCCTTCCAATTTTTACTTGTACTCCCTAGACAACCTCTTAAAAGGTAATTTTTGACTAAAATTGTTCTCTAGGTCATCAAACTTTTATAAAAACGTATATGGTTTTTACAGTTTATTATTCATTTATAGAAAAGTAAGGAAATTATGTTTTGAATTAAAAATAAGATAAATTTATATTTTGAAAGTTTGACTTATTTTTCTGAAAACTGAAAAATATACTAAGCACACATACAAAGTAAGATGTTAGTCGTTAGATGGTAATGCTGAAAATATGCATACATTACATTAAGTAAATAATTAAATTAACGTACCTAGCCACTCTGCTGACAACAGGTTGCAATGGGCGGTTAATTCTGCGCTGAGATGTCCCAAATCGTTGAGTCTATCAACATCATTTGTTGAACAAACAGCCATTATTGTATTGCATACGAATGAGTAACGATTATTTGAGCTATCATTCAGCTGTCTGTACCACGCTGGCTCAATTTTCACTAAAATTGAACATTTTATACGATTACATCCCCTGTAAATTTATTCTGTAAAATAATCTATTGTCAATATTGAGACATACTTCCTTTCCGGACGGATTTAATAACGTCGGCCAGAAAAGGTGTTATAGTCTGATTCCCAGATTGGTTCGGGGTTAGAGATGAGTAAAGGGCGGCGCGGATTTTCGGATAGGCATTGCTGAACGGCTCAGCGCTGTGGGGCCGGGTCTTCAGCAAATTGCACGAAGCATACAAATCGTACAGATGTGAAAGTACGCATCTTTCGGCGCTAGAGCAGTCGCCGGGGTTTGAAATATGTTTAACAACTCTGCATAACCCTTCGAATACTGCCACAGTCTGTTCTCCAGATACTAGAATAAAAAATAGCATAAATAAACAAGTTAGTTAATCACATAGGAGTAGTGAAGGAAGTACTTACATAAAAGACAGCAGTGATACCTTCGTAATACACCGACAATATACAAAACAAGCCCCGTTGTGTATGTTTTGACTAAATTCGATCCTTTTGCATCCAGCTGAGCTTCAACTTCGGGAATTTCTTTGAGAATCTATAGTAATAATTATTCTGTTACAATTCCATTACATTTTAAGCCAGTAGTAAGGTAATTAGATTTTATAAATAATTAACGACCCATCTAGTCAGCAGTTGTGTGAGTAGAGTTTGTGTGTTCAAGGAGAGGAACAAGCCGTAAGAAGAAAGAACTAGGACGAGGCTTATCTCAACAGTCCGAGGAACAACCCATATCAGAGGGTAATTCAACTATAAGGTTATACGAACTCTCATGGTGCTGATGTTCTTCTTTTTTTTTGGGGGGGGGGGACTGAATGTCAGGTTCAAATCCCAGGGCCAGTGGATTCGAACCTAGGTCTTTTATCTTACAGTGGAGTCGCCATTTGACCTTTAAACCGCTGTGGCCACAATGTAATTTTATTTTAACATCAGTTTAAAATGATTTAACTTTTCAATATATTCAACAAGGATGATTAGGCTTGACAAAAAATATTTTTAAGATCTTTTAGCCGTTCTTAAAGTATGAACCACATCTAATGGAAAAAAACAGCGAGATAATAGGCACAGCACTATAATCATATACCATAAAACTATGCATTAGTATTAATATTACTAAAGGTATAGGGAGTAAAATAGTCTATAACGTTCACAAAACCCAATTTTTCCTACATAAACATTACAGACTTACATAACTCAACTCTTGAATTTGAAAACCCAAGGGACAACAAAAATAATTCATAATATCAAGATATTCGAATAATAATAAAAAACGTTAAGAGCTGATATGCATTTTTCCAAGTTATTACATGGTAAATTGTACATACAAAAAACATTGTAAAAATAACGAAAAAGCGGAAATAGATCAACTGTAAAATTGAACGTTGAACAGCCAACCTAACAACTAGAGAAAATTAAAAGAAATTAAGAAATAATACGTGGAAATTTGAAGGAATATTACAAATAAAAAGTTCGAATTATAAAAAGGTCATGGGGCTCCATTTCAAATTAGAGCATCCTTCCTCCCCCTGTTATGAAAAATGGCAAAAAGGAGGGAAAATTCAAAAGGTGGGGTTGAGATGGGAAGTCGGTGTCCGAGCGGATCGAGGTCACGATAGCTCAAGTGGTAGAGCAGTGGCCTATCTAGCCTAAGATCGAGGGTTCGAATCCCGCTCGTGCCATTGACTTTTTTATCTCAACTAAAAACCTTAATTAATTGTAATATATTAATTGGTCAAGCGGAATTTAAAAATTTAAAATAAAGTATATTCACTAAAGCTCTCCGTGGCTATTTCATTTGTCGTCGAGAATCCAATCCGATTACACGACATTTGAAAAATGGCAAAAAGGAGGGAAAATTCAAAAGGTGGGGTTGAGATGGGAAGCTGGTGTCCGAGTGGATCGAGGTCACAATAGCTCAAGTGGTAGAGCAGTGGCCTATCTAGCCTAAGATCGTGGGTTCGAATCCCGCTCGTGCCATTGACTTTTTTATCTCAACTAAAAACCTTAATTAATTGTTATGAAAAATATTTCCTATCACCGAGTGTATTGAAATGTTCAGAATTTTTTGATTTAACAAAGTGACCTGATGAGGAGTTCATATTATTAAGAAATTCAAATTAACTTAAGCTGACTGTATGTAAAAAGTACCTGTATGCAAACATCAATTAATCCATAAATATTTAAGGCCAGTTCCATCAGATCAAATAAAAACGCGACATGCTCTTGGACTGGAAGATAATTTGAGTTTCCTGAAAATCATAAAACTTGAGTAATAGCCTGGATCAGTATTACATAATATTTTATTTTAGTTGATGCTCACCCGAAGCAAATGAGCTTATCATCTCATAAACAGTAATGCTGCACTGCCATGTAACTACATGCTGGTCAAAAAAAGATAAATTCTGTACTCTTGCAGTTGTAGATTCAAAGTTGAATTCATTTCTGGAATGTTTCTTTACTTTGCCACCTGAATGTTACAATTTCGTTGATTAGCCTGGCATATTGGCAAATAAAAAAATGTATAACATTTAAAAGTACCTTCAGCGACATCGATGCTGAATTTTTTAGAAAACAATTTGCAAATATCTTTCGCTGTCCGTTTCACAACATGTCGAGCTTCATCCCGAACTCGTCCAACACCGTATAAAAGCACATGCCTTTGGTTACACTCATGAGAACAACTTTCATCCTAAAAGTTTGTAAAATTAATATATAAGGGTCAGTATTAAATGAAAGTCGAAACTAACTTGTGGCAGAGGAAAATGTGTTGTATAAAGGAGATGCCTTGAAGGTTTTCCGTTTAGTCCAGAGTTATCGACTTCTGAATTAAGGTGATTGATTCCACCTGACACTAATGAACCACTAACATCTTTCGGCGAATCAGGAGCATCCTGGGAAAAATATTTATTAGTAATCGACCATTTAATTGTGAGATTTCCTAAGATGAACTTGTAGTCTACTTAGTAATTTATTAAATCCATTAGATTTAGTGGTCTGGTTGACCAAATTACTTCTTTCAATTAATTAATCTTTTTATCCCGCTTGTGACACTATTACTATATTAAGTAGAGTGGGCGACCAAGACCCGAGGGGTTAAATGCCTGGGTAGACTCATACCCTGGCTCGTGACACTAACTTTTCGCTTCTCGGCCTTTTGGCTAAGATCAAAGTATAGTATCTGCTTGTGACACGAACTTATTCATTTCAACCAAAATCTTACATAAAAAGATTAATTAATTGAAAGTTAGTAATCCATTTTATTGTGCTAAATAGGTCAATTTAAATTAAATCTTAACTTGCAGGCTTACCATTGAATTTTGTTGTTCTTTTGTAATAGTTTGCAATAACTCGCCCAAATCGTCATCAATTTTACTATCATCACATTCCATCGCTCTTCCATGTTCCTAAAAAAATGTTAAATTTTTACAATTTCATCAAAACTTATAACTTAAAAATGTTCCAACCTGTAATTTGCTAGGTTTTAAATAGAACAACGCTGTTGGATCACTGTCTAAATGTATCTGAGATGGTGTTTCTAAAGGTTTATTACTACTGGGCCTTGCTGAACTACCTGGATTTGTTACTGTTTAAAAATGAATTATTACATTTCAACATAATTATTTACTATAAATGTTTTTTACCATTCTGTTCACTTATTTGCAAAAGATCTCCTCTTGAAATTAATGTGCACATGTAGGCGTCATGCGAGAAAACATCATGCCTCACAAGTTCAGAAAACAAATGTACCAAATTTGTAAAAACTGTCCGATTCGTGGGATAATTACTGGTGTCATCTGTATTAAAGAAAACAATTTGGTATTTACAAATTATTAAAAGTTATGGTGCATGATGAGACAACCTAACACTGGTGCATCGTTGTCCAGATACTTCATTAGAAGTGATTGAAACACTGGCAGGCCTGGTGTAGCCGAGTTTACCGAATCTTTGTCATCTGTTACATCGGTTTCTTGACCTTGTTGAATTTGATTGTTCCTCCTTTCCAAGAGTTTGGCAACAGCGATCGCTCTATGTTCACCGTAACGAACACCACTCACAGCCCACCAGCACAACAAGTTAACAATCGGTTCTTCTTTTTCTATTTGCTGAAAATTCAAAATACGTTTAATAACGACTACTTATTTTAACGGTAAAGCACTAACAAATTGGTTTTTTTCTGGTGGATTTGGAAATATTTTTTGGTAGAGTGTATCCAATGAGTTGTTTGTGTCCACTTTGTGAAAGGAATGTCTATCTAGTGCGTCTAAAGCCGTTAGTACTCTTTGAGTCTTAACTCCCGCACACGACTGTTGCCATTTATCACAGGACCATTTATTTTCTGCCGCTTGGCTCCTTTGTTTTATCATCTCTTCAGCGGCTCTCAACTGATTACTAAAAAGAAAGTGTTATTTACTTCAGGCTTTCAACTACATAATCGTACCAACTTACCGTAAATGCTGGTTGGAATTTCTTTGTGGCATTGGTAGCAAGGAAGGTGAACATAAAAGAATGTCTAAAGGAGAACCGTTTAACATAGAGGCAGACTTCCCTTCACCGATGCTATTCCATACCAAAGCTGTTGGACATTCTAATGTAATGACCTAAAATCATGATATAAATTATCGACTGTGTTTATATACTATATTTTACAAAGTTTTTTAGTTTCCAATCAACCCTGTACTATTCTTTAATGGTATTACAGTTAAACTTCCCTTAACAGACACCTCTAGAAAGCAGACGCCTCCTTTGAACCGACAAATTCTGATACCCCAGTGACCCCCCCCCCAGTCTTCCCATTAAAATCTTCTCTAAAGCACACATTCCCAATAAAGGATGGCAAACGACCTTTTCGACTATTTACAAAACTCTTCTCAAAAGCAGACAGCAGTCTCCTGAAAATGGACAATTCTGAGAAATTATATTTCTCCTATGTGTTTTATTTGCCTTCCGTATTTTGTCTTGAATTTGATATGCATATTTTGATTATGCCACTTCGCAAACATGTTTATGTGCTTATTCAGTTTGACTTCGAATTTCAACACAAGAATATCACACCTCCCCTTGATACTTAAAGAGAAAATTAATATAATTAAAATGAGTTAAAAACTGAAAAAAAGTGTGCAAGAGTGATTTAGCCACAACATTTTCCATCAGAAAGACCCAGGAAGTGAAATTCTAAAGAATAACAAGGAACTTTTAGATCAATTTTACAAACTTGGAAATAACCAATCCTACAAATTTTTCTTCAAAAATAGCCTGGCCTTTTGCATGGTTTTGCCATGCTAGATTTGTATACCACTGTCTGACCCGTTTATCCGAGAAAAGGCCTTAACATTTAGGGTAAACGGATTTTAAAAGCATCAAGGTTGGCTTGCATACTTAGAAATTGGCATAAGATTTCTTTTAAGATGATTAGTCAAAATGCAGCATCAGTAAACACCAAGGTTGGACAAACACACAATATTGCTCCAGTTTTGAAACCAAAAACAATTTTTTTGCCTTATTTTATAAAACACTTTGTTAAAACTATGCAGTTAAAAAAATAAGGCTGTTAATAAATAAAAGTTTCAAAGGGCCGTTTAACTTTGCTCTTTGCACAAATAGGTTTGGTGAATTTGAAAACCATCTCTTCTTTATTTAAATAGTAGTGGGTTGATATTATTATTAATATTAAAAATCCTTTAGGTTTCAAAGGGGTCGAAATCAATGGGTGTCCTTCACAGGGAAGTTTCACTGTTACCACTAACGATTGTAAAATGCCAGAATGACGAATGCAAGTGTAGGCATTAGAAACATTCAAGTTATGTGAACACCCCACAGACCTCAACGAGATTATCTAGTCCGTTCTTCAATAAAATAAAAATAGTATTAATTAAATAATAATGTAGGGTGAAATGAAAAAAAAAAAATTAGCCTGATGGCTGAATTACTATCTACCAGTGATTACAAAAATAAAATTTTTTTAGTACCTGAATAATTACACTTAGAGACAAAACAACATCTTTATGATGAGGGCAATTTAAATATTCCTTTAGGACAGAAGCAGCCGAGTTGCTGACAGTATTATTCTGGGTAGTACAAACCCTAAAAACATTAAATATTATCAGATATTTTATACAATACAGAGATATAATAACCAAAAATATTATGAAATCATTTTTATGATAATTAATCAATTATTCATGTGTACATATTCCCAACCATCCCTCGCTTGATGACTTCATCATGCACAGATAATTAGAATTGATTTTGTTTTACTTCTGAATTATCGAAGATAAGGAAGCCTTGTATTCATGTGGGAAGTAGACAAAATGTTACATGAAAATTTCCTCTTGTATTTGCATTTTGCATTGTGCATTTTGTATTTCAGACGCTTCTGAACAAATTTGTCTGTCTGTGATCAATTCCTTGTAACCATCACAACTCCAAAACCATGAGACGAATTTTTATGAAATTTGCAGAGATTACGAAAATTGGATTCCCTATGAATTTCACTGTGATCGTATAAACGATATCGCCTGCACATGTGAAAAAGTACAATTGTACACACAGCTATATACTTGAAAACATGTGTCAGATTCTTATGAAATTTTCAGGAATTATGTAGGATGATCCCTATAAATTTTATTCCAAATAGATTAATATATGCACATGTGCTAGCAAAAAATGTGAGGAAGTTATATTGTCCATCCACTTGGCACACTTTTTTCAATATAATTTCTTCTATGCATGTCAGAACAATTTTAAGTAACACTTACATATTGTGGTTTGGACTATTTGGCGAGACGCCACCTGCGGTTTGATTGTTACACAGTTGTGCAAGCCTTCCCATACAAATATATGCTAGTTTCCTAGCGAGAAGTTCATTTTGAACAAATTCCTCGAGGTATTGAAGGACAACTGGAAGGACAAGACGCAGCGGGCCATCTTCTGCTGGTGGCCAGTTTTTGTACTTTTCAAGTTGCTCTAAAATCCACTGAAGCATTTCTTGCCTGTCCAGCAAGCCTTCCTAAACAGGAAATAAATTGGACAAAATTTATTACACATTTTAAATAAACGCCATTTGTGGCAAGCATTGTGTTATATAAATTTTAAAGTTTTAACAACAAACCTGGTACAAGTAGCGTGATAATTGAGTTGTGTAGTGCCAAAGTTTTAGAGATGATTTCTGTTCTTCAGTCATTGTTGTTTGTGAACTCGATTGATAAAATTCTTGTAACTTGCTAAGTTGCTCTTTAAGGAATTTTAACAACGAAGCGGTCCACTCTAGAACATTTTAAATACACTTTTATTTTTGAAATATATTTTATTTATTAATGTAAACATTAGTGTATATCCACAAACTTCTTTGAAAAGTAAATATTTAATACAAATAATTCTTGCCTTGGGTTGGATCTGGAAGTTGCCTCTTCTTTCCCTTCGCCTCAGTCACAGCCACAGTATACGCTGAGCTCAGTTTTATGAACCAAGCCGCTCTCAACATGGGTACTTGAAAATCACAGAGTAGAGGGTAGATATCCTCTTTCTTGTTAAAATTAGGTGCCTACAAAAAATAGGAAGGATTAAAACTAACTAATGCCTAATGATGTATGGTTCTTACCTTTTTTGAAAGGGAAAGCAATGCTTTACTTCCCGACAAATCTTTGAACCAAGCCTCGACTGCCGCTTTTGTCCTGCCTGTGGCTGGCCAAAAATTGTCCTTTGGATTAATTTGTTGCCTCTTCCGGCCAGAATCTGGCAGAGTGTTGATTTCATCTTTTTTTCCAATAATTGCATTAAAATAGGCGCCAATCTTGACAAATAAAGAATTATTCAGTAATATTTCAATCAATGTGAGATGATATTATGCTATTTTTATATTGGAATTGGAAAGAGACTGGTTTGATCAATTTAAAAATAATACAAATTTGGCAAATACAACGTTAAAAAAGTGTGGGGCTAATGACAATGTTATGACACCTTGAAAATATAGATACTCCAATCTTCCAAATCTGAGAAACAAATATTATACATGCGATTAGGGTTTTTATTACTCCATTTTTCTATTTTTTGGTGAGTACTTACAATGATACTTAAAACAGATTGACTATGTTATATCTGTTTTTTTTTTTTTTTTTTTTTTTTTGAAACTGCAACTGTGCATTGTTCATGGGACCTTTGTTGTACGTATTAAGCAAAAATGGGAAATCGATAGGAGAAGGATGAAAATTCGAAACTTCTTTACCTTTGAAGCAGTAACATTGCAATTCCTTGCAGTACCAAATTCATCGCTCAACTGATATGCAGAAAAGCCGAGCTTCACGTTAGTGACTGTCAGTTCGTCCTGTTCAAAACACACAATGTTAATACTGCACAGAGATACTTGTTAAAAAAGGCCAGGATTATAAGATTCCGCTTACAGACAATATTATCGCACCACTTATTATTACTACTTTAAAATTAAACAAATTATCTTTCACTTTAGTTACTATTTAAAATATTTTTCATGATGAGTTATTATTTTAAATGTTCATTTATTAGTTTTTTATTTTTATAAATATTTTAATCCTCTTAACACAAACAGTAGAATGTTGCCCAAAGTTGATTTCATTTTATTTAATTTTGTTCATTGGCACCAGTCATATATTAGAGTGAACACAATAGAGAAGAAGGGTTGTTTTTCATTGCTTCAGAGAAAAAGGCGAGGGATGGGTTTGACCTACATCTACAGACATCAGAGAACCTATTTCACCTGACCTTGCCCAACTGCAGTGTCACAGGAAATGAGATCAGAGATCTCATAAGGTGAGCCTGAAATGTTTCTATTTCCACCGAGGCTATAAAAAAAAGGCTTAATGAATGTAACTTTAGAGCTCATGGATCTCTCCTTACCACAGCTGAACACGTGAATTGGACCATAGTCAAATTGGGAGAAAATTCTATTTACAGATGAGGTGAGAATAGGTCTCACAGGTTCAGATGACCCCCCCCCCAGCATAGATGTACGCTCGCCCATGTTGCATGTCTCCCAGATGGGGTAAAATTTCCTTTGACGCTAATACCGAGTCTTGCATGGAAAGTCTGTAACATCATACAGGTATTTATAAGAAATAATTAAGAGATTCTGGCTAATGCAGCATAATGCCAGAGCCTATTCGGTGGATGATTTCCTAGAGGTGGAGAAAACTAGTAAACTACAAATCCCACTATGTTATCATGATAACGAAACTATACTAGTTAGTTCAAAGTAACTGCTACTTGGTTTGGTATCTCTGGGGTATAGTCTAAAAGAAATCTGATAAAATGCCAAAACACATCTGAGCCAGCAAAATTCTGTGAGGATGGGAACAGAAGATGATTGGTAACTCTCAAACGATAAAATGAAACTACTCAAAGGTGTTCAGAGGAAATCGATTATAAATGTTTAATTTACAATTTAGGACTAAAGTTGCATACTAATGAGTATAACAAATAGTTAAAATTATCCCATATCTCCCACATTCAATGAGTGTGTTAGGAAAGGAAGCAGGAAAAACTAAGAATCTTACTACGATTCTTAACGTAGACACCACAGACTGAATGGGCATTTGAAGAAGATTGATATAATCCAACACAGCACGAGTAGACTCTACAAGGAAGCAGAGGAACCCAACACGTATGCTAACAAACTGTGGTGCTATACTTGCCCACAGGTGGAATTGTTTTGGGATGTACAGGAGGTTCACGTTCATTCTAGTCCACTCTAATCTAGGAGCAGTATTGTCACAAAGTTGAGGTGAACCGTAGAAGATGTTCAACCATGAAACTGGGCCTATTAAACAAATTTCTTGAAGAACTCACTGATGTGCTATCAGAACAAGGGATACAATAGCCCTTAATGGTAGGAAATGTAAATGATCACCGTTTTCTTTCAATTTTTCCAACCTTAAAATGAGTTTCCAATGCGCGAAACTTGTCTCAGGTTAACCATTTCCACGAGTGAAACATTTCGGAACCTAGAGGCAAAATAAGGTGAGCCTGCAGTATACTCAAGACAAGCAAGCCGTTTATAACTAACCAACTGCTGCATCAGCTTTTGCTATCATGGTGATACTTTATGCTAAAAAGAAAAACAAAATGCCGGTGGTGGACCAAAGAATTATTTTGTTGGTGGTTGCAATATGGGAACGTCTTTTCAGGGATATAGCAGTAGAACCCATCGATGATTTTGTTAGACTTTACCCAGATGACTTCCGAAGACTTTGAATATCTCTTGTCTTCCTGTAAGACCACATTTGAGTTTTCATTTGTGCATTAAGAGTACCTACAGTTTATCCCATTTTGATACTAATTTCCTTCCATGCATCCTCTCTCTTGTTCTGATGAGTTTTATCTTTAGCATCCCTCCTACAAAAATCGGTAGCTATGATACATTCGGATAAGTCGAATGCACTCCTCCTAGTTCATTCTCTTGCTCGAGACAAAATGCGTTTACACGAAGCAAAACAAACAACACAAAACACTTTAATGCACACTAAAAAACCGATAGCTGTTCGGCTCACCCCAAAACATTCTCACGTCAGTAGTTTCGCTCTTGGCTAGGTCTCCACAACGTGAGACAAATTTCGTGAAACAGTTGCGCGAGTGAGTTTCACGCAGTGGAATCCCAGCTTAATAATGTTTTTTGTAAATTAATAAAATGTTTAAACGGCTAGTTTCTACAACCCAAAATGTGAATGAACCTCAGTGCAATGCATTAAAACATTTTAAAAGTGGTGCGTTAATTTTGTCTTAGTCTATCTATGTTTGTTGACAGGATTGTCAACACAACGAAAGGAGACGGTTTACTTATTATTGTATATACAAGTTATATATATTATATAATTTACATAAAAGAAAAATGTAAACAATGAAATGAACGGACCTCTTTTTGTTTAGGCTCCTGGGGATAGACGTCGGGAGGACCAAGCCTCGGTCTTTTCAGAGACCTGGTTTCGTAAGAGAAGCTTTTCATGGTCAACGTCGAACTTTGTTAAAACGGCCAGACGTCAAATCGCAATAAAAATCGTGCGTTTGTCACCAAGGGGCTGAATTCGAGAGAACAGCGCATCTGGAAATTTCCAGTTCTCTCCAGAAACTCTAGAGGACGGCACGAATCCGATTTCCGACTTCAGGGTGAAATACTCGCGTCTTCATGGCGAGTCGCTGACGCTTCAATTTGCCACCAAAGTGTTCAAATTGAGCGTAAACTAAAGTTTTTTGACGGAATGGAGTAAACTGTAAAGCGAGTGTCCGACAACTTGAGGTAATCGACTGGCATCAGGCATAGGCATCGCGATACTCGATTTCGAGTAGCCGAGTAAGGGATGCGGAATAAGTATCGATACTGGGACTGTCAAATGTCAACGGTATCGGGACTTACCCAACTTACCCAAGAACAATACCAGTTCTTTCTTCTCTGTTTACTCAGCGCTTAGGACTAGTTAACGAAAACAAAAAGTAAAAGTAAGTAGGAATGAATAGAACCATCTGTATTTCCTTGTCCAAACCTAGCTGTGAAAAAGCTCACTCCTCTATACATCTGTTTCTCTCTCTTTGTTTGAATCTAATGTTCTCTAATGCAATTTGTTTTATAAGAAAAACCTTGTTTTTAGATAAAATATTATATTTTACATTCTTCTGTTTGCACATATATGTAACTGTGTGATCAAACCAATTTTAGTTCAAAAATTCTAAAACACCCCTGTTTCTAGTTCTTAAAGCTCTGCGACTATTTTTTATAAAATTATGTTTCGTGTTAACTACACTAATATTAGTAAATTAATTACATTAATCAGTTTAATAAATCCGGTAAAAATCATTATAGTATCGATGTGCCTTGTGTTGATATAATCGTTCCTTCATTCCCGCCCAATTTCTGCAGGCTATGTTTATGTCATTTTTTGAAGATGAAGTAGCAGACTAGCAGTCAGTTTGTTGTTGTTTGTATTCATCGCTCTGCCTTTTTTAAAAGATCGGCTTGATATAAGTGATTGTCGCGATTGTTTTCAATCGGTGAAGTTTAATTGTACAACGTTTATTCTTGTATTTTAAGGATGACAAAGAAAGAGGTCCAGAAGTCTCCCATTATTTCTCGAGAAGAGGTTCCAAAACGCAAGGTTCTCATCTGCAAAGGTAGAACACAGAACCATACAGTTTCCGTTGAGTAAAAATAAAACATAGATTAGTTCCAAGACCAATTAATAGCGTATGTTCAATCACTTGACCGGGTCTTGTTTGTTTACGTTTCGGTTTCAAGCCATCTTCAGGGAGGAACTTGATTTATAAAATACGGTCAGGTCGTGTCATCCCATCACATCCTGCCTGACTGATTTACTCTTACACAATGTGGAGTTGTATAAGTCCAAAATTAGGGATGGAGTATTCTTCCACTGACCCTACTAATCTTCTAGTAATGGAATATGGGGCCTGTTCAAATTGTTGAAGGGATGTAAAGCGGTCATGTACTAGAAATGCAAGAGCTTTTAAGATAGTTTACCAATACTGACACTCATTTTATTGTATCATTTACTGGCTTCCAGACGGTACTGAGGGCAATTACCATAGCAGTAAAGTGGAGAATCATTTGGGATTGCATAAACTGGGTATCCATTGTGGAGACCTAGCTGGAACTGTAAAACTTTTGGCTCAAGGATGTTTTCAGGGTGAGCTGACCAGCTGTCAGTTTTTTAGTGCGCATCAAAGTGTTTCATGTTGTTTGTTTCACACTGTGTAAACGCATTTGTCTCGAGTACGAGAATGAATCAGGAGGAGTGGATTCAACTTATCTGAATGTATCAGAGTACAGCTTTTGATGAATGCAAATGATAAAACTCATCAGAACAAGAGAGAGGATGCAGAGAAGGAAATTAGCATCAAACTGGGACAAACTCCGTCCCCATGAGGTACTCTTAAAGCGAAAATGAAAACTACAGGAGTGAAAAATCAAGGGTAAAGTTTCTAATAGTATCATCGATGGTTTCAACTGCTACCTTCCAAAAGCCAGTTCCTGTATTGCATCCGCCAACGAAATACTCCTTTGATCCACCACTGGCAGTTTCTTTGTTTGTTTTTCTTTTTAACATAAAGTATCACCATGATAGCAAACGATGATGCACCAGTTGGTGTAGTTATAAATGGTATGCTTGTCTCACGCAAACTGTTGGCTCACCTTGTTTTGCCTCTAGGTTGCAAAATGTTTTCACCTCATGAAAATCACTAACCCCGAGATGACATTTTTCGAAACAGTTGCTCGAGTGAGTCGTGTAGTGGAAACCTAGCTTTAGAGCCCTGTCGGACATTGGAGAAATTACTCTTATGCGGGGACCAGGGCACACAGGGCATAGTAACAATGAGGAAGCCCAATTAGTCAAGGAAAATTAAATAGGACAACTATTAGCCCTGAATGCTTTTTTGGCATTCCAATCTTCCAAAGACTTGGAGCCATCAGACTGGATTAAAAATAAGCCCTCTATTCAATGGGAAGCTAGCCGAGGACAAAGGCATGCACCAAAAAGGTTCATCAAAGGACCATCATAGAGACTAACAGCAAAACTACTAAATCTAGGAGTTAGGACTAGAATAATAGGACTGCTAACTGGACACTGCAGAACTCAGGAGGCATATGCTTAGACTCGGAGTGGCAGAAACAAGCCTTCACAGATATCACGAGGAAGAAGAGGTACAAAGGCTTGTGTAGGCTGAACTTCCTACTCCTGGAGGAAAAGCCCGGACTTGACGGTACACATGGGAGTCATTGAAAAAAGCTTTGGGATCTGGTAAAAAGTCTTAATCTTAATGAGGAGCTCTAGACAGCAATGGAGATGCACAATAGATACTGATATTATAGAGGCCAGCTTCTACTATAATCTCTAATTAGACAGATGTAGAGCAGTCTTGCTACTTTTCTTTTATTATATCATTTACTACTTGTTTGAAATGGGTCAGATAGCAGTAGTTCAATACTAAGGTGGTGGAACTTTTCCTTAGGTAGGCCTCCGGCCAAAAGTAGCCAGGACACTGCTTTTTTTTCTGACGCTTTTAATTTATCTTTTTTTTTCTTCTTTTTTCAGAAGGTTCAAAGTACACAATGCACTTAGTGAGAGTGCATACAAAGAAGGTTGAAGTCTCCCTGTGATGGGTCTTCATGAAACCCTATTAGAATAAGTGGATTAGAAATTGGTAACAAGCAATACAATAGAACAAACTCCTCTTCTGCAGAAGTGTTTTGGTCATGTTGTAATGCATTCGCTGCTTTATTCCCTTGTGAGGCAATTTAGGAAGCAGGAGTTTAAAAATATCACATTAAACAAGCATTGGAAACTTTAATGTATGATGAATTACAAACTTTATTCGCAAAAATTCAAGCTTGTGCAATTGAACAAAAAAGTACCAGACATTTTGGCAGTGATGATCTCAAGAGTACCTGTCAACCTTGTATCTTCACACCAAACTAGTTGATGGAACTATCAATTGTAGGATCTGTTGTTGGCAATGCCGAAACGTGTTTGAATAACTCAACTAAACCGCATGTGGAGAAAGACCCTCTGCCAGTTCACCATGGAAAAAAAAAAGAAGAAAAGGAAATCATGTCATACACTCTATCCATTTGGTGTTTTGAACAAAGGGTCAAACCAATTTACAATATGTTTGCATATCATTCTCAAATAAAATTTCAAGGGCTATGCCAAGAATCGAACTGCTAGCATGGCATATATGAGTCAGATACTCGGTCTCAATTTGATATGATAGATTAGTTTTTATTTTAGTAAAAAGTAAAGTAATTTATACAGGAGGGCTGTTGGGTGTCGCAAATGATGGTCAGAACAACTCTACAATATTAATTTCAAAATATCAATTTAATTTCTCAATTAAAAAGCCATGTGCTGTGCTTGGATTCAAACCCAGAACCGCTAGCGTTGTAAATACGAGTCAGACGTCGTAGCCACTTGATCACCATAATCCCATATATATTTTACTATTCCTGGTTCAGATTGTATTGAGTGCATCTGAGCACTTGATTTTGGTATACTGTACCTTTCTGCATCCATATCTATACCAACAGTTTCTTCTTACTTGATTTTGCCTTCCATTCCCACTCCTTTGTCTTTGCTCAAGTTTGTCTGAATATTTAAATATATTTTATACCGTTTCATCGAAAGTTTATTTTCAGAGAGTATCTGCAAAAGTGAAAAAGCAGAGATTGTAAAATTAAGACATCCACAACATGGAAATGAAGCTATTTACTTAATTGGTGATGGTGGTCAAACAATTCAAGAGATCATTAAACTGGATGATAAAAGGTTTTAATTAGTTTAATAAAGTTGGTTGATGTATGGTATTTTGTTTATGAACAATTTTGTTTGTTCTTTACTTTATTGTATTTCAGGTCTTTATTCATTAATAACTCGATATCATCAAATGGGAATTTTTACATTTCTACACCAATAGATCCACTTTTTATTATACTCCCTTATTTCGAAAAGGTAAATACAACATAAACCTCATATTATATATATGTATCTATGTATTTGTGGTATTTTCAAGGAGAAACGTTGTTGCCCTTTAGATCAACTTGTCTATGATGAGGAATTTCCTAGTATCGAACTCCTTTTGAAAAGTTCAGGGATAAAATTTATCCAGCAAATAGCTGACAAAAGAGGTGAGCCTTTTAATAATAATAATAATAATAATAATTGTATTTATGATTGTACATCAATTTAATATTTAGGGGATGAAACGTTAAATACATATATTTATAACGAGGAGAAGACATTGAAATGGCTTAGTAAAAAAGTTGATAGGATTGTTTCTGCACTCAAAGGGCAAGGTTACCAAGTTTGTAGCAATATTACGTCATCAGCAAATTTTGTGAAGAGTGAAAATGGAGAAGACGAAGGTGAGTGTTTTAGATCTATGAATATTATTATTAGAAATGTGTGGTGTTTAGTCAATGATTAATCAGAGATCGTGAGATGCAGTCTGGTGTGACATAGGTTTTAGTTTAATTTAAAAAAATGAATTTATACAATGCTAGAAAATTTTAATAAAATAATCAAATAAATTTCTAGCATTGTATAAATTCTTTTTTTTAATCTAAAATTTTCTAGCATTGTATAAATTCATTTTTTCCCACATCCTACATGCATTTGTAAAATTTAAACAATATTTATAATGATCTCAATAAAGATCGAAATGTTGGCATGATAAAGAAAATGTTTTTCTAAAACCTTCGTCCCACCAGATCGCATCTCACAATCTTTGAATAATAATTATTATTGGATTGTTTAAAAAAAAAGCCCATGGGCAATGTAACAGTTTTATTAAGAATTTATATTAGTACACATGGTTGAAGCCAGCATTCAAATGCCAATTACATAAATTCAATGCTGCCGAAGTGTCCATCAAAGATGGAATCCTCTCCGTCAACTCGCAGACAATGTGCAGGCATGCTGCTTGTTGCAGTAGGTCAAATGGATTACTTTGTTTTTAAGAATGCATATATGCTAGAAAATAAAGCTCTAGTCAAAAATCTTGTTTTAAGAATGAAAGAAACATTTATAATAATTGCAAAGCATTTGCAATCATGGTGGTCATTTTTTTTTTTTTTAATTTAATAAGCCTTTTTCATATGTGCTGTTTGATATTAACAAATTAATGTTGCCTTTTTTAATCAACTACTCGAGGTCTGCAGGATCATGACCCTACTGTTTGCTTGTCTCCAACCATTCTCGTACAAGTAATCTTGCTGATTTGGTCTGTCAGATGTGTTTCAGTGATGTGTCAGATTTGTAAGCAGGGTGATGTGCCATTAACAAATCCACAATTGACAATGACAAAAAGACAGACTACAATAATCAGAAATGACCAAGATAAAGTTATATGTAAACTGCTTATGTTTACTTTTTTCAACTCATCGCTGTGTAAGGATCATGGTTCGAATTCAGCACCACCAGGGAGGGTATTCATGGGAGGTTGATTTGATATCATCGTTGAAAAAACCCATTTAAAAAAAAAGACATGCATCACAGTTTTGTAAAAATTTATCCATTGAGAATTAAAAATAAGTAATTCTTTAATTGAAATGTTTAATTAGTTTACAGTTTTGTGTGACCGATATGTCAAAGTATTAAATCATGATGCGTTACTCTTTTACAATAGAATAAAATGAGTTCGATGGTGTGTTATGTTTCTCAGGTTTGGGGATACAAACTTATTATTTAGTCGAATCCTTTAAACGTTTCTTCATTAGAAAATATTTTAACTCCCAACTTGTACTACTAATTACAAGCTCTGCTTGGAAACAACAGATCTCTCATTACCTGAAGACAGACTACCTAAAATTACTGTGGACAAAGTGATCAAGCCAATTTGACCTGGTTCAAAATGCTCAATTTCACTTGCCACGATTGTAAACTTACTTTTTTTCTTTTCTTTTGAAACATTCATTTGTTCTAGACTGTTGAAAGTTATTCCAAATTGGCTCATTAAAATAAAGCAACTTGGCCATTCAAAAGGTTTTTGTAGCTCAAATGATTATAATTTAAAGCTAATGTTGTCCCCTTGTAATATATGGTGGTTTTTCAAGCTTGGGTGGCTAGGGATCTACCTTAATTGCTCCCCATTGAGAGATGAATCTGTTGATTGCGAGGGAAGACCTTTTTTTATCTTCTGGCTGAGTGTTCTATCTTTGCTGAGTTTTAGATCTCTTTTTGGGCACTAAGAAAATTTCAAGAGGTTAATCATCAAAAAACTCAACTCTTCAAACTGTACAGACCTGTTTCGTTTTTCTAAGAATGCACTTGGGAGTGCAGAGTACTTGTGGTACAATTTTATTTTATTTATCTTAGGTTTAGTTTGATTTTTGTTTATACCTGTTTTCAAATTGAATTCCCCCTGCCACCATTTCTGCAGAGTTTTACAATCAGTTGTGTATTAAGAACTTTTTATTTATTACTATGTTGTATTTTCTTTTTGTAAATAATGTTCTTTCTTCTTTCATCATTCATAAAACGAGATCATAAATTAGTCTAGTGTATAATTGAAATAAGTTTCAGTCAATTAAAAAAAGTATTTAATTTTTTTTCAGAAAGTTACATAAGATACGCATTTGGTATGCTGTCAGATTATTTATCCGAAAGTTTATCGGGAAAGTTAGCAAAGTTTCTTAAATTACCAGACGTCAGCCAAGTAAAAAATTTAAACAAAAGGAAAGACGAGCCAGAATCTGAGCTGGGGCCTAGGAAAAAACAAAAGCTGGATGAAAACGAGAAACCTGCTACAGTTGCAATAAAACCTGAAAAGGTATGTAATATTTTATAATATTCCTTTATTGATAGTTTGTAATACACATTAATGCTTTGTTGTTGAGTTTGTTTGATTGGATTGGACTGTCTAAATACAGTTGTCGAGGTTTTATGAAATGTAAAATAATCAAGTCATTGCAAAAACTTAATATTTTATTAAAGATTTCAGTCAATTAAACTACTATTGACGTAAAGCACTCTTGTATGGCAGGGCTTACTTTTATATTCAGATCTTGAAGCACAAGTAAAATTCCTCGTAATATTTAAATAAAAAACTAAACTATTTTAATGAATAGCATAATTTATGCGATCTGGCACACTCTTAGATTTATGCAATCCAGGTAGAATTCATCCTTCTGTCCTCTAATTTCTTGAGTTGTAAGCCGTAAGGGACAGATTTTAAGTATATCATTTCGTCGTGTTTTTGATCAAAAGAAATGCTGGGTTAGAGTGTCTCGAGAAAATTGTACGTCATCTGGGAACCTGTATACATAGGGCTAGAAGGCAATGAATGTGCAGACAGTGTGGTGAAAGCAAACATTCCAGACCTCACTATCGCTATCTAACGCTAAACAAGACAACACAATAAAGAATACGGTAAAGAAAAAGAGACAGCATCAGTGGACTGGTTCAGGTGGGAAGTCCTTGTGCAATTCCTAAGAATCGAAACTGGAGAAGAAAGATCATCATAACCTGATTCAAAATTGGCCATATGCAGTAGACACGGATATTTATTTTTGTACCAAAGCCCGCCTATATGTCCAACACGCAGATTGTTGCTCAATGTGTCCCACATTAATAAAGAGGGTATTCCTTGGCTTATTATAAGTTATGAGTAGGAATGCCGCCAGATATAAGAATTATGCTCGGGCACAACAGCAAATCTTTATGTCCCCTATTCTGATTACTGAAGGAAATGGGTAATTCTGAACATATAAATCTTTCGTTTATTGAAGGTATGCAGGATGCTTGAACTTTCATGGAAATGTAAAATCCATGAATATATGTGTATGTGTAGTACAAGAGAGGTGATGTCAAGTATTGACCTTCAATTATACTAGGTAATTATGTATAATTGTTTAGATGCGTGGTAAAGTGTAATGGAGGAATAACGAATATTCTATTACCCTACTTGAGAGAAAGGATGAAGATGAGAAGAAATTATTTAAGAATGAGTGTTTAGGTTAAATTGCATGGGTTGGGGGTTGAAATGACCTTATTGTTGATAACCCCTTGATCCCTGTTCGGCAGTGGTACAGATAAGACGGTCTGAGCCCAAACCACCAAAACAGCCCAACAGGTGATCATTGCATCTTGCCACCAGAAGTCAGGCTCAGTTTATACATATATACATAAGAGCATATTTGGGCAGAATTAAAACTAAAATTTTGTTTATTTTAACTGGCTTTACGTTTCTGTATTAGCCGCCACCAGACTTTAAAGCTTGAATAAAACAATACGTGAAGGGATGCCTCAGACCTGGTACCAAGAGGGCCACCAACCTAGACACAGCCAACGAGCCAGGCAGATCAATGGGCCTGCCATTTGGTTATTCTGTTAAATTTAAAAAAATTACAATTGGTAACAAACTTAGATCAAATACTCTCAAATAATTAGTTGTAATAATTTATTTATGGGACTGTGGTGGCAATGTATTTGGCTCATATTTGCCATTCACTTCTGGCTTTGATTTTGACCCTCGCCGATGTTATTTTAATTGATCATAATTTGAAAATAAAAGTATTGTGTAGTTGGTAGTTAGGCCCTCCTGTACATCAGGGATTAATTATAATTAATTCATTAATCTTTTTGAACATTTTAGAAGGTGAAAGTGGGGAAGAAAGTTCAGGAATTGGCCAATGCTGCTAAAGGTACGAAGTCAATATCATCTTTTTTCAAAAAATAAAATTAAAAACAAGACAAAATACATTTTGTTAAAATTTTATTTGTAAACATTAATATTGTTTAATATTGCTCTCATGATTATATGTAGTTTTTGTTTTAATATTTTTTTTAATAAATCAAATCATTCATATTATTATTAAAAACTGTCATTTTACCATAGAGTTTCAAAATTTCCACAAGTTATTTCAGATGTCAATAATAAATTGTTTACTTCACAATACAAATATTAGTTTTTCTCTCTTCCTCATTTTGTACATATTTACAGTATTAAAATAAAGCACTACACTAAATAGAATTTTTATGGTGTTATATGAGCATATCCTGTAGAATAAGCCACACTTCCATACAGTTCTGATGTGGGAGACTGATTTCCCTAAAAAATAAAATACGTTATATATTATTATAAATAGCAAATACAGTCACTTTATTGTAAACTAAACTCACTTGTAAAAATCTGTTCAGTTCTTCTTGCGTATCAAAAATCATTACAGAAAACGGTGACCCGGGTACAAGCTCACCTGCCCACTTCACTTCAACCCTGTAGTCACCCGGTTCAGTCGGGTCGTATTTGCACATAATCATTCTATCTTTTTGGCTTCCTCTCTGCATTTCCACTCTGAATGCACCTGGTATAAAGTCAAATGCTTCAGTTTGTACAATTTGTTAAACAAATATATGTTAATACCTTTGGGACCTCGAACTCTTACGGACAGCTGTCCTGCACCTGCTCCTCTAGTGTCACAAATAAATCTACTCTGGAATGTTGCAAGCACACCATGTTGAATTCCAGGTCCAACTACTCTCACTTTGCTTGCATCAGAAGCGCCGCATATTCTAAGGATGAAAGGCGACCCTGGCACGTCAACTCCTATAAAAAGTATGTGAAGGGTATACAGCAATAATTGATACCAGCTTATGAATAAATCATAATCATCATTTAATCATATAGGACATTTAATTTTAGGTTTTAAGTCCAATGAGAACATCAAAATAATTTTTGTGTTATAAATTATTATTAAATAGTCAATTTATGAAGTTTTTACCTCCATATTTAACAGTCAATGTATGCCTTCCAGCTTCTTGAGGTTTGACGTTCAATGTAAACGTACCATCTCCGTGATCGTACAGCTCACAATAAGCAACTTTGTGCGGTCCGACACAGTGTGCACTTAACTCACCTTGGAATAAAAATAAAAAGTACACGCATTAATTTGCGTATAACATTGAATAGAATTATTTAAGTACCAGGGCCAGCCATGCGAGTATCAATAAAACTTCTGATGTGCTTGCCAACAGTTCCGAGGCCCAAGCCTTCACCGGAGCAAACCACTTTGCTGGAATCACACATCGCGGTGACTGTGACTTTCAACGGACATCCTTTGACTTGCCTGTAAATTAAAATTGGAATGTTTGAATCAATTTAGTTGGTTATGTTATCATTAAAATTTACCTTCCAGACCACATCACATTTAATAAGTACGCGCCTGCGGCTGTTGGTAGATATGATGCTTTATAAATGTTGTCATCTAAATGAAGGAGATTGACTTTTATTTCATTTTTCATCCCTTTCAAAGAAACTTCTGGTACACCTGAGATTAAGTAAATATTGGTTAGATAAATAAGATATAATAATATTGAAGGTTAAGAATTAACTAATACACTTCTCTACAAAAAAAAATTAATAAAAAAAAAGTGGCGCACTTTGAAATTTTGATATTTTTGTATGTATATAGTTGTCTTCAGTAATATGAACACCTATGTTTTTTATAAGTAAGGTTTTTTATTAAAAAATTTGGCTAATGTGAAAATAAAACTATCTCTTGAAAAAATTAATTTAAAAAATCACTTTTGTGGAGTGCGAATCACACTCTCTCAATGGTACTGCATAACACTGGTAGCGAAAGTTGGTCTTGAATTATCTTGCATAAATAAGAATTGCTCGCCAATAACAAAAACAAATGGCACTACATATTCCTCAAGTATATTTGTTACGGAAATTTCTATATTAACCCCCTTTTAAAAATGCTTTAAAAAACTGTTTGCCTGCAAAGAAATTATACTCCACACCATAACTTATCTCCCTCTGAACGACCCTTTTCCAGCAATGTTGCATTGACTGTGGTGCTCTACAGCAGCTCGGTAAGCTTAAAGAAGTAGATTTTATGAATAATTAGAAAACAGATTTATCTGAAAACATTGCATTCCTACATTCAGTTTCTGTACATTGTCAGTGTTCCATTGCAGACAGTAAGCAGTCCCGACGATGGTCTCTAGATTTGTGGGATGGAGACTCATTTTTGCAAGTCTCCTCCTCACTGTTTCAGCACCAATGGTTCGAAGTTTTTGAGATGTTTCAAAAGCAGTGGAAAAGTGAATACTCAGGGTGTGAAATCTAATAACTTGGTCATCAGCTGGTCCCTGGCTCTTAGATGCTCTTTCTGATCCTTGTCTACACGTACACCTTTGCAGCCTTCCGGTACAGCTCATTTCTTCTACCCTCAAGGAGTTCAATGGCACGGCAAATTGCTCGCTAATTGTAGGCATTTAATAATCGTTTTGTTTTGTGCCACCAACCCAATAATGAATAAAGGCATCTTTAAAGAATTAAAGAAGAATTGCCCTTGTTGATGATTTGCAATGTAAACATCAAAATAGGGATTTAGAATAGAATTAGGAATTAAGCAGTTTTGCCTCAGAATCAATGATAAAAACAAATACTTTCAGTCTAATTATAATTATTAAATCATTTTTAAATTAATAAAACAAAAAATACGACCAAAACAAGTCAACAACCAAACAAAGTCAAATTAAAGAGAAAAAAATCAAAATCTCCATGTGCTTTTTTTGGCACATTTATATGTATTGAGAGGTGATTATTTATCTTTTCTCTGTAGCTCTAAACAAAAATTAATTATGTTTTATGTTGTGAATCATATGAGAACATAATTTACAAAATGCGTATATTTACCAGGTCCAGCTTGAGAACCGTCTATATTGAATTCTGCAATTTGATTACAAATTGCTGATGCAAGCCCTTTGCCAGTGAGTATTAGCCTAACGCCGCCATTACCCGCCTCTGCTAAGGCACTGATTGGAGAAAATTTCATTGGAAATCCAGCGTAAAACAATGATATTGTATGAGGTCCAGGAGATCGAGGTGTTACGGTTATTTGTGCAGATTCGGGAGTGTCCTGTTGGATATTGACTGGTACTGTACTGCCTTGTGGGCCACTACAATCACCTGTTATTTCACCTGTAAAAATTAAAACAAATAATAGGTTTTTAAAGTACTGTATAATTTAAAGAATAAATACTAATGTTTAAATACCTAAACCGGCTTCTGATAGGTCGAATAGTATTTTATAAGGTACATTAACAGTCATTAGAATTCTATTTTGTAAATTGTCACCGATAGTTCTTATGTTATCAATTGAAACCACATAAACCCTATAAGGTGAACCTGAAAATAAATAATTCTGTAATTTAGTTTTAATGTGATATGGAAAAAACTAACCTGATATATGTTTTCCACCGCATGTCACTGATATATCGTACATTCCGACTTTTGGTGGTGTATAACTCACATCGTACTGATCTTGTTTCTTTGGTACAATTGAAGCGTTGACGTGGTTGCTTCCAGGCCCGACAATATTTATTACCGGTCTGTCCTGTGGGCACACACCGACGCAGCTAACGTTGAAATGCGCTATAGATCCAGCCAATACTTTTGACAGGCCGGGGCCCCACGCTCTTGCCACTCCACCCTCGATGACGTTAAAAGTCACAGGGTAATCTGAAAATATAAAATTTAACTAAAAATTATTTTTAAAAAAATAGGTTGAAATTACCATTAATCTTTTGACCACCATAGGTGATATTAAACGAATATTTTCCTGGCAAAGGAGGGGTGAGCTCAATTAAATCAGTTTCTTGATTTAAGCTCTTGATGACCAATGGAAGGTCTTGGCCCAAAGGACTTCTGACAGTGACGTCAAGTTCAGCAAACCCTGCTTCTTTCCGATTCACTTAAAATAATAACCATCATAAATTTTTCTCTTTATAAAAATATTAATTATTTTTGTAGTGAAGCAAAAACTAGTGATATTTGAAAACTTACATTTGAATGATATGTTGTCATTAACAGGAATTGTGTTGTTGGATATATTATCAATTTTCACTTTGGTTGCATCAAAAACTTGGCAATAATAAGGAGATCCTCTTATTTCTCGACAGTTCTGCATAACTTCTATCTTGTACAAACCTTAGAAGAAATAAATCAAAATAAAATATAAAGTCAGACTAGATTATTTCCGAGTTCATCATACCTACGATGGAGGGGACAAATTCCGCCAGGAGGTTTCCGTCTTTCTGCTGGTAGCATCTTACCGGAACGGCAGATGAGCCGGGTCCAGTAATGATGACATCAAACATTTCAGAAGGATCGCCATATGTTTCGATAACGAAAGATGTCCGTTTTCCCACTGAAGACTGGTAAAGCCCTAACCCCACAGCCCTTACCCCGCTTTTGTCCTGGATTGGAACCTCAATCGGGCATCCTATGCAAATATTAAACATTATAATAAATATACGTATTTAATTTAATTATTAAAATTTACCTGAGGCGTAAACTCCATTATACTTGACATGAATTTTATGCGTAATATTCAACTTTGGCGTGTAAGCCACTTCGTACAAGTTTGACCCATTAAGCTCACGTAGAGTATGTTTTACATCATTACCCGCTGCTCGTACAGAGACAGATAAAGCTCCAGAACCTGCTCCTTCAGTGTCAACTGTAATATTAAAGAAAGCATTATTTAACGAACAGCTTTCTGCAGTGGGATTTCAATTTACTTTTAAAAGTGGCTAGTTGGTCAATCTCAGCTTCAGAAATATCCAATATCTGTACAGCTGCAGGATTGAAAACTTGAACGCTGAAAGGTTGCTTAGTGATCGGATGCGATTTTTGAGTGATAAATACTAAGTGGGTCCCAATTTCAGACGGCTGATAATGACATCTATACAAACCAGATGGCAATTTTTCAACATTGCACAGAATCTGCTTATTATTTGGACCTAAAATTTAGTTACAATTGATTGTAAACAATTCATTCATTATAGTGGTCTATTCTCTTTCCAAAATATGAGATCTCATGATAGAAAAAAATCACCTGTGACTATTGCATCAATTGTTGTAAGTTCACTTGTGTGTGGATTGACTTCAAAGTAACCAACAGTTCCTAAAACTACTGAATTTAAGCCTTCTCCCCGCGCAGTAGCTGTCGTCTTGCTTGATGAACCGTCAATTACATCACACCTCAATGGACTTCCTATAAAAATTATTATAAACATTTTTTTTTTTCCTTAGTGGATTAACATATGTACTAACCTGGTACGTCTTGATCGTTGAATGTTATATTAACAAAATGAGGCTGAAGCAAATGCGGAACAAAGGTGACATCATAAAGACCCCTAGACATTGCGTTGACTTCAGCTTTTACTGTCGTGTTCTGAGTCGAAATAACAAGTTCCAAGGTTCCTTCACCAGCTTCTGTTGCATCTACGGAAAATGTAACAGCTTTTCCTAACTGAAAGAACAAATTAAAGACAATTGGAATGAATTTGTAACTAAAATAATAAAAATAAATTACCTTGGCTGATCCAAGTCCTGTGACTTTGATGTTATTTACATTATAAACGTTGCAGTAAAATGGACTTCCTTTGACAGGATGGCCATCTATTTCAACTGCTACTACATGTCTACCTGAAATACAAAATTAAATTTATTAATAACGATTAACTCGTTACGCTCAAATTGATCACCACAGTATACTCAGTTAAAACGGGGGTGGGTGAAGGAAAATTTGTTGTTACAAAAATGAAGGGATTGGAGTTGAATATATTTAAGTGCAGTCGTCATACATACCAACTTCAATTGGTGTATACATCGCTGTTGTAATTCCTTTTTCTGTGTCTTTATCGATTTTCACTGGAAGTCTGTGTCCTGTTGAAGATGTAACACGAACATCGCACTGCTCAATTGTTGCAACTTGCAGGGAAGTCGGAGCACCGGCACAACACATTTTTACCCCTAGCCCATTGACAAGGACCTCTCCTCGATCGAATACATCACAAGTAAATGGGGATCCTGATAATGATTAAAAAAGATAAAAATTATTTCCTGAAATACGGTGTTAGATATAAAACATTACCAGGAATCGGTTCTCCATTGAATCTCACACTCAAGCTGTGTGGAGCAGCCTCTTTTGGTTTAAAATTAACTCTGAATTTGGCGTTTCCTTCACTCTGTACATAATTTGGCACATTGCATCCATTGACTGCGACTATAATTTCTAAATTTCCAGCTCCGGCCTCACTCGCATTGACTGAAAAAAATTATTCAAATGTTAAACACTGCTTTTTTTTCTCTCAATAAAAACTGAAAATGATGACTTACTACTGAAGTACACAGGTCGGCCGACTGGCCCAGGATTGATATCAGTAACTTTGACTTTTGTAGCATCATAAGCTTTTAGTAGAAACGGGCTTCCTTCGATATGACTGTTGTTCAGTTTTACTTCAATACTATGATCACCTAATCAATTTGAATGAATTATTAATTCAAATATCTTTCAGTGTTATGTGATATGCAACTTACCAACATGTTTGGGTGTAAAAGAAGCAATGTATTGTTTCCCTTGCTCAATTATGTTGACTGGAAGCGGATTGCGCATCGCTGACATAATCTAATTAATAATAGCAAACAATTATTAATGATTTATCAGCTTTCAGCACGTACTGCAGAATATGAAGTACAAGTCTGCTATCGAGGAATAAATTATAAAAGTACCTGAACTTGGGGTGGGCCCAGGTTTCCACAGTCTACTTTAAAGCTGGCTATTTTTCCCACACTGATTTTGTCTTCTGATGGAGGGAAAACTTTTCCTACATCGCTGATATTACAAGAAAACGGGCTGCCTAAAAAGATTTAGATTGTCAATAATTATTACTTGTAGCTCTAATAACTGCAACCAAACCATCAAAAATGTTATATCAAACACAATTACACACTAAATATCAACTATGGTACATAAATAAACCGGCAAAGCTGCTTGTTTTCTGTCGGAGAGAACAATTGGAGAATGTATTGGCCAAATTGTTCTTTTTCACGCTCTTGTATCCTTCTAGCTAACAGTTCGAATCCCAGCATAGCCTTGAAATTTTATAAAACTCAATCATTTCAGCAAGGCATTTACCACACCCGTTAAGATAAAATACGGGAGGAATAATTCATTGGGAAATGTTACCATGCAAGGTACTGCATAGGTATACCGTCCAGCTAGAGCGTCTTGGGGAAGTGTTGAAGGAAAAACGTCCATCCTTGGTGAATAGACGCAACATCGTGTTTCACCATAACAATGCCAGGCTAAACTAAAATCTTCCATTTACTAGACTAGCAACTGCTGCCCCACATTCTCTCCAGATATTGGCCCTTCCTATTTTTACTTATTCCTCACCCTAGACATTTAAAAGATAGGGAATTTTTGAACGAAAATGCTTATCCACACCCAACATATGTATGCATATAAATCTAATTCGCCATTAGTAGAAAGATAGTCTCTGGTCTAATACGAATCTATGAAAGCTCATCGTGTAGGGGATTGAGATGGTGTACTAATTAGCTAGCAAGTTTTCCCACAATAGAAACTTGCTCATATCTTACTGGTGCACATAAGCTATCTTAAGACTAGACTACAAATTGCATTTTATTGCATCAAAGAGGATATATGAGAGATGCTGTAGATTTTTTTTTTTTTCGATAATTCAAAGCAAAACAGTCATTGTCAATTGGCAAATCTGGTTATTTTCGATTTGTCAGTATTTATTCTATTACTAGCGATCCCCATTTATTTCAATGCTAAGTACTGATAAACAGTGTGAGATGGCGGGCAAAAATGATTAAATGAAAAGAAATGGAAGAAAGTTTCATGAAGATATTAAACTACATTTCATGGATAAAAATCCATTTACAATTTACAAGATTTAAAATTTTCTAAGATTTTTTGTCAAACTTCAAAGGATGACAGAAACAAATTTTCCAAACTGAACATCAAATTCACTTGAACTCAGAATAAGGTATGTTTGATAAATTTAGAGGGGTACTGCAATGTTGGGAACACACATGTTTGATCCTTGGCACATATATTGCACACAATTATTATATTTATTAACTATTAATTAACTATTACACGCTGTTATCGAAAATCCATTTTTAAAACCAAAGTACAAAATACTGTTTAAAAAAATATTAACTTATCTAATTGCACAAATCAAATTGTTGAAGTTTAATTTTGTTTTAAAATTGAATTTTCTAAAACAGAATTCAAAATTAAGTTTCCAGACATGGATAGAAAAAAATTGTAATGTATGGATACCTGGCACATTGTTTCCATTAAATTTTAAATCGACAGTATGGACAATAGCTTGTCTCGGTGTAAATGAAATTGCGTATATGTGGGGTCCTTGAGTATGGGCAGTTGTCCCTACTCGCCCACCATTAACAGTTACTTCCAAGTTACCAGGGCCTGCTTGGCTTGTCTCGACTTGAAAAATAAAGTTGAAAATAGTTAAAAATCGTTTATTCATCATCGACATCAAGATATAGTAGAGTAAACTTGCCTAAAAATGTCACAGCTTGCCCGACGATTCCTTCTGCGATCGGTTTTACCTTAATGGCATTCACATCGTAAACTTTACACGCAAATGGAGAACCGGCAACTTGTACTTGCCTTCATTTGAGAAATGAAAATGAAATAATTACCATTGGCACCGTTTCTGTAGTTTTTATAGGACAAAAATTTTAAAACAAAAAAATACCTATAGAAAACTGCAATTTTGTGCTCTCCAACAACTTTAGGACAAAACTCCACTCTCGCTGTCTGGTTTCCTGTGTCCTTAACTTGAGCAGGAACTGACTGTCCACTCGGTCCTAAATCCGTCCGTTTTATAATTTTGAAGGGAATAAATAACTGCATAAACTATTATTGTTATTGCCCCGCAATACCATGCTTGGCTTACACGTGTAAAGCTAATATTAATTTTCTTATGAATACTCTGTTGATAAGTGTGTCTTTGTAAATGAATATTAGTTTTGGGTTTTGAAAAAACTAAAATTTAGTAATTTTAAGGAAATATTTACATGGATGTTTCTCTCACTAAATTGTATTAATAATATTACAAACTTAGAAATGGTATTGGATATGTGAAGTACCATTAATCAACTAAATTAGTATAAGTATTATGAAAATATATAATGTCTAATTATTCGTACATCACGAACATTAATAGTATAAATGTGATTATTATGTAAATGGTAACTTTTTGTTTAAAATTAATTTATTTTGTTTAAATGTAATCGTACACTCTACATGCTCTGAGTTGAATATGTAAGTAGTTAGAAACCAGCCCTAAAAGCTCTAAAAGCAAAGCTAGACAGTTTGATTTTATTCCGAAAAGGGGGAAACATTGTTAATTGTTAATAGTTACCCATTCCACCACCCAAGGAAATGTGCTAAGTGCAGAAGGGAATCAATAGTGACGGATTCGTCTATGGTCCCCACCTGAAATAGTCGGTTTAGGAAGTTTTAAACGAATTTAGTGCAAAATTGGAAAGACAGAAGAAAGAATACAATCTGTTGACAAATCTAGATTGTAAGAAACAAATTGATAGAATAGAAAAAAGAAAGGTACCCTCAACTGTGACTTCAATGTCATCGAGTGATGTGGAGACATTGCTCATTGTGAAGTGTGAATCAACTCCTAGTTGAGCAGTGGATAATGAATTTCCACTGACTACGGGAAAATCACCGGCCACAATTGCCATAAATGGCGAACCTATTAAATTCCATTGTTAATAACTAACATTTTAAACTTTGTTTGATAAAATTTTACCTGGGACGGATTCTTGATTGAAATGGATACTTATGATATGCTGGGTTGGTTCCAGTGGTATAAAGCTAACCATAAATCTAGCGCTGCCTTGAGGCTGAACCTGTGTTGGAATATTTACACCCCTAGCACTTATCGTTATTTCTAAATTTCCTTCACCAGCTTGAGATGCATCAACTGAAAAAATAATTAATTGAGTTGTAGACATATTCAAAAAACAACAGAAAAATATAATGATTTTTTATTTAATGCATTATTAATCTTAATACCAGTAAACTGAACTGGATTCCCGACATGGCCGTGTGGAATCGTCCCAACATAAACTTTAGAAGCATCGTAAGCCTTTGCTGTGAATGGTGTACTCTGCACAGGCTGGCCATTGTACAGAACTGAAATTTGGTGTGGGCCGACTGTCCGAGGGGTAAATTCTCCAGTAAAGCCTGACATAACATTTCCAGTCACTTGCACAGGGAGTTCATGATGTGGACCTTTAAACAGAAAAATAATTATAGCATTTAAACATTAAATATAAATCACTAGTTTTCATGGTCCACTTGACCAATTAATATCTTTCAATTAATTAAGGTTTTTAGTTGAGACAAATATTAAATATAATAAAATCATACGGAATATTTACCTGTTACAGAAACTGCAAGCTCTGCAGAACCTGAACTATCGACATTCATATGAAATTTGGCCGGTTGATTTATTGGTATCAATTCAAGGCTAGACAAATTGACACTGACTTTACTTGTATCCGCAACGGAGCAAACAAATGGACAACCTGGGAGTTAAAAAAAATGTACAGTCAATTATATTGGCAGAATCTATTTTATACATGGTGTGATTCATAAAGATAGGTGTTAGCATCCTTATCTTGTACCAGTTTAAAATGTAAAAGCAAATTACCTGGCACAGTCTCTCCATTGAATTTAATGTCGATAAGGTGTGGCTTGTTTTGTTCAGGAGTGAAATTGACTAGGCAACGTCCACCACCAACAACTGTCACATGATTTGGCACTTCTCCTTCATTTATCGATATTTCCAATTGGCCTTCCCCGGCTTGGCTGGCGTCAACTCTAAATTGGCACAGTTGGCCAACTACACCACTGGCCACGTCAGTCACTCGAATTAATGACGAATTGTAAACTTTGGCGACCAAAGGACCGCCAGGCAACTTTTCACCGCCAACGCTCACTTCTACAACATGGCTTCCAACCTCAGTGGGGACAAATTCAAGACGAAATAAACCGTTGCCCTCTCCAATTACAGAAGACTGTAATATTTTCTTTGTTGGACCTGAAAAATTGTGTAATCTTATTAAAAAGTGTAGAATATTGATATTGTGTATAATAAGAATTTATTATTTTATTTTAAATTTAATAAGGCCTGTACTAATTTAACATATAACTTCCCTCGTTGGTTATTTAATTTTATTAATTTGTAACATATTATATAAGTGTTCATTAATGAGGGACACAGTGGCCACATGGCTGGGTGTCGACTCATATTTGCCACACTAGCGGTTCTGGGTATGAATCTAGAAGAACCCATGGATTTTTGATTGATAATTATTTAAAAAATGTATTGTAAAATCTTTATATAAGATATTGGTTGAAATGAAAAAGTGTCACGAGCGGGATTCGAACCCACGACCTTTGGCTAAATACGCCACTGCTCTACCACTTGAGCTATCGTGACTTCGATCCACTCGGACAGGTCGTGGGTTCGAATCCCGCTCGTGACACTAACTTTTTCATTTCAACCAATATCTTACATAAATATTTATTAATTAAAAGAAGTTAGTTGGTCAGTCAGACCACGAAATATAATGGGTATTGTGAAACCCATCCTTCCTGACACCAACTGGGCAGTTGCATCTAAAGCCCTCCGGTATGACAAGAATTATTTTACAGGAGTTCACTAGTGTCTTTAATAGAAAATAATAGATACTAAATAAAAACTTGTTGAATAAAGTGTATAAAAAATAAAAATATAATAATATAATTTTAAAGACTACATAATATGTGTACATAAGAGGTACAATTTTTTTTTTAAACTTCACATTGCAATTACTAGAAATATATTAAACAATACAATACAAGATACTTACTTATCACATTCGCGATAACATCTTCAGCGCCATATCCCACTGCTGATATCTTAAAAGAAGTAAGGGTATCGACTGGAACCAATCGCACAGCCTCCCCGAGAGCTGCCATTTTAGGCCCTGGTCCCCCACTCATCACTAGAACTGTCCACGGACTTCCTGGAACAACATAATAATATAAATTCAACTGTTTGTTGAGGATGTATATTAACTAAACGGTTTCGCTCTCTTGATTATTAAAAATCTATAAACTTGGATAATACCCATGTCTGACCGACCCAGACAGGGTGGGTGATTCTAGAGGTCTGCCGGTAATTTATTGTAAATTATAAAACAAGGAATGGCCAGCAGGCTGCAGGCAAGAAGTGACTCTGTACACATGAATATAAGTATTTACAAGCATGTGCAGATTTGAGCTTATAAAAATCAGTAATTAGTATCTATTCATAGCCTATTCCTCCTAAACTACATACACTAATAACAAACAATAACACAAATAATGTAATAAACTATAAGACTTTAAATTTATTTAAATTACTTCATATATTATAATAATAGTGGTTCAAAAAGGATATAGGTAATTAAGTTTTTAATTATTCCCAACATAGACCTAGTTTTAATTATTTTTAATTGCCAAAATAATGCAATAAAATATATGCTGAAAGATATAAACTTGGAAATTAAAGCATCAAAAATGTCAAAAACCCAATCCAAAGTAGGAACTGATTATTTATAAACAAAATACTGCTGCAAAACCTTGGAACTATATTTATTCAATTGAAACTGCATTGTGCAAGCATTCAATTGAAAGTTTCTTCAGCAAAAACCACAATCAATTGGTCATTGTTCACTAAGAATCTATATATATATATATCTTATATATATTATATCTTATATATATCTTTACAGAATGAAGGTATTATTTTGAATGATTGGTGAAAAATCAAGGCAAAGTTTATGTCCTGTAGGAGCAATTATTTTAAAAAACTTAAAAACTGTGTCTTTCAAAAATATGGAATACAAGGATATTATTAAAATTAGACAAATAAAAAATCCATTTTCAAGTGGCCCAAACTTGTTCCTTGATAAGGCAAATCGTGTAGGCAAGTAGTTCTGTATCCAAAATTGTTAAAAATTTATGAATTAATTTCATTTTTTAAACCTCGCATTATTTCACAATCTAATACAATAAAACCCTAGATGTGTAAAAAAATAATATATATATAAGAACCAATCGGAAGAATATCGGAGTGAATCTAAATTTAATCTTTTGTAACAATACAGAATTCCTAATAAAGAATTGGAGGCCAACAGTGAAACATGGTAGTGGGAGTGTTATTGTGTGGGGGTCCATGGGTTCAATTGGCATGGGTAATTTAGCATCTGTTGATGACTGCTGATGTTTACATCATATGACACTAAATATAGGGCTCAAAGAACTTAGAAATTCCTATATATCCCACTGACTTAAAACTCCTACCCACTCACCAGATTTTAACCTTGATTTAAAGTCAGATAGGGGGAAGAAAATATCTCAAAGTAATTAATTTTAAAAAAGCACTAAAAAAAATATATCTGACTCAATAACAGTAAAAATTTAGGCTGTTCAAAGTTTAGAAGTCTTAGGACTGTAGGAGAAACCAAAGGACTGCGTACTAACTATAAATTTCTCATATCATTGGTATAATAATTAACATTGTTTGGTACTTTTTTTTGTAAATCTAACATAAATTGGTATTTATGGTGTTATATTATCTCTTTCCACACGAGTTTTGAGTTTTTATTATTGTACTTTCACGTACTAGTTTGTCAATAAAACCATTAATAAAATAACAAATAAAGTAATTAACTGGCGTTATCAGACGATTGCGAGTACTTTTATGATGCAGTTTTTTCTCATTTTAAAATTTATATTTGTTGTAATGGCTTTTCTTCTAAACTATAATGTTGAAGTTACTCTCTATTATTGTTACAAGATTATAAAACTTAAAATAGCTTCCTATAATTTTTTGTGTTTAGTTTTTCCACTTTCAAACAACAAATGTTGACATTTTTCTTGTAATGAATGTTTTATTTATTTTTATTTTTTTCATTTTTACTTATTCTAAAAAAGACAAATTTGCTCATTCTTTTTTTGAGCAAATGTTTATGGTGACTTAAATATTAATCTATTAGTATTTGAGTTAATTTTTCCCTTATATAATTAGCTATCAATCTTCAATTTTAATTAGTTTTTATTTATAAACTACAATGTTAAAAAAAAGTCCAGGGGTTAAGGCTAACAAATATAAATGTCCTATTGACAATTTTAAAACTTAAATGTAATGCAATGAAATATTGACTTTTATGTGGTTGGCATTACAGAAAAATAAAAAATAAAAGCCTTGCTCATAACAAAATATGTATGCATTATTATTTAACCGGGTGCCTCCTAAATTATAATGCCTCCTGAACTAAAGTTGGTAGTGTGTCAATCTCAAATTAATACGGGCTAGGATAGGCTGAGGATTAGTGTAGGTGAGTGTGTTGGGACAGAGGACTAAGGGAGGCAAGGTGTGCCTCGAGATGGATATTTCTATGGCCTGGCTGGATATTTAGAAAATTCCTTCATCATTGGGGGGACAGTGGGCCCACCCAACTTTGGAAAGGGTGCTCCACATTTTCCTGAAAGCAGGGGTTTTCAACATCATCGGGATCAAGAAGCGTAGATGGACACTGGATCTCTGGAACGTTTAGTTTGTAATCAAAGTTTATTTAGATTTTAAGATAAAGCTCATTTAGTCTAAGTTTGTTCTCATTTTGTTATAGTGTTACACGTAGAAAATTAAATTAATCCATATTGGTTTAGTGGTCATAATTGAATTCAAAATAATTATTTTTTTTATCTAAGGTTTTTAGCTGATATGAAAAATTAGTATCGTGGGCGGGATTCGAACCACTTGAGCCATTGTGACTTCGATCCCCTCCAACACCAAATATGAAAATATGGCAAAGGAGGGAAAACTCGAAAGGTTGTAGGTTTAGATGGGGGTTGGTGTCTGAGGGGATCTAAATCACAATAGCTCAAGTGGTTAGAGCAGAAGCGTATTGAGCCGAAGGTCTTGGGTTCCTGCTTGTGACACTAATTTTTCATTTCAGCCAAAATTCTTAGATTAAAAATAATTAATTGGAGTAGAAAATTAATTTATCATTGTTTTATATGTTAGTTTCCTTAGTAATAAATGCGTCTTTTTGAGTAAGTAAATATTGTGTATTATTTACTTAGAATTTGTTAATTATACAGTTAATTGGCCTACCAAAATTATTAGGTGTAAGAGGACACATATATCCTGTTTGGTGGTTAGGGCCTTACTTCCTGGTAATTTACAACAACCCTTTATTTAGTTAATTACTCTTTTTTTATTATTATTATTTTATTTTATTTGTTGTCCATGTGTAATTGAAATCTGTTCATCAGATCATGTTGTTCTTCGTTCTTCTCTTGTAGAAATGTGTGGTATTTAAAAACAGTTAATTAATGATTATTTAGAGATCGTGAAACACCAGACCACATCTCACGATCTCTAAATATTTTTTTTTTTACTTTATTTTATTTATTTATTTATTTTTTTATGTTCGCGGTTTCCGTTTCACATTTTAAACAGCGTGGCGCCCATTTTCAATTTAATATTTATTTAGAAATCATGAGATGCGGTCTGGTGTGATGCAGGTTTCAGAAAAACATTTTTTTCACGTTTCTTCGGCATCTTCAGAAGATGATCTCAATAAAGATCGAAACGTTGGCACTATAAAGAAAATGTTTTTCTGAAATCTACATCACACCAGACCGCATCTCACGATTTCTAAATAAATATCGATTAACGGTCACTAATCACCACACATTTCAATTTAATATTAAAATATATAAACCCGCCCGTCTCCACACAGCAAAGCCGGCAAAATTTTTGGCATAAGAACCCGTGGCAAATGGAAATTTTAAAAATTTTAATAACAAAAAGAAAATATGTAATAGGAGTGAATGAAGAGTGGTGGCAAGAATAAAAGCCAGTTAAATTTATGTCATATAGCACCAGTTCAAACATGATCAGTATATTCTATGACACAAATGATTTTTAAAAATTTAACCTTTTAAGTTATTAATTTAGTGAATTATTAATAGAGGACTGATGAAGGGGAAATATTCATCGAAAGTTCGACGATGGAACTGAGTCCTTTCTAATCGGACCCATGATCGTTTTTTAATATATAGACAGTCAATATTTTGGCTGCAATAAAATTAAAATGTTGTTTTTTTGAACCAGGTTTTGTTTATAAACTGAAATAAAAACTCAAGACTCCTTTAGGGCATGATTTTTGTTGTTTAGATAGAGTGGAACGTGTTGCAACTGGACTGAAAAAAATTTGTGTTTCAGTTGCGAAAATCGGTAACTCACTTTAATCGGTTAAATCGCAAATAGGTTTCAAATCGAATCTAGAATGTATTTCAGTTCGACGAACGATTCCAGACTAAAACGAGGTCGCCGTTCCAGTGACAAATGCCTTTTTCTAGTCCGGACGAAAGTCATTTGACGAAAGGTTCACATCAGGAGGGGGGTCAAAGGTGACACCCGAGGAATTTGAGAACGTGATTTCAAACGTAGACCCGGGACCCGGCCAGCCGGTGACGGTCGATGCACTCGCGCGCGGATCCGGCACGGACAACACGAAACTCGGCGGACGGAGGAAAAACGGTTGGAAGAGACTCGCGGACGCGGAACTCGCGGACTGACTGAAGAGGACAGGCATCTTCGTTCTTTGGAGAAACGGAAAGGCGGCCGGGTTGCCGGTTGGTGCGCCGTGGCCGTGGCGGGGAGCGAAGCGGCGTCCGCGGACCCTCGCCCATCGACAACCGGCAACCGTCCGCCGTTTAAAGGGGCCGCATAGAAAACGGGATTGCGGCTGGAATTCCACCGGGGCCAGCTTTCTAAATCCTGCCAGGCCACGATTCATTAGCCCTGAGAATCGCTGCCGTTTTCGCCGAGGCCCAGACAGAAATAAGTCGCGCAGATCGAGATCAAAACGATTCACATTATACATTCCGACGGAAGACGGAGATGAAAATATTAACATACATCTCACTGAAAAACAATAGATAACAATAAAATTAAATGAATAAAATAAAAACCGAACAATTAGATTTTAATAATTATTTCTTTCCATTCACCTGCACGTTCCTAATAATTTTTTAATTACACAATCGATCATTAAAATGCTAACAGCGCAAAACCTAAAATGACAAAAAAAAAAAAATTAAAAAGCATAGCACAATATTTTATAATTAACATTTTATCCGGATTCACTCAAATTTTAGCATAATTAAAAATAACCGAGGAAAACTCCACTTGCATTGTATCTTGTCCTACCATTAAAGTCTACCGCAATTAAACACCATAACTAAGTCCTGTACAAATTTTAATTTAATTTTATTAAAATAAAACAGTGAAAAAGTAAAACATTGGTGTACACAAAGAATTTGCATAGAAAATAATATTTTATTCATTAAGAATTCTCTCCATTGTTTTCAATATCCCAGTGAGAAACAAGGTCATAAATCCTTTTCTTTTTTTCCCTTTTCCTTTTTATTTTTCTCTAATCTTTATTTTTCAGAAGTTTTGATTCAGCAATTTCCACATTAGTGTTTCATGTAATAATTTTGCTCGGAGGCAAAAGCTCTTAGGCACAGTACACACAAATGTGATCCGTATGAGAGATGCATATGCGATACTGGTATGAGGTACAAAAAGTATCCTGGTGACTAGATTCAATTACCTCCCATCCATCTCTTCTCAATCCTCTCCAAGCAGTTTAAAGAGTAGATGTTTGATTCTGTCATATTTTTATAATGGACGATGGACGAGTTAGAAGCTGTAGCCTTGGGCCTTTAAGTAGATTAAAAACAAGAAAAAGTAGAGTAATGTGGTTTCACCCACATTTCGCCAGGCATTTTCTTTTTTAATTTTACCCGCATAATCATGGTCATTGTTGTTCCAAAGAGTGGGATATGTTTGAACTAATGAAATCTGTTGTAAACAAAAATGTCACTTCTTTTGATGCACAATAGACTAGTCATAAAGAGGTTTAAACGTTTTTATATTTGATTACATGTAAGTTTGATTCAGAGATTGTGTTGGTTGTCTAGCTCTTAAGTTTGGTTGGAATCCAATTTAACTAAATTGCTCGGTTGCTGTTCATTGATTATCTTTTCTTCCTTTCTTTCTTTGGTTCAGGCAAAGCCTTGAAGAATTTCATGACCATCATGAAATTTCAAAAATCAAAAACATACATTTCTGAACAGAGAGTCTTCGCCAGTGAATTTTGCAAGCAGCCTCAGCCTCTGTGAAACTGAGTTTGTACTCATAAAGCAAAATATATAGAACATTGGATTTGATACTGGCCACATTTATTTTAATTTAAAACTAAGACTGGATTCAAATCCAATACCATCTTTAGAAAGAGTAAACTGAAGTTTAGACGAGGAAAGAACATGTTACACTCAAACCAATAACCAAACCACACAAACCCAAACAAACAAGATTAATTTTGTACAACAGGACTTTTTGGAATATCTAGTACTTTTATTAGTTCTATTTGTATTAGTTTATTAATTAAATTTGTCCAATTTACATTACATTAGTCGTGCTTCAAATAATGTTAAAATTAGGAATGTTTGGTGTTTAGTGACTGTTAGTCAATGATTATTCGGAGATTGTGACATGCGGTCTGGTGTGATGTAGGTTTTAGAAAAACATTTTCTTTAAGATGATCTCAATAAAGATCAAAACATTGGCACGATAAAGAAAATGCTTTTCTAAAACCTACATCTCACCAGACCGCATCTCACGATCTCCAAATAATTGTTAAAATTAGGCAAATGTATTTTAAAATGATACACCAAAGTTTACAATGTCAATTCCTCTTAATTTGTAGCTGTTCAAATTAAGGAGACATAACAAATGATTCTGTCTATTTGATGCAATTTCTAACTATTGGAATCCTTGAAAGTTGGTCTGTATTTCAGCCCAAATAGCTAATATCTGCACTGTTCATTTGTAAAAATAAATAATAACACTAATGTGTTCAACTCTTAAATATTTATTTAAGATGAAGATGTTTTTAGCAAAACAAATGAAAAGTTCACAGATGTCAGTGAATTTTCCACTCTAACCTTCTATCAATTAAACACAAATCTGTCCAAACAATGTTTGTCCAACATGAATATATGTACAACTAATATTAAAATGTACATGTTAATAACATACCTGGCACAGATTCACCATTGAATTTCATCTCAACGTGATGGCTAAGATTTTCATGTGGTACAAATGAGGCTAAGAACCGTTGGTTTCCCAAATTCCTTACAAAACTTGTTACATGTCCTCCGTTGACAAGAATTTCCAAATTACCACTTCCAGCAGTTGATCCATCAACTATGGTATCAGAAGTTGAATTAGTAAAACCGTACAATATATAATTTTACACAAGTTTTTTCTTACTTTCAAACTCTACTGGCTGCCCAACAATCCCATTCGGCATCTGGCCAACTTTTATTGCTTGCGTATTGTAAGCATGACTCCTAAAACAGAAACATACTTATTTATAAAAAAAGTTGATGTTTTAAATAATAGAATTGCAAAAAAAGAAATGAAAGATTTAATAACAAATAATTATGCATTAATTGAAAAAATGAAAGAAATTAACCTAAATGGTGATCCAGACACTCGTTGGTCTTTTATTTTAATGTCAATCAGATGTTCACCAATTTCGACGGCAGTGAAGTAAATATTAATGTGCTGACCATTGCTACGAGACATTTTAACAGGCACTGGGGACTTTGAAGGAGCTGAAATTATTTATCCTCTAGTTTGATTACATTTAAATAAAATTTATTTATTTTTGAAAAACTTACGAGTTACGGTAACAGTAATTTGATTTAATGGAACATCTGTATCCAGCACTAGAGTGGAAGTTCGGTTGAGGGGAAGCAACTGCAACGCTTTGCCAAACACTTTAGACCCTAATTGTACAAAAGAAATTTGTAAAGGAGGAAAATCATAAAATCTATAAGCATATTCAAATACCTTCAGGAAAATGTATATCATTAGTTTCCCATGAATCCCTTCTTTTGCCAGCTGAAGAGAGTACTGCAATTATTTATTTTTTTTTTGTAATGACATCATTTAAAAAATGTAACTAGCATACCACCTCGGACATTACTCGAAGATTCCAGCGAATTTAAGTAGTTTGAAGTGTGAAGAATAGAAGAGTTTTGCTGGTGTATAGAACTGTGAAGGGGGCTCGGTGATTTCCTCATCCCTGGCGAATGCAACGGAGAGTGTATTTTAAGAAGTGAATTGGCCTCATGCTGAACAGGGATTGAAATCGGAGACATAGTTCGAGTTACATGATGATATGATTGACTTAATGAGGAGCTTGAGTATCCATTGACCTGGCCTTTAAAAAAACATGTTAGTCAATAAAATTATAACTAAAAAACAAACAGGAAAAACTGTTCATCTAGTCCTAACATAATTTAAGTTAGTCATCAATCATCATTTGTTATTTCCAACTGAACCATATAATATGAATCTGGTACAATTATGCTATTGTCTTAGTTATAAATATACAAAACAATATACCATTAACTAGGCAAATATTTATATAGTTACCAGCAGTTGGAACAGATAGAGGACTTGCTCTATAAACAGGGCTGTTGAGCGGACTTGGACTTTGTGAACGATTAGGAGAGGCAAAATCACGTTTTATCGGTGAACCAACTCTAGCGAATGATGAATGCAACGATCTCAAGGATTCTAAAATTCGAGGAGATTAATTGTAATTTTCAGTGATTAAATTGACAAACTGAATTTGATTCACCAAAAACCTACCATTTGTATCTGAAGTCATATTTCTAACTGAATCTAAAAATATAACAATTATTTATTAACTTTATAAAAAAAGATTAATGTATAATGAAAACTGACAGTGTCTCTCTGCTCTAATCTGTTCTTTTGTGCCAACTCGCAAAGGAAATGGGCTTCCTTAAAATAAAATTAAAACATTTATTAAAACATAGTTGTTTTATATTAAAAAAATTATAGTTTTAAAATTGTCATCACTCACCCCTGACCTGACTGCCATTAAAATAAACATAAATCCTGTATTTTCCTGGTTTGTGAGTATGCAAGGAAACTATGTAGATGGAATCAGAAATCCTTTGAATGGTATGGGGCATAGATTGTTTATCTCTAACAATATCTACTGTAATTTGACCTAGCCCTCCAGTGCCAGATGCGTCCAGTGTGAAGTTATGAATGCTCTCTGGAATGGCTGGAGTGTCTATTCCAATCAGCTAAAACAAAATTTATTTAATTTAAAATTATAATTTTCAAAGAAAAAAGAATATATATACTTTTATTCCATTCGGGTCAAATACGAAACAGGTGTAAGGTGTATCATGAATTGGATTTCCCGAGTGTTTGACTTGAATGCTCCATTCTCCCGCTTCATCCGGTTGAAAAGTGGCAGAAAACACACCGCCTTTTTGGCTAACTGGGCAATCGAGAAGCCGGCCAGTGGGAGAAACAGCAATAACTTCGACTTGTCCAGCTTCAGACCCATTAGAGTTAGAATTTACCTTAAATAAACAAAAATAAATTAAAACAACTTCATAGAAGAACACCTGTTTATTTAAGTATTTTCGTACCACAACTTCCACAATAGACCCTACAGCACAAGGTTCCATTCCAGTGTATACAATGTTAGTTATTTCTGGCATAGCTCGAATATGAATGGGAGAACCCTTGACCAGTTCACCATCATAATAAACATTTATCTGTAATATTAAATATAAATTACTGTAGATTGGAACAACCTGGGTATGATGCCCATTAAATATATTAGAACATAAAAAATGGGGCTAAATTAAAAAAAAAAATGACGACCTAGACACTCTGCAAATTTTGAACACTCAAATCACTTGGAACCCCAAAGATCAAGTAGTTAAGTACCTAGGGAAATGAAGCCTATGCCTACATTTAAGGTGCACAATGGTGAACCAAAAAAGAAGAACCAAGAAAGAAATGTGCCACTGCAAACTAAAAACAGCACCCAATAAGGAATGGATCATTTTGAAATTCCACCAAAATTTAGCTTCATTCAAGGAAGCAGCAGTAGAGATGAAGACAGGCCCATAGACTTATACAAATCCAGCCGTGGTAAAGAGTGTGGGGGGGGTGTGTGTGTGTGTGTGTGTGTGTGTGTGTGTGTGTGTGTGTGTGTGTGTGTGTGTGTGTGTGTGTGTGTGTGTGCGTGCGCGTGTAAAGCAAACTTCTAGTCAATTCTGAGACACAAACATGATCTCATATTATAATATAATGAACTTAATACTATGTAAAACTTAAAAGTTGATCTAAGAAAAAATAAGTTTAAAAATAATTACAGAAACAAGTACATTATGCTGGGAATATTTTCGGATTGGGATAAAAAGTACTTTTATCTTTTCTAGCAGGCAATCTTATTTTACAATTTTCATGTCACCAAATTCAATTTAGCCATTGAAATGTTACTTTAAAAAAAGGGTTATTACAAAAATAAGTATAACAATTTTTTCAAGAGTATTGTTTTATTTCATTTAGTTTTTTAATTTATTTGCACACTCATGTCTTAAAAGTATTAAGTTAGGATGTTTTATAAAAGTAATAATTCTGTGTTATGTTTATTGATGTCTAGGAATTAATTTAATAAATAATTATTAACTTGGATTTTGGTGGTCAAGATCGTGGGAGCAACTGATTGTCATATCCTATGGCATTGGATTTGATTCTCAGCATTGATTTTGCAATTTTTTTTAATAGTTGAGCAATTCGTCATTGTTAAGTAACTTGACTGCTTATCAATGTCACAATCAAGTTGATAAAACTGTTTTAAATGAAAAGTTACTTTTTAACTAATTTTACTGTGTAATTGAATGATTCATTAATTTTAAAAAATTAAAAGGCAATTTAGATTTAAGAAAGAAAATGTCTACCTTTCTGTTAAAGTTGAGAATTATAGATTTTGTGTTGTTAATTTGTACATATTATAATACTTAAATGTTTAAGGATTAACAGAATTACCTCATGCATTCCAACTCGCATTGGAGTGAAAGTAATTTTCCCTCCTGATGAGTGAACGCTAATTCGTGAATCGACTTTTTCCCCCTCAGGTGCAACTACCCCAGCCGTAATTAATTTACTGTCCAATTCATCCAGGAACTCCATTTGAATTGTAGTCTATTGGGGGGGGAGAGAAAAAAATTAAACTTTATATAAATTTCAGGGTAGACATTACAAACTTTACCTGTGTGTAAATGCGAGTTGTATGAGAAGAGCTGGTAACTTGTACAAGGGTAGTAGCTGGTGGCCTCGGGGGAATCCATTGAAAACTAGCTGCATAAGCCATAACGCCTAAATGTTCAACATTTTGATCAACCATGTCTTTTGCGCGGAGAATAGGCTCCACTCCCAGCTTGCTTCCAGCAGCCAGACCTATAATAAATAAGATGGATCAGATTACAGTTTGACATGTTTTTTACAGTAGTTTGGTCATTTCCAGTAATTTCTTATTGCTCTACAACCCAAGAATTTTGTACTGCAGTTTTCAGAGTATGTATTTCCACTCTTTCTACAAATGCCATCAGTGTATGTATTGTTGAGGTTTGCAACTTAGCTCAAACCACTGATGATAGTGAAACACTGAAACATGCCTGATAAAACTACACCAGCAAAATGACAGGATTATTAGAATAAAAGCTACAAATTTGACCATATTATATGTGTTTGTTGAGATGGCACTGAGGGAAAGCTCGCAATTTGGCTGTACTCTAAATGTTCTAATTTTTTTCTTGATTAACAAAAAAACCCAACTTCGAACACTCCTCAGGTTCAATTTTGTACCATTCTACTTTACCAGGTAGTATTGGTATGCTTGATAGCCATCATCAGATGAGTGGCTTAAAAGTTTCGCTCTCTGTCCATATGTCTGTAGGCTATGGGTAATGAGAACCTCAAAGGTTAGGAGCATTCTCAAGAGTTGTTTAATCTGTTAAAACTTACAACTGCTACAATGCAATTGAACTATGGATGGGATATCTATTGTTTATATGTTTGGTTTGATTGCACCTTGATTCCTCCAAAAGTGTTTATTTCCCAATTAACCCTTTATTTCTCTATTCAGTAACATTGCAATTCTTCCAAGGCTTAAATATGTCTGTTATGTTTGTGTTATAAATTTTATATACATTAGGAACAATTGTACCTCTCTCCAACTGATTATGTGAATTTATTATAAATTCATGATTTGAGGTATAAAGTTAAGAAAGGTAAGTATGGGGATTGTTTATTTTACTTCTTTTCTATTGTAGGATGGTTGTTTTGATCATTTTATAAAGCTGATTTATATTTATGTTGGTTTATAATTTTGTGTAAAGTATAAATTGGTGTGGATTCTCTTTTTCCTCAAGATATCATTTATTACTGTTCGGTTAAACTTTGATAAATTATTTACAGATAATATTAATCAAATAAACTTATATTTTTACGCTTATGTCTGCCATCAAAATTTTTAGAGAATTAATTGTGGTATGAGAAAATTGAAGGCAAACAATGACATAATTACCTGCGTTTAAATTTGATTCCCACACATGGGGATCGTTGCTGTAATGATACTTTGCAGTGGCTCCAAGAGAGGTTGTTAATGCACATAAAACACTTCCATCATTCCAGTCAGTCTATAAATATAAAAATAAAATCAGAACGAATGATACAAATTTAAAATTTGTCATTTGAACTCATAAAATCATTCAAACAAACAATTCAATGTGTATTATTTAGAGGGGAAAAAAGGTTAATAATAGAAGTAATGAATTTTAATTTTAAATTGGGTTCAGATAGAACTAGGAAATACGTACAGTAAAGTTTCTGACATTTTTCTCTGGTATTTGATTATTGATCCACTTAAGGGTTGACATGAAACCAGGGCTTCCTTCTTTCATAAAATAAGATAGATAAGTCATTCCGGACAATTCGTCAAGGTGTGGCGAAGCGAGATACTCGGGCTGCAGCAATTGTGGAACTCCGAGTCTCGTTTTTGCAATTTCCATTGCCCTTCTGCAATTCTCAGTGCTAAAACAAAACAAAAAATAGATAGATTGAAGTATTAAATTTTTATTCTGAAGGAGTTTAAATAGTCAACCTCTCATATTTATTCAACCGTCTCCAATTTGGTAAAAGGCCAGGTTCACAGTAGTCTAACAACGCACTGAGATATATGCCAGAATTCCAGTCGGTTGTAAAGTTGTTGACTTCACATTCTGGTAATACAGCCTATAATAAAGTAATAAATGAAATGACTTGGTTCATTTACGACTACAATAAAACTTACCCTAAGCCAAGCCAGCATGAGTTTCTTAGGTGGAAATTTAGATCTCCCTATCTGATATCTAACAATTAACGACCATATTAGCCCAAGAATCAGTTTTAAATTACCGTTAACAATGTCAACATTTCCTGAAAATTACAAAGGCATTAAAAAATGTTTACAGATGAGTGCGTGATACGCAAGAATGAAATTTTTCCCAGAGTCTGTTCATGGAGGATCTAGAACCTCATGAGTTGCCAATCTTGGATTACATTAGCTAATATCCTATTTTATGAGTGATAATGCCCGTCCGCATGTTGTCCAACTAGTAGTAAATAATTAAAGTATGCCAAGACATCATTATAATTAAAATGAGAGGCAGAAACCCTCGTTATTTAAATGAAAAAAAAAAAAAAACCTAGATCTAAAATTGTTTTGTTTGTTTTATTTAAGTGAGCAATTAGGATTATTTTACAGTTTTATTTTTACTTTTTGAAATAAAATGCAATCAATTATTAAAAATAGGAAGATTTTATAAATTTCCTGGCAGTGTATCTCTTGGGCCAGTATGATAACGTAAAAAGATAAATCCTAAAGATAAATAATAAAGATAATAATGTATCAAAAACTGCCACATTCTTGGACTTAAAGAGCCAAAAGATAGGTGATATTGGTGTGAGAACGTGTTACCCGAGCGTCATCATCAGAAAATTATTTATTTCAATTGTATCAACACAGGACGGCAGAATAAATTTAATATACAATACAATAAAGTTGATAATGAAAATAAAAGGCTTAAGAGGAGAAAGTTATATTACCACCCGATCGTGGGGCAATGCCATGGACCAGAAGAGCCCAGGAAAACTACACAGTTCAAGTAAGCAAGACCGTGGATAGAATAATGACGCCTAAGCTTAGAAAAGTAATGCAATTCATAAAATAGCTAGAGCGTGGTATGAACAAGGCACGAAATTTAAGAATTTACAGGTATAAAAGTTTTCATTCCTTCGCGGCGAAAATATTGCTTAAAAATAAAAGGTTTTTCGAGGAAATAACAAGTTCTAAAATAAATTTGGAGTAGTTGGAAATTTTACAAGTAGCTGAGGAAAGACCGATTTTTATGTTTAACAACCGCATGGAATATGGACGAAGTGAAAAAGGTTCAAGGAATCTTCCTAAGTATGTTGTTTTTTAAGTAACATCAACTTTTAAACGTTAATTCCCTTGCGTGCTCCGGCGAAAATATCGAATATTTTACAGCGTTTCTGTAAGTTTTGGCTTTCAAGATTGGGCAAGACCGTCCTCGAGAATGTGTGTGTGTAGGTTCCGATGTAGGATGAGCCATTGCCAATTTCACCATGCCTGACTTTCGACGTTTAGCTCTACATAAAAACAAAGCGAAGCCATTCGGGACAAAAATTAAACCACGCTATTCTTGCTCTTTAATATTTTAACTCAACACAAACATATATACAAATTCATCAATTAGAGTATTGTGAGTCTTATAATTCAAGGAGACTTTAATGTAAGAGAGAGATGAGGAGTTGATCTCGCCAGGTTTAGGGAAATTCGGTTAAATGCTGAAGGGTCGGTGATTCAAAAAGAACAACTTTAAAAATAACAGAATGTCGTATATACGTGAGATTCAACAGAAAATCACAAAGCCACCAATTGCCTTGAAAGTTGACAATCCAATTCTTGAAGTTGTACGTGATAATCGAATTTCCCTAAACTAAGCGAGATCAACTCCTCACTTGCCTTACATTAAAGTCTCCGGAAATTATAAGATCCGTAATATTTCTCACAGATATAAGATCCGTAATATTTCTCACAGATATTTCACCTAAATTTGTACTACATTTTTATACAATATATCGATAAAATTATATTTTAAGTTACGCCAAGAAAATTCTTTAATCATGTTTCTGTTATCACATATCGCACCGATTTCCCCTACCAAATCTAGAGCTTTTTTTCGGCTATCGCATGTCGTGTTTCTGGAGATGAATAAAACGTAACAGCCCTTTTCGGTAAATGTGTTTCTATCGATACTGATATATAGAAATGCCTCACAAAATAAAAATAAGGCCCCCCTTTCCCTATATCTATCAGTCAGACAGCCAAGCAGCCATAAAAGCATTACGCTCAAACGTCGTTAGCTCAAAGATGGTGCTGAAGTGTAAAATTCAACTAAACAGAATAGGTATGCAAGATAAAGTCACTCTTTGCTGAGACCCAGGGCATGTAGGAGTAAAGGGAAATGAGAAAGAGCGGACGCCCTTGCAAGGAAAGGGGCTTCTATACCGCTGATAGGTCCTGGGCCCTTCTGTGGCATATTTGATTCATACTATCAATGAGTATCTTAGTCAAAAAGACAAAATGGCAATGAAGAAACAGTAGAATTCACTCTACCAAGTTTTGGAAAAAAAGATGCAACAGAATGCATTAAAGGAAGAAGGAAAAACTTCGAATCTTAACAGGTCACTGCACACTAAATGGACATTTGAAGAATGTTGGTAAATCCAACACGGCATAAGCAGATTCTACAAAGAAGCAGACGAGACACCAACAAACCTTCTAGCAAACTATGGTGCTACATTTGCCCGTACGAGAAAGGGTTGTGGGATGTACAACGTATCTATAGAAAAAATTCAAAATTGAAACAGGGTCTATTAATCAAATTTCTTGATCAACTAGGACTCACCGGTGAGCTAAAAGGTACAACAGGAGATGCAATAGCTCTTAAAGAGATCAGTATATTATGCACCCCGAATATTACACCTTCCCTGTAAAGTTATATGATAATAAATAAATATTGTTCAGGCTTTTGTATCATAGGTAAGTTTTCTCTGTGTAATGCTGTTACTAGACTCTCTATAATCATCTACACCTAATCCCAAAAACTAGACTCAGCTGAAATTTTTGTAGGAGCACAAATCATTTGTCCTCGTATATGCGCATTTTAGTTCTTATTCAGAATAATTGAAGTCTCCTTTGTCTAACCGTTATGGGAATTCCGCTGGCGATGTATCCGGTCTCACGTATTACAGGAGTTTTTAGAATTATTCATTTATATTAAAGTCGGAGTTTATATCGACCTGCAGTAATCACATTAAATTTTTTAAGCATCTTCCGTAAGACCTCTGCGATTAAGTAGATATTTAGGGTTCACCAAGCAAGCTTTCGGCGATTTATATCGTCATCCTCAGGGCCAATATGTCAGATCCTGATGAGATCCCTAATGAGAGACCTGTAGAACAGGCCGAAACGCACAGGCAAAAATAATAAATAAATAGCGAGGCTGATCTTTGGCGAGTGTATGTTTTTGAGTTCCATATTTCAACCTCAACCCTGGTTATGAACAGAAAATTTAAAAAAAGGAAGAGAAGTAAGGTTGATAAATATTTTATATTTCGAATATGTTATTCCCAACGATAGCTCAACTTCCGCTGTTTCTTGATTTTAGCGAAGGGGTAATAATTAAGTAAGGGTAATGGTTAAAAAATATGAAAAATCTGACGGGTTTCGGTAATTAAACTTGGGTTTGTGTCGGCGCTTCTCCCTCCTTATAACCCTGACACCCTACTCAAACCAATCTGAAAGGTCAAAACGATATGAAACGTCTGTAGACCTCAAAATGTGATTTAACTACAATGAAGAATATCACATTATTTGTAAATTTAAATAAGATCGACCAGAAATTATGGAATAGTGGCCCATGGAAAAAATATCTCTAAAAAGCAAATATTTTTCATTTTGATGTTTAGAAAATAATTTAAAAATTAATAAATTTAAATAATAAAAAAAAATTTAAATAAATTCTTTTCTTTTATTCATGCATATTCCTCTGTCAAGGCGTTGAACACTTTGCTTGTTATATTTTAAAAATTAAATCATACTATTAATTTATTGATTTTTCATTGAGACCCATCTCAACGAGCAAACAAAAATTGTTAAATATCCAACCACTGTAAGTAAGAAAAGGGGAAAATTAGAATTTCTACGTTCGATCCGAGAAGGATAGAGGAAATAATAAATTACACAGCGGTAGCACGATTAGATAGCCCAGGTTTCCACAATATCAGCTGACAGGTCCCACCGTCATAGTCAAGTCAGCAGAAAAAAAAAATAACACAAGAGGACTAATTTGTTAATCAACTGGCAAAAATATACAAAACAGAAAAGGGACCTGTAAAAAACATGCTTTTTTTACGTGATACTTTTAATGTTGAACCTCATCCCACATACTTACTTCACATAATCAAGGAAAAAACTAATTATCCAAATATTTGTATAAATAGCCTGAAACTTTTGAAAAAGGTTTCGATATTCCATGGAGCATTGGAAAAAAGGCTGGAGGAAATAATTAATCGCATAGCGGTAGCCTCATTAGATAGCTAAGTTTCTACAATGTCTGCTTACGGCCCACGGTCATAGTCAAGTCAGCAGAAAAATTTAAAAAAAAAAAACACGAGGATTAATTTCTTAATCAACTGGCCAAAATATACAAAACACAAAAGGGTCCAGTATAAAATATGGTCTTTTTTACGTGATGCTTTTAGCGTAGAACATCATCCCACACGACCACTCACACATATTCAAGTACAAAAAATGAACACGTAATTATCAAATTATTTATACCAATAGCCTGAAACTTTCTGTAAAGGTTTCGATACTCCATGGAAAAAAATGCTGGATGAAATAATTAATTACATAGCGGTAGCATCATCAGATAACTGGGTTTCCACAATGTCAGCTAACAGCCCAGATAGGAAAAATTGTTAATAGGTCAAAAAGGTCCAATTAGCACGTATTAACAAGGGCATAAGTTCTAAATTACGATTTCAATTATTTACAACAAAATAGAAGTAACTACTAATTATTGGATGTTTGTGCATTACCTGCCCTCCCACTATACTCACACATGTAATAATCTAATTATTTATATCATCTAATCGACTAAAACCTTTGAAAAAAAATAAGATTGAACAATCTAACCATAAGAAATATACGTCCTGAGCCCAGAATTGAAAAAATATACTCGACACAGAGCCCATGCAAGTCCTCAGATGTGTTTTGTCCAATAGGAAATTATTATAAAAGCAAAAAGTTTTCTTGTTTGTTTAAGTCGTCTGAGTCTTAATACGAATTGAAATCTCTTCTGTCCAACCGTGAATGATTGAAACAGTGCTTTTCACAGTTCGATTCCTTTGTAGAAAGTGGTAGAAGGGTCGTTTAATCGGTTAAACGTGCAGATCGGTTTTGGGCCCGTTTTAATTTGTATTTTTAGCATTTCTAGCACGGTTGGTAATTATGGAAATGAGCAATCGGTTTATTAATTTGTACAAGTACGGAACAGGAACACATCCCACATACGAAAAGTGGGAACGAGGCTCACTCCAAATAAGGCCGTCTATTAACTCAACACCACACCGCTATCAAATGACAACTGGTGTTGATCAATTTCAAATTTTACATTATGACAATTTTAAATCGGTAAAAATGAAGCAATGAAGAACGATGTGTCGGACGGACAAAAAAAATTTAAAATCAGTCTAAGAAATGACACCTGGTAGAACTGACTCATTCAACTTTACCTTCTGGCAAGACAATTGCCAATATTTAGCGTGTAGAATTTTTTTTTAATATCAAAGTTATATAGAATGTTGTTAAAAAAGAATATTTTTTGTCTGATTGAGCATGCGCGGAAATTTGGTTTCTGTGATGAAATGGGACTTGACAGCAGTTGATAGCAGAAGTTTCATCAGTTGCGTTAGTACAAATACGTCTAATTACCAATGTTGACAAGTTTGACGCCGTCTTCGTTGATGGCGGCAAGGGCGGCGGTGACGTTCTCTAGATAGTGGTGTTGGTTCATAGGTTTTTTTATCCAATTGGTCCGTATTTTTTTCTTCTGCAACACTTCCACTAATGCACAGAGTCTCGTTCCGTCGCAGAAATCGTGTGCGAGATCGCGCACTTCTACGCCGACATTCCTCAGGTGTTCGTTCACCCAGTTTTTGAACGTGTGCGCTTGGATTTCGACCCAAAGGTCTTCGTGGCCTTTGATGGCCATTCCTTTGGCCGCGTGACCCTCGGGGCTCCTCGCGACCAAGCCGATCTGCGATATCCTTTCAGATTCTGCAGACGCCATGCTTTCGGTTTCCTCACGGACTTTTTCCCGATGGAAAACGAAAGTGAACTCGAGTCGGAGACCGATAAAGCGGTCGGACTGGCTCGGGGATCGACTAGAAACTGGTCACGCATGCGACCACTGCCAACAGGCGAGTTTCGTTCTTTCCTGCCTCCCTCCATCGTTCTCTGGAACGCATTACAATTGTTTTGACGCGTTAGCGCCGAACGCAGCACCGTCCAATAAACTCGGTTTCCTCCTCCGACCAGACCAATTACTAAATACTACTACTATTAATAATAATAATCCTTTTTTTATTACAAACACAGGCTTGGAAGCCTAATATCACAAGACAAAAACAAACAACGTTGTAAGCACAATATATAAATTAATACATTACTAAGTAAATGTAAGAAAACACAAATATGAGTGGATATAAAGAGAAAGAAAAATATAAAAATGTATCTATTAAATTAAAATTATATCACAATAGAATAAATAAAGAAGGCTACATATAGAGGAAGTACTCGCTTCGGCGGTACATATACTACACATAGAGCTATGTAAAAGATACAGCTAAATATATCACTAAATATATATATATAGTAGTGTAAATTCCCGAAACACGTCCAAAAAATTTCATGTAAAAATAAAACCAAAAACCACATGGAAAAGTTAAAAAGAGAAGAAGTCTAAAAAATCTGTTACATAATAAATATTATAATTTATTTTTATATTCTTTCAAGTTATGATAAATAGCTTGTATATATTCCTTAATTAATAATATTTTATTGGGTATAATAAATAAACAAAATCCATAGTTTCCTAAAGGTAGATTTAAACTGAGAAGGCTGATCAAACACCAAAGAAAATAAAAATCCATAGTAAAAAAACAAAAAATATGTACCAGCGTTGAGATTAATTTAAATTTTTCTTATCTTTTCATTATTTAATTTTTTCCCGAATGTTAATAGAATTTTTGCCGTCATGACCCAATCAGTTGCCAATCCATTTGTTAAAAAAATTCAAACACTCGTTTACTTAACTAATTAAGGAATTATATAAAATTTTGAAATCCAAATAACTGTGTAAGTATAAAATATTAATTACCCCCCCCCATTAAATTATTATGCACAGTACTGCAAATTCACAAATGAAATCAAATTAAATGGCTGGTTGGTCAAGATGTTGCCTTGTAATACACCGGATTTGATTTCCAACAACTAATTTAAAGCTGCGGGAGCTTTTAAAATTTTATGGATAATACAAATTATCTATTTTTATTTTTTTTTTTATTTTACTTTTTCATGCAGTTTATTTTAAATTGATCTTTTTTTTGTAATTTTATAATTTTCAAAAGTCTGTGGAGTCTCCCAATGGAGTTGGCTCTGATTTGTTAATCTCTGATCTCTATTGATCGGAGAATGAAAAATATAAATGTTCATACTGAAGGGTACATTGCAACTTAGAGAGATTTCTAGTATTTTGTAATGGATAGGGACCAGATATCCACTCATATCAGTATGTGCTTTCATTTATTTACAACGTGTATTTATTCAAAATAAATATCTGATTCAAATAGATACTGCTCAGAATTAGATTACTACAATTCACTTAGTGGCTGAGTAATACTAATTGCATTTTTTTTATTTTTTAGAAAATGAGTAAACATAGTTTGATTTTCTTCTGTACTCAGTAAACATTTTTAAAATCATGTAATACTCAAAGCTTGGACTGTCCATATGGAGTTGTGTTGTGTAAATTTTCTGTACATTATACAGAATGCAGGATGACCAAAAAATATTTATGCATTTGATTTTTTGAAATTGTCTTTGATTTTATTTTGTAACTAAAATACTTTATAAACAATAAACTAGGTGATTCAACAGAAATTTTTGTGAATTCAAGTTGTGAAATTCAAAAAATGGCTTTTTAAATGCCAAAATATTATTCATACCAGGGAAGATTCGCAAAGAGGCACCAAGGAAAGTGCTTAGTGTTTAAGAAAAAGTGCACTTTCCAAGGTATGGCTATAATTTATAGGGGTTCCACAATAAATCTACTTAGGTCGCAGTGGAGTATATGTATATGATATATATGAGAGCTGCCACTTCTTGCCTTTTATTTTTTTAGGTTACAGTCTGACTGAAAATATGTGACTCTGTATTCCTTTCATTTTCTTTTTATCAACTCTTGTATACACCATTGGATGCATGGTGCTCAACTTTAAAATGTGTTCTCTTTATTAAATCCCTAATAATTTCTTCATTCTCTTACTGTAGCACAGTTTTTTTGCTTTTCTTAGACTCTCAATCTGCTCATTGCCTTCAAATTGCTTATCATTCTTGCATTAGATAATGTTATGATCTTAAACCAAGGGATCATTTTTCTTCCTACATTAACGGCTTCAACAACCTTAAATTATAAGCACTTGTAAACTTAGTTGTGATATATATATATTTAAAATTAAATTAATTAATGCCCTCAACATCTAAAAACTTTTTCCCATATTCCTTATTCAAACGCACCGATCGTATCCCAAGCCTTCAAAACTCCTCTAAAATGTTAACCTCCCTTCACATTTGCAGGGTCAGGACTATGGAATTTCCTTCCCTGAGAAGTATGTTCTGCTCCCTCGCTGGCTTGTTTCAGTTCCATGGCATCTGAGTTTTTAAAAATGATATGTATCATCTCCTTTTCTTCCCTCTTCCTTCACTTTTTCCCATTTCCTTTTTATCTTTTTGATTTCTGCTTTTCTTATTTATTATATATAATCTTATTTATTATATGATAGCTTGATTAACCGTTATTTTATTTTTCACTTTCAGCTCCAAAACTTGGGTTTCATATTTATATTTTGGGCAGAAACGCGCCAAGGTGTTATGTGAGCCTTGACAATTCATGCACACTGGAGACTGACAAGGAACATATTATTATTGTGTAATCTTTAGTTTAATGATTGTTAATTACTGATTATTTAAAGATTGTGAGATGTGGTCTGGTGTGATACAGGTTAGAAAAACATTTTCTTTACCATGCTAACGTTTCGATTTTGACTGAGATAATCTTCAGGGCTCAAAAGGAGTATTTTCTGAGTAACATCGACACAACTACACAGAATATACACACTTTGAGCCCAGAAGATGATCTCAATAAATACCGAAACGTTAGCACGATAAATATAATGTTTTTCTAACCTACATCACACCAGAACGCACCTCACAATCTTTAAACCATAATAATTATTATTATAATTGTCAAAGGTTGAGTGTCAATAAATGCTTTAGTTCGAACGGTTTGTTAGTTTTTTCAGAAAGCTTTTCACTTACATTGTAAGCAACTTCATCCCTTAACTTAATCTTATACTTAACATCTAATGAATTGAATGAAAAAATTATGTAATAATTTTTCAAATTATTAGATGTAAAGTATAAGTCAACCAAGACCTTACATTAAAAGAAAAATCAATTGAAAGAAGTAATTTGGTTAATTATACCATTAAACATAATAGATTTAGTAAAGTATAATATTAGGATAAGGGCTGAAGATGCTTACAATGTAAGTAAAAAGCTTTCCGAATAAACTAACACCACCTGAACTAAAAAAACTAAAACTGAAATAAAATCTAACTAAAAAAGAAAAAAATCGTTATTGTAATTTCATTATATTTAGTGGTCTAAATACTGATTTGACTAAACTACTTCTTTCAATTAATTAATCTTTTTATTTGAGGTTTTTGGTTGAAATGAAAAAATTAGTGTCACAAGTGGGATTCGAACCCACGACCTTCGGCTATTTTATAATTATTGCTATTATTAATACTATTTTACTTTGTTTATAAAACTAAATTTATTTCTAATAAATGTATATGTAAGGGGGCTTAAAGCCCTGTTTGTACCTTTAAAATAAATAAGTATTGTTAATTTATATAAATTTTGCAGCACTCCCTTGAAACGTTGTTCAAACAGTTTCTCCAAAATTAACAGGCAAGTTAATATCGATGTTCAAACGACAATAATCGATGTTTACATTATGTCGACATTTCTAGAAATAAAATCGTAGAGGCAGTGAATTTTCAGAATTGGTCTCTATTACAGGTTTCTCTTTCGTACGGTATTTAGTAATAAGAAACAATGTCCTTCTTGGGCCTGGTTTTGAGGAGGAGCTTTCTGACATCCGTCAGGCATAGCAAAGAGATCGAATTCGCTAGTGCCACTGCTGGGGGTCACGGAGGTAAAAAAATCACTAAAGTTCGAACTTCCTTGGCCAAACAAGCCGACTTATTCTCTTTCATTTTTATTTCATTTGGTCAAAAATACTCTCTTTAAATATATATTTTACGCTTAGAATTTTTTGAAATATATTTTTTTATGTGGCTACAAGAATAAGAGCTATTCTTGAACTATTGTAATCTGGGGTATCACACCCAGAAAATATAGTAATAAAAATGGATTCAATCGTTCACTTCCATTTATTTGTAAATGTATGGTAAGTTGGATTATTGGAATAAATCATTATGGCTCTCTATGCAGAGCTATTGATCCCTACTCTTCCTCCTAGAAGGTACAATATCGAACAATTAAGCGCTCCCTTTCAAATATTTGGAATTGTTGGGGAAATTAACTTGTGTAAGCAGTAGCAATTCATTGACCCAGAAATTAAATGCGTTAGTTTAGTCAAGAACTCAGGCGTTAGATGCAGCTAGATAGATTTTTAAGATACAAAGGAACTACTGCATCTTAATTCTAAGCCATATGGTGTTGAAGAAGAAGAGGGAAATTTCTGCAGTAAATGCTTTCTATGTAATCTGAATAAGTGCGAGGACATGTCATATATACATCACTTAAATGCATTTGCTCCCCCCCCCCCATAGTAAAAGAATTCCGATTAATAGCATTCAGTTTCTTTACGTAATGATATATGAAGCAATCAGACTGCTAAATAGTGCGGGATGGACAAAAATGGCACTATACTGTGAGATTGGTCCTAGTTAGTAGGTTTAATTTTTTATTTAATTTTAATTTGAAGATATTAGAATCTCTTATTTTAAATCATTGTATTTTGTGAATTCTCAAAGTAATTATATGTAATATATCTTAGATGACCTGAGCTCTTGATAGACGGTTAAATTAACAAGTGGTAATTTTGTGTACTATGTCATGTATTTATGTTTAACGTACTTATAGTGGATAATAAACAATTTTTCTTCTACTACTTCTTTCATACTATTCTCAATTACAAAGCCATGGGCTGAGCCAAGATTCAAACTATAGTTATACAAGACATTTCATCTCGCATATATAATCTTGGGATACAGTTTTTAACAAAATATATGTATATTTTTTTTTAATATATACAATATTTTCAAAATGAAAGACTTGGAATTGACATAATTTAAAAAAAAAATTGTTTTTGATTGGTACTAGGTTTTTAACAATATAGTAAAGAAGTGAAGATTTGTTAATCATGGAAATTTTTTCAGGTGGACACAAATTTTGGAAAAAACTGACTTTTTTCGTCGCATTCCCAGCTTGTGCTCTTTGCATGCTCAGTTGCTATCTTGAGCACCAAAAGGGTGATCATTCAAGAACAGAATACTTCAAGTATGAACATCTTAGAATAAGAACAAAGGTATTGAATTTATTTTATGATACAACTGATTGTGAAATTTTACGCGCGTTCTCATGTTAAACCTCTTTGTTTACAGAAGTATCCATGGGGAGACGGCAACCATACTTTATTTCATAACCCCCAGAAAAATGCCCTTCCGGATGGCTATGAAGAGGAAGAAGTGCACCACTAGTTTATTGTCTTTTCGTGTAACTACTAGTTAAACATGATGATAAATTTATTAAAGTGAATAAATAGTAATTTTTTTCATCCTATCTTACTTTTGAAGTAGAGTGAAATTGTATTTTCTTTTCTTTTTTTGTTTGTTAATAAATGTGTAACTGTTACGGATCAAAAACTTCAATCATGACAACCTGCACAAGTGATTGCTATTTTCCATTTATTAATAAATGTGATCTCTTAAGACTTAAGTACAGCTGCAGTATTTTTCTAATTATTAAAAATGTACACAAAACACTCCAACATCCATATACAGAGGATCCAAATCAATACTGAATACAGAAAAAGGAAAAGTTTTGAGGTGGCAATAGTATATTACTACTTTAATTGTTTTTTTTTTTTAATTATATTTAATTTATTTCAATTAATTATTCTTTTTATGTAAAATTTTGGTTGAGATTTACCAAAGGTCGTGGGTTTGAATCCCGTTCATGACACTTAACTTTTTCATCTCAACCAAGACCTTACATAAAAAGAATAATTACTACACTAAACATAAATGGATTACATTTAACATTTGTCAATTTTTATTTTTTGAACCATTACTTTTTAGAATTTGATTTTATTAACACCTAAACAGGTACAAGAATTTCAATTGACTATTTAGGTGATTATTATTTGTTTTTTGTTTTTTTTCTACGAACAAATTCTCTCATATACTGGGAAGTTAAGAAAAACATTTCCCCTGAAATGTATAAAACAGCAAGGGAATATTGTTAATTGTTACCAAACATCCTCTGTTGGACTCATATCACAGTCTAAGTGTTGGGCTTGTTGAAATTCTGTTCTGTGCACTGAATTCAATAAATAATCATAATGACTGTTAATATGCTTAATTAAAATGTAATTAAATTTTCTTGGGATTTGAATGAAAATACTGCATATGTGTAAAATATTGACTAAATAATTTTTCCAGCTGTTTGCTGGACAGTCCATACCACTTTATTTAATAATCCAATAAATTTAAATTTAATAATATATTGTAAGGATTATTAAAAATAAATAGAATTTGATATAAAGTAATTTAATTAAAGTCGCTAGAATACAAAACGCCGTTGTCCCAAACAACCACAACCGCGCAGTTCTCCGTGCGTACTACCGTTAGTCCCGTTTCTTTGTTCTTCCCTCTCGTCAACACCAACCCCTNCCGTTGTCCCAAACAACCACAACTGCGCAGTTCTCCGTGCGTACTCCCGTTAGTCCCGTTTCTTTGTTCTTCCCTCTCGTCAACACCAACCCCTCAGCGTTGCCAACCGTCCCAGTGTTGCCGCCGGTTCTCTTCTAATGTTTCGGAGGGGCGCCTCTTTTCCCTCCTCTTGTCCTCTTCCATAACAATATATCACTTTTCCATAGTTCGTTCGTTTCACATATTTATGGACTGAGGCACCATAGTGATCAAGGGCTGTATAATGCTTCATTTAGTGCACAGAACACAATAATTTTAAATGTAAAGTTATGTACATTATTATATAAAAAGTTCTTTTGCTTTAACAATTTTATTTCTCCAAACACATTTTGTCATGGACAGAGTCCTTCTGTTGAGTTGTTTAACACAGGTACAAGCATGCTGTTCTTCCTCCTGCCCATTCTAAAATTTAACGCCAGCGATTGGCCCCAAATCAGCAATATCACTTTCATAAAACTAAATGTGTTTACATCAGACATGCATAGAAATTATAAATGATGGGGTGAGTGTGTAGTTCAGTCCTTTTTTAAAAAGGATCAAACATGCATTGGCCCCTCTAGATCAAGTTTTAGTCAAGGGCTATATTAATATTTTATTTTTTGTGCAAAAGCTGTTTATGGCTACCATATAATTAGAAATCACGCCATTCGACTAAATTGTTTAATTCTTACTGCACAATATCACAGTCTGCAATGTTTAATACTAGCACACGTGATAAATATATATTATATGTAGGGAGGTACGAGCTTCCTTGTGAATTGCTGTAATGGATAAATCACTGTCTTTCAAATAATTTGTATAACATCTATTGACTAAACTATAAATACCCTAAAGACACGTATACTTCCCTCAGATTTACTTTCTGTTTTCAAAATAATTAATTACTTTATTTACAATCCTTTTTACTTATTGATTATTTAGAGATCGTGAAATACACTTTTTTATTTAGTCAAATTAACTTTTCTGTACCAAGCTACTTGACAAGGCTATAGGGGAATTATTAAATCTTAACTATAAACCCTACATCCGAGGAAGAATTTACCTCTGCTCCTTATGAAATAGGAAAGAAAATGATAAATTCTATTTTTGTGTCGTTGTCCAATATTAAAGAGCACCAGGAAACAAAAAAATTTAGTTGTGAACACCATGTGTCAGATGTAAATCTTTTAAGCAGAACCCATTAGCTAAATTTAATGAATTGTGTAAAGAACGCGAACGATTTTTTTTTTTTTTAGTGAAAAATTTTAATTATTAATCAAGTAATGTACTTACTTTTCTTTTATTCTTTTGTATTAGTTTATTTTTTTAGCAGAAGAAAGTGAATTTTATTTTTTGGTTTGATTTAGTTTAGTTCATGTTAAAGTTAAATGTTTGGTCTTTATGACTATTTTTGTGTTGTATTCAATTTCTTTTCTTTTCTCAAATGGATTATTAGTTCACACTTCTGAAAGATGGCCTTAGTTATTGTCATTTTTGATACTTTTTATTACTACTTTTGTATTTGTTCATAATATTGTAAATAAAAGTATCTATCTACATGGCCAGGCATAACAGACTTTTTTCATATTTTCTACCTTTCTAATAGCAATAGTAAAATTACTCCTATCGACAGAATGATTCGTTCAGACAATAATTTTCCACACCTTACTATTTTTAATTCTTCTTTTTCTACATTCTACGATCAAGTGTGCAGACATGTTAAATCTTGAATTATCATGTACATTTTAAGTTAAAATATTGTATCTTTCATTAATTTTATAGCAATAAAATGTTTTTCATACAAATATTTAACTTGCACTTCTGTACATGTATTTAAGTTTATGAAAATAGTTCCATACTTAACTTTATATTATTTCTAATTAAAAATTTTAACTAAATATAATTCAACTAATTATGCATAAAATATTCTCATTTTTATTTATTGTACTTATATGTAATTGTTTTCTAATATTATTTATGATTATATAAAGATTGTAAGATGCAGTCTTGTGTGTTGTAGGTTTAGAAACCATGTTCTTTATCATGCCAACATTTCGATCTTTGTTGAGATCATCTTCAGGATTTATATACATTGTTTAAATTATACAAATACATGTAAGATCTAAAAATGAACTTGATGTACGCAACAGAAATTTTAGGTTTAATCCAAGTGGGTGATTTATGTGCAGATGTGTCATGGTTGTGGGTCGTATTGAAAGTGTAAGTGAGATATTAATGTTTTTATGGTTACATATGTTTCATTTTGAAGGAGTGGAGAAGGAAGTAGGGATAGAAATTAATTTTTCTATGAGGAGTCAGCTTCTTTGAGGTGAAAGGGATTGACAATGCTTATAAATACTCCACAAAATATTATCTATATATATTTTAAAATATGTTATATTAATTTACAATGGCAATTTAAAAATTTACAATAACAATGATAAATGTGATCTTTTTTAGGTATATTTTAAGGTATTTTCTTACTTTACATATTGTTTAATACTTAAGTAATTTTTCCTTTATTTTGCTATTGTATTGTTATAAATATTAATTATATTGTTATAATAAATACAATATGTATATATTGTATATTTCTACAATATATTTAAACATTTTTGTAAAGTGGATTAATTCCGTAAAATATATATTATATTATTATGTTAAGTATATTTGTTGGAATATTCATCAAAATGTTGTTCTTGTTGTGTGACGTCACTTTTGTGTCATTAACTTGTTTTATGTCGTAGAGTGAACCATTCAGCGTTAACCTTCCACACTGTTTATTTCTTTCTTTGAGGTTGACATTCCAAACGAACTTTGTTCAACGGAAGCATCGTAGGTTGTTTTCTTCTAATCCGTTTCAAACGGTAAGTGCATTTCTTTTTATGATTTATGTAGTTTCGTTCCTATCTAAGAGCTATTAAATCTGTAATTTTACATTTCAAAAATTGACAGACAATTGTCTGAATTTTTCGAGCCGTGCAGATCGAATTTCAGCCGAGAATGTGGCTCACGTTAAAACGTCACTTTAAGAGAGCTTTAAGAAAATGGCATTTGTGAATTTTTTACTTTCACTTTTTTTTCTGTTAATTATTAATTTTCCTAAGCTTCGTTGAAGTACTGTACCTCAGCGTAATTGTGTTATATACGTAGTTATTTTTCTGTAAGTTCGTTCATTGATATGTTCTGTATTCTATTTTGTAGGTGTACTTATTGATTAAGTTCGATGTTACTTGTTTGTTAAAAACTGATCGAGTTATATCATTATGGGGAAAAACACATAGAATTCTATAGGTTTTTATTTTAACTATACCAAAACCAGTTGATTTGTCTAGACAAAAAGAGTTGAAACCCTTGAATCAGTCTTGAGACTTTAATCACTTATTATTATAATATTTAAACAGGTTAAGAAGTTCAACCAGCCTTGAAATTACATGATTGCACTTCATGGTCGAATGAGGTCCTCCAAAATTTCCTGTCGTGCTTTTAATTTATCTTGCTTGATTTCCTCGTGGGGTCTGCGGGTTGATGACTCTGTAATCTGATAATTTCTGATCATTTTAGCCTCTCAGAATGTTTTGGCTTTTTGCCATCTTCAGTGACTCATGAATAATGTAACAAGGATGAGAGGAGACTACAAAACCCACCATTGATGGGCCAAAACATGTCTTGACCTGATGATAGGCAACTTTTGAACCAAAAGGTTTTTTGAAGTGTAACTTTTTAGAGGAAGCTGTTATTATAAAATTCTTTTTTTTTTTTTTAATATATATACACTTCAAAAAAAAAAAAAAAAAAAGACGATACTAAACTTATTACTATACTTTGTTTAGAGTTCAAATAGTTAAAAACAATATGGTTAGCAATATGGCGAGGTCTGTTTCTCCCTTGTCCAATGTTGATTGGTCAAATAAACTATTACTTATACCACAAATAAAAAAAAAATTAAAAGAGAACTGCTGGGGAACCACCAACCAAAGAGGGGAACCGTGACACGGTGGAACATGTCCCTCTGTTGGTGCGAAGTTTTAGTAGGCTTCCTGTGAGAGGAAAAGCCCAGGCCTGAAGGAAGCCTTAAGCTAAATGAGGAGGTCTATACAACAATAGAGACACACAATACACGGTGCGCAGGATGTAAGGAGGCTGGCTCCATGCAAAGAAACAGTTACAGCAAACATCTAACGCCTTCTGGAAAAATAGATTAATTTTGAGATTTTATGAAAAGTGTGCTGCTAGACGGTATGTACATATCACCAATCTATATTGCTACGACAAGGAGGATTTAAAATACCTCATATATAAACTCAAAAGACAAACAGATTATGTTTGACATTGGTTTGTAATATGGTAACCTTACTCTAATCAAAATATTTTTTATATTTATTCATTACTTATTTATGCATATTATTTATTCATTTGTTACTTAACTATTAATTTAATGGTAAATGTAATTATAATTGTTATGCTTTGTTATTTCTATTTAGTTCACAAATTAAATAATTCTTAAATTAATGTTAATATTATTTTAAACTTTAATTAACTAAATGTTGTTTAAGGTTAACTTGTAAATTGTTCTTTTTTCTTATACTTTAATAAAATATATTTTCTTTGAAAAAAATAAACAAACAAAAATGACTTTCTGGAAGATCTGATTGAATTTGTGTTTGTCTTTGTCATTTGATCATTCTTTATGTCATGGGGTTCATGAAAATATTCTGTCTATCTCCTAGGAATGTTATAACTTATCTAGTCACATTGGCTTTTTCATCAGTCAATTTCATGATAACAGTTTTGTTTTGTTTGTTGAATTTAAATAGAAAGTTGATGGATGTCAGGAGTTATTTGTTCAACTTGTCACGATTTTTCAAAAGAACCATTGAAAATGACGTTGGGAAAGATAATACTTTTATCTTACGAATCCATTTAGAAATAATTTAGATTTATTATGACAGATTGTTAGGATATCCAATTCTAGTGTTCTTTGGTTCTGAAATTGGTAATCATCAATATATTCGCTAAAAAATAAAATTATCATATTGGTTCTGAGCTATTATTTAAATAATTTACTTGTAATATTAATATCATGGTTAATAATGCAAAATTGAAAATTGTAGATTTATCTTGTTTTTTCCCAAAGTTGTGTTCTTGTAATCTGTGGTCAAGTTTTTTAAAACATGGCACGAAACTAATCAGTTTCGTTTTAGTTTTTTTATTTATTTATTTTATTTTATTATTTTTTTTTTTAAATAATTTGCTTACACTTCGGACTCCCATATCCCCTCATCTGGCCCAGAGAAGTTGTCGCAGATCAGAGGACAGGGGAGTGTGAAAATATATTAAAAAAAAAAAAAATAGAATAAAATAAAAACTGGTTGTTTCATTCCAAGGTTTTAGAACTCTTGACCACAAAGTGAAAATTATTCATAAATTTACACCTATCCATTCATTTTAACACGCGCATAATTAATGAATTTTCTTTATCCTGTAGAGTTTATTTTACCACAGAAATTTTAACTAAAGATTAAATTTATAAAATCAGTCAATATGTTTATAGAAGAGAGTATTTTAAAGTTATTTAAAGATAATTCTTTATTTCATTTCCAAAAACCAATATAATTATTGTGTTTTAAAAATCGTTTGAGTTAATTTAATGTTATTTTGTTTTGTGACAATTGTAACAGTATTTTTCTCATATGTACAGAGTTAATTTAATTATTGTGTATTTAAATTGCAGGATTTAATTGACTTTGGAAGATCTAACAAGAATATTTAAAGCAAGGATTCAAACTTGCATACATAAAAGACTGACTACTAGCTAAGAAAAACCTAAGTATTATGACAGATACGAATCCAATTTATTCTCCGTTCTTCGGAGTGATGGGAGCCGCCTCAGCAATGATCTTCAGCGCTTTAGGTGCAGCTTATGGTACTGCCAAGTCTGGGACCGGTATTGCAGCCATGTCCGTGATGCGGCCTGAGTTGATCATGAAGTCTATTATTCCTGTTGTAATGGCCGGTATTATTGCCATTTATGGGTTGGTCGTGGCAGTGCTCATCTCAGGTGCTTTGGATGTGCCAGAAAAATACCCATTGTACAAGGGTTTTCTTCATTTTGGTGCCGGTCTCGCAGTAGGCTTCAGTGGGCTCGCCGCAGGTTTTACCATTGGCATAGTTGGCGATGCTGGGGTCCGTGGGACAGCACAGCAGCCAAGGCTTTACGTTGGAATGATTCTCATCTTGATTTTCGCAGAAGTGTTGGGTCTATACGGCCTAATTGTTGCCATTTATTTGTACACAAAATAAACTTTTTTTTCTTTTAATGATCTGAAGTTTAAGAAGCCAATTGTCCTTTCTTCGTTAATGTAATGCATATTTACTAGATAACATGAAATCTTTATGATAAAAAGTCTTTTCAACAAGATTATTTTTATTGTAATAAAAATTAACCTTTAAACACGTGTGTTTTATATTGTTCATAAAAATTTGCTTTTCATTTTGTTATGTTTCATTCTAACAATTTTGTACATTCCATTTTGACATATTTCTATAGTATTGAAACCTAACACAACTTTAGTTCCTAAAGAGTTCCTAAACTAAACACACTCTTCTAGTTGTTATTCTTTGTTTGCATTAGCTTTTTTTTCTAGTTTAAAATGTTTTTATGCAAGTAAATTTTTGCATTGTTATAATTTTAATCTGGACAAAAAAATAAATGTAATGCAATCAGAAAGTCTTGTTCAAACATTTTAAATTTGTACAATTGTTGATACATATTTGTTAAAGGTACAAAATTTTCAAATTAATAAATAAAATTTAAAAAACAAAAGGTGGAAATTGCCCTATAATACTAATACCTTATAAGCAAACAATTTATTTGTAAAGGCTTGTTCACACAGTTCTAGGTGAAACCACAATAATTGATTCTTTAGTTAAAGTACTGTCATAGTTTAAAATTTTACTAATACACACAAGAAAATGCATACTGCTGGTTTGAAGTTACAAATAAATGTACCTAGCAATGTGTGAGTTTTTTATCCCTGAAATTTCTAATAAGGAATAAATTTCCTACACCAACAATTTCAAAGTGTTGGATCTCTTGAGGAAAGCATTAAGGTAAGCTTTTATTAAAATAGTTATCAATATTTTAAATTTATTTTTGTGGATTGGATTAAAAAAATCAAATTATTTCACAAGTATTCACTGTCAGTGGTTATTACAGAATTGTGAATGAAACAGGCGTTTTGGAAAGTTCCCCAAAGGCTTCAAATATAGAAAAGGATCTTTGTCAGATACCTGTAGAGGTTGAGTCAACAACCAGAGGAATTTATATATTATCTATTACTTAAAATTGGTGTTATGACACTTGTGGCAATAGTAATGGTAAAATGTTACAGCAACAGAATCCTTCCAGATAAATTAAGTTGTAATCAGAATTGGTGATACAGGTTTATAATGTGTATGAGATGGCAAAAATTTTTGTGTAAGGCACAATAAAATTCTCTTATACATTTTAGAATGTTATCTGGTGATCAACAAATTTCAATTAAAAATTCAAAAACACCTTCCAGGTTAAGACAGTGAATTTACTTAAAAAAGCCAAATGGAATTATTGTTTTTTAAACAAAAGCCAAAAAATTTAAAAAAGAAATTATTCTTAAAAATTTCCATGTTGCTATAGACAAAAATACCTGTTATTATTATTAGCTAATGTAAGAAAATAATATTTTTATTAATAAAAACAATAAAATTATTGTTTTATTCTATTGTTATTGTTATTTTACTATGATTACAAATGTGTAGAGACACCCGACCGCATCTCACTATATCTGAATAACTATGATTACAAAACTAAATTTATTTCTCAAACATGCACATGTAAGGGGCTTAAAGCCCTATTTGTCCCTTTAAAGGTACAAATTTATTTTCAAAATAAGAATAAAAAATTTAGAAATTATTTGTTAAACCCTTACAAGTGGTATCGATAATTCTGTTTCGATACATTCGAAGTACCAATACCATTATTTCGATGCAGGTAATGAGTAGGATAATCGATATCTATTCTGCACCGCATCTAATAGGTTTCAAAATGTAAATCTTTGGGTTGTTGCTACTCGTAGTTTTTGGACATCCATGGCAGTTCTTCACCGGGCTCTTTTCACCTGGTTTGTCCTGCTGGTGTTCCTTGTGCTGCTTGTACTCCGGTTGGACTCGCGGATCCAGTGGAACTGGTTCATTGTCTTCATCCCGCTATGGTTTTATGACAGCATCCTCATGATCTACGTCTTCTTCAATATGATGTCCTACTGCAGGAACAGCGTGGACCGCTTGCCCAACTCGGTCCAGAGAAAGCTCTGGTACCTGCTCGCCATCCTGCTCAAACTCATATCGATCATCATACTCTGCTTAAAACTGGAGAACATCATCTCCAACATTCCAACGGTGTATATTATGATACCAATATGGATACTGATGCCTTTTATGATATCTGATGTTTTCATGTCTCTCATTAAGAGTAGCAGGAACAGATTTGTTTGAAACAAAAAGACTTGGTCTGTTTTAACAGGCAGGTAGTAATGGATCTGCAGCCTCACTCACTTGAGACTTGATAATTTGTTGAATTCTTATTCGATAAGATGAGCGAGGTTCAGTTTTAGCATAAAGCAAGTTTAATTATTTGTTTTTGTATTTTTGTACTGAATTTAATTATTTATCTAATAATATTTCAATAAAACTGTCGATGAAATATATTAATAAATGTGTGGTGATCAGTGACCGTAAGTCTATGATTATTCGGAAATCATGAGATGTGGTCTGGTGTGACATATGCAAATTTTTTTTATATTCAATCAAAGTTTCTGCTCACTCAAAGTGAAAAAAAAAACTGATTGAATATAAAAAAAATATTTTTTTTGCATTGTATAAGTTCACTTTTTTCCACATCCTACATGTATTTGTTAAATTTAAACAATGTTTGCAAATCCCAGGTCCTGAAGATGATCTCAATAAAGATCGAAACGTTGGCACCATAAAGAAAATGTTTTTCTGAAACCTACGTCATACCAGATCGCATCTCACGATTTCCGAATAATTATACTTATAAATTTTAATGTTAAATTTATATTTTTCCATGGGTGATGTATCTAGTACAGTCGTTTCCTGTCACTTTGGTCCGTCAGGCTTGTTTCAGCTTTCTGCCAACTCGCAGCACCGCAGATGGTAAAATGCCTTTTACAGACCAAACCAGAGGGGATAGGCAGGCAAAAAATATTGGAAACGACCAAACATTATTAAATTTGATTTTTCAAATTTACAAAGAGAAAATAAGCATCCTGAAATTAATTAAGAAAGAAAAACTATGTTCATCCTAAACTAGATTTAGAAATTGAAAAAGTTACATATTTAATAGTGTGGTATAGTGCAATAGTAGTCCGAAGAAAAGTTTTTAAAAATGATTCTCTTTTTTTTTTCTCTCACAGCAATAAAACCGACTTGTAACATCAAATCTGCCTAATGTCTTTCTTGGTGAATACTTGTATCGGGGTTTTATTTTTTAATTTATGTTTATTGTTTACAATTACTTAAAAAATTGCCTCCAGTAATATATTATAAAATTTGTTGAGCTTGAAGATAAGTGAAAGGTTGTAAATTGTGAAATAATTTTCCCCAGATGAGTTTGTATTGTAGTTTTATTGATAAATTGTACAAAATACAAATGCTAGTCTTTTCACATGAATGGAATGAAAATTTGTTTAAACGTACATAAACTTCAATTGGCTTATCAGTTAAACATCGTTCAAAATATTTTTGTATAAAATAAATAATAATAAAGTTATAATGATGTTTTTCCTTTACACATTTATTTTGGTATGTATAACCGACCATACAAAATATTTGTAACTATAATAAACTTTTTTTCAATTTTGGTTAGAAAGCATTTCATATATTTATAGCAGCATATTCGGACCAATTCCGGCCTTACATTACAAACACAACAGAACTATTATTAACATTTATAAATAAATAAATACATCACACTGAGGGGCAAACACTTATTTTCTGTCTATTATTATTGTTTTCTCTTGTTTAGGCACTTTTGACAAAAATGTTTTCACATCTATGAGCTATTTGGGCCTTTTAACAATCCACGCCATTAAATTGAGTCCTTTTTTCTTTAAATCAAATTTACTTTTATGTTCAAACTTACAAACGATTGTCTGTTTCATGTTTATATTACATACTAACACAATATTTAAATAAAAAAGAACAGAAATGTACAAAAGTATAAAACGAAAATAAATGGCACTTACTTTTTAAACTTCAATTATAAATACATAAAATTAAATAATTTGAAGAAAAAAAAAAGAAGAAAATAATACACTTATTTACAATTGTAACGTCAGACTTCTAATTAAAGGAAAAACAAAATGAGATCTAATATACAAAGAAAGTATCAGACTTATCAATTATGACATAAAATTCAACTTCATGAAAAGTATCTTTTCAGTCACCAAACGTAATAAGTTCAATAGATATGTTTGACTTTTAAGTTCTTGTTCTTTGGTCAATCGGTGATTTTGATTTTTTATTTCAGCATTTTCATGATTGGGAAATGATTACTTGACATTGGTTTAAATATAAAAGTACAAAAACAGGGTGAGGATGGGGAAATAAATGGTTGTATTTTAAAATTAATCAACATTGGAATTCGGATGCTGTGATGGCGTTGAGATCTTTCATGAGGCCTTCGAGATTTGCCATCTCCTGGTTAAGTTCCTCAGTGCTATATGATGCCTGTAAAAAAATTAATTTTAAAATGCTCATTTACAAAATAAATGTTTCATTCAAGAAGTACCTGTATTCTTGGAAGTTCGTCGGATGACAGTTTGGCTTTTGGGATGGGGGATGTTGATGTTCCTCCTGCGTACACTGACTTCTTAAAAGGACTTGAACCCTGTGCTCGTACAGTGACTAAAAACAAACATCAAACAACCATATTTCCACTAAAAAACCAGCTATATTTTAAAAACGTAGGCTAGAAATTGTTAAAATTTTGACTTGTATGAATATCAATATACAAGCATGTTGGAAAAGAACCACAAAGTTGTTGATATTTAAATTTACAAATATATAAAATTTAATTCAGCCAGTATCTTAGATTTTTTTAATTTTTCTACTGTTGCACTAAAGTTAGAGAAACAGTATATCAATTATGAAATTTACTATTATATAAAATACAGTCAGTCCTACTGCCTGAGTAATATTTTTCTTAGCCGATATCTTCAGTGAGTATTAAACGCTATTATGAAACAAAACCACCACTGAAGGTAGCAAAAAGCTGAAACATGTTCGGCAGACCAAAAGTGGTCAGATATGATCAAGCTATGGATTAATATTTTATATTGTTACATAACATAAACAGGGTATCGGGCTAGGCCTTGTCCCGTCAGAAACAAAAAGGGGACATTCGACCATCCAAGAAAAAAGAATTTTTGTACTTGGACTTTGGAAGATTGGATCTGGTGGAATTATTTGGTGACGAGAGGGATTTCAAGATTCTGTACAAAAGAAGCCGTTGATCTTTTTTTCAGTTTTTTTACACAATTATTTGTTTAAAATATAGAAAAAAAATTAAATTTTTCTATTTCTAAATACATGAAGTGTTTTGCTTTTTGTGGCGATTAAAATATTTTTTTGTAAAATACAAATTTTTTAAATAGAGCTTATGTATCATTCAATTAAAACATTATTTAATTAATTTTTAAAAAAATACATTACAAATTTTGGTAGGTGAGCATGTATTTTTGTTAACACTTAAAAGTAGCTAAATTTATATTTAGTGTTAAAAAGATCATTTTTCCTCATGTTTCTCTTCATTTTCATAATGATAACACATTTTTGCAAATATCCAATTTGTTTTTCATTAACTAACTAGAAACTAAAAATTTTTTTTACTTATATGTTTTTGCTGGGGAGTTGTCGGAGCTGACTGCGGAGGAGGTGCAGGGACACTGAAACTTTTTAATGGGTGCCCTTGAAGCCGTTTTGCATTTTCACTTGTTCTGGAAAATATTGTTGTTATTTTGGGAAAGAAAAACTAAATAAAATTGAATCCATACCCATAATTAGATTGATTGTCTCTCACTCCGACATTCTGGTTTGCTGAATCGTACGTCACCGAAGTAGAGGGTTGAACAACATAAGGGCTCTCAGTGGCTGCAAAAAACAAACGTTTTCATTTATTCAAAACAAAATGTTGCGTTTTATGAAACCTGTAGGATCGATGGTAACATGGGCCCTTGAGGTGTACTGGGTCCTCGGGTAGAGTGGCCGCATCTCAGCTGGATTGATTGATGCAGACGAAGTTGGTGTCCCCCCGATTGGAGCGGCTGTTGCCACAGCTGGAAATTTTACCCAAAAAATTTTAATATTTTTAAAATATTTCGAAACGAACTGCATGTAACAACCCTTCAAACTAAAACTTAAAACAAGTTGTACTTATACAACAAATATAAACTGGGGAAATACAGAGAAGTTCTTTTTGACTTACGTTCCCTAAAGTGTGAATTATCAATCGGCAAAGTTATAAGTTTTGGTTTGGGTCCACGCCTCAATGTCGAAATCCTTTCTTCCGGCATAAGTAATGGCTGGCACTGAGATCCTGGTTTGTTAAAATGGCAAAAATAAAATAATAGAAATAAAAAGTGATATGAACTAAATAAAATGTGTGAACCTATTAAACAAAAGGTAACTTTTAACACTAATACATGAATAAACAAATAAAAAATGCAGAAACTAAATCCCTTTAAGTTTAAACAAAGAATTATAACAAGTAGGAAATGCATCTAACATTAAGCTTAAATTTGCCTGTAATACAACAAATATACTGACCCCCATTGTAGAAAATTAAATTAGAATGATGTATAAAATTACAATTTATTTGTAAGGCTTCATTAATCCTATGAATGAGGTACAGGGGAAAAAACAGAAATGTGCATTTAAAATATAAAAATTGTAAATGAAACGATGAGTTCACTTGGGTCCTTATGATGCCATGTACGAAAATTGTAAAGCCAGATAGTTCAGAAACTACTAGTTTGACCTTTACTTGATATTTCTTTAGCAAAATACCTATCGCTTAAAAAAAAGCTTTCATCCTTTAAATAATGTCCAAGTTGAGTAAAAATTAAATCGATGATAATATACCAGTGAGAATATTTTTATGAGTATAAACCAACCAAATTTTTGTAGGGCAAAACATCCTTATAAATTAAGTCAGTATAAAAAAATTTACAATCTTAAAAATCCATTACATTGCAATTGTATAACTTTTCTGCACCCACTAAGTTAATAACAGCAGTAGAATTAGATGTTAAAATTAGAAGAGACATGAGTTTAAAATTAATTGAAATTTTACTCTGGTATTCCAATATTGTTCTTGTTTTGTTAACTTCACAAAATGTATACCTATATAAGACGCCTGGTAGTCGCGATGAATGGACTGATCTTGATGTTTTTCCAATGTGCCACTTCTTGGAGGAGTCGAATCTCCATTGCATTTTGGTAGAGTTCCACCGCCAACATTACTGCTGATACCATCTTGGTTCTTGTCAAGGTTTTTGAGCTCCATTTGGTCATGATGTATCCAGAGATCAGGTGGTTTTATGTTGCTGGCTCCTGCCTTTCCACCTTTTGGATACCTTGACAAATTAAATACATTTTTTTTTTTTTTTTAATAGATTTAGACCGAGTCAGCTAATCTATTTCGACATTTTTTAAAAATTACAGACTTGAAAAGTAAAATTTTTGATTTTCACACACCCTTTTTTGCTGCGATCGGGGGTTGTGGGGTTTGACTTTCGACAACAAAGGAACACAACAGAGATTGCGATCAAAGTGATGAGAACTGATGATGCTACTATAACTATGTACATTAAGGTAGTATTACTAAGGCCCTTTCCTGTAAAGAAAGTTCAATAAAAATAATGATAAAAGAATACAACAAGAATACAACAAACAGGAAGTTAACATCAATAAATTAAATATAACTCACCTTTGTTTAAATTTCCAACCTCTGCTATAGCACCAAAAGCTAATACAAAGATATCAGGATAATATTCAATTCAAAAAGGATAAGAAAGCAATACAACAAAGTCATTAAGCTTAAACTTCAAACTTTCATATTTAGTAGACTTAATAAGATTATGCATATCAGAGAAGATCAGATATAAGTTTTTTAAATTAAATTTCTTTTTAAAAAGAAATTACCAGAGGCTGGTGTTGTTATTGAAACTACCGGAGAGCTGATAGAGAATCCTTTTTTATTCCTTGCTTTGACATGGAAATAATAGGTCGTGTCTAGGGAAAGTGCTTTGATAAGGGTTGACATTTTATCACCTGGCACATGCTCGGTTACCCAGTCTCTCTCTTTTGATTGAAGGTCTGTCGTGTATGATACGACATAGCCTAAACAATTATTTTTTGAAATTATCATGGTTTCAATAAAAAATCCATTCTAATCATACTTGTTATGTGGCCGTTCGGGATTTTGGGTGGCTGCCAGGAAAGACTGACAGTACCGGGCGAATTCTGGTTCACAACAGTCACATCCCTTGGAGGAGAGCCAGGGGCAGATTCCCATGTTGTGTTTGCAACCGTCATGCTCCAAGGGCTGTCTCTACGACCCTGTTTGACAAGAAAAATATCTCAATCTTACTTCAATAATTGTGAAAAGATGGTTCTGTAAAAATGTTAAAACTTCAACTCAAGCTAATTTTTTTAAAAATTAATTACAAAAATTATTAATAAATATTGATAATAATCAAATTAAATTATTTCTTGCAATGTTTTTAGATCAAAATTCCAAATGTGTTGGTACTTTTTAAAAAAATATAATTCATACTCAAAATAAAAAGATACAAAGTAGACCCCTAATTAGGCTGTAACAAATTAAAAAAAAATAAACGTACTCACATTTACTACTTTAACAACAAATTCATATTGTGTAAATGGCTTCAAATCGTCGATCATGTAGTTGAGGACTGTTGAATTGTGAAATCTGTATCTTGTATTTAACGAAGAGGGGTGAAACTGGTTGTATCGAACAACGTAGTATCTCCCATCATTTACTACCTAAAATTAAAACAATTTCAAATCAATAATTCAGATGTGATAATATTGTAAAACAAATTTAAATTTTTAATATATTTAAAGAACAGTTTAAAAGTCAAGGTTAATTTATATTAAGAGATAAATTTATAAAATAATTTTGTCAAAAAAAAGAAAATTTTCTGCAATTCAATTCAGAATTAAAAATTTTCAATTTATTCAATTCAATAAAAAAATTTCAATTGAAGCTTTTATAATAAATGTTGTTATTGAGTGTGCTACCTGATCTGGGGCTAATGTCGTGTCTGTCCAGAAGAGAACGACTGATGTTGATGACACAACAGTGGCTTTGAGCCCAATCGGCGGAAGGAGAGGAGTTATTGGCTCTGCGATATTTTCTAATTTGGTCCGAACGTTCTCATAAGCCAATGGTCCATCACCCCTTTCATTTCTAGCCCGTAACGAGATTACATATTCAGAGTTAGGTTCTGAGAAAAGTAAAATGTTTGAAAAACAGAATTTTGTGGTACTGCGATTTTTTCAGGGAATAAATACTAACCAAGATTTTTTATTACATAATGCCTCTGTTTTCCATCGAGTTTTTCAACATAGTCATCCGGTATACCTTTACCCCATGTTATTATATATTCACGAACAAGAATGTTTGTATTTTTTGGAGGTGACCAAACTACTGTTATCGAATCTCCATTTGCTTTCGCTAAAAATATAAAAATTCTTTTTAGTTTACCACAGCATTACACAATGTAAATAAATAACCACCAAAAATAATAGCCTTTTTTGTTGGCCCTAGTTTCTGCTCAACATTTTGAGAAAAGAGTATAACAAATACACACCAAATAGAAAGAGGGAGCAAGAGAAACATCTAAAGAAAAGACTTTACAATTAGCATTATTTCAGTTTTTTCTTTAATGCAAGGCTTGGAAGACTCTAAATCAATCATCTAGACACTTTAGATGTGGTATGTTCGTAATAAATTGCAAATGTTTTAAAGCAATAATTAATTGTTTGTGAGAGAAAATCTTGTCTCACAATCAATTAATTCTTCTTATATGTTTTCAAGAGTAAGAAATAAATTAACAAAATCCCAAAAGGCATATTTAAACCAGCACTCACATGGCAAAAATTATCCATATTCGCCTCACAACAAGGGAAGGGGGCATTTATAGAGGAGTAATAAATATTTAATGGAAATAAAACAATCTAGTATGGGTATTAGCCCATTTTCCAGGAGAGAATAGACCACCCTTCAGTAGTAAATTACTATTACTTCCTGAAAAGATGACAATTTTCTGATCAATTTATCAAGATGGATTTTTTTTAGTGTGAATTTGATGAACGTCTTCAGCATGGAGGGTCCTACAAGTTAAGTTATGTCAAAAGAAACGTGTACTTTCGAGAGGCTACTGCACCTAAAGTTTAAAGGTTATACCATTGTGTAGATCTATTTAGTGACTATCTAAAAATAACTCATACTTCCCCACACTTCACCTTAGCACCTCAATTTTGCCCGTGCTGCGCTGGTGCCATTTACTCTTACACGTGAGATACCACCAAACCAAAAGATGAATTTGGACAAAATAAGCTTTATTTATCTGCTTAGAGTATTAGCTAATGTTTAATAGTGAAAATAGTATATATGAATTATAAATCAACTTTTTACACCAAGAGGTGAAAATATCAAAACTAAAAAAAATGAATGATTGTAACAATTAAATTAAATCCAATTTGCGACCAACCAAAGGCACTTTTAGATGCAGAGTGATTATGCCTCTATCGATTGAGGAAGAAAGAGGCCAAAGAAAATGTATCCATCTCAAACCAGCTTGGCCAAATTGATCAGCATAGTATTGTGCATGTAAGGATACATTTCTAGATTATTAAAATATTTGAAATTAACTTTTTTACTCTTGTATGCAACCCATAATAGTTTGTTTAAACAAAAGTGTAAAAACCCCAACTGTTAATTTATTGTTCTTAAATTTCCTTAAAATGACAACAAATCACCTTTTAAATCAGATGGTTTATCAGGAACTGTCGTTTCATCAAGGTCTTTTTCGTAAGTCTCAATCGTGTACCAATCTGTAGGGGGTCCAGTTCCATTGACATTAATAGCCCAAATCCTTACTTGATATATCTGTATTCAAAAATTGTAAATATTAAACTCCTTTAATACAGTTAACATTTTTTTTTTTTTTAATAAACTTACGCTGCTTTTGTCAAGTCCAGTCAGCACATGAACTCTCTTGTTACCAGCTGTGGTTACAGTTTCAGAACGGCCTCTACGATCGCGCATTCTGTATCGTAGCTTGTAACCTGTGATTACACCGTTGCACCCCTCAGGTGATGGTGGATCCCACCGCACCGTTAAACTCTGATGTAAGTAAAATTAATAAGTGATACAAGTTCATAAGAAATCATTTTATTCGACTTACTGAAGAGCTGGTTGCTTCAACGGTAACATTCGTAGGAGGTTCAGAAGGTACGTCAGAAAGAGTCTTGACTGTAATCTCATCAGAGTTTATGCCCGGTCCGTAGTGGTTGTAAGCCACAACCCATACAAAATATTCTGTGAATTTTTTCAAACCTGTCAAAGTATAAAATGTGTCTTCCGTTTCAATGTGGTGTTCCTCTGAAGAATCATACTAAACAAAAATTTAAAGAAAACTGTAAAATGAAAATCATACTAATGAACTTACAAATGAAAAATGTAGTTTGGTTATTACCATCATATTGGTTTGCCTATTCTTTTAGTGCCAGATAACTAGTAAGGATAGACAGACAAAAATGATCGGTAACGATCAAATTATAGGGTTATCACCCACAAACCACATAGAGAAATATCACAATTTGAGTGTTTAATATTAAATCAACTATTTTGCAAATATATATTGCCTCATTGAATATTTAATATATTTTCAATATTTATAAATCACTTATTCAAATAATACTGGGTTGCTTCACATAATAAAAGATCAAAAATATGGGGAAAAGACTAGTTTGATCTTTTTATTATTATTATTTTTTTTTTTATTATATGTACAAAGAAGCTATTAATTCGTTTTTAAATACACCAATAGCAATAAAGTCCTTCAAAATTATTTTAAACAAAAGTTTAGTATATTAACATTAGACAGTTTTTACAATTACTATTTTCAAATACTCCACCATGCAAAATGAGGGAATGGTGTGTACATATGAAAGAAAGTATTTAATAGTGAATTGGAGCCAATAAAATAAAAATTAACAAAACAAGGGAAAAAATAATGAGTGTTTGGATCTATCAACTGATTGTGTTGGGGCTGAAATGACCTAGCTGTCAACCACTGAAGCCCAACCTCGGCTGGACAGATAAGATCAAGGTATGACCCCGAACTGCCAACTCCGAGGGTGGGTAATTCTCAAGGCTCGCCCTTAATTAATTATACATTATAAAAGCTGTAATCACTGGTGGACTGCGAAAAGTCATAGGCTCAACTATGAACATGAGTGTATGTATTTACATGCATGTGCAGATTTGAGCTTATATAAATCAGTTATCAGTAATTACTATTTTTTGTAATTATAACTTTTTCTTTTCCTTCTTATTTTTCATTTTGGAGAATCTTAATTTTGTTATCTTTCGGCCAGTTACAGAAGTTACCTTCTTAAACTGGCCTGAAAACTACACTTTATTTTTAACTGTTTGGTATGCAATACAAATGCAGAGCAAAATAAATTGGAGCGTATACATTTAAGATAATATTGGAGAGAGAAAAAATCAAACATACCTCATAATAATAAAGTTTATACTTGTCTATCTTTCCATTTGTTATATGTGGTTCTGACCAAGAGACTCTAAGTTCTGTAGTGGATGAAATTGCATGAACATTTAAAGGAGGGCTTGGTACTCCTCTTAACTCTGGCGCCGTTATGACCAGATGGCCGCGGCTTGTCTCGCCAAGACCTGCTGTAGTGATTGCCGCGATTCTAAAAATGTACGTTGTATTGGGACTGAGCCCTGAGATATTTGTCTCTTCCAGATTAGATCTCGATGTGTTTACGACACGTTCCCTGGAAACAAGAAAAAAAAAAGTTATAAATTTCTTGATCATGTGAAAATGTTTAAATGGGCATACCTGTTTGAATCTTGCTCCTTGTAAAAAATGCTATAGCCAAGAATTTCACCTTGAATTGAAGCCGGCGACTTCCATTTAAGAGTAACCATCTTGGGCCTCACTGCGATCTCCTCTACTTCTTTTGGAGGACCGGTTTGTGACCTAATGCTCTCTAAAGAAGACCAAGGAATGGAAGGTTTGCTAGAGTTTGTTACTGTTTGCCAATGAATGTTAAAAGGTGGAGCATTTCATGATTTGGAAAGAGGATGGCAAAAAGGAAACAGAAACAAAAAAAATTAAAAACTAAACAATAAAATGAACAAAATAAAACAGTAAAAAATAAATAAAGGCAAAAATATTCAATTGTGTAAAAAAATTAAAATAAAATAAAAAAATAACAGAAAAAACAAGATGTTTTTATTATTTTGGTTAAAATCTATCAGGGGAGTCACTATCATTAAATACACCACTAAAAATAAATACATTACCAGTGCTGGTCACAGTCAAAAGGGCAGCAGCTTGAATATTGCCAGCTGAATTAGATGCAAGGCACTGAAAAATGCCATAATCTGATTCCATCACCCCCAGAATACGCAAGTTGTTTCTTAAATTAGAATAAATAAATATATTTATTATTGTAATTATAATGTTTTATTAGCATCATAGAATTTTAATTCCATCAAACCACATTGTGGATTTAACTTTAAACAAGCTATGAGAAATATATAGATCGTTTGTTTATCATTAGCTCGTTTAATGTAAAAAATGTTATCAATAAATTAACTAGAACTACTAAGAGACGAAATCAATGAAAATAGAATGAAATAACAAAATAACAGTGTAAGAAGGTTTGTGCAATTTTTATAAGAAATTTCAATTTTTTTTCTTACCCATTCACCACTTGAAGGTATAAGCTAGAGTTGGCGACATGATCACCGTTTTTAAGCCAATAGACTTTCGGCTCAGGCTTGGCATAAACTTTGCATTCGAGTTCAATGTCAGAATTAACACTTGCAATGATTGATGATGGATGTTTTACAAATCTTGGGGCAACTGTAACATAAAATATTAAAATTAATCAATTTTATATTTTATAAAATATATTTCACTTTGATGAATATTACCATGAATGGATAGAGTTGCTTGCGTATCAACTGAATCCACACTGTTCCCTGCCCTGCACTGATAATGGCCTGCATCAGATTCCCTCACATTTGTAATTTGCAAAGCTCCAGTACCAACTTTCTCATACCGACTGTCTAGATCACTGGAAAAAAAAGAAAGAAAGAAAGTGATTTATTAATTTTATTAAATTAATAAAAACAAATATGGAAGTGCTATATTACGCCATATCAACTTTAATGCCGTCTTTCAGCCAATCGATCCATGGTCTTGGATTACCGTTGGCTGCACAGTCAAGAGTTATAGTGTCACCTTCAAACCCAACTGTTTCATTTGGTTCAGCAATAAATTCAGGGCTTGTTTTCCTTGACGAACCCTCTGAAAAATTTACAACTTCTTGTTAAACAATTTTGTATACATTAGTGGCAAAGTAAATTGTAAAAGTAGGTTGTGTAAGTTTTGTTTTCATGTGATTATACCTTTGGCAGTTAACAGATTATGATTCACACCACAATATAGTGATCATTTTAATAGGTTTGAGAAATGTTATTTTCAATATGTCAACTAAATTCAAAATTAGTATACATATAATGTAAAATATGTAGTTGTTTATAAACTCTCCAAAGCGACGAAGAGGGGAGCTGGGAAAAAAAGGTTGTTGAGTTCATTATTCTCGCCACTTCCAGAAAATAAAAAGGAAAAACAACTAAATAAAGAAAAAAGAACACTTAATAAAATGTTTAAGTAGGCAGACAGCCATGACTTTATAATTGTGTATGCCCTTAAAAGTACAAATATTAGTATGTAATAAAATTATCCTAATTATAAAAATACATAATAATATTAAATTTCTTATATCATCTGATGGAAAGCAACGAAGAAGAAAATTAATTAACTACAATGAAATTCACTAATATCTCTATGAAATCAGAACATTATTTAACAAATGTGTATTCATTTGGGTTCCTAGTCATGTCGGCATTTCTGGAAATGAAAAAGCTGATCAACAGGCAAAGAACGCTGCAAACCATCCAAAAAGAACAGATCAATTTCCTCTCCACCCAGATGATATAGTCGTTTATGTTAAAAACATTATCAAACGAAAGTGGGTGGCAAGATGGAATGTCTGTAGAGATAGTATGAAAGAAATTAAGCCAGTTGTACATAAATGGCCAACTGAGGAACTTGAAAGAAAAGAACTTGTCATTCTCTCTAGATTGCGAATAGGTCACATCAGGCTAATCCATAATAGGCTTTTAATAGGCAACAACCTTCTAACTTGTCCTTGATGTATGTGAAGTGGACAATGTATTCTGACAGTAAAACACATTTTGGTCGACTTTAGGCAAAAAAGCTCAACCTTTCGAGTGATTTACAGGAGTTACTGGGTCCCCAGTGTTCCTTTCGAAGAGCACTTTTCAGCTTTCTCAAATTTATTGGAATTTATAATGAGATTTAGGCCCTTTCCCAAACTGTTATACCATTGAATGTTTGCCTGCTAATGTTTGAATGAGAGTTGTGCGTGCAAGATTTCTTTCTTTTTTCAGAAATTTTTGAGGCTGCCAAAAAAAAAAATAAATAAATAAAAAGATTGTGTTATTGTTTCTTATTATTATTATGTAGTATTAGTTTATCTATCATACTTGAATGGAAGAATAAAAGGATAAGGATGAGCCTATACTAATCTGACTCCATTATTATTATTAGCCATACAAGCCTATGGAAAATGTTTAAATTATGGAACAAAAATTCAAAATTCTAATTAAAAAACAGGAATAAATTTTATATGTAATTTAAAATGAGATTTTTGCATACATTTGGCATTCCAAATTAAGAATTTTAAAAGGATAAATTAAAGCTTTGGATGGCAATAGGAAAAATTAGTTTATGAGAATGTTTGGAGTCAGGGCTTTATAACACTCAGAAGGGATATAGCTAACCTAAGATAGAAGGTTTGGATGTTAGAGCCTGAAATGACCTTAGCCGTTAAAACGTCCTTAAAAATTAATAATAATAATAATAACTACAATGAACATATCACCTTAATTTTTATAAATCTTAAAAATACTGGCTCAAGTTGTGGGGTGACTATCTCCGGACAGCTACCTTATTTCATATACCATAGTACGATACAAAACTCGATACACATTGTGTACAAGCAAAATATTTGAAGTGTTAAATGTTTAATAAATAATACTTTATACACAAAGATAGATATAAAAGAAACGTTTATTTCAAAACAAGAATTGTACCAAGATCTTGTGAAACAGTGAGGAAAGCCTTTTCACTTAGTCGATAACCAGCCAATCCAGAGATGTTACATTGATAGCTCCCAATATCTGATACTTGGACTTCGTCAATTTCCAACGAGCCCGAAGGCAGGACGATCATCCTCGTTTCATCTAGAACTAGTGGAAGTTGATCTTTTATCCATGTCACGGTCGGCTGTGGTTTGCTGTTGCTGTGACAGGCGAAATGAGCCGTCTGTTTTGGATAAACATTCAAACTCTGAGGCTGTTTATCTAATGAAGGCAATTCTGCAAAAAAACAAAAATGAATGATACTCTTGTGATTTTGAAAGGTACAATACCAAAAAACAGATATATCGTGAAATGTTTTAGTATGTTTATTGGGGTGGGGGTGGGGAAATAGCCTGTTTAAATATTTTAACATAAAACAAGTCAGTTATGTTTAATTTTTAATTAAATATATAATAATTATTCAAAAACTGTGTGCTACTAAAATAATAAATATTTATAATTAAATTTTTGTGTAAGTATTGATATTTGTTTTACTAGATAAAACTTACTGGCAAATGTAACTGTGGCAGTACGACTGACTATTTTACCAACCGAAATGACTTCAACAATACAAGAATATCGCTCAATTATTTCATTATTCACAAGCTCCTGTCCAACGACTTTTGAAATAACAAGAGATCCATTAGGAAGTTGAGACCTGTAAATATAAGTTTAAAAACATGAAATTTAATTAAAAAATCATACTGTAAATAATTTGTTCATACACTGAACTATGTGGGTCGCCTAAGAAATCGATTGCCTGGCCATCGTTGCTACGCCAATGTATAATAGGCTCTGCTTTAGGATCCGATGTCCCAACAATGCAATCAAGTATTGCACCGGAATCCAAAGTTACAATCACATCTTCTGGCTCTTTAATAAACCACACACTGTTGCTTTCATCTGAATAAAATATATATAATTGTAACAACAAAAATATTGTTTCTTTTCATTTTGATTAAATGGGCAACTAAAAGGCATTATGGCAAAAGTGCTGAAATGTTTATAAGGAGTGAAAGATACATATAAATTTAGAAAATACAGATGTGTGCACTAGTTGAAAGTTAGAGGATAATTGCATCACACCAGCTTAATTACACAAGGTAACTTCACATTTAACTATTTATAACTAGACTATTTAACCAAATTTCACAAAATAAGAAAATATATGTATATTTTTTTGGTTTGGTCATTTAAGATTATTTTGTTTAGCCAATCCTCACATGACTGAAGATGGCAAAATGCCACACTTGTCTGACAGACCAAAGCAACTAAGATACCACACACCCTGGTAATCACCCATTACCTCTGTCAACATTGAAACGTCTTTTTTGACTTACAAATACTTATTGAACGATAAACGCTGTAGTTTACACTTATATAACTAATCTAATTGATTGTCAATGTGGTACTCAAAATTCTGCCATCGGTCCTACACAGTACACATTCACACCAATAAATACATTTACTTTTTACACACACTAGGGAAACAAAACTCTAAGTACTGACATACAATAAAACAACCCTCCAAGAATCAGAACAGGGGACTATTATATGGGGCACATCAAGCTACCTTTATTTGCATACCAGCCAAAATTAGTCAACCTCGCACACCCTATTTTTAATCAGGAAAGGATTACAAAATCCTCCACAAAATAAGTCCTCTGAGGGCCACCCATCGACAGTGCTCTTGAGAAGCAAGAGCTGCTCACCAATCAGGTCCATTGTCCATGCTACCACTTTGATTTAATGTTTTTTAAACATAAGCATTAAAGCATTTTTAGCATCAGAGGACCAGCCTGCGAAGCAAGTCCAGTGGTTAAGACGTCCCAGCCTTGGCTTCCTCATCTGCCTTTTTTTTCACCAGGTACCTGGGCAACAACTAACATTTTGCCAAGACACTCCAGTTCATGGCATCGCTCCAACAAGAGCACAAAGAGAGGATCAGTGGAGGATCCGTCATGGACAGCACTAACTGCACTGGGAGCAACCATGAAATGGAAATTTTAATTCAGATCATGAAATTAAACTTAATTAATTAAAATAATTAATACAGTCAATTTTGACTATCAAATACATACATGGATTAGTACTTATGTGGGACTTATATAATTATATAGTCTTATGTGGGACAGAGATTTTTCTATCTCATTTCTTGTCAAACAATATACCAGAACGGGAAGAATGGGTCAAAGGTACACCTCTAAAGGCAAACTCCTACTGGTACATTGACGGCTCCAAAACTGACAAAGGCACAGGGGCTGAAGTTTCGGGATGAATCCTATGACTGAACTGATGGTAAACCTAGGTAAATATCCTACAATTTCTCAGTCAGAGAACATGTGCCAGGGAAATAAAAAGGCGAGGATTGCATTCCTTGGAGCAGATAGCCATCTTCTCTGACAGCCAGACAGCAGTAAAGGCCCTAGCCTCATGCGATTCCTGGCATAAGTCAGCGGCACTAATGACCTGACCCTGGAATGGGTCCCTGGGCATAGAGGCATCGAAAAAGTTGACATGTTGGCCATAGAGAGAGCCAACATGGACTCTCTTGGTCTTGAATCCTACTGTGGCCTAGCATCGTGCCACAAAAGAGGATATATCTCAAAATCAATCCTTAATGAGTCCAAAACTTGGTAGAACAATACCACAGGCATGAGGCACGCAAAGAGATTCATAGTCATTGCAAAATTTCCAAAGGAATTACTGGAAGGCAATCGCAGGATTCTGGTTGGCCTCCTGACAGGGCACTGACTTAAGAAAGCACATGCCCCGGATAGGAGCAGAGACAGAAGAAACACTGTGCAGATATTGCCAGGAAGAGGAGACTGCAGAATACATTTTATGTTTATGTGAAGGTTGCTGCAGGTTCTTGCAACTAGGACAGGAAAAGACACAAGCAAGCCACTAGCAAAGCTACGGACGTCGATTAACAACCTGAAGCTGGCCAGTGAGTTATAAAAACAGGAAAGAACAATAGATCTACTCAGGTCAAGATGCAGAAGGCCTTTGTGTCCGCCACTTTTATCCCTATCCCTTCTAGTCAAAATGAATGTATACTAGGAAAAAACAAAAAGTATGTCTAGGTTTAAAAAATTAGTCAATGCCAGGCTGATGGCTCAGACATTCAAACTGTGTATTTTAATATTTTTAGTGCAAACTATACGGCATATTTGAGGCTTAAATAATAATATAAATCATATTATGTAGTGTATTTAAGGATTTTTATTGCATATAAATCCTGGCTCTAGACATCACAGTAGACAATGTAATTTTTTGTTTAAATTAACGGATGGCAAAAACACAACCACTTTTTGTGATATCGCTCGAACAAATGTAAAATTTGTATAATTTCATAGGTATTCATGCCAAATTGAATTCAGTATTTTTGTATATAAAAAATCAACTGTGTAAACATACTTTCATGAGCGTCGGTTCGGGCGGCCAAAACTGATACGTAAAGCAGCAAGACGAAGCTGTGAACACATATGCACGTCGGACGGGGTATCGAAGCCAGGAGGCTTTCCAACATATTAAAGGATTATGTTTCGTTTTTTTTCAGTTGTTGGCACCGCTAATTCGGATTATCACAGAGATGAGGGGATCAACAACGGCCTCGTAACATCGCTTTTCGTATGTGTGTTCGCGTTTTGGATGGTCGGTAACACAGCTGAGCGAACGTTCCGACTCCTACGATGTCCACATTTATGAAACGGACATTGAAATCACCGCCGACTGCCAAAACTTGGTGCATTCAAAACAGATTAAACTCAACTCGAGTCGGCCATGTTTACCTATGCACTCTTCGTTCCGATACTAGGCGATAGGCGATACGAGCAACATCGAATTTCCACAGATATCTTGATACTGGCATCGATAAGATAGAACAATCGAAGAACATTATGATTTAATTTTGAGCATCTACCGTTTACACACTATGCAATTGACAGATTTAAACTACAAAGAAACATAATTTAAGAGGGAGTATTGTAATATTATATGCCTTCTACGTTGGAAGAAGCTACAACTTCCATCCATGATGCTGATCATCTGCACAAATCTTTAAATAATATTGTAGAGTGAGGTTCATGCAACATCGTAGAACTAAATGTAAATAAGTATAAAGTTGTTAGTTATAGTCTTGAACGTAACATTGTCTTTTACAATAATTCCATACAAGACATCCAATTGGACAAACAAACGAGCATTAAAAACCTTGGAATCACTCTAACATTTAACTTACATTGCACTTCAGTAATTAATAAGGATAATCAAATTTTAGATTTCATACATAAAACTACAACAAATTTTAAGGATGCGGAACAATGATTGTACTGTTTAAGACTACGGTCCTCTTTTAGAATACTATTCAGTAGTTTGGTTACCACATCAGAAAATAGTAATTCAATAAAAACGTACAGCGATGATTTATATGCTCTCTATGGTTTAAAATTACTAGAACATACACTGTTCAAACTTATTATATTATACGCAGAAGCGCAACCACTAAACATAAGATGACAAAATAGTGACCTGATATTTACTTACAAACTCTTTGATAATATGATTGACTGTCAACTTTTAATCAGATTACTAAATTTCCATGTTCCTCAGTGTAATACGAGACAATAAATATTTCTAAAATCTAACTACAATACAAATTTTTTACAATTTAGATTAGAACAAACTTCCTTTAAATTGTGACATTTTTTACTTTCCTTAAGTCAATAAAACTTCTTTTTTTTAAATATGGATAATAGCAATTGCGTTTGTTTATATATTTCTGTTATTTCTTTAAATTTCTTATCATTCCTTGTCACGTCTTTTTTATTTTCATACATATGTTTATTAAAACAATACTTACAACAATTTATGTTACAGAAAGATAGAAAGAATCATACTGCATTTCAGCAATAGCTATTACAGAGGGGAGTCAAAAGGAAAAATAAAGATGTATACTTAATTAATTAATATTAATAATAATAGCAAGGACCAACAAATTAAAAATAAATATTCCATATTCTTAAATAATAAAGATTAACTTACATAACATATATGTTAGGGGGAAGACGTGTTAAACAAGAAACCTAAATACATGTCGCTAAACCTAAAATAAAGAATTACAAAATGCAAAAATATATTCATGCATCTAAAAATATCATTCATTGACAATGAAAGCCCTCAATTTTAGTTTTTCAAAGAGATAACTGACAGAGCACATTGATTGTGTGTCAATTACATGTTGGAGACCATTTACAGACAATTTTATTTTTACACTGTCTTAGTTGTATAAGTTGTCTTTGTTTATTTGCAGGCAATTTTAACTGTAAATAATGTTGGAGGAGTCTTCTCTCCAGTGTATGGTTGATTACTGAAAGTTTAACCTTTTATAGAACTTTTACTAGGTGTATTTACCTGTATAAATAATAAAAGAACATAATATAAAATATTAGACGAATACTGTATTTATGTAATAACTTATATTTTACGAATGTATGGCCTCAAAATAAAATTTAACATATTTACTCTTTTTAGTTCCAGGATTGTGAGGAGGGAGAATAAAATTTTCTAAAAATGTGTTCGGAGCACTCTCCTATTAGTCCACATCTCATCTTTAAAGGTTCCCAGCCTCAAATTGCAACCATGCAAGAGGACAGGTAAAACAAAGCTTTATGTTATTATGCTGAGAAACTCATTTTGCTGAATACACTGTGGGATAATTGTGTCCTCCATTGATAAAGGTTCAGGTCCGCTTCGGTACCATGAACTTGGTAATTTAAGATAATGAGCTGAGGGTGATGGAGGTCTTCATTTTGTGTTTTGCACGTAGTGTTCTGTCCCATAGTGCTCTCCTCTTAATTTCATCACCATCCCCCAATTCTTAAATTTTACCCTGAGATGATGTTTTAGCGATACCTGCTCAGATTTCAAAGTCTGACTGCTTGATCTGTCGTTGTTTAAATACGAACTTCACCCAATGGTGGTACGTTCCGTTTTTAAATACTGGCCCTAGTGCGTTTATTTATAAGTTAAAAAAAGTTTAAATTTGTTACGTTCAATATCAGTTTGATCAGCTCTAGCGAGAGGGCGTGGAAGTAACACGGAATTTGTTTATTTTTCTCTTCTTTTTTTTTTGGTCAGTTTTATCGAGGGGGTGTCACCGTTTTCATGTTATCGTCCCGTCTTTTCAGACTAACTGCAGATCGCTGACCAGAGCTGAGCCGGCCACCCAGGCTGTCGGTCACGACTCGATGACACTCCTCTCCGATTGAAACTTCTTTCGTCGGTGTTCTGCCGATAAGGATTGTGTCGTTATTGTAAAAGGTCAGAATGTTTTGAAACACGATGGTAAGGGACAGATAGCATATGCGGTTGTACGGATTCACGGTGTGGAGCTAAGACGAGCTGTTAACGATGAACGAGCCGGCTTAGTTTTGAGTATGTCCTACACGGAGCTCGAGCATGGATACCAAGGGTTGAAAAAGACTCGTCCGGCGTTCTATATAGGACATGAGACCGCGGAAGTACTTAGATCCACGACGACAAAGGTATTTATCTACAATGTTCACCCTCTTAAGTTCCTTAAGTCTACAGAGGTCGAATGTAAGTTCGCCAAGTACTCAAGACAATCCTTAACAATCTGGACAGTCGTTTCGTCGTCAGTTGGCACAATTATCCAAACAGTATGTGTATAGATAGTTTTTTAACCTTCAATTACTTACATAAATTTGCTTTTTTAAATTATTCTTATAGCTCTTATAATGTTGGGTTTTCAACACCTACGATAAATAATTGTTTGTTGATGAAACCCCTGGCCATACGCTCATAGTTGGGTCATACACTCATACAACAGAGATGAAAAGTATTTGTGCTGTACTGACCTTTAGATATTACTAAATCTACCACCTCTTCAAATTTATCATCAAGGGAAAACCCCAATCAGCTGAACACAGGCGCATGTCAAAGGACAGTAAAACTTAGTATAACTCAGAACGGATGCTGAATTGAGCATACCCGTGAATGCAGTGACTACTAGGTAGTATTGAAAAAGGACCAAATTATGGTACAAGAAAGGGTAGCATGGGAGAAAGGAAAAATTCCTCTTGGTATATACATGGTTCAAAAACCAAACATGCCACCAGATCAGGTATTTACGGAGGATAAAATGGTTAAATGAAAAGTTGGCACCTTTTCTGCTTGACAAAACGGGGACGAATTGACTTAGTGCCAAAGATATTAAGGCTGTAAATAGAAGAGAAAAAGATAGCCATCTACTCTATTAGCCAAACTATATTCAAAGCAATTGCATCACATGATGGAAAATCTTTGACTGAAGTGTACTGGGAATAAAAGAGAGAATGAATTGTCTGTCTGGGTACAAAATACAAGAGGTCAATGAAAAAGCAGACAAACTACAAGGAGGTTCAGTCTAAAGCATGTACATACAAAATCAATTTTTAAATGGATCATGTTTACACCATACCTCGTGGAACAACATGCCAAGACAGAAGCTGGCAAAAGTCACAAAGAAAATTTCCTCAGGCTTATAACAAACCAATAAAGGGCCAAAACCTGTGATAGATCTGTTAAGGCTTAATAAAAAGGTATCTCATGGGCAAAGTTTTCTTCTGCTCAATACATAAAATATAACTGAGGAGCCACTAACAAAGCTACAGACTCTAATAAAACGCAAGGGAAGCAGAACAGATGTGCAAAAGGCTCTTTACCCTCCTCAGAGACAAGCGTCTAGTTTACAAAGTCACCCTCATTGCTCAAAGCTCTTATTTTATAAAATCTTTTGTTTTTTATAAAGAGATTATGTTTAGATTAAGCAAAAGCTTCAGGCAGTCAACTGTGTAGGTGTTGTAACTAAGGATCATTAAGTTAAGCTTTTATTATACTAGGCATTTTTGCAGCGTAATATTTTTTATTTTTTTTAAGCTCATCCCAGAAAGCAACATTGTCCCAAGACTGCAGTCTGCTTTTATGTACTCTTTTGCTTGGTTTTGTCCTTCGATTAGATGCTTTTTTAATGCTGGTCTACTTTGACTTCTGCTGAACAAAGGTATTATGGACCGTGTCATCCATTTGGCCTTAAAATTGGATTATTAAGTGTTGTTTGGATAATTTCCCTATGGTTCTATTTTGATTTGCTGTTTAACAACATATCACTCTGTGAAGAAACTCGAGTTTAAAAAAATCTGCAATTTTTTCATATTTTTGTCATTTTTTTTAAAAGTGATTAATTTCTTTGTTTTATGAGTGCCAAAACAACTGTTGAAGCTTTAAAGTGAAACTGATAGAAACATAAAAAGGGAGTAAATAAACGCAAAAGGAAATGAAAACAATAACAAAAAAGGTGTATAAATACTTTTTATCAACAGTTTTGATCCTATCTTTATTTTGTTTTTATTAATATTATTTTTTAATACACTAATGATTTAAAAAAAATGAATATGTGATTAATATATGTAATATCTATGCCAATAAGAAAAGGATGTATGGTAAATTACAAAATATTTAATTAAACAAATTTGAAATGTTCACGAGAATCTTTTCATGATTAATTTGATGTTTGATCCAGACCATTTTATATAAACGAGATGTCTGTTGTTTAACCACCCTCAGAGGTTTGGCCACTATGTAAGGCAACTATTCATTCTCACATACAATGTTTTTTTTTCCCCCCTTTCACACCGACCACCTGGACACTGTAAAAAGCCGGAAAGGCTCAAGGAACAGTGTTCTGGGGGGACCCGTGGTGATGGGGTGATTTCTTTATTTATTTATTATTAGATTTTTTTTTATTTATTAAATGAGGGTTTGGAACAGGCAGAGGTTATTTCAACCCTCGGAGTGCCAGTGTTTTTTGAAAAAAAAGCCCATTTGTAAGTATGTCGGGTTCAAATGCAGGGCTGCTGGATTCGAACCCGGGACCTTTACCTTACAGTGATAGGCGCCGTGTCAACGCCTAAACCGTTGTGTCCACCGACGCCTCCACATACAATTTTTAATATATGAAAAACCTTCATTCTTAACCCTCTCAGTTAAAACGAATGTCTGAAATTTAAAATTATATTAGAGCCCAAAATAAGTTATTCCCTGTCTATCAGTTTCCCTTTAAAACTTAACAAGGTATAGAACTGGTAAAAAAATAAGACTTGGAATGAAATTGTATTTCAGGTTTGACATACACAATGGAATGTAAATTTGTTCCAACTGATCTGTAATTTTTATATCAAATTATATCAAAAATTCCCCTCACAATTAAAATACAGGTAGTGTTAACATAATTAAAAAGTAAATTATATGTTAGTGAAGGGCTTGACTGTATTATCAATAGAAGGAATTAATTAATTTATGTGGTGATAAATTATCAAATAATTATGGTTTGAATGCATAATCAATGTTTTTCTGCATGCCAATTTTTAATTTTTTACGTCTAATTGTCATTTACAAACGTAATAAAAATCCATTGAAAAAAAATTTCCATCTATAGGTCATGCACTGGGTTAATTCTGTACTAAGAAATTTGTTTATTTCACAGATATTTCCAGAAGAGCCCCTTCATTAATTATATTCAGTACATCGATCACCGGTAAACACCTCTATTCAAAGTTAAGATGGTCGATGATTTAAATCTTGTACGATTACCACAAATTTATATCACTGATGCGGATGGCTCTCCCGCCTATTGTTGGTTCAGGGTACGCTAAAATAATAAGATCATAGAAGTGATCGTAAAAATGTTGAACTTGTATGCACACCTCCTATATAACCCTTTTTTTTGCTCTGCACTGCTTACAATAACATCTGTTGATTGAGAATGTAACAAGTAAACATCAAATTTCTATTAACTTCTTCTGCAAATATTTGATGAGTTGAGTGATTTTTTTAAAAATTTTTGTGGTTACTTTTGCTTTTATTTGATTTAAAATGGCAAAATATATAAACAACCTTGTGGGATTTTAAGGTTTAAGTATGCAATTTGTATAAGTTTCTTTAAAATTAACAGGCATTAATATCAATTATTCATTATATGTAATAACAGCAATTATATTAAAAATTAACATTGATTAAATAATTTAATTATTTAGTTAATGATTTAACCAACAAGTAATGAGCTTTTTATTTAAAAAAATGTGTTTATTTATCTTAAAATGGCATAGAATTAATTATTATTTTGTGAAATTAAATTTTAAAATTTTAAATGATTTGGCAGTGGCCCATTGCATATCAAGAAATTATCACAAGACATTATCTTTTTAACAGGCAACCAGAAAAGTTGATGCCGGTTTAAAGGGTTTAATCATTGTCACAATTAATTGCCGAGATAACGTGAAGTCATGCAGACCTGGAGAGTACAGAGGGTGAGGTAGGACTTCCCAACCAAGCTTAATTTTTGTAAGGAGTTCATATTGTTCAATGCCTTCCGTACTCCACCTAACTTAAAGGTCAACTTTTATTGGTGAATAATTGATTTTTGTGTCAATGGGTAGGGTCATTTGTCCAATGAGTTACTGTGCAGTGTACAGGATCTCTTTCGTTGTATTTGACAATCTGGCCAAAAAACGTATCTACTTTGTGCCATGAAAGCAATGAAGGGCAAATGTTTTGATTCTTAAGCTTGTTACCATTGTCAATTTATGAGGAACCCATTTGATCAGCTTCTACTTCTTCCCAAGTCGATGAAACAAGAGTGAATGCTTCATTGCTTACATTGAACACTATTCAACTCTAAGTAAGTTTGCTAGCTTTCCTAAATTTGTTGTCATTCAAGACAGATCTACCAGACCAATTCTGGGTTTGGAAGCCCTGCTAAAGAAAATGTGTGAAAAAAGAAACAAACATTGTTTAAATTTAACAAATACATGTAGGATGTGGAAAAAAGTGAACAATGTTTGTAAATCCCAGGCCCTGAAGATGATCTCAATAAAGATCGAAATGTTGGCACCAAAGAAAATGTTTTTCTAAAACCTATGTCACACCAGACCACATCTCAAGCTAAAGAAAATATTTTATGGTCGACACATTTTCTTTATGAACTGACCATTATCCTCTTGGTGTTATTTGTTGTAAACATCTAATGCTCCTGTGTAAATAGAAATGTTAATTAATGGTATTAAAACAATAAAAAATGAAAAACTGCACAAACTTTTCTGGTTACCTGGTAATATTGTAGAAATACAGTGCTCTTTAAAAGTAATGTTTGCATAACTTTTAAAATGACATACCAAGGACCATTCTGTTACTACTTCAGTAAATAATTATATAACTACAAAGTGAGAAAAGTGTTATATTGGCCTGTTTTATTGATATTTGAGCTGTCTTCTAAAGCAGATGTTAAACAGTAGTTGATATATCTATGATGCTGAATGTCAGGAGAATGTTTCTATTTTAATTGTTGCTATGTTTGCCTTTTCAAGCAATTTTTAATGCAATATTAATTTGTAAACAATGAAATCAATCTAGTGTTTTGAGCTTTTTTAACAAACATTACATTTGTTAGTTTACATTCAACAAATTTTATCCTTGTCCTTCGGTTTGTTGTTTTCATTAAAGTTCAAATTCTCCCACTTCTGGTTATACGATTATGAAACACTTTTGATAGCCATATGGAAATAGTCGTATCATTTTTTTTTTTTTTTTTTTTTTTTTTTTTTTTTTTTTTTTTTTGAAGGCAGTGTTTTTAGTCCCCCTCCTATCAAAAGGCTGTACAGATAGTATGTTGATCAGATAGTGATAGTTGACTTTTAGAGAATATTGTCTTCAGTAGAATGCTCAAAGTGCTCAATATTCAGGATATTGTAACTATGTGACACAGCTTAAAACTGAGAGTTGTTTTATTTTATTTTTTTGTAGCATAGTAGCAAAATGTAATTCATCATTACGCATTACGCTTTGTTAGCCAGTTTTAAATCCTTTTTTCAACACTTACTTTAAAAAACAGTATAACAACACAAATAATTTGTTGCAAGGAGATAGTTTGTTCAGCTGAAATAATACCATAAATAATACCAGTAATACTATAAAGGTAGTAAAATTTAAAACTAATTTCTTACTTAATATTAAAAGAAAATGCTATTCCTTTTTAATTGGATTTAACTTAAGTCTTAAAATAGGATTTTTATATTACATATTTGACAAAAATGTATTTAAAAGCCACTTTTTCCCCGTGGTATGAGGAAATAATAATCCGATAGCATTCTATATGAAGATGTTTTTCACAAGATTTTTCTCAAATTATATTTCATGATGAAACACTAATAAAGTACAATCAATAACCTACCGAGATATTTAGATATAGATCATATAATTTTGCAGTATATTTTAAAAGGAAATTTATTTTTCATAATTATAATTTTAGTTATACTTTTTAAATAAATTCTGTTGGCAGTTTAATCTGAGGACATGCTGGCATAGAGATATGAAAAAAGCCAGGTGCTTCTTTAGCAAAGAATTTTGGTCCGATCTGAGCAAGGTGAATTTTTACCCGTTGCATTGGTTAATGGCCTGCCTTTTGAATTAATGATCATATTCCCACTCCTAGAAATTGTTTAATAAAAAGCCAAAAAATAAAGCAGGAAAAATCAAAGAGCCGGCGTCGATGGATTTTTCAATAAACTATTCAGTAAGACTTTTAGTGAAACATATTGAATTTAAACTTAGGCACATAATTTTAGTGGGTGAAATATAAAAGAAGACAGAGCGAGATAAGGCGAGGCAGAGCAGAATATATATATGTATATATAGAGAGAGAGAGATTGAGAGATAGAGTGGGATAAAGAGGAGTAGAGGGAGATATAGAGAGAGTCAGAAAGAGACATGAGATGATGAGAGGCAGAGTGAAAGATAGATGGGCAATAGAGCGACAGGTAACGAGAGGTAGAGTGAATAGAGAAAGAGACAGAGTGAGCGTAAGAGAAACAGAGCTAGAGATGGATTGCGGTAGAGCGAGAGATAGAGGGGAAGTGAGATATACAGAGAGAGAGACAAACAGAGCAAAGGACACATACACACACAACACACACATAGATAAACATTATACTCGGTACTTAACTTTTAAAAGTGAAAACACGACTATCCTTATTGAAGTTTCGTTAGTCAATTGGAAAAGTACATTTGAGAACAAGTCAATGAATTTTATCATTGTTTGTTCATTCATTATATTATGTATAGTTTTGTGTTTTGGAGTTTGTACATTTAAGTTTGTGCAATTACTGTGTTGAACTAAAAGTGATTGTCATGTTTTCTCTTTTTATTTGATCTCAGCAGTGATATCAAAGGACATTTAATTGTGTAGTTCAGAGATGAGTGCATTTCGGTACAATATTATTATTATTTATTTTATTTTAAATTAAAACTCAAGCCTTTTTTCTTAAACCTTAAAGGGAAGCTCGAGTGATGGAGACGAAGATGCAAGTGGTAAACAGGTCGTTGTCGGCATATGTGCCATGTCCAAGAAATCACAATCGAAACCCATGCGGGAAATCCTTACAAGACTGGCGGAATTCCAATACATTCGGATCCTGGTTTTCCCCGAAGAAGTCATTGTATCGGTAGATTAAATTTTTATTAAATAAATGGATTATTGAATTGTTAACAATTTGATTTTGGCACAGAAACCAGTGGAAGAATGGCCATTGTGCGACTGCCTTATCTCTTTTCACTCCAAGGGTTTCCCGTTGGAAAAAGCGCTCCAATATTCAAACTTGCGTCACCCTTATGTCATCAACAACTTGAACATGCAGTATGATATTCAGGTATTGAGTAATTGTAGGAGAATGTTTACAAGATTATTCTGATCACAGGTCTACCTTCTAGTCCTTCCGTTTTGTTATTTTTAATTTTATTGACACATTCTGCTCACTGATAAAAAATATTCGTATGGATTATCCATTGATTGTCATTGTAATACTAGAAATACAATATTTCTGTGAATTATAAGTTAAGTAAACCATTCAATAAAAAAAATAATGACATTGCTGGATTAAAGCCTTTTCAATATGTACTGGTTCAATACAGAAAGGTAAATTTAATAAACCAATTCATCCATAAAATTAAATTAAGATTACATATATTTTTTGTATTTGTGTATATTTTTAAGTTAAAAATAAATAAATAGATAGATTCTAAGGAATAAATTATTCAAATATATTCACATAAATTTTTCCTTCAACATTATTGTAATGAAAACTACAAAACATATTACTCTAACTAGAGATATACATGTGTAAGAGTGCTCTTGAAGGCAGATCATAATCTGTTATTATTATTTAATTTTTAATCAAATAGCATCATGTATGTTTCCTCAAAAAGGGAATTAAATCTACTTATATTTAATGGCTTGCAGGACCGAAGGAAAGTTTATGCAATTTTAGAGAGTCAAGGTATTGAAATTCCAAGGTATGCAGTTCTTGATAGGGATTCAACAGATCCTATGCGTATGCATTTTAAATTACATTTATTTATTATTTTTTTATTGAACTATCAGTGAAATTTTTTAAATATTGCAGAGCATGAACTGATCGAATCGGAGGATCATGTCGAAGTGAATGGAATTGTATTCAACAAACCGTTTGTTGAGAAGCCGGTCTCTGCAGAAGACCATAATATTTATATATACTATCCGACATCAGCTGGAGGTGGGAGCCAACGCCTATTTCGTAAAATTGGGAGCCGTAGCAGCGTATACTCACCTGAGTCGAGAGTGAGAAAAACAGGGTCTTACATTTATGAGGATTTTATGCCAACTGATGGCACAGACGTGAAGGTGAAGTGATAAATGTCTAAATTTCCACTTGTAAATTACGGAATGCCTTATATCCAGGTGTACACGGTCGGCCCGGATTATGCACACGCGGAAGCCAGAAAGTCACCCGCGTTAGATGGAAAAGTAGAGCGTGATTCAGAGGGCAAGGAAATTAGATACCCTGTCATTTTGAGCAATGCAGAAAAACTTATTTCACGGAAAGTGTGCCTTGCTTTCAAACAAACTGTTTGTGGTTTTGACTTGTTAAGGTAAACATACATAATAATATGTGGTGATTAGTGACCGTTAATCGATAATTATTCAGAAATTGTGAGATGCAGTCTGGGGGGTCCAGACCGCATCTCACGATTTTTGAATAATTATACATAATAATAAATATCTGGTAATTGTTTATTTATTGGTATTTTACTACTATTAATAACTTTTATTTAAGTTTATAGTTAATTTGCATGTTATTTGAGAAAAAGGTTTTCATTTATAACAATTCTCTTTTATAAACAGTTTTAGACCTAACTTTTTATTGTGGGAAAGTTGAAAGAGTGTAAAATTTTATTATTGATTGTCCATTTAAAAATCAACTAAATATTTTGAAATATCCAAATGAATCTTACCAAAACATTTCAATTTGTATGGTTCCTGACTGGTTGTTGGAAGTTGATGACCAAATTATATAAGTAAATATGCTAAGATACCTTACTGTAGGTTATGCTGATGACATGTTAGTAATGATAAAGGGTAAATATGATAAAATTGTTTCATCATATTGTATTAAATTCCAAATGCCTTCAATCAAGTAAAAAGATGGTGTGATAATATGGGTTTGTTCCCAATTCCAAAAATTTCACTCAACTTCTCCATCCATCCTAACCTCTATTCACATTCCCAATCTGAGAATCCACCACGATGCCTTAAGGTAGCCATACATGTACAGGAAATCCTTAGGAAGGAAAAATCCTCGTAAGATTTCCTTTGGGATTTCCTCTACCAAACCCCCAAGAAGAGGATTTTTCTCAAGGTAAAGATTTAGTTCTGTGTTGACTATTGGTAGTTGTTGGTTGTTCTCGTGGTTTTAGTTTCAAGGTGGAAAAAGTATTGAGTTTTGTTTGGGATTTCTCTCACACGGTTAGGAAGTCCTCAAGGCTTGGACTGTTCAGGCTGAACATTGAGGAAATCCTGCTCCTATATGGCTACCTTTAATGGAGACCTCACTCCTGATCCTTAATGTCTCACACTGAGTGCCAGCAGCATTGGCATGTGACCTCCGGGTGCAGTATTAACATTAGTGCTAGTGCTGTGACTGTGTGAAAACATACATTCCGTAATAACTAGATGCAAAGATTAATAGTTGACTTAAAACATAAACACAACATTTAAAACTGGATGTTTATCTTTATAGCATTACTAATATTCTTTTACACTCTTTAGATTTAAAAAAAAAAAAAATCAGTTTGATTTCATCCTCTCCAGAAATAACTTTTTGAGTGTGTTAATTGATTTTTATAATTGCTTTCTTTGGGAAAAAAAAAACAAATTTGTGTAAATTTTTTTTTTTAAAGTTTGGTTTTAAGTCAAGAAAATCTTAATGGACAGATGCTTTATCTAATGATGGAAGTAACATCCATTACATAGCCGAGATCCTGGGTGTTTCCCGCTCTAACATCCATGTTAGGTACAGCAGTTTAGGGCCACTGGGAGTCTTGATTGAAAAGATGGTGGTTGTCTTCAATGTATAACGGCTAGAGACAATCCTTGTATTGCTCTTACCACTATGGTGGCTTCTTTAATAGGTAATCAACTACAAATGTCTTTAATGTAAGGGTAAGCTCTAAAACTGCCATCAGAAGGCTTCATAAGAATAGCCTAGTATACATCTCGCAGTGAAGATGTCAATAATCTTTGCTTCATGTGCCAAGCATTGGTCATAGCCTTTTCTAAAGCAGTCACTTATGTATGGGGTGGAATCAATGTCCATGCCCGTACTGAACTGATTACCATACATCATGGATCTTTGCACTAAGGTACATTAAGGAAATTCTTTGGGAAGCTGTGATCCCATATATTCCATTTATTTGGAACAACTTCATGTTACTGAATGATAATGCTCGGCGCGTGTAGCTTAAATTGTCACCCGTTACTTGGAGGATAGGGATTACCACAATGATTTGGCCAGCACGAACGTCAGGAGAACTGACTTGAATTCTACAGAATTTGTTTGCTGCCTCTAGCAAGGCTCTTGTTGAAGAATGGGATTCTGTTTAATAAAGTGAAATCCGATCGCTTATTTACTCAATGCTGAGGAGACTTAAGGCCCTCCACAAGGCCAGAGGAAGTAACACATGTTGTTAAGAGCAAAACAAGATAATAAATTATGAGTTAAATTGTAATCTATCACTAAATGATTTTCCATTGTTTGGTGAATTTTCTTTTCAGACCATCATTATTAAAGATTTTTTTAACTAAAACTCATGAATTTATGATCTTGCTTAATGTGATTTACATAAATATAAGTATGTTGTAATACAATGATAATACATATAGTTGTAATAATCAACAAAATACAAGTATTTTTTATATATATATTTTTATATCTGGATTGTATATATCATCACATAAAAAAAATCTTGAGGTTGCAATATAAGTATTGCAATAAAAAGTAGAATGTTGTTATTTAGTTCTTTATTAAATTGGATGGATAATATATTTTTTTATTAAATTAAATTGAATAATTAATTTTTACTTTGCTAAAGACGAATTTTAGTAAGTACATAAAACCTATTTTTAGAGCCAATGGAAAATCATTTGTCTGTGATGTCAATGGATTTAGTTTTGTTAAGAATTCAAATAAATATTATGATGACTGTGCAAAGATACTGGGCAATATGATATTGAGAGAGCTGGCCCCCACACTTCACATTCCTTGGTCTATACCGTTTCAACTTGATGATCCTCCAATAGTACCTACAACTTTTGGAAAAATGTAAATATACATTTTTGTTTCTTAACTATTTACTTTTTTATGGCATTTTATTTATTTTTGTTTTTTAAAAGGATGGAACTGAGATGTGTTGTAGCTGTAATAAGACACGGCGACAGAACACCAAAGCAGAAAATGAAAGTTGAAGTAAGGCATCAGAAGTGAGTTGTCAGATTTGAAAATTACAAACAAAAGCAACGCATTCATATAAAATGTTCTGCCAGGTTTTTTGAAATATTCGAGAAGTACGGAGGTTTAACAGATGGACATGTCAAATTGAAAAGGCCGAAGCAATTGCAGGAAGTACTGGACATTGCTAGGTTCCTACTAAATGAAATCGAGCAGAGGGCTGCTCCCGAGCTGGCAGAAAAACAAGCAAAGCTTGAACAATTAAAAAGTGTATTAGAAATGTATGTTCAATAAGAAATTACTACTAGACATTATGTGTATATTTTGTTTTTTAAATTAATTTTCTTTTTCTTTCCCCTATTAAGGTATGGTCACTTTTCGGGTATAAACCGTAAAGTTCAGATGAAGTACCAACCTAAAGGTCGTCCCAAAAGCTCGAGCAGTGATGACGGTGAGACTCAATGTAGGGTAACAACTGTATTTGTAAGGTTAAAATATTAGATCAGAAATAATTTTTAACTCTGAAAATTTTGTTCAAATCATAAATTAACTGTAGAAATAAACAGTTAAAAAAAAAAAAGTGGTGATATCTTATTTTGATACTGTACTTTCATTTTTAGTAAATTTGATCACAATTTTCTTTGTTATTTATTGTATATTATGTATTATCTTAACAGTATGTATGTAAAATAATGTTACAGTGTAACGTAGCAGTGTTTAGGATCACAGCTGCTGTCTTTCAAGCACCTTTTGTCGTACTGGTAACATAACTGGGTTCTCCCCCATTCAAAGTTAGTAATTTTTCTATCCCCAAAAATTTTAAGAGTGACTCAAGTTTCATAATTGGTTTTGACACCACACCCAATAAGCAGGAGACTGTTTCTTCTATTGCATTACTTTACCAATCTTTTTTTTTCTTCCTTTTTTTACGAGGGTTCGTAACAGCAGGGGTTATATCAACCCTCGGGGTGCTGGTGTTTTTGAAAAAAAGCCCATTTGTAAGTATGTTGGGTTCAAATGCGGGGCCGCTGGATTCGAACCCAGGACCTTTACCTTACAGTGATGAGCGCCGTGACAACGCCTAAACCGTTGGCCACCGACGCCCCTCTTTTACCAATCTTTGTAACACCCCTTGAGTATGGTGCCCTCCCCTCCTGGAAATTGATGTCATCGCCTCTACTTCCTTCTTAAAATTAATTATTGGGATCTGCCATAAATTCTGCAATATAGAGGTTATTATGGTTTCTAATTTGGTATCCCTTACAACCTTGCTATATTTACAAGACAAACCTTTGTATGACCAGGACTCCTGGATGAGAACTACCTGCAGTTGGATGTTTACAAGTAGCCATTCTCATTTCTTTTATGTTTTGCTTTTCTTCCAGACAGGAGGTCCTCCTCTGTCTCCCCGTTCACATCGTATTAGTACTTTCCCTACATGATAGCCTATTTTATCTGGTCACACCCTGCCATGCTCATAGTAGGTCATGATCATCAGGGCAAACCAGAGTGACAACCCTGGTTCATACAAAGAAGCGGAGTTGAAATTCAAACATGATTACAAAATGTACTTTTATGTTTTTATCTTGCCTTTGTTAATACTGAGATGCTTTCTCTAGTAAATGTTTAGGAGTTGAAGCAAGAGAGTATAATAAAATCTAAAATTTTAAAATAAGTTCAAAATTATACAAATAGCTCATTTTATGTAAAATTATTTAATCTATATACAGCTCTATAATTAACTACAATTTGTGCTCTAATAACAAAATATATATTAAATAAAAATTAAATATTGTTTAAGTAGTAAAAATATATCTATTAGGTTATTCTTGTTAATTTCAAAAGTTTTTGTGTTTGTCTCTTAAGTACAGTTTTTAAAACGTTCTGAGACAAAACATGTGCAAGATTAGTTCACTAGACAAACATACATTTGCTATTTTGTATGAGAATTCAAGATTCAACTTTAAAAATATAGTAATAATTCAATTTATTTCAGATGGTCCAAGTGAGCCAAGCCTAGTGCTAATAGTTAAGTGGGGAGGAGAATTGACACCGGCAGGCCGAGTGCAGGCGGAAGAACTTGGCCGTATCTTCAGGTGTATGTATCCTGGAGGACAAGGTAGACATTACACTGGTCAGTTCACTTTTACTTTTTATTTCTTCGTCAAAAAGTTTCCCTCTGCCTTGCACATCACTACCTTTTGTGGGTATCCATTTGAAGTGCTTAACCTCTCGGTTGCAACGTCGTATTTTGACTAAATATCAAGTAAATTGAAACTGGGTTTGTTTATTTTTATTTTTATTTTTTGTTTTGTATAAAATAAGGTTTATTTTAATTATAGTCTCCAAAACTTTATGTTTAAAATAACAATTTTATTTTTTATTATAAATAGGTGTAATTAATTTGTATTAAAATTCCCTTTTCAACTGTAAACTATTAACGAACATTCCAGATAATTTTATTAGTAAAAGTTTCTAAAACAAGTGCATCTAGTTTTCTTGCTGTAACCAGGTTTTGTGTATTTTTCTACTGTAGATTGAATAATACACATATAAATTCATAATTGAATTTTCCTTTTTTTTGCCTGACAATTGATATTTTTTTTCTTATTTGTCGTATTTATTTATCTATTGCCTTATAGATAGTTACATTCTTTCTGTTCTCATTGTGTAATTTTCTTTTGACTTTTTAAGGTGTTTTTTCCCTTTAACTCTCTAGTTAGCCTTGTAGAATTGTAATTGTTTTTTTTTTCTTATATGTTTTGTATACATAATTATGTTATATGTTGTTTATTGTACGTAGTTACAAATCAAATCAATTAATGTGTTTTTATATTTCATTCTCAAGATTAATTCTATTCGCAAATTGCACTTTCCTTGCTTTATCCTTAAAAAAAATCTTTTACTGTACTTGCTTGTTTGAGTTGCACAACATGTAAATGTAGACTATTATCTGGTCACTTCCTAAATTATGAATACCCGCCTGTAATTGGACTTTTGACGTATTAGATTAAGTTTAAATTTATTTCCTTAGATATATATGTTGGGTGTGTGTGTATAAGTTTTTCAATTATGAAATTCAAAGTTATTTTCAAATTTTGACTTTTTTGAAGGTGATCCATCATTACCTCTAGGGAGGGAAAATAAAATGTGTGTACTGCATTCGAACCGGGACCTTCACCTTACAGAGATGAGTGCTGTGTCAATGCCTAAACCGTTGCGGCCACCAATGCCCCCGAAATGCCCTATTGAAAGAGATTGTAAAAAAAAATGTATAGTTGATCCCAAAAATCAATTTAGCATAAACTGTGATGCATACAACAGGGAAGCAGAGAAAATTCATTTGAGGCATGCTTACTATAAACTTCAATTTCAGGCATCGAGCAGCACATGTCTATTGAAATTGATGTAAAATTTACACTTATTTACTGAAAGTCAACAGTAGTTCCAACGATGTCTTAATGGATAGAGACAAATCAGATCAAGCTTAAAAGTGACAACTTATTTTAGTGGCATTGGAGGATGAGAAAATTTATTTGTACAGAGCTGTCAGAGAAATATCAAGTACATCACACAATAGAAAGAAGAAGAAATTGGTTACGTTGTGAAACTCAATTCAAGGGTTCCCCTCAGGAACAAGGAAGACTGCAAGGCTTATAGCATTTCACATCTGAATAGGAATAAATCATAAGGGTTAATTTCCTATTTGATCACTGGGGATGAGAATTGTAATGTCCTATTGCCTGGGTGGGATATTTGTTGAATAATTTATTGTAAACTGTTACCACGGATTGAGACCTTTACGACAGGTATATTGTGTGCAGCTAGAGCATTGGGTCGGCATTGAAGAAAAAACATCTGGCTCTAGTGTTTAACTGTGTCATGTTTCACTACGGCAATGCCAGGCCTCACACAACTGCACTCATTCAGAGTAAAATTGCTGAGTTCGGGTGGCAACAAATGCCTGCCCCTCCATACTCCTCAGACCTTGCCCCTTCCAATTTTTACTTGTTCTGCTCCCTAGACAACCACTTAAAAGGAGGGGATGAAAACGCTGAAATTCGGATGTACAGATTTCATCTTCTAAGACATTAGACGTTTACATAAAAGGGGTATTTCAGCTACCAGAACATTGGCAGTGTGTAATAAGAAACGAAGGAAATTAAGTTTTGAATTAAAAATAAAATTTGCTATATTTATATCATTATTTATACTTTATCAATATTTATGTTTTGAAGTTTGACTTTTTTCTGAATACTGAAAAAAAACTTATGCACACACCCGATATTTTTATCTACATTTATAATGATGTCATTTTTCCTTTCAAATATATTCTCTTACTTCATTTAATCAAGGAATGGGTGTAGCATGTTGATAAGTTCACATTATTTAATTCCACATATTTATTTTTTCAACTCGTTTAGAACAGTGTTTGATCTTCCACAAGGATTTTCTACATAGGATCAGTGTAATATTGTAGAGAACAAATAATATCATGTGATAATCTGATATTTATTTTGTATATCAATTTTTGCTGTCATGTTTTACGTAATGTTTACTCCATACCTTATAAACTTAACTAGAAAAATATTACTTCTACTATATTACATAAACCAAGTTCAATTATTAAAAAAAAAATTTAGATTTTGTTCTTATCAGTTTCTGTTTATAATTGAAAATATGTACATTTGTTTAATAACTACAACATTTTCAGGCGTGTTTTCTCAAAAAATAAGACTTTTAGATAGTTTTTAGGAGTACATCTAAATAGAGAGTAATTCTAAAAACATTGAACTACAGCAATGCTTAAAATTGATTTACCTTGTTAAGCCAGAGCCCTGATGAATTTTCTTGTTGATCATCCAAAATAATTTTGTGTTCAGATCATTTTTTCTTTTTCTTTTAACATAAATTAAAATTACTTTTGTCTTCAGGATCATAAAAAGGTATTTTATGATCTTATCTTTATATCTATCTTTTTTCACAATTGTTCTTACCTTGATTGTCCTTGATTATTCTCTTTTGCTTGCTTATTCTTTCTTGTTGTAGGCTGTCAGATTGTAGTATCAATTTCTTTTTTAATAGTTGACTATATTATTTAGTTATACAATTGATAGTTTCTGTTTTTGTTTTGTAAATAATTTATAAGACATCATTATAAGTGTTCTCAATTTTTAAAGAAATTGTAATTACTAATAATTTCTTTTGAGTATAATTTATTATTTATTGTTGAGAACAAGTGGGGGACATTAATAAAACCTATATTTTAACTTTTTTTAACATTTGAAATTAATTAATTACAGGAGAGTATGCTGGTACTCAGGGGTTGGGTTTACTCCGATTACACTCCACATACCGCCACGATTTAAAAATATACGCTTCTGATGAAGGAAGGGTTCAAATGACAGCTGCTGCTTTTGCTAAAGGACTCCTTGCCCTTGAAGGGGAACTCACACCAATCCTCGTCCAAATGGTGAAGTCAGCAAACACCAACGGCTTGCTCGACAATGATTACGATGCAAGCAAACACCAAGATATGTAAGTAAATTTAGGAAATCAGAGAGAGATTATCTATTATTGTAATTTTTTTCAGTGCAAAATCCAGGCTGCATTCCCTCATGCAGGAAGATCGTGATTTCTCTGCTGAAGATAGAATTGCGATCAACCCTTGTAATGCCATTTCCATCAATCTGGCTCTTGACTTTGTGAAAAATCCTGTCAGAGCTTGCGAAAGGGTTCAAGATTTAATACAAAAATTGGTCAATATTGTCAAACTGAAGAAGGACGATCCAAAAACAAAAGGTTGTTTTATTATAATAGATCAGAATTGTTTATTTTAAATATTNTATATATATATAAAATTCGAGAAATGAGGAAAATCAAAAACCTTTTCATATATCAACATTCTCACAACAAACCATAAACAAACTATTTGACATGAAGTAAAAGTCATCATCTCTACAACCGATTTGTGAAAATACAATGAAATATAGTTTGTTTTTAAATTCTAGATGCAGTACTGTATCATGGCGAGACTTGGGAGCTGATGGGAAGGCGTTGGGGAAAAATAGAGAAAGATTTCTGTCAGAAAAATAAAACGTACGATATATCGAAAATCCCCGACATATATGATTGTATAAAATATGATCTCCAACATAACCAGCATACGCTGCAGTTTGATCAAGCTGAAGAACTGTACATAAATGCAAAATACCTTGCTGATATTGTTATACCTCAGGTAATAACAGATCTAATTTATTGCAGATTCTTCTCAACCAGTGTTGAAAATAATTATATTTATTTGCAGGAATATGGCATGACAATGCTTGAAAAGCTAACAATCAGTCAAGGTATTTGTACACCTCTTTTGAAGAAAATACGCGCCGATCTCCAAAGGAATATTGAGGAGACTGGAGAAGAGAACGTCAATAGGCTAAATCCATGGTAAATTTTTTAACCTTATAAATAGTATCTTTTTTTACACACCAAAAAATATACTTTTGTACACTAGGTATTCACATGGGGTTTCGAGTCCTGGGAGACATGTCCGTACCCGACTGTATTTCACAAGTGAAAGCCACTTGCATTCCCTATTGACAGTACTAAGGTATGGAGGGCTGATTAATAATGGCGAAGAAAATGTGAGTACATCAGAAATGTCTATTTCCTTTTTTGAAGATCCAAGAATAAAAGAACCAGTGAAAATTCCTGTTGTGGAACGTGTATATGTAATTACACTTAATATTATTTTAATGTTTTTTCTAATTATAAATATTAAGTACTTTACTTTATAAAATTAAAATACACATAGCATACAAGGGGCAACAGAAAACACTGGAGGGATATTTGTTATTCTTTAAAAAAAATTGATTTAGTATATGCTAAATTTTTAATATTTAGACGTAACTTACAGAGTTTTTATCCTATTTTTATCAGTGCCTCAATGTCTACAAAATAACGGAACATGCAGCACTCTTACAATAAATTTCATTATTGCAGAACTCTAGGGATGAACAGTGGAGAAGGGCGATGGAATATGTGAGCATGGTGTCTGAAATTAATTATATGTCTCAGATTGTGATATTACTTTATGAAGATCCAACCAAAGATCCAAGTTCAGAACAAAGGTGACATACTTTAGATACTAGTTACTTATTTACAAAAAACTTGTCGGTTAAATATTGAAGTTTAAAAGTAGTTTGAGTAACTTCATTATGTCAGTAGTCTTACTAGCTAGAAACTAAATACAACCAATAATATGCAATATAATTTGACTTTCATATTTTACACATATAATTACAATTGTCATCATAAGAAATTATAATAAGCAATAATATTTTATTCATAATCATTTTACTAACTATATGAGTTAAATATTAATTTGAAATTGTATACCTCATAGAATAAGAGTTTAGATTTCATTTCACTAAAAATATGGTCTGAGGATGAACGAATGTTTAATTCGGTCCTTACTGATCATTTTGGTATGTCTATCCTAGCTGGGTTGGAATGTCAAATACATTTTGGCATTTGGCCATCTTCAGCAAGGATAGGCAGACTAATAGAATTATTAATGACCAAATTAAAATAAAATTATATAGATGTATTGATTGTCCAGCAAACCATAGGAAAAGTTATTCACCAAGATTTTACAAATTTTTAACATTTTCATTCAAATCCAAAGAAAATTGAATTACACTTTACATATGCATATTAATAATTAATAGATATTCATCAGGAAAAATTATTGCTTATGTAAAAGAATTTATAATTTAAGGAAATCTTACTTCAATATACATTAACTGTATACAAAACTTTTCCAGCAAATGCTGGGGGGGGGGGCATTGGGCCTCATTGGCAGATTCCTCCCTACTGATTTTGGACAGATTATTAATGATAGATCAGGATCTAAATTTTGCAATAATAATTGCATCAGTTGATTACTGTTATTTTTTTTTTTTTTTTTTTTTTTTTTTTTTTTNCTACGGGAACGAAGCCGTCATCCTCCATCATGGCAGGAGGAGTGGATGGTTGTGGTGGGGGGTTTGAAGGGAGTGCAAGGGGTGGAGGGATATGGGCCTGGGAAGCAGAGGGCTTGGGGAGAGGTGGGAGTGTTGTGATGGGAGGGGGTGTTGTTGGGCTGGTCGGGCCCGGGTTAGGCGGAGTAGGCACTTTTACTCCTTGTTCCATTTTCTTCAACATTTTCATCGTCATTAGTTTTGTGTTTTGTCTGTAAGATTGTATGTGTACAATGTGAGTGCAATCCTCAGCCTTTGGAGGTGATCCCCCGGCCCATTCGGGTGCTTCTCCGATCTGCCCGCACCCTGTGTGGCCTCAGGAGGGCCCGCCGCGATGCCCAGCACGGTAACCATCCAGTCGCCAGCTGGCAGTACTAGGCATCACAACATTATACACGAGGTGATAGGACAGCCTCCCCGGTGGCTAGTCCGGGGTTCGGGTCCCTGTACTACCTCGCGGCCCGGGAGTGCCGTAACCCAGTTTTCCTCCGGTACCCTCACAGGAGCAGGTTTCACGGACACCCAAAGAGACCAGGAGATCCCCCCCTCCAGAAGAGAATTGTATGTTGTATTTGTTGTGTTTTGTGCACGGTAATGTGCGTTTGTTATATTCGGGTTCCGAGGCCCTTGGCCGCGTGCATCGGCCTGTGTATTAGTGGTGGCATGCTGACGGAGGCCCAGACACCGTCAATGTCCCCCGCCCTCACACCACCTAGTGTTAGGTGTGGCGGAGTTATGTACGTACTGGGTCGCCAATCCCAGGACGTGAGATTTTTAGTTCGTCTCAAGAACCTTCCTAGGGACGGTAACCCTAGGGTGTGTACTGTTAGTGTACTTATGTCAGTGTAAGTGTAGGTAGGGGGATGTGTAATATGTGGGTGGACGCAGTTTACCCTCATGCCCGGGAGGGGATTACTGTTATTAACATATAGACTGCGACAGACAAGACACAACATGCACATGATGCCAACTGTCCTGAGCAATATTAAATTATTTATTCTGTGAAAACCATATAATTTAGTGTTCTGTGTAGGTGTTTTGTTAATTTAATTAATTATTTACAAATTTTGCATAATTGAAATGACTTTTACTCACCTACACAACCAAATTGAACTGTTCTGCAGATTGCCTACTTCATTCACTTAGTACTGCAGGGAACACAACTGTTTGTCATAATTTATATCACTTAGATAAATGTTATAAAAAAATGTAAAAATCAATTACATCATTTTTAAATACCAGAGAAGTAGAGCTAGCTTACATGATAAATTGGATTCCAACGTGGGTAACTAAAATGGCTAAACAGGAAGCAGTCAACATGTTAAGAAAATTAGGTTTGGATTGGCCAAATGGTCATTTTAAAATCCCTCAAAAGTTGCATGAACAAAACATTGGAAAAATTACCTAATAGACAGAGGGCCAAATTGGACACTTGTACTAAGACTGTTTTTCTCTTCTACAAAAGAAAATCCTCAGTTTAACATACAATTATTTACTCATACATAATTAGTTGTACAAAATATGACTCAATTAAAATTAGAAATATTCTAGATTCCACGTGGAACTTCACTTCAGCCCTGGGGTGAATTGTTGTGTCCAAAAAGATTTGCCTCCTGGCCCTGGGTTTCGGCCTCATTCGAGGAATGACCAAGGGAATAAATCCAACCACTCTATAAGTTCTCCAGAAAATTCCTCAGTGGTCTGTTTTTATTTTTTGTATTTTGTATTTTTGTTGTTATCACAATGAAATATATGACACTTCACAAATATGTCAATAGGAATCACCGCCCTCCTCTCCAGAAATTAGAAAGAAACAAGAAGGGACCAATGTTATATCTGATCCCATACCCATAAGGCCGAAACCAACAAACCATGGCACCCAAGATGAGAGGCAGTCTCTCAGACAAAAGAAGCAGCTTCAAACCAATCCTGGTGTTGAAACAAAATCAAAATCGTATGAACAATCGGTACGACAACCTACTACTACTGTTGGTAAGTAAAGTCAAAAATTTATTTTCTAACAAACTACACAATCATTTTTAAATATCTAAAGGATTTTAGTGATGGTAGTGAATTGTAGTTATATGTATTTTGTTTTTGTTATTTTTTTTTAATATAACACATTTATAATTAAAAATACATTAACTATAATTCACTATTGCTGTTATGGTTTAGATGTTTGTTTATTAGACTTTACTTGGTTTGTTGCAAAAGTTAGTGTTGTATTATTCCACTTGAAAATTTGTTATTCACACATGTTTATCAAATCTTATACCACTACAAGTATTATTGTTTTTTCTGCAAAAACCAATTGTTAAAGTTGTTAATATTATCTGAATATATGAAATTTTTATTTTTATTTTCACAAACAAACTAAAAATTGTGCTAGATGTGCTGACTGTAAACACTGAAATTCATTATAATACAAATCGAGTTTAAAAAATCCATGAAATACTATTAATGTTTGTATTATCACTATTCAGGAAACCCTTCAAGGGCTGTAGGAAAACAGAAACTGGATTGGGAACTGCAGAATTTCGACATTTGTAGTAACACTGCCTCATTTGTAAACAAACAATTGATTAAGCTTGGTAAATCCTTTTTTTTCCCCTAAAAAACTAAAGTATTCGTATTCACAAAGTAAATTGTTAAGGGCTTTTAGTTAGCTCTTTCCAAGTTTACATGTTGATGCGGTGTTGGTTGCTTACTTACAAGGAAATTACTTCATATCTATTAAAAAAGAATTGTCATATCCTATTGTAAAAAATAGTTGATGACAGCAAAGAAATAAGGAAAAATATATGAAAGATATATTTTTAATAACAAAATTAATAATAATATAGTGTGTGTTTACCAGTAACCAACGCTTACTACTCATTTAAATTTTGTTGTTAATAGTCCATTATCATTTAGGAAGCATCCCTTCAAGGGCTTTAGGAAAAACAATGAATTGGGATCGACAAAGTTATGGCATTCATAGTAACACTGCTACATTTGTGAACCAACAGTTGAATATGCTTGGTAATAGTTTTTTGTTTAAGAAAATAAGCCTATAGGTATATATTTATGTATAAAGTAAATTGTTAGAAGCTAATTTTTTTTAGCTCTTTCTAAGTTCACAGACTGATGCGGTGTTGGTTGTCTAATTACCAAGAATGTACTTAATAACTGTAAAAAATAGTTTTCCTATATTTGATAGCATTTAAAAATGTAGTGAACTTCTATGTTCAAAAGAGTCTTTTCTCTTTTGGGGTTTACAATTTTGCCTATAGCACTAATAACAATTTCATCAAATTCCAGTTGTTGGCTTTTCCGGATCAACATTGTCTGCTTACTATTGTATTTGTCTATCAGACATATTTCAGGGCATCGTAAAATCTATTTAACTCGTTTATTTGCTTGACAGTGAAATACAGTGAGAATAAAATAAATGACCAGGGTGTTTGGAAGTGAGCCGTCTACTGTTCAATGCCTCTCGATTTTATCTTATTTTATTTTCAACTTGTCCTGTATTATAATAATCTGTAAGAGATTATATAAATATATATATAAATTAATATTTTATGTGCTTTAAAGACAAAGTAAATGAAATTTAAAAATCAGTAATTATTTCAAAAATGTTAATCAATAAAGAAATATGTTGATTAAAAAGTATGGTAGTCCCATGGTGTCGAAAAGAGTGACAATAAATTTGTATGTCAATGAGTTAGTTTAAGAAGACATGAGAAAGTTGAAAATACATTTGCCATTGTAGGTGGTTTTTCTCTAATGTAGTTAAAATTTTAATTAGAGGGTTAGATATTCACTTTTTTTCTAACTTTGTTTAGATAATGTGATTTGTATTATTTTTGTGAGAAAGGAACAAAATATCCACTTGGTGATTATCAGGAATCAGTTAAACTTTGTTACAAATCTATAAATTTAAAAGTCTCAGCAAAATATATAGGAAAATTAATCATTATCACTCTTCTTTTACTTCCACATGTCTAAGTGGAAATGTACAAATTAAATAGTGATAACAAATCATCAAGGAGAAAAGTTTGTAACACTTGACTTTTGTTCCCTTTTGTGTGATCATGATCTGCTCCAACTAAAGCCACAAATACCGTTCATCATCCCATACAGAGATAAGACGCAGGCAGAGGCACAGTGTCACTGGTTTCCGTGCTCAGCGACCTGGTGCAATGACTAGAGTCAGTCCAGCCTCAGGTTCCAGTCGAGACTCTCCGTCCTTCTTTCTGATTGGGCAGCACAAAACTGCGAGAAGTGTCTTCTCCACAGCTGTCATCTCTGGAGCAGCTTCAGCTCCAAATCTCACCGACATCATTCCCAATACCGCATCGGTCTCAGGTACGTTAATGGAAGTAAATTATAATATAATGTAATTTTGCACAGTGCACTAATTATAATAGAAAAAATATTTTTTTAAATTTTAATCTACTTGTAACATAGAGAAACAAACTGCACAAATTATATTTTTTCAGAGGCTTAACTCACATTAAGGCTCACATTATTAGCCAGGTCTAGTTTAGATTAGATTAAAAAAGGAATCAGCCTCTTTACGACTTGCACGCCATTGTTTAAGGCTCCCTCATTAAGCTTAGGAGTAGGAAGCTCAGTTCTACATAAGCGTTCTCACAAATCTGTGTGCAACAAGACCAGATCTTGAGTAATCTAAAAACATGACTAGAAATTAATTCCAATTGCCTTACAATTATGATACAAGAAAGATGTATTATTTTGTGGCTGTGAATTCACAGTATTCCACCAAGCAATGTGTCATCAATGTTCATCATAGATAAAAATGTTTAAAATGTTAAATGTTTTATTTGAAGACAATCCTGTATATGTATTTCATAAATGTTTTCTACTAAAATGGGCTTGTATATATTTCACTTACTTCAGGTTGTAGTGTAAATACAGTTGACAAGTTCTAATTTACTTGCTTAGTCTAATAGGTTTTATTAAGTACAAATTTACCCTGATATCAAATAAGCCATTGAAGTGTTAAAAAAATTCAAGCAGAATTTATAATAATCAGAAATTTTCAAAGTTGTCTAAGTTTACAGCAGTCATTGACAGAGCAATGTTGATCACCTCATCAAAACCTATCATACAACACACGTGTGCCTTTATTTTCTTCATATTTAGAGCTATTTGGCAATCAAATTTGGTGTGTGGATACTGCCAGCTGTTCACTATTAATAATTTATTTTATGATCAAGATGATTATATTATGGACAAACACACCTTTCGTGATTGATGATATTCTTTTGGGGTACTTTAAAGGCTTATTCTTTTGATTTTTTTCCAATTGAATTAAAAGAATTGATGCTAATATATATTTTTTAAAAACTGTACATTAACATTAAACTGTAGTTTTTGTGCACGCAAAATGCAACATGCACTTGTGTCTTACATTTTAAACATTTTCTTAGTTTGGGCCAGATTTAATTGTGACATCTCTTATTCTTTTAAAAATAAGAATAAAAAAAAACATAAATGCATTGTTAATTTGGATTTAGTTGAACTAATGGCACAACTTGTTTTGTTAAAATGTCAAAAGGTTATTTTTGTAATGATTGGAAATTTTAAATTTAATCTTCACTGTATGAGTTAGAAGGCTGCGGGGGCGTTCCGCCAATCAGGCCATTGGAGACGCTTCACAACGCCCTTTCTCTCAAGCAGATAGACTCCTTCTTGGATAGGATGGCTCGCTCCTTCAAGACGCCGGCATCCACACCACCAAAAGTTCCATCGAGTCCTCGCCTGTCATCACCCCCAGGTAATTGAATTGATTTATTTCTCCTTTTTCTGCATAAAAAATTTAAAAAACCATATTTGAAATATATGTTTTTGTGTATTTTTGTCATATTGTGTTTATGGGTCTAATTTAAAATAAATTGTTGGTAATATTCTGTACGACAATTTTAATGAAAATTAAAATCCGACATCATTAAACAATTAAGGACAAATTTCATGGACAAACACATACAACTGGTGTTTATTGGAAACTACATTTTTCATTATTAAGATATATTTTATACCTCATTTTTTTTTTCAAATGGGAAAATATTTTACTGAAACTTTTCCAGAGCAATTTCATTTTGTAAGAAGAGGAAGTGAAAATAGGAGCAACACCAAACAATGATGAAGAATACATTGTATAAAGTACATATACACGTTCCCAAACAAAATGTCTTAAGTTAATGAAAGATCATTCATTCTATAAATACAGAAAGCTGCTCAATTGTAACTCGTTGTTATGTTTGATGAAATGGATCATGAACATTAAACCTTCTGTGGAAAAAAAATAAAAAATAAAATATTTAAATTGACAATTACATTTCATTTTACAGTAGGTTAACTTTTTGTTAAGCTATGCATGCAAATTTACAATAAATCTATATAAAACTAATATATTTAGTATATACTAATACTAATCTGTATATTTTCACTCATATATACTGATGCAATATAAAAAATATTTGTACTAATGTAAAATGTGAATTATATTAAAACTTGGATGTATGTGATAGGAGGCTACTTGGGTCATAGTCTTTCAATATTTCACTGGACGACATGAGTTAGACATTTTCTAATTCCTTGTCCATGACCCCTGTCAAAACTGTGTAATGATGAGGCTAAAAATTAAAATAATTAAAATGAAAAAAGCTTTTCACATTTAATATATTATTATAAATGAACGTTGCTCACTAATTTTATGAAAGATAATTTAAACAAAAATGGAAATTATTTTCAGACTCCCTGACATGATTACCAATCCTCTTTCACTACTATCACTTTCATTATCAATTAAATCATCTTCTGTTATGGCCTACAATTGCAGATAAAAGTATGCCCATCTCTCAGTGGAGACAGGAGTGGGAAAAAATAATAAAAATAAATAACTGGCTTAGTTACTTTTTGTGTGGAGGGAAGATAAAGTTCAAACATACAACTGAGTGTTTGAGCCTTCCACTGCTCTGTGACCCATCAGGACAAAGTCCTTTACAATCTGTTTTAAAAAGATAGTTCCTACTCACAGTAAGTTGTTTTCCAACGATCCGGATTTCGAGCTTTTAGCTCATCATCAGGTTGAAGGAGTTCTACAACCACATCTTTTGTCACGAATATTCAAATTCAATTCATGTTGAGAGACGTGATTGTAGAACTTCAACCTGATGATGCGCTAAAAGCTCGTCCAGATCGCAGGAAAACAATTACTGTGAGTAGGAACTATCTTTTTAAAAAGATTGAACACCGCACTCACTCCACCATTCATTTCTAATAAAGTCCTTGACTTTGGCTGACTGAGTTTATCCTCCTTCCCACTGCTTCCAACACCCTTGACAGACAAGTCGTCCTGCATCAGGGCCACTCTTTGACTGTTGAAGTTGTGCAGGTGTCCTCCCACACCCTCTGTCTAGCTGACTCTGGGTCTGACTCTCCAACTGCCTTCAACTGACTAATTTGCTTTTCAAATTAATCCCTTATATATCAGTTTTTCAGCAGGGGTTGAGTAGAAAAGAAAAGTTCCATTCTTGCAATAGTTGGTCATAACCTGGTCGGCCACGCTACAACCTGTAATCCTAAGGAACTTCCATTACACAACCTCCTTTTGGCTGATGACCTCAAATTTATGGTGACTTTCCGCATGGTGAACCGTCTCTGCAACTACCTTCCAACACTAATTAACTCTTTGGTTTTTGGGAAACCTTTCTTTGCTCCCTGCTAGATAGATTTACAGCCCCATAAGAAACATATGTTTACAATTCTTTACAACTATTTTAACTTATATTAACGCTATTCCCAACTTGTAATAAGAACCCAGCCTTATAAGAAGAAAAAAAATAAATGTAAGAATGGTAAGAAGGTGACCGGCTTACAACACCATCAAGCTAAACATCGAAGGCTAGGAATTGGAATTAATGCACTTCATGCACAACAGAACCTGTCGAGAGTAGAACAGAAATATCATAGATAAAAATAAATTTTTAAAAACTCTGTATAAATACTTTGTTTAAGGTGCGATGGGGGTTTTTCCCTGACCAACCCCTATTGACCTTAAAGAATGTACTGCTCTCGGTCTTCCTTTAACTTATATTTATTTATTTTCAAATAGGTTCCATGATTTTCTTTTTCTTTCTCTCACTTTTTCTTGATTTTAATGTTATGCAAATAATTGGAAAGATTCAATCATATCACAATGACCATATTAGTAGTGACGTGTTAATATCAATTTTAATGTTTTATTTAACGAAAGGAGAAAAATGTTTTAAAGACCTATTTTACTGTAAACTTTTTTTTTTCTTTCCAATACGAATGTTGTCCACCAAATTACTGAACCAATAAAAAATTCTAGGCATGGGATGGTCTGACCCACCGAGTTTCGTCTCATCAAGTGAGGCTTCCTCTCCTACCCCACTTCCAGAATTCTTTCTTGCACAGAGGTATTTTGATATTGTGGCGATGTTATTATTTTAATTATATCTTTTTGTGACATGTTAAAGCTGTGTTGTTTCAGACTCGGTATGAATCCCATTACTCTCTCGAGAAGAGACCATAGAGACAGTATGGAGGTATTCAAGACAGTGGACAACTTAATGCATTTCGCACCAATTTCACCAGGTGAGTTGTGATTTTGAACATTGTCATCTTTTATACCCTTAACATTCAATTATCCTGCAGAAGAAGAGACTGTAGATTGTGAAGGTAGTGGAGGAGTGACTCCAGTCTCTTGTGGAAGTGATGAAATTGACGTCAGTTCTGAAATGTTGGAAGCAGACAGCACTGTAGTACCTATTGACACTGTCAGGGCGCGTTTATCTGATATCTGTTGGAACAAACCATCCCCAGGTAATTTAAACTACATAATAAATAAATAAATAATATATAATAATATTTTTTAGAAAACAAATCAGAAAAAGCAGGCATTTCTTTGAGCCGGTTTGTCTGCACTAGTGTTAGCGAACCTGAACTTCTACAGATCCAAACTGTCCATGAGCCCTCTTTGACATTAGCAACATCTACACCAGAATCTACCTCTATTGGATTTAAAATTGATGGTAATGAAAAGATGTAAATAGAGAAATTGTGATTATGTAAAGACAAATTGTATAAATAATCGCTTCTAATAGATTATATTTAAATTATGTACAAGTTTAAAGTAAAAATACACTCGATGATATACATATTAGTCAGTATTATTTCTTAATGTGATAGCAAAGACAACACAGTTCAACAAATTAAAAAAAAAAAGTATTTTATTATATAGTAAGACTACTTCAAGTATCCCACCACTACCTTATTAATAAACTCCAAGTTGTATACTAATTTAAAAAAAAGTATTTTAACTCAGCTGTAAAATCAAGATTCTTTTACGCTTTCACATTCGTCATAAAATTAATTGTTTAGTTTAACACATTCAGTACGGCAGCACCTGACGGCCTTTGTAGCTGAGTCTGGAACTGACTTGCTCAAAAAACTAGAACACTCAGGAGTGTGCCCCATGCAGTTGGCACTATTTCATTGTTTGGGAACCTAATTAGGTCACACTTTTTACTTAGTACTTAGCGTAATAATTAAAAGTAATCACTGATTATTTAGACCAACTAAAATAATAATAAATTATATTCTCTATAACAATTAATATAAGTAAAAAAATCCAGTAGTCTGAATGAGTTGGGCGAAGCACATGATAGAATAGCTTGGGTCAAACTGAGGCCAGATAGAGCAGGCAGAATATTTCCTCAAAGCAAACACTCCTCCATACTGAATGTGTTAAATAACAGACTAAATCCCACCACCCCAGGTTATGTTCATACATTGTAATAGAACGTGCACATACATACATGCACAAAGATGGTGGAAGATTAATGAGGCATGCAAATATATTTTCTGTTAAGTATAAACTTTAATTTTTAGTGTCATAATCTGTTTATTAACAACGTTCAATAGTGAATTTCTCAAAAATAATAATTCTATATCATTTAAACACAAATTGACTCTGACATAACATCACACCCACAACTAATTTAGAGATTAAATGTTATAATTTGTTTTTAGTAATATCATTGTGATTTTAATGAGATAAACTAATTATTTTTATTGTTATTTTTTTGTTTTGTTAATTTTTTTGTTATTGTTAGTAAGATGATGAAATTGAATATATACCTGACAATCAGAATGTTAGTATGATTTCACCCCCCCCCCCATAACATAATACAGATGTTTTATGATCCTTCGTCCAACTCATCTTTTTGCAGTAATATTGTTAAAGCCAATTTAAAATTGTATTTATTTTTATTTTTTCATATGTACATAGAAGCTTTTATTTGTTTGTATTATATATTAAATAAAAGTCTTTTTCAAGATGTCATTTTATTAATTTCATAATCCTTTTCTTTATTTCATTTTATTTATTTATTTTTTTTTATTTTTTTTTATGCGGGTTCACAACAGGAGAGGCCATATCAACCCTCAGGGTACTGGTGTTTTTGAAATAAAAGCCCTTTTGTATGTTTGTATGCAGGGCCTTTACCTTACAGTGATGAGCGCCGTGTCAACGCCTAAACTGTTGCGGCCACCGACGCCCCCTAAATAATTGCCATAATCCTTTAAAATTTGAAACAGAAGAAGTGTAATATTAATGTGTTTAGTGACCGTTAGTCAATGATTATTCAGAGATCGTGAGATGTGGTCTGGTGTGACGTGGGTTTTAGAAAAACAATTTCTTTATCATGCCAACGTTTCGATCAGTGTTTGTTTTCTGCGTAATTGTCTCATTCTTGTGTGTCGTGTTGAGAGTTGTAATTAATTACAATCCTTATATATTTAGCAGTTATAATTGACATTTAATTATTTCAATTAATTATAATTTTTATCTAGACTTAGTTAAGATAAAAAGTATGATTAATTGAAATAATTACAACAATGCCTTATAACAGGTTGTTCTAGATCCTCTAGTTTTTATTCATATTCTAAGGTAAATTGTGGTAGATTAATAAAAATATTTTTCTTCAGCTCTACTTAGAATATAAACCATTCTTCCTTATAACTGTACAACCATTCTAATAGCATTCTACTGAAAACTTGAACCAAACTATAATCATGAACAAGTATTTGTATATTATATCTTTATCTTAACATAATCGTGATTTCTGCAGTTAAAAAAAATGAAATATTTATTTTAAAAAAGTTTAAATATTTATGTTTGTGGCGCCAAGTAGGAATAGCTTCAACCATTTGGTTTGATTCCCAACACCTTTAATAAAACAAACCATGGGGTAACAATTTCTATTAATATAACTACAGAAAATTTGAGGGAGAAATTTTCCAACATAAGAGTGAGTGTCACAATTCATCCAGATCTTGGTGCCATCAAAGAGGCTAGCATGGAATACAATTATCACATTACTATATTAGAATCAGAATTATATTTTTCATATCAACATCAATTAAAAAGTCATGGGCTGAAGGCTCTGTCGGGATTCAAACCCAGAATTGCTTGCAAGACATATGAGTCAGAAACCCTAACACTGGGCAACAGCGATCCCCTTTATTTAATTATATAATCTTTAGTAGTCTTTATTTATTGTTCTACCGAAGTGCGTTCCTAGAACTCAATCAGGGTTCACTGTTTTCACCTTCTCTTTAAGGACTGGTGAAGATTTAGTCTGTGAGGATTAGCAAAGGCACTGCAGTGTGTACACGACGGTTGTAAGCGCTCTGGGGTTTAGAGACAAGTCACCTCTTGCCATTGCTAGCTATGCACTAAGCTGGAACACCTTGGAAAAATGGTGGTATTCATTTGGGTACCTGGACATGTAGGGCGGGAGGACAACAGGCATACAGATGATGCAGTCAAAGCTGGGACCTCTTGCGCTCTTGCTCTTCAGACCAAACCACCGGGATTCATCCAAACCGCTGATGCTGTACGAATAGTAAAGAATGCATTAAAAGAATATTGCCTGTGTCAGTAGGCGCTGGTTTGGGTTATTGTGAATAATATTTCTTTATTGAATTTCAACTTATTCTGTTAGATTATGCTTCATTTTTACATGATGTATATAGATATTTATTTTAGGATGTCATAGTGCAACTGAAAATTGTTTGATATGGAAATATAAGATACTGTTATTTATAATATACGTAGTGTATTTCTTTATTACATATTATGAGATAATATTTCAGTTATCACATGTCATATTATTAAACAAATTTTCCATTTTAATCTATTGAAAATTCATACATTCCAAAACATTAGCAATGAAAGAAAAATAATACACAATACATCCTACAACTTGTGAAACATAAGGACAAACTTCAGAGCATAATTAATTAACAAAATTTTAAGACTATTCAATGAAAGCATAAGAAAATTACATTTTTTATTTTTAAATAATTGGAATTTCTGGTTACTATAGAAAGATTTTTTTTACTATCTAATAAAAATATATTTATATATATATATTTACACAAGCGCACGCTCACTCCCCCCCTCTCCATATTTAAACTTTTATCTTTTTTATATTTATATCTATCAACCTACCAATATTTATATATCCTCTTTTCTTGTAAATTTCATTACATATCATTATTTTCTGTATGAATAATACTACAAATTGGGAAACCTCCTGGAGAAACAAATGTAATATAGCTCCACTGATAAATATATTTTCAATTTACAACATTCAATCAATACTTTTGGTACTTATTAATTAAAGACCATTCTATGGTCAACAACGAATTAAAATGAAAAAAGAGAGAGGGAAAGAAAATTATGTGCTTTATTTTATCACTGTATACTTTGGATTCAATGGCATCACTGTTATCACTTTGAGAGCTGAACTGTTTTCTGCTGTGTCCAGATCAAGCCTTATCGAGCTGTCAATGTCATACTGACGGCTGACAATTAGCTTGATATCGGAGCCAAGTGAAACTCTCCCAGATTTAGACCTCCTTAGCCTGTAAAAAAAGCAATTGACATAATATATATTTCTTTTTGTCAATTCAAGATGGATGAATTCCTTTGATACCTGAGATGAATGAGGTAATGACTTGGTCGTTGGGGGTCTGAAACTGTTCTTTGACGAATAAAAGTGTGGCTATTGCAAGGCATGTCAGTCACATCATATGCGACAACAAACATTTTGATCACAGTGCCCAATGGGTTGAGTAGAGTGAGCTGGATAGTACCGGTCGGTGGGATGGTATACCCCTTCTTATTCAAGAAGATCTCACCCTGAAAGATTCATCATAAAGAAGTTCATGTCTATAGATACTCCAGAGCGACATCTCATAGTAAGATTAAGCACTCGTATCATATAGGAATATCTATTGTAAAAACTTTAAATAATAGCTAAAATGGATTTTAATTGTATAATTTTATTTATGAATATTATAAATGGGATTTACTTAACTCAATACTCTAAAAGGACTAAAATATTTTTTGGAAATAAGAAGAAAATTAAAAATACAATTTAAAAAAGTGACCAGACAATGAACCAAAATTTTTATTCTTAGTTACAGAAAATGTCCAAGAACTTTATTAAAGATAGCAGAAAATATGTCAAATTCTCTCTCAAATGAAATTAATTTACATGGTTATTCATGTGGTGAGATGGGGTTGGGTGTTGAAATTTACATGATTGATTGAAGTTTCAGTTGATTTTTTAATATGTACAAAACTTTATGTATGTTAAATTATAACAAACATTAAAAAAAAAGTAAGTTATGGGTGTGGTCTTTTTATAAGCAACTTAGAAACTGAAGAAGATACCTTCTTCCTACTTTTTTATTTCTATTTATTTATTTATTTTTTACTTGTGAATAGCTGGTTTTCTAAAATTTTGTTTTTAAGTTTGTTCAGTTTGAAACTGGTAACATTTCTTTTTTATTTAAATTATAAATCCTATAAATAATTCCCATAAAAGTTTTCATATCCAAACACCTTAGTAAAAAATGTATACCAAGTATGGGGTAGAATGTGGCTCTATTGCAAAAAACGAAACTGTTACAGGTAAACGAAGATGCTGAGGACAAAATGTTCCGCTAGCGCCAAGATCAGCAGTGAAACCATTGATCACTGAAGAAGGTTGTAATCTACCCGATAAAAGATTTTCTTCATAATTGCCTAAAAACAGAGATTCGTTTAAAATTGAAACAAGAGAAGTGTGCTATTTTTCTATTCACCTAACAAAGGCCTAAGAAGTTTTGACTTTTTATCCTTTTGGTTCACAGAAAACGCTAAATTTCGTTGACTAAGTAAGTGATTTTTCGCTTTGGTCATACCAACCGGACTTTCTCCTTCTGTCTCTTCTGAACTTGAATCTGTCGTCCAACAACTAAAATTGCAATGTTTGAGAAAGGTATAGCTATTAATATTTTATCTATACTTACAGGCGGTAATTACGATTGGAAGGTGAAGGTATGGCTAACGTCTTTACATTATTAAGCTGTCGAACAGAGTCCTCTCCATATACTTTTCTTTTTGAGCTGAAACGTTCTTTCGGCTTTTCATTCTAGAAAGTAAAACAATTGGGACCAATCATTAAAATGACCAGACTTATCCAAAAAATACATACAATTGCATTGTTGGAGATATCAAGCCGATTAAATGTTTCTGCAAGATCATTGTGTTCTTTTTCTTGGTTTAACTTCTTACTGTTACTGATGGTTATTTCAGATAGAAGTTTTTTTGAACTAGCCTCTTGGGATGTGCCAAAGCCTGTCACCCATTTACGCTTAAGAGGATTTACCGCAGTAGGGACTTTGCTATGTTTGAGCATCGAAGTAATGAGGACCTCGGCCCTGCTACTTCCCACATTCATTTTAATATCTTTGTTTTTCTCCATCTGCAGTAAATGCTGCATCTGGCCCCTTAAAAAAGTAAGTAGAAATCCATTTTTGTTGTTTTGTCAATTTTCAGTTATTTCTTATTTTGATACAATTTTAGCCTATGACAATTTGAACAGGGAACAACGAATCATTACGATCCTTCAAAAATATACAGTGATAATTAAACTGGTAAACAGGAATTACCTTTCGTCCAACAATTGTCCGTCAGATATATCACAGTTGTTTCTTCCTACACTTGATACGTCTTTTTCTTTTGGCCCTGAAAAAAAGCACAAAACATGTATAAGTATAATTTATTTAAATATTTTCCAGTTGATATTTCAATTACATGTTAGAGAGGATTAGAATTAGTGAAGGTATTTTTGCATGTTTCAATCTAGATTTTTTTTTAACTTTATTTATTACTTTTACTTTATTTTTAATTTAAAAAATATACAAAAAACCGTGCATTTTATGATTTATTTTTACAAAAAAAAAAAAAGAAAAAAGAAAACAAGCTTCTAGCTTTAGAAAAAATAGTAATAATTAATTATTAGAAATTAATTTGTTAGTGCCACAAGTACTAATGAAGATATGTTTGAATTGGTCATTAGTAAAATTTTTCCTTTCCTGAATTTTGCTAGCCTTTCTTCCTTTTCAGCCTGTCAAGTAAGCAATTACAAATTCATAACACAATTTTCATAAATTTACAATCTCTGTCTCAGTTTTTCTTTTTTAGGTACTGATCAATCCTTCATAATATAACCGATGAAACAAAACATGTTTACCATCTGTGCTTTTGAAATGTTTTGTTCAAATCTACATTGTTTTTGATTGTTCAATGTATAATAATATTATTTTGTTGATTCTACTTTTCTTTCTCGAGCGATATTTAATTTATAGCTTTTACTAAGTGTCATTTCCATTTAATAGGCAATATATTTAATGAATATTCTAATAAATAGAATAATGCTTCATTAACTATTAATTATTAAGTTTATTTAGTCACAATTATTTATGTTTAACCATATTCTTTTATCAGTACCTGAATGAATACAGTGGGAGTTTAACTTCTGTTGCCCTTACATTTTTTTTATTGGGGAATTTTTGGGAAAAAGCTCAGTACATATAAACTTTTATTTTTCATCCAGTTTCTTATGAGTCAAAAAATTATAGATATAACTTTGTATTCCATTGTCCTGGAGAGTTAGATCAACTTTTTGGTTCATTAGAAACTAGGTAAAAAATAAAAATTTACATGTCTCGGGATTTTTACATTACAAAAAATTACATTATATATATAAAGTTAAAATATTTTAGAGATTTTATAATATTTTACCTGTTATTTGGTAATTTGGAAAGTAACAGCTTTGTTGGGTGTTAATTTGATTGGACGATATGCTCTTGCTACAAGAAGAAATCTCAACTTCATCTTCACAATGATGCTTTCCTATGTATTTACAACCACTCTGCATTCTGTCATCTACTACACCTATTATAACATGATAATTATTGTACAAACAGGTAGAATACAGGCATAATCGTTATGGGAATTTATACCTATGTACACTTGACTTGACGGTTTGTTCAATTTCGGTGGTGAAATTCTCCGCCTTCTTGCAGGTGACGAATCTTTATTACTGTCTCTCCACAGCATGAAACCTTCAAATATGAAAATAGTTACAGAAGTTGTACATTAAAGTTGAGGAGGGTGGAAGCTGACCATTTCTCACAGCCGGTATACGGGTTGGCGGGTCCAACAGACACTGGCCTAACTCGGCAAAGACTGATTTAAACACAGTGACAGTTGCAGAAAGGGTTGAAGGACCAGAATGTTGTGGGCAATGCACAATAGGCATCATGTCCATCCTTGGTAAAGACTTTAAACTGACCTAAGACAAAAATATAACTTTTTCAAAGCAAAAATATTTTAAAAGCCAATAAAGAATTATATATTTTCAAATTATTATTACTAAGGGAGGGAACATGTTGGTATACATCTTTGGTCGTCCTTTTGATTATTATGTATGTTTATTTTATTATACTTAGTTTTACACAATATTATTATTTTTAGAGTAAATTAATCTTAACTTACTGACATACAGTTAAAGTAAATTTGATCTCATTCAATTAAAACAATGAAGATTATGTTAAAATCACATACCTTCAGATATGTGTCTGGGGTTAGATTTGCAATTGGAAAATGATGTTCCACAGGTGTCCTTGTAAATCCAGAACACCCGACCGGGTGGGACAAACGGTAACATACATGTTTAATTTTTCCAAGAGAATACCAAGCAGAGAGCTGAGAAAAATGAAGTTGAGATCTAAGAGCTTGCAATAAGACTCGTTCTGTCACAGCACCAGAAGGCACATTCACTCCCCCACTGTTTCGGCTGAAACATATACATTGTATTTTCTAGAGTAAAAAAGTGCATGAGAAAGACTCACCTGTTTATTATGGAGACTGTCCATTGCTCAATCAGCAAATCAGTTGGAGAAGCTACTTGGCAAATGTTAGTAGAATTGGCTCGATTCTGCCCGCAAAGACAATCTGGGCATAACAGGACATCAATACACATCGGTGCACAATTTTCACTCAACAAGGCCATATGCTTCCTCAGCTTGCAAGCTCTTTCACACTAAGCAAGATGAAACCACAATCAAAACAAATTTTCAATACAAAAACAGGGTGATAAAACTTACAAGGAAAGACGAATCTTGGCACTTATGGAGACAGGGAGAATTACTGAACTGAGGGCAATGAGGGCCTTCTCTAAATCCGAGATTCGTCCCAGTTTCGCCTATTCTTCCCTCTATCAACATCATACCAACATCGACAAACAAATGACCTCCAGACCCCATTGGATGTGTCACACTAACTTCCAACTTAAAAAACAAATAAATAAATCAAATTGCTACATTTGCAGATGAAATGAATATTTAAGCTACAGTGTTTAAACACAAGGAGAAAATTAACTAAATTTTACAAAGAATTGTGAGCAAGCAATTAGATATGTCAGCCATTGAACTTGTAATGATACATACTTAATTTTTTGCAATAATTACATATCATTTATTTTATGATAAATTTGTGCTCTACTTTTTACAGCTTCTACAATTAGCATAATTGAAAAATGATACATATAGCAAGACAAATATTTGCTTGTTAGTTATTCAAACTGAAAAGTAATTGGGGCTTTTTGCTAAAAAAAATTCGAAGCTATTATTTATGAACAATATATATGAATTAGTACAAAACTGTCATTTTTGTGAAAATGTACTCAAATCTCTTGTAATCACACAAATGTATGGATGAATTTGTTTACCTTAAATGATAATTTACCTTACCTTTAATAATAATGAAGATATTTATGAGAAATATATTTCAATTAGCTGATGTACAACATTGTCAATTTTACATACTCAAATTTCATAGCAAGTACATAAATGAATGGATGAATTTATGGTTTATCTTAATTCATATATAAATATATTTATAATGTTATTTTTCCGTTCGAACATAACAAAGCTATTAATTGTTTATATTTTTTGTTGAAAAAAGGAAAAATTGAACTCAAAGTAATCTTTGTATATCCAACATTTTTATTTTAATTTGAATGTACTCAAATCTCGTTGTAAGTTCATAAATGCATGGATGATCTTATGGTTTATCTTAAGTCATGCATAAATGTATTGTATTTATAATATTATTTTTCCATTAGAACATTTAAACAAAATTATTACTTTTTTGTTGGGGGAAAAATTATTTGAACTAGAAGGTATTCATTCATATGTTCAAGCTGCTTGGATGCTTGAATATATTAATAACATGTATAACATTATCGTTTTTCTGAAAATGGCTCAAATCTGTTCAACTTTGTAAGTACAATATTTAAACGTATGTTTTAAGTGACATGGTTTATCTTAAGACGTATGTAAATACAATTATAATGTTCCTTTTCTATTTGAAACTTTTAAGTTATTCAACAGTAAACCATATTTGTTTAGTGGTCATAATTGACCATATTAATTATTGCAATTAATTATTCTTTTTTATCTAAAGTGTTGGTTGAGATGAAAAAGATAGTGTCATGAGCGAGATTCAAACCCATGACCTTCGGCTTGGACTTAGCCGAAGGTCGTGGGTTTGAATCTCACTCATGACACTATCTTTTTCATCTCAACCAACATCTTAGATAAAAAGAATAATTAATTGACATCAATAATCTTGGAGTTTTATGGGGACATAAGTGTGAAATCATGTTTAACTGTTGTACACCTTTTTTTGTGAAAATATACTCAAATCTGTTTTACATTGTAAGTATAATAACGTATGAAACTAGATTATCGACCTGCTGGATACAAGATCCTCTGAAAAGACTTCTTGTAATAACGTATGTTAAAACATGTATAATGTATATTTTTCTTTTGAATTTTTTGAAAATGTGATTCAAACCCAAAGATAATCTGGGATTTTACTAATAAACTGAACATATTAGAGGAATGTAAGTAAATTAGTATGCAACAACTGTACAACAGTCATTTTTGTAAAAATGTACTCAAATCTGTTTTACATTGTAATTACAACACATAAATGTATGCACTGATGTATGGTTTATCTTAAGACATTGTAAATATCATCCTTTTATCAATTGAACATTTAAAAAGATTCCATTGAAAAATGGTTCAAACTCCAAAGAAATCTTGGGTTTTGCTAGTAAATTGAACATATTTATTAGGAATATATGTGAATTAGTGCTTCACAAGTATACAACACTGACATTTTTTGTGAAAATGTACTAAAATCTGTTTTATATTGCAAGTACAATAAATAAATGTATGTACTTGACCTATGGTTATCTTAAGATATATAATTTTTTCTATTCGAAAATTTTTGTCGAAAAAAAAAAATTCAAACAAAAGTAATCTTGGCTTTTGCTAGTAAATTGAACATATTTATGAGGAATATATGTGAATTAGTGTTAAACTAATGTACAGTAACATGTAAATAAATGTATAATGCTCTTTGTCCATTTTAACATTTTAAAACAAAAAAGATGTGACTTAATTCTAAAAGGCTTATTTTAAATATTTTATTGTTTAAGAAGGACAGTGTTAAGATGAAAGATTATTTCGATTTTAACAAGATTTCAGTATATGAAAACCTATCAAAACTAAATGTAAAATTTTCTAAAACCTAAAGAACAGGAAAAACAGAGGAAACCCTCTTTATTATGAATGACAAAAGGAATTTCTCTTCTCCTATTGATTCTCAGTATAAATGCATATCTGTAGAAAGTGTTTGAATTTAACTTAATTAATAATATATCGAGACGTCGAAATTTCTTAAGACATAAGGACCAGTGATAAATTGGTGTTTTGCTGTAATATTGAAGGGTATGAGGAAACACTTGGTTCAGAACATTCACTCGCCTGGTGACCTATTTTAATTCACCAAATTAAAAAATTTAAAAAAAGTCCCAGAACTGGGTTTGTCCCTAATCATCGAGAATGAGTGAAAAACCATCTCGTCGAGGCAGAAATATCGACGATAGAACGGAAACTGGCATAGGAAAGAGAGAGAGAAAAAAAGAAGAGTTATAAAAAAATGGGGACTTACCCAAAATAATCAATCGTCATAAAAACCCTTCTGAGGAAAACGACTTTCCTCTCGCCTTTATCAGATAATTTTCCATAATTCCTCCTTCGTCTCGGCGCTGCTCCCTTGCAAAACCCTCTTGGAAAAGGCGTCAAATCTGCAAAAAGAGAACAGGGTATGAGGTCCTGTTACCAAGTGCATGTTTGGAACTGACAGGCGAGAGCAACTCGGCCGAGCTGCTACCAACTTGAACTGGCCATTTGCGAAATCGGGACGACTGTCCGATCCCAATTCGCTCGGCTTTGAACCGTTTTAAATTGAATGACAGCCTACAAAGGGCGTTTATTTAAGTTTTCTACTCACGTATGCTCCTCAAGGAAGAGAAATGCCCAATGTTTATATAATAATATGTTGGTATTGGACAGCTGGTTTCTCATCAGCTGGAGGGTTGATACCTGGTCACAGGATGACAGAACCATTGGTCGTGGGTGGGGGATAATTGGTGGGGAAAGGGGAGCTGGAAAGTGGGATGTGGGTAAGGTGCCCTGTTCCTTCGAGGTGGGGTTCTGTTTTCTGCCATTCGTATATTCGTCCTACGATCTCTGTCCTGACGCATTTTCTCTTTTGATTAGTGAAATTCACTGCCAGTCTCAATTTATATTCACTGTCATTATTACCCACACGTAGCAGAAACGCTACAAAGATTCAAAGTACTAACACACAAGTGTTAAATGTTGTTTGGGTACAAGAGGATACTGTCAAAGACGGCAGGTTCAAAACAAAAGTACTAGTTTTATATTCTGATGTCACTGAGGTGAAAACTGTCAGATGTCAGCAATTTGAAAGTACAAATGCTTCAATATTATGCTGATCCGGTATTGAAGAGTAAATTGTCAGATGACCACCAAGTACATACACGATGTCATATGCTGATGTCGCATTAAAAGGGAAATAGTCAAATGATAGCAATTTGAAAGAACAAATGCTTCAGCATTGTGCTGAACTGGTATTGAAGAGTAAATTGTCAAATGACAACAATTTCCAAGCACAAACACAATGTCATATGCTGATTAATGGAAAACTGTCAGATGTCTGCAATTTGAAAGTACAAATGCTTCAGTATTATGCTGAACTGGTATTGAAGAATAAATTGTCAAATGACAACAGTTTCAAAGCGTAAACATGATATCATATTCTGATGTGGCATTAAATGGAAAACTGTCAGATGTCAGCAATTTCAAAGTACAAATGCTTCAATATTATACTGATCTGGTATTGATGTCATATGATGATGTGCCATTAAAGGGGATACTGGCAGATTGTTTAGGTAAATTTAAATTTTGAATTTTCCCTTTTTGAATTTACCTAAACAATCTATGATGAGGTTCCATTGCAAAGAAGTGGAAACATTAAAAGATATATTGAGATGACATCAAATTAAAACTTACTGTAAATACAAACAAAGGGGGCCGCAGTAGCCGAGTGGTTAAGGCGTCAGACTCTCGGCTAGTAGATCCCGCGGTCGTGGGTTCTATCCCCACCGTCGCCTCTGGACTTTTTCTGACGCCTAAGGGGACCACTCATCAATGGAAGGAGCAGGATCAGATCTCAGCGACCCTGAATTTGGTCCCAACCCCCTTGATGGAAGAACACCGGCACACCAGGGGCTCAAATTCACACTTGTTGCGAGCCACCAAACATATGGAACCAGGGATAAAGTACAATAAGCTGTAAACTGGGAACTGGGAACATTATGAAGGGTGCGGACTGCTTGTGGAGCAAGGGATAGCTCATGAGGAGGCCACTGGGGTAACAATGAACCCACAGTGATATGATGAGGTGCCAATGAAGAAGGTATGCTGGCACCCTGGCTCATGACATTCATAGAAAAAATAAGGATAAATACATAAGTGTCATATACTGATATAACATTGAACAGGAAACTATCAGATAATTGCAATTTTTGTATACTATTAGATACTGAAGAGGAAACTCTGTAAATGCAAAGAAACATGCAATAAAAGTCAAATTTTTCTACTATATAAACCAAGGAAATTAGTATTTAATAAAAAAAAATTACAAAATGATATTTTCATTTAAAAACCATATTGTTTTCTCATTAGTAAATATTAATTAATAGTGAAACAACAGTATATCTAGTCATTTTTATAATTGCTTTAAATTTTAAAAAAATTTCATGTTATATGAAATTTTTATTTCATTCATGTTATATGTGTTTATTATTACTATTAATAAAAGATCAGTCAATCTGTATGCAACTAACATTTCTTTGATTGGAATTTATAAAATAATTACTTAATTGAAAAACATGAAAATGAATAATGAAGTTATTCATTGAACTGCATACAATTTATCACATTACGAACGTTGCCGATACTTACTCAGCAAGGAACAAACTGAAGGTGAAATCGATGAAAAATCACCAGGGTTAAATAGGCCTGTTTTTTATTTATAGAAATGTGGGTGTTTCCACTTTAAAAAGGCACAAATATCTCCTATAAATGTCTCAAAATGAATAAATGGCACAAAGAAAATGGATGCTTAGTATGTATCCCTTATGTTACATTAGATGGTAAAATATGTAAAATAATAATTTTTTTGCACTTTACATTAATTAAATCTAATTTGAAAATCAAGACTATAAAAAATTATTTTATTTTTTTGTTAACTGCCACAATCCTTATTATCCTTTTAGACAGACAGACAAAAAAATGTTCATGGATATAAAGTTATAAGGCAAAACTTGGTCAGATAGTCCTAATATCAGCAAAGTATGTTTCGGTAATAATTCAATATAACTTATAATAAAACTACTTAAATATAATACGACATAGTTTAGAATTTAGAACGTTCAATGCTGCAATTTCAATTTCACCCCCCCCCATACACACAGCAGCAAATTGTTTCTACTACTGTTGCTACTTCCCAGGTCAGCCACATTGAATGTGCTGAAAAAGAGGCAGGAAAAGTGGTTTTTATTGTTATGATGGACTTACTAAATGTATAATTCGAAGTGAATATATTTTTAATCTGCTCTATTTTTTACGTAATTTATACAAGATTTAAAATACATATAGCCAAAAAGCAAGGGTAGTTAAAAAAATTAAAGTTGTTTGTAATAATATAACAAACAAAAAATAATAATAAAAATATTTAAAAAAAGATTTATTAATAAATTTTATTTATATTTGTTTAAATTATTATTAAAATATTATAAATATATATGCACACAATTCCCTGCAGGTGAAAAATGTCCTTTCTGATCGAACATCAGTATTTAGTTGGAATGTTGAGTTGATCTTGGCCACAATACACAATCATATACGATTTATGATTTATTATTGTGTCACATCGGCTCATAATCTCTATAAACAAAACAAAAATTGGAAGATAAAAAAAAAGGCGAGGGTGGAGTACAATTCCATACTCACTTGTTACCCTGGTTAGAGTTGAGAATGGAAAGTGATTCGTCTGACCTCCCAATTGAGCCTCGTGGTCAGAACTTAAGATCCTTTATCGCCTGCGGCAGATCAGGAAGTTTCATCTCTTTAAGCTGTGCTGGTATGTTCATGTTCTTGACAGCGCTCACAGCTCGTGCTGCTGCTAGGCCGGTCTATGTAAACAATACCATTTTAAGAAGATGAGAGCGTTGTAAGTGTTAATATTACTATATTAAACATATATAGCTGTTATGGTAACCCATTTATAACACAACACTATGAGATATTTGATTATTCAACACTTGTCAAGTGTTCATTGTTATGTAGGAGAAGACTAGTCTAACTCATACTACTTGAGTTTTCAGAGTTCACCTTTTTAATAAATAATCAAATAAAAAGGTTTGGAAATACAATAGATTGCTTGACTTATTTTTACAGCCCAGATAGTGCCTTTCTAATTAAATTAAAATATCAACTGAAATGTAATTAATTCTAGATCTCAAGAGGCAAAGTGAATTTATAAGTTGGCAAAAGTTTTAGGTAAGAAATGTATCATTAAATATATTCCACTAACATTTCTTAAGTATATTTTTGACCTAAATGATCATCAACAAAACCAGAAATAATGCAGTTTATCACCTCACAGACGTCAAGACAAATGTACTGTACTCACTTCTTGTTTTTCTAATTTATTTTGCTCAGATATCCTAGCCAAAATTTCAGACATGTTTGTTTCCAAAACCATTCCTCCCATCACTAATTCGTTCAGTATGTAATGAACCTGAAACAACCAAATTCGTATTTTTATTATTATTATTTTAACGTTAAAAACATATGTATTATATTTTGTCTAATTATTGAGTTCTGTTATTTACCTTGTCTACATGGAAAATGAGATCAAGCTCACAGACATTCTCAAAACATTTGTCTAACGTCTCGACGAAGACTTGTATCAAGTCGAGAATCCCAAGCTCCGACTCTGAAGAATCCACACAGAACACAAAGTATAACGTCGCATAATGTCGATATATCAACTTATAATCAGAACCTCCAATCAGGCTGGAAAAAAAATTAAAGAGCCTGACGTGCTTGGTTCAAAGTTGAAGTTGAAATCAATAATTATTCAAGTTTTTACGAATATAACATAAGATAAGAGATGCTAATTGGAAAAATTATAGAGACCCAGAGATACAATCATGCCCAAGTATAATGTTATTTTTATTTATTAGAATTATTTTGTAGTACGGTTTCTGGTCATTTTGGTCAGCCTGTCCTCACACATCAGACAGAGCAACACATCATCATCACCTCATAGACCACATTATTTTGTGATGGGGATTTTATGAATTACACAACCTTTTTTTCTTCATTTATTTTTTTGCATTTCATTTTATGTTCATCATCAAGTTTTGAGTTTATTCCAATGTCTCACAAGCCTTAAAAAGAGATACCTGCCATTCTAAACCAAAAAAAGTGAAGAGAGAAGATAGTGGAGTTCATAAAATTCCTATAATAGTATATTTCTTCAACCAGCAACCAATCAAAGGAGTTTCCATTTTAAAATTATTTTAAATATTTATACAGTGTAGAAATAGAACCATTTAGTTTTATAATTCAGCACCATCTTTGAGCTAATGATGTTTGAGCTTGGTACGGTATGGTATGCTGATGTGATGAGGATACTAGGAAGCGGGGTTTGTGCTCCCCAGGCACTGCAGCCTTCTGGTTTAGTGTACCTTCCTAGTTCCTTAGTTCAGTGCAATAGTCTCAATCCTTTTTCTTAAAAGTATCAAGTTATTGACTGCTACTACAGTTTCATTCCCTAGATTTTTTCATAGGTTCATAGGTTAGATTAAATCTGTTGCTTTGCATTCAGAGATGATATGGGTGGCTGTTTCCTCCTCCGCATTACATGATCTGCTTATGGTATCATCATTGTATATGCCCAGGTTGTGTAGATGATGTTTGATGTTTGAGCTTAGTGATTTTCTGATATGATATTTGTTTTTTACCCTCTGTTCAAGTTGAACTAAGTACATCCCTCAATTCCATGGACTTCAGCCTGCAAGATCTCATTTTGAGTAGCTGTCATACAAGTAGGATTCAAAAATGAGACAGTGTGTAGAAGGTAGGATGCTCTTGTGTTTCCAGAACAAACCCAGGTGCCAGGCTCGACTGAAAGGCTGTTCAACATCGAGACAGACTCCTGAGCAACATTATTTCTTCTCAAGTGAGGATGCAATGATATCCGCAATGCAATATTGAACATTGGAATAGAGATGCCTAAATCTAAGTTGATAGCGAACAAGTTAAACTTAAAATTTATCGACTCGCATACCTCAAAGAAAAAAAATGTTGACAATCTCTTTTGACTTTCTGACATTATGGAACTTCTGTTTTAAGCTGACAAAAGGTATATTTATTCAATTAAAAAAAGACCGAAGTACAAAATCTCAAAGTACCTTCCTCCTTCAAGAAAATTGCACACGTTATCATCCCTCTTCGATACCAAATGGAATGTCTCTTTGATAATCTGCTGCTGCATATCTTCGGTCTAAAAAAACAAACCCATCTAAGGATCAAGTATTTATGCAACAGGTACTTTCACATTACTGGAACAACATACGAAAAACTGGTAGAACTTGGTCAACCGAGGTTTACCGTGATTGTTGAAAACTAGAATTGCTTTTATCATTTTATTCCAATTGCCAAAAAAAAATTTAAATAGACTGTGCAAGTCGCCACGAACCAAAACAAGCAGACCAGTATTACAACAAGTACAACGTTGAACAAAACACTACACTACTGTTCATAAAAGAGAAGGTTAGTCAAACTTGTTTACTTAGCCTTCTTACAAATCAGCACAAAATTTTGAAAGTTTTGACAATAGAAATAACACGTTTAAAAATTCATTATCTATTATTTAACATACCGCGATAAACTTATATATTTTTTTTACTTAGTTAAATCTGTAGTAATAATATTTCTTCGTCGGTTTGTAAAATACAAACTTAATATGAACGGTTTCTTCATTGAATTCGTTGGACCTAACGTGCAAAAAGTAGTTAAAAATCGAAATAATGGATTAATAGAATAATTTTTATTTATATTTTAGATCTCGTGTAGTAAGTAAATTCGACAAAAATAGTTAAAACATTAAATAAGCAATTTAAATTGATATCGCCATAAAATATAATGCGACATGCTGAAAAAAATACAAATAAGGTCAAACAAGCAATACAATTGTGATCTATTATGATTTCGAATTTTATATTTTTTTCATAATGGCTTTTATTTAAAAATTATTTTACAAAATTGTGTAATACAAGGATTTTTTAAAATTACATTTATTTGATATTTACAATTACAAATAAAAACTTTTGCAGTCTAGGCTACGAAATTGTAAATATTTTGGCGAATGTCATGAAAATGTATATATCTCGGGCGTATCGGTTTATTTTGAGATCGACCTCGAGAATTTGGTTTATCTAGAGAAAATAAACCATTCCTCCCAATTTTGAGAGATTAGTGAGAGTTCGACGACCTTGGCCAAAAGGAAATTCGTCCTTGCGGGCCTCTGAGTCCCACTCCCAGGTTATTTACGTTTATCCCGTCGATTATTATCTCTTACACAGAACTCGTTATCACTCAGATACTTCTACAAATTGAATATAATTTTCTTTTCTTCCTTTCTTCCTGTTTGTGATGTGAAAGTGGCCAGCGTTATGAGGATCACACACCTGACGTTCTCCTTGTCAAAAATGATTGACTTCTACTCGCAGTTTAATCCGTCTCCACTGTCGATTAAACATTTTGTCGATTTCGGTAAGTTTGATTTTTTTTAATCCGGAGTTTTGATTTAAAATAAAACAGAAATAACATCAACTTTCTTATTTGCCGATCAGAAGTTTCAATTCAGCGATATCTGCATATTCTGTGCATGTATGCAACATAGGGTTGAATAAAACTTATTGAATAAATGATCGACCAATTTTGGATAAAAGGATGTACTGACAGAATCGAGCAGCAAATTATTATCGGTCATTGTGCCACAATCAAGAGGACTAGCCAAACTTAACAAAATATCAGGAAATTTTTATTCCCCCTCTCCCAGACGTAAAAACTATTTTTTTTATAAAGTTCCATTTTTTATTGAAGACAACTACCAAGGGTCACGATTGCCCCAATAACTATCTCGTAAGAGGTATGCGGGCAGATGGATGGCCACAGTCGCCCAGGTACTCCAGTAGTGGCAACAGATGATCCTGGCGCACGTTTTCCCCTATTACGAGCTTGGGAGGGCATGAGTAGGCACCAACCACATCCTTTGTGCAGGGGTTAAAAATTACATAAACCAACTGGGGTTTTACGACACGCCCGGACTCCCTGCCCCCAGACCTCGCACATACACTGTTTTTACATTTTATTTTCTGTATTAATATATTTTAATTATCTTAATAAAAAAGAAGGGAAAAGTCAAACAATGTGAGAAGCTCATATTTTGTTGAGTAAATATGCCAATTTGAGAAAATCAAATAATTTATGTATATTATTCTGGTTGTCACCTAGTATTTCCTGATGTTTACCGGCGAGGAGTATAGAAGTCTATGGTGTGTACATGTGATGTATGTGTTTGGATGCATGGCAAGTAGATGGGAGTGCCCATTATGTGACCCTTGGTGGCTCTAAGTGTCCAATCCTAAACCTTGGAAGATCCACTTTTTACTCCCCTGATATGAAGTAAGCCATGTGTCTACAGAGTTCTTTATTTCCTGGAGTTTGTTTTCAAGTGTGCTAGCCCAGACCTGTTTCCATTGACACCAAACTTTTGACTTGCAAATTACAATCGTCACCCTTTGGGATGTCCCGGATTTGAAGATAAGTGGGTTCCCTTAATATGTGCATGTCCAGGTATCCAAACAAAAGTACTCTTCTTCCCTGTAGTTGGAAACACCTCAATGTTGATAATATTTCCTGAACATTGGGGCTCATGTAAATAGGGTGGTCCAAGGCATGAAGGCAGATTCTGTCAGACAAATCATGTAACTAGTCAAAACATACAAAATTAAGTGATTCGCATATTGCCAGTAGCTCAGTACTATAGTTTTTACAGACATTTCCTGCACAGAGTAAAGAAATTAGCTAGGGTCTTATGTAGACGCAACAACCATGACTGGAGCTTTTTTATCCATCAGTATAGACAAATGCCGCTTGAAGGAGTGTATTTCTTATTTTCAAAAATTCCTGCTGGCATACATGAAAAGGTGTGAGTGCGTTTTGATATGTACCTAATGAATACAATACTTTCAGCTTGGAGTTCAAGTATGTGTTCAGCTTGGGGTTCAAGTATGTGTATTTGTCAAAATTTGAAAATTTAATGTTGATTTCAATTTATATGTGTGTTAAGATGGTCAAAATATCAGGGAATTTTCACATGTAATATCAGGAGGAAGCAAATATCTTTCATACAAACCTGGCTTTACATTTGAATTAGTAGTTATTAAATTATCAAAAACAATTCTAATGGAAAATTGAAATAATACATCAATCACCAAATGCTACATTTTATTTTATCATCCCCTGGAGTTAAATCTAATTATGTATATTGTTATACAATTGACCTTCAGGTTGGAATTTATCTGTTAGTTTTTTTAATATTTTGAATGGTTTCAATATAAAATAAATAGGTGGGGGGTTGTTGTTTTATTATTGTTATCACTGTTTGTTTAAGATAGTATTTTCATCAAATGCGGACATCACAGGGGCATATTTTCATGACGATAAATAAGAATCTCCCTTACGCAATGTATGTGTTTATATAATAATAAAGAATAAAATATATATCACAAGAAGAAATCTCATAAAAATTTATATGCTGGTACCCAAATAGAAATGCAGTAATATCATTTTCTAAATGGTGGTAACAAATTTTGCGTTCATATAAATTTTACATCGTACATATTTTCTTGTAAATTGTTTTTCAAAAAGTATTAAAATGAAGTTCTTTTCAGAGGATCTTCGGAAAGAATTCCTCTGAAAAGAACTTATTGTATCCAGCAGGTCGATAATCTATTTTCATCGTTATATTAAAATGATTTAACAGGAGTCTATCCTGAAATAATAATTGCTGGTTAAAATGATGTTCATGGTCATTCCTTTACGGCTCATGGAATAAATTGAATGGAACAATGTATTATTGCTAGTTACTATTTTAGTTTTAGTATCAAGTTGATTTACACCTTACAGTAAATATTTCAATATTAAAAACTAGTTTTTATTTAATATTTGGTATGATAATGATTTATTTACTGATCCATTAATCCATGCATTAAAGACAATGCAATTAACATATGCAATATAATTAACATATAAATAAAATTCAAAATACTAAATATACTATTAGAATATTTTTGATTGTATTTGTCAAAATGAGACCAAAGTAATAATAACTTAGTAATATTCCATGATCTTCAATAAAATCTAGTAATGTATTAATGTATTAAGCAATGTATTAATAAACCATTTATGTATTCTACAAGTAAATTTTGTTTGTTTTTAGGTCTGTTCTTAGCTCTTTTCTCTTTCCATTTGGAGATGTAGGGATTTCCCCCTTTAGCACTTAAACTTCTATTAATTGTGTCCGATCTCTGCTAATGGTTTTTCTGGAAGATTTTTGTTTGTTTAATCAAGTATAAAATTCTTCATTCACATTGTTGATGAAGAAGAAATCGACCACAACGATTAATGTGTTTAGGATCTGGTTTTTGGTCAGATCATAAGAATGTGATCTGACCACAAACCAGATCCCAAACACTTTATTCACATTCACAAGAATGACTTACTGCCAGGCTAGACCTAATTGATTTGGTCAACTGTTAACATTCCTATTTTTTTAAAGAGGTATTTTCACTTCCTGTAAATGTACAATTTATTCTTTCTCTCATTGGGTTACTTTTTAGTAGGTTTTTGTTGCCTTGGTTGTGTTCTTTAGTAACTGAAGATTCCAGTTCTTTTTAATGTGACTATTAATTTATGCAAAAAATGTACATGGGACTGCAGGTTGTTATAAGGCTACATTTTTAGCTCGTATGTCTGCTGCCTCGCCTGAAATTCCCTCATTACCTGGGATCTAACTTAAAATTTAGTGAATTCAGGCAGTTAAAGAATACATTTTTCACTAAATTGCCTTGTAAAATTATTGTATCTAATATTATTTTTATCTGTTTAATTAGGACTAAGTGCTTGCGAGAAGAAATCATATCTATTTTTACGCCAGGAGATTCCTGTCAGACTAGCCAATATTATGAAAGAGATTCACCTTCTCCCGGCTAATTTACTCAAAATGCCTTCTGTTACCCTTGTTAATGATTGGTACGCCCAGTCATTCAATGAAATCATCGAGTTTGAGAAGCTTGACTACACGCCGAACATTCTTGACAGGTAAACCTTAACAATTTGACCCATGAGCTCGGATTTATAATTTGTTTTTAAAAGGTTTTGCGACTCGTTGATCAAGATACGCAATAGACACACAGATGTTGTGCCAACAGTGGCACAAGGGGTACTCGAGTTGAAAGAGTCACATTCTATCGATGCGCAGACAGAGCTTAGCATACAGTATTTCCTCGATCGGTTCTTCATGTCCCGCATCAGCATAAGAATGCTTATCAATCAACACAGTGAGGTTTTATGTCTATTTGAAAATTCATTTTTAATGAGAACAAAACCAGGAGTTTTGTTTTAATACGTGTTATTCCTCTCTTTCCAGCCCTGCTTTTTGGAAATGAAATAATAGTAAAGGAGCCAAAGCAAATGCACATCGGTTGCATTGACCCTAATTGCGATATTGTTGCTGTTGTCTATGATGCATATGAAAATGCGAGCTTCCTCTGTGATAGATACTATCTTGCATCACCAAAGCTAGTTGTCACCGAACATGATGGTTTGTTTTATGTGAATACCAAATCATATATTCCTTCACACACTTTTAAATTCAAATTTATTTATTTAGAAATGTTCAAACACTAATGAAATTGTAATTACCCACCTCACAACACGCTTGTGATTTATAAAGTGTATTTCCTGTTGAAATAGAATATAAATAATTGGCAACACATCAGAATATTTATATATATGATTTGATTATAATAATTAGATATAAAGCTGAACAGCAAAATTAACCAATTTTTTTTCAGAGCTTGAAAAACAAGAAAGAATTAAGATAGTATATGTGCCATCTCATTTGTACCACATGTTGTTTGAACTTTTTAAGAATTCTATGAGAGCAGTAATGGAATACCATAAAGAAAATTTTCCCCCTATTGAGGTGACCGTTGTCCGAGGTAGAGAAGATATATGCATCAAGGTATTCCTATTTTATGGATTACCTTTACTATTTGGGTAAACTTTTTTACATGTTGTCTCAGATGTCTGACCAAGGTGGAGGCATCCCAAGGAGCCAAATAGATCAGTTATTCCAGTATATGTTCAGTACTGCGCCTAAACCAAATTCACAATCGGATTTACATACTGTGCCTTTAGCAGGTTCACCTTACAATAATTCCACAATTTTGTTTTTCCTTTTTCTGTTTTCATAATTTACATTTATACAAATTAATTTTACAGGATATGGTTATGGCCTTCCTATTTCAAGACTCTATGCAAGGTATTTTCATGGTGATCTTTGTCTTTTGTCCTGTGACGGTTTTGGGACAGATGCAATTATTTATATGAAGGTATGAAAATATTTTGGCTTTACATTAGGCATTAGAAATGATTTAATTACTGTACCCTGTATACTTAGGGCACTTAACTATTTTATTGTAAATAAAATAAAATAAATATTCTAAATAAAAATAAATACGAATAAAGAAATAAACAAATGTTTAGTGTTCCTTCCTATGGTGTTTCAGGCTCTTTCGAATGAAGCAAATGAAGTGTTACCTATTTTCAACAAAATGTCAACAAAGTTTTATAGAAATTTTACGCCCCCGGGTGACTGGAGCTCAAGTGTAATAAGCATCTCACGAAACATGTCATCAGGAAAAAGTTTTTAATTTTCAAGTTTTGCCACCCAAAAGTTTTAAACAACCAACACCATTCCATTCTTTTTTTTTTTTTCCAGAAGGCAGTGTTTGTATGTGAATGTGAGTGAGTGCATGTGTGTTACATTTTTTAAATAAATATTGTTATATTGTTGTTTGAAGTTGATATTTTGTTATTATATATATTTTTATCTTTCATATTCAACAATTTTATCACTAAAACTTAATTTTCAAATTACCCCGAAACAATCCATTGTAATGATAAGTGAAAAAAGGAATGAAAGATTATTTAAGTAGCAGAAGGAAACTTTTGATTTTTGAGCTTTCACCATTAAAAAACCATTCTTGGTTTAGAATTTTTAATAAGATGGTCTCTTCCAAAATGCAGGAAGTGTTTGAACAATTTGTGTAAATATTGATGACACAAGTATAGCCATTATTGTATATTATATACACAGTGAAGCACAAAATGTACAAACTATCTTGTACTTTAGAAGAGCATATCTACATACAAATTATTTTTAAATTTGCACCAAATGTGTTAAGTTATCCTGTTGCACTAAATTTGTGAAGTAATCACTGAAAGCTCATCAGTCAAATGATTTACTTCTATCAGACCTCGTTTATCTTTTACTATAAGACTGGTTGGTTACCACAATTTAATAACCTTTTGAAATATATTGTAAATAAGAGAAAAACAATAAAATTATATGTACCCAGTTTGGCTTTTATCTCTGTATCCTAGATTGATTTCCTGTTAAATTTTAACCTTTTATTTTATTATTTAAGTCCTCTAAAGTACAATATTATTTCACAACCTTGCATGATTTACTGATGTACATATTTTTTTAAGGAATAACCAGCATGCTTATAATTGCCACTTGATTTGTCTGGGTTTAATATCAAACAAAGCATTGTATTAATAAGTTAAGAGAAAAATGTAAACTCATAAATATGGTACAAAACAATGCAGAACATTCGCTACTAATCAATAAAAATTGGGTCTCTGGTAATTGAAAAGAATAGTTTAACTTTTAACACTAAGCTAAAACGTTTGTACTTAATTTAACATTTGATGGAGTTTGTTTCTGAGCGTTGGAAATGGGCTTTTGCATTAAACACAAAATACGTATTGGCAATAAAATGTGAAAAGAAAAAGAGGCTGGGAAATACATTAAATACTCCCATAGTCCCATCAAAGGATAAGGTAATATAAACAAAGAAGTTTTTAACTTTTCAACTTAATTTCTGAGGCTTAAATATATCGTGAGGCATAGGCCTGGAGGAGCATTTTATCTAAACAATTTGAAGAGGTGTTTAACTTCTTTATTAAAAAAATAAGACTAACCCCCTTTGCATACATGGCTTTTTCATATTTAGAAACTAAATACAAGCCAATGCACTTACCTTCCATTAAAAACTCATTTTAACTATGTTCTCATTAACCAGGCTAAATGTGGTTCGAGTTTTCAACCTTGTTTGATTTTGTTGGATTATCCAAAGTTGTAGTATACATGAAAAATATTAGAAAAATCCTTTTGTGTTATTGGCCCCTTCAGCAGCCCTAGTGGACTAATTCCTGCTCAGTTTATTTTTAAAATCTGGACTCCATGAAATTTATGGTAAAAAACTAATTATTTTTGTCAAATAATAATATTTTTTTTTGTCTATCTTAGGGGTATTACCAGTGTTATTGTGTTAAAGACACTCATACCACTAGGTATGAATCTCTTGATAAAAAATAGTTTGAACAATTTAACATGTAAATTGATAATACAGTTGCCCAACAAGTTGAGTGAGGTATGTTTAAACATGTAAAGAAATAATTGCAAATTTAAAAAATTGATTATACTTCTTTATTGAAAATCCATGGCCATTACGGTTAATTCATAATATGCCATAATTCAATAAGTCTTACGGAATGACTGGTTTGATTTGGAAAACATCAAATTTATTGTTAAATAAATTATGTTATTATAATTGTTATACTACACGTTATCATTATAAAAAAATATAAATGTTAAATCAATTTTCTTAAATATGCAAAACGAAAATACTGTTTAATTTTATTTAAGTTTAATTCAAAAACCTTGGATCCATGATATTTATTGTTAAGAACTATTTCTTTTTTCAAATAAATTATATTTCTTAAAAAAATAAATATTTGTTTTATATGTCTATCCTGGGGGTGTCTTCCCAGCATGTATATGTACTGTTATTGACAATAAAATAGTATAAACCACTAAAGAAGCACGTTTATAAAAAGTTATCCAATAAAGTTGGGTGAAGTGATTTTCAAAAATGGAAGGAATTAAAGAAGTGCAAATTTAAAAAATTGGTTATAATCATATATGAAAAATGAACTGCTTTGTTTTGGAAAACATAAAAAAATAAAATTTATTGATAAGAAAGTATGTTATTATTATCATTATAAATAAAGTGCAAATGTAATTAATTTATGATCATGTAACAAAATAATGTAATTTATTTTTTATTATAGTGCAATCACTAAGTTTCTTCAATATATTAAAGAAATATTCTATAATTCAAAAACCTAGATCGTGATATTTGTTGGAAAGAACTATTTCTTTTTGTCAAATAAGGCATTAATAATATTACATTTTTATTGGTCTCTCCTGGATCCACCAGGCATGAGTATTCTCATTGATAAAAGAATAGTTTAATTAAAGTTAACAAATAAAAAACTTAAAAATCAATAAATTAAAGAAGCAAGTTGATTAAATGTTATCCAAATTGTCGTGGGAAAAATGGAAGCAATTAACGATTTGCCAATTAACAAATTCGGTTATATACATTTATGGAAAATGAACTTGTTTGTTTTGGAAAAAATATAATTTATTGATAAAAAAGTATGTTATTATTATCATAATAAATAAAATGTAAATGTTATTAATTTATAATCATGTAACAAAATAAGGTAATTTATTTTTTATTATAGTTCAATCACTAAGTTTCTTGAATATACCAAAAGAAAAGACTCTTCAATTTAAACACTTGAATTATGGTATTTATTGTAAAGAATTATTTACTTTTGCCAAATAAGGCATTAATAATATAATATTTTTATTGGCCTCTCTTGGGATGTTTTTCCACCAGGTATGAATATTCATCTATAAAAAAATGATTTAATTAAAGTTAATAGATAAAAAACTTAAAAATTAATAAATTAATGAAGCAAGTTGATTAAATGTTATCCAACAATGTTGTGGGAGGTGTTTTGAAAAATGGAAGAAATTTAAGATTTGCGAGTTTAAAAAAAATTAGTTATACGCATTTAATGAAATAATCATTTGGCAAGTTGTAAAATTATACTTAATAAAGACGTAGGCTGTACGTTTGATAAAATCTAATTTTCAATTTTTGAAAATTGTTCACCGATCTCGGAAGGTTTCGTCCATCGTTTGCAACCTTGGCTGTCGGCTCGCCCTCAGCTCAAGGCGCCCTCGCATGTGAAACTCGCCTCAGCGACATCCGATCTACTTTTGTAAATAAGAAATTGAAAACCAGTTCAGGCAAAGGAGTCGGAATCTCAGACGCTCAGAGATATGCCTTACAGTCTTGGCCACTTAAAACTCGCCCGTCTTTCGAATTCGTCTTCATTTTCCTGAGAAAAAAAGGGAAAACGGTCAAAAAACGCTTTCGTCCTGGAGAGAAAACGCTCGATATGACCGACTGGAGGATTCTAGATTTTCGAGTAAGTACCTTTTTGGTTTATTATCACTGTGTGGTCTACAAGGGGTCTGTATGTCGTTATTCGTTCATCGGCATCTTATTATAAAAAATACAAAAAAAGGATTTTGTTTTATTTTAATTTTTTTTAAATTTCTCTAGTATTCAGTTGGCCGATTGTCTAAACAATCGTTATATAACTTGTGGAATTAATTAAAAGAAATTCCCCTTTTAAAAAGAAAAAAAAAAAAAAAAAACAGTTCACGCATGAATGTCTAACCGTATTATGCGTCGGTCAACCGTCGGATTGATACCCATTTATTATTTTCCCCTAAGGTCCACGTCGCGTTTGTACCGCGCTTTCTGTCTTAAAAAAAAATCCGTGTTTAAAAATCCAACAAAGAAGAAGTCGTTGTGAAATATAAGTCTGCGGTGGAGGAAGGGATTATTCTATTGACCTCTTTTGGGGACCAGCTGTGAAACAGGAACAGAACTTAACAGCGCACACCTTTCCACTCACATTCGACTGTTTACTTCGCAGACGGGGGAAAAAAATAAAAATTAAATATCCTACTATACTAATGTTTCGTAAATTTAATTTTTCGTTTGACCCAAAAAACACGTAATGTACCGGCTTTTGGTAATTCATTTGGAAAAAGCGCTGGAAATAGAAGATGGCAGTTTTTCCTTTCTAGTTCACCTCAATTGATTTTATCTTCATAACTACTAAATTTATCAGAATCTTTGAAAATTTCTCAAATACAAGCGAGTAATTGATTTTATAGAGAAAAAATTACTTCATGAAAGTTTTGGCCTCCCAATGCACTTTTTAGGTGTGGTGAAAAAATAAAAATGGCTATTGTGGCTCATACTATCTTTCATGAAGCCAAAATCGTTTAGAAATAGTATTGTTTATTGAAAATTGTTTATCTCACTTATTAACAAGTGCCCACTTTTTTTTTTCGATTTACAAAAAAAAAGTCTAAATGAACGCTTTGGTTAAATTCAATTTGAAATTGTTCTAGTATAGGAGATGCTAATTTTTCCTTTCCAGTTAACCATAATTGATTTTACCATGATAATAGTTCTAAATTTATTGGTTTGTTTCAAAAGGTTTTAAACACAAGAAAAATATTCTTTTTTTATTACATCGTTTTGTAGAGAAAAACTACTTCATTAAATTTAAATTTTGGCCACCCAATGCACTTTTGAGGTATAAAAAAAATGGCTATTATGGTTCATCTACCTTTCATGAATAAACCAATGGTGTTGTTTATTGAAAATTGTTGTTCTCATTTCTTACCAAGGGCCTACCCATCATTTAATATAGGTATTTTAAATAAAATTTTAGCTTTTTTAAAATTACTTAATTTCTCGTCTTTTTCGTTTAACATTCTAAATTTATTTTATTTTTTCAAAAATTTTCAAATACAAGCGAGAATTTTTTTTATCGAACGTTTTGTAGAGAAAAACTACTTAAAGCCTAAGTTTTGGACATTCAATGCACACACCTTATATTTCAGGTAGTACATCAACACAGTACTTCATGAAAGGCTACTTTGACACTATGTACTTTTTAGGTAATAAATAAATAAAAATTTCTATTATGGGACAACGTAGGTTTTCTTTTAAATTTGTGATAGTATCGATATGCCTTTATAAAATAAGCCAAAATTATTTAGGAATATTTTTTAATTGTCGATTATACGTATTATAAAAACCGATCCAATAATCCATTTCTTCTCGCAATTGGTGCTGACTTGACTCGTCCTTTTCTTGATTAACATCGAAATCTCCTGTAATCAGTTACAAATCGAGCTGTGCTTTCCTTCTTTCTCCAATTAAGGGGTTCGGTTGAAAGTTTCAGATTGTCTTTTCCATTATTTAAATTTTTTGCCTTATGGTTCCGAGCCCTTTATGCAGTCGACTTACTGCCACCTGAAAATCTAGCTGTCTTTTAATGGATTTTCCAGAAATTTTTCAAGGCATTTATTATTTTTACATATGTGTACATAATCTTTAATGAAGTTGCACCACTATGTTAAAGTACCGCTTTGTACGTTATCATAATACACTTGCAACAGGCCTGTGGATTTGGCTTAGAAAAGCCGGAAAAAGCTTAGTATATTGCAGGTCTGTTGACTGAATATAGCCTACATATGAAAATATTAGGAATGGCAAAAGATAATATGTGAGTGTTCTAGAAGAAAAAGGAACGTATAATAACAACAGCTAGTCCTCAGTAAGATCAGAACTCTGTAAAGTTTCAATCGGCCAAGGAGGAATTTCCGGAAGGAACAAAAGGAGGGAATTTCCGAATGGAAACAAGGTGGAAAAACACCCCAAGATGTACGAAAAAAGGTATAATAAAGAGCTTACAACAAACCTGCTGCAGCAAAGCATTGTCGACCAATAGTAGTATGAAAATATCGGGAGTGGCAGAAATACTTACTTAAGAAAGAAATGTGTAATCTATCAAACTTAATTAGGAAAACTTTTGGAGCAAATAAATAGCCAGGAGGTTGATAGTGAAGTAAGGAGCATAATAGTCTTACTTGATGGACACAAGCAAGAGCCTATTTAGTTAGCCACATCAACAATTCTACTATCTGTAATCTGTATGTTATTGATACTTACAGATTAAATGGAAACGCTTATTCAACTATCTTATCTATTTGCGTGGTATCGCCAATGAATGCTGAATTCTTACAGAATCCCATACCTTGTTTGGCCCATTTTCATTCTTTAATATACAGAAAACAAATCTTCAATCTGTCAAATTTTACTTATGTTTAACGTTTGTTATAGATTGAAAACAATTTTTTATTTATTTATGTAGCCATTAAATTAGTTGCAGTTGTAAAAAGTGTACTCTTAAGCTGTAAAAGGGTGTTTCTATGAAGTATTTTTATCACAGTTGAATCGAGTTATATTCTATAATACATTATATTATCATTCGCCACACCAGAACGTCTTTTTCTTTTGAGTCGACTCAAGGGCCGAGGGGGTGGAGAATTGTCCGTTCTGTCCCTCCATAATGGTTGGGGTTGATTTTGGAGTGCTTTACGGTGTCGTCCGCAGGTTTCTTGAATAACTGTCGTCACATCAGGGGTCGTTTGTGGTATGTTTGATTCCTAACATACGAAGGAGCACCGGTTTAAATATCTTTTTTATTTTTTTATTTTTTACGAGGGTTCGCAACAGTAGAGGTCATATCAACCCTCAGGGTGCCGGTGTTTTTGAAAAAAAAGCCCATTTGTAAGTATGTCGGGTTCGAATGCAGGGCCGCTGGATTCGAACCCGGGACCTTTACCTTACAGAGATGAGCGCCGTGTCTACGCCTAAACCGTTGCGGCCACCCCCCCATATTTAGTGTTTCTGGATAAGCGAGAGAAAGAGAGAAGAAACTTTAAATATCTTAAAAATGCTGTTTTGGGATGGTTTGCACTTTTTAATTTTTGCCTCAGAGGCTGAGGACCATGGTAAAGCCATATTTGTCGAATCGAGGGATGGCCTTTCTTATCTGTAGATGCTTAAGCAAGTATATCCCAGTTCGGACAGTAATTAAGCTTTGTATGTGTTCATCCCCTAGAAATTCGTTGTCAAGACTTAATGGAAGACAGCCTATATTTTTCCTTGAATCAACTCCGATAATGGATGGCTTGAAAGAAAAATGGAGAAACTGGTCAGGAAACGTTCGGCGTGTTTAGCCACATCATAGTTTAATTAATCATTATGTTTTATTCTTCCTATCTGGAACGAGAACAGAGGGGACAGGATACTGACAGATAAACTGAGCGTATCATAAAAACCCTTAATTAAAGTAACTGCACAGTAAATGCACATCTAATTGCCCTTAGATTTGGGATCTGAGTTATCTTCGGTCAACTGACAATTCGTATAAATTTCCACTGGAAAATTTCGCGACTGCAGCGGGAGCGTTGTTCCATTTATGTAGAACTGGATGAAAAACGTTGTTGCCTGTAAACACTGAGTTTAGTTTCTGTACGAATTTAGGCAAATGCATGACCTTTGGTATTATTGCCATGCTATGAGCAATTTTTTTTAGGTAGATATCCGGTTCTGGGTAGTCAGTTCATTAAATTTTAGTGTTGTTAAGCTAAGTAGATCCAAGAATAAATCATCATCTGCTGTAGCTTTCTTTCACTTATTGAAAAGTACGGACTTTTTCTTTTCTGGTCAATTCTCGGTGCAGGTTTATACCACCACGCTCATATAGTTCATTAACTATTTCTTCATTGATTTTTATTTTTCTCTTCCTTCAAACATTGAAGCAGCCATCAAAAGGAAAAATGCTAAAGGCAATGCCGCAAACTATTTACAAAACAACCACAAAACCAAAAGCAAGAACTGACACAACTGAAGGAAAAAAGTAGAAACTGGATGAAAAACTGAGTTGTAAACACTCACGCCTTTATAATTCAGTTTAAACTGAATATCAATGCTCGTATCCAGCATTTTAATATATAATCAACAGGTCACATAATCGGTTTTGCGTTAATTTTTATTTTTCTACTTCAAAGTTGAAGCAGTTACCAAAAGGCAAGCCGCACACTATTTGCCAGGACCATCATACCAGTAACAAGAACGGATATGACTGAAGGAAAAACACTCAATTTAGCTAGTTCTTCCGATTTGGATTCAAGCAAATGGATGACTTTAGTTATCCATGATGCAATTTTTTAAGGAAGATATCAATTGGTTTAATATTGTTTATTTGATGTTTGTATTGATTAAGTTAAGTAAGTCTAGGAATATAAAGGAGATAATAGGCAACTGGGCTGAAGGAAACTACGTAATTTTTATTTAAGGTTGTGATAGGTGTTTTTTAAAGTATAACTAGTCTTCCTGGATGAGGTATAATAAAGTTTAATTGTATAATAGAAGAAGAAAGTGCGGTTTGTTATTAGAGTGAAATTTTTTGGTAGATTCCCACTGTTTTATGTGTTTGGGTAGGATGGAGCGACCTGAGTCGATTGAAGAGACGCGCTTTTACACGCCGTCTGTTCGATTAGGCGAGAGGCCTGTGCAGTGTGCTGTTCTCTGCTGTGCCTAATCTGGTGACGCGCACTGCTTCAGGTAGGGCGAGCCGAAGTGGTTCGGGGGGAAGGAGTTTATAGCTGGCGTAGAGGTGGGGGCACCTCCTTTGAACTCGCCCACTCTGCTACAAGTCACAACTTCAAAACCCAAACGAGCCTACATGTCGACGGACGGTCCTTCTTTTCACTCTTCTCGCCTTTTCATATTTTACGGATATTCACAGCCCCGAGGAGCGGTGCGATAACGGATCCGTACGTCCCGCCGGGTCGGATTTACCACTCGGATGTCTCTTTTCGAGATCGGAGAGGAAGTTTCAGTATTTCGACCGATTTTAACAACTTATCCGTGCCCCTTTGTGAAGTAGATCTCTTACAGGAGTGCGTTCTCAATAGAAGAAAACGATAAGTGCGTCACTGAATTCGAAATGACACATGTATCGGTGAGTACATTATTTACTGTTTTTGAATTATGAGGTTTCTTTTGTTCCCATTTTTTTAATAGATTAATGAAGTTAAATTCTATTCTTCTCTTAGTTCAATAATCGAATAAAGCTCAATTTTTCCATTCGACCTTTATTTTCGTCTATTAAACGGCTTTTCCGAGCCGATTGGTTTTCTTTCGGTCTCTCCTCTTTCTGGGAGACGTTAGCCTTGCGTTGCCAATTCTCCCGGCTCGTGCAACACCGGATTTGACAACAGCGCGGCTCTCGCTCGGGTAACGCGCCTTTACAAAAATAACAATCACGTCTGCGCAACTCGGCCGCTCTGCTACGGATTTCACCTCGTATCATCGCGGCTCCGGCCTCCCGGGCGGGCTCCCCCGGGACGAAATCCAGTCCGAAATGGAAATACAAAACATTCGACCACCGGTTCGGACGAGAAACCACCTGGAAGCGTAGCTAACCCAACCGCCTTTTAATAGACCACGGGAACTCGAGTCCTCTGACTTATTGATTCGTCGACTTCTCCGCGGAAAGTCCGGAGGGGGAAGCAGGTCCGCCAACATCCCTGCTCGGCATTTTCCTTCAATTTTCTCTCCCCTTGTGTTTATTTTCTCTGGTGAAAGTTTAAAACATATTGGGAAAAATTAATCCTTCTAATAACGTTTTTCTCTTTCGAAAAATTGAAAACAAAAAATCCATACCTATATGGATCCGCGCAGTAACCAGGCACCCTAGAGACTTCATTATTTTCTCTAGTCGCCTATAAAAACAAAAAGTGTTTCTGCTTGCAAACCGCTTTCTCATTATCATTTTGTAACGTAAAAAGATTAAACATGTAGAAATATTCATATTTTCCACTTAAAACGTCACATTTTTTCCATTGTTAAAGTCGTGAGCAACATACTGAATTTTGTGATGTGAAGGTCGGGGAAGGCGAAGACGGTCGTGACGTACGTGTGATTTTGTGTCAATTTGGCCCCATAAATTTTTAAAAATTTCTGCCGATCATTTCACATACAGTACTCGATTTCTGCTTGTCAAAAAGCACAAATTATTAACTCAATCAACACTAGAGACAAAAAACTACCAACCCTATAAGTTGTAATAAAAACAATAACTATTCAAAAGTGACTGCCATACTGGGAAACAAAATGATTTTTATCCAATTTTTACTTCAATGGAAATAACAAATTCCCTAGCCATGCAATTATGCTAAGTGTATCCTGTAAAGTTATATTCACTCAGTCTATCAATATGCAATTCTCACAGTATCAGATGCAGTTTCACAGTTTACAGATAATGTTCATTTAATAATTTTGCCTATTTACCAATGGTATACAAAAGGCACTACATATTTGTCGTACTGTGATGAGTTTTAATCAACAATAAAACCATTCAAAGCATTCAATGCAGATGGTTAGACACTACATTATGACTTCAAGTGAAAGTATTAACAACTTTTCTTACTTGTTAATATTTTTGCAAGGAATTCTTTGTCAAGCAATTATGCAGTCTATCCTGTAAAGTTGTACTCTCTATGTATCAATATGCAACTACTACAGTATTAGGTATAGTTCACAGATCCCATATAATGTTTTTTATAATTTGTGTTTGCGTATTAACCAGAGGTAGACTGTCCAAAAGGCACCGAATATTTGTCGTACTGGGATGAATTTTCATCGAATACTATTCGATGCAGATGATGAAACCCTCCAATTATTACTTTAAATGAAAACATTGACGACTTTCCTTACTTTTTGATATTGTTGGTTGGAATTCTTTGCGAAGTGTATGTTCTAAAAGTTATATTTTCTCTTGAGTATCAACTACCACAGTGTCAGGTGCTGTTTCAAAGATCACACGTATTTAAAAGGGTACGATTAAAACTATGTCAAATTGTTATGTAGTAAATCATTTATTTATTAAGCAGTTGGTCTGGGTTTTTGTTCATGCCGTTATTTTTGTTGTTCAACTGATTTTTAGTATTATAATGCTTAGCTGAATTTTCCTTTAATTGTTGACCAGATTTATAAACAATATTTATATTTCTTTTAATATTAAATGGGGTCTTCAGGAATCACGTTATATTATCATAATTTCACCTAGCAATCTACAACAGTAGTGTGCCTTTGGTGGATGGTTAGGGATGGTGCATAAATATTGGTGTGCCTTTGTGCCTGTGGTGCATAAATATTTCAATGAACAGTTCAAAGGGGGGAAAACTTTTCTCTCCGTCAGATGACCTGAATTGATCTGAACACATGGGGGTTTACAGCTTAAAGTTGTAACTTTTACAGTTAAAGCTCAGAACTTTTGTCGATAACTGTTGGTCAGCTGTACTTTTTACATATGAGTCCAGATTTGCTGTACAGTCTCCAGAATGCTTCATGGTGATAAAACGAGTGATGTAGGATAATATTTTTCCCCGAACCAGATCCTTTTAAGGTGGGTCTTTGACGGTTTGGGGCAGGTATATCAATGGGGTGTCGTACAGAGCTGGTTCGTCACATCTGCTCGCTATGTGGAACCTCATGTGTAGCTTATCCCCTCGATTACATCAATATCCCATACTTAGGAGGTAGTCCACGTGTTGCTCACTTAGTCTAATCCTTTCTGGAAGACCACAACATTAGTGTTAACCTGGCTAGAGTATTTTCCTGATTTAAATCCTATCGAACCTGTATGATATGCTCCGGAAATGAATAAGAACTTGTAGAACCCTTTCAGGTTCATTTCAGAATCTTGAATGTGCTCTTCATGAAAAATGGGCTAATCTGGTTCAACTGGACATTTCACAGCTTGTAGAAAATATGTAAGGTGTGTTTCAAAGAGGATGAATGTGTCTCAATGAAAGAGGAAGAACACGTGTCATTAAAAAACTAAAAATCATCTTTATTAATTTATTTAATTTCTTGGGCAATTATTGTTTATTTTTACTTTTTGAAACAAAATATACTCAAAAGTAGGAAGATCTTGTAAACAAAATGAAATAAATGTTGAAAATAATAATTAAAAAAACAAAACATTTACAAGTACAAGGACAGAATTTTTTGTCTGTCAGTGTAATAAAAGTGTAATTACTAATTGGTCAAGCAGACCACAAAATTAGTGAATTTAGTAATTACTAATAATAAATAATAATAGAAAAGCCACCCACCTATCTTGGTTTCTGTTTTTATAAATATAAACTTATAAGGTTGATATTTATTATAATATCTCAAAATTGATACAAATGTTTTTGTCGTGACGTTTTCTTTTGTCATTTGTGATGTGATTGCCTGAAGATACCATATAAAATTTAAAGAGATCATTAAACAACTGGGAAGATGGGAAAACAACAGCAAATATTTATATTGTTTCATGTTCCAAATTGTTACATATTGGCACAACAAATTTAAATTTGCAATGCCACAAAGGTACATAATTATTCAATTTGTATTACGTTGTTCAGCGTTTTTTCCTAAGTTTATAGATTATTAAAATGGTTCAAACATGTAAAAAACGTTAAAATCTTATGATTCTGATATTACAGATTTGAATAACTCGATTCTGTATTAAAATTGTAATGGTAACTCTCTGCTGTTGAACTTTTAACATTGTGTTTAACCGGCTTGAAGACATATTACTAGAATTTGGACATTTATAAGCTTATTTTGTTTCAAAATTCCAATGCATAAACTTTTATTGAGCGATTTAATCTTAACTGGGCCCAACCCTTCACATCAAATTTTAAAATACCAAAGAATATTTACCATTGGTGCGATATTTAATTAGGATAATCCTTATACCTTAATTTAATGTTGATTATACATTTAATTTTGTGATGAACAGCTTTTTAATGTATTCTTGTTTTAAAGGGAGGTCGGTGTGTGTTGAAATGAAGCGAAGGGTCGAAGAAACAACGAAGGTAGACGGGGTAACCCCGGCAATACTTACACAACGGACTCCGCATACAGGTAATACATTTAAAAATATTTAAAAAAAACATAAGTTACTGTAGTGATAAAACAACGTATTTGTATTGTTTTTCAGCCCCAAACATTGTCCAAACTAACTATACCAGTCAAGGAATTAAGTCAGAAGTTCCAGCTGTGCAACAGTATCAGATTCAAACAAACTATGCCACTATGCCTTCTATCACAGCTATAAAGGTAAGTTTTTGTTTAACCATTTATCCTTTAACTTGTTTTGCTTTTAACAGTTTGTCTGCTTACAAAAGACAATAAATAAATTTAAAAAAAATTTAGAACTATTGTAAAACGGTTTATATTTGTAAACTCATTTTGATGGAACAAATTATGTTACAAATTTTTGTGAGCTTTTAATAATTAAGTGGTGGTGACTGAAATAAGTGTCATTTTATTTGTATGTTAAAGTTGCTTTATTTAAGGATAACAAATTAGATTGTCTTCGATTTTGCATGGTTTAAATGTAAATTATGTTTAGAATTTTTTTTTATGTCAATAAATGAAAAAATATTTCAATTTGAAATTTAAATTGAAAGTACTAATATACTACTACATAATACTAATAAGTTATTTTCCTTATCAAATTAAACTTATCACAGTATAAATGATTTGAAAATATTTTCTAGACTCAAAGCTCTTCAGGTCTTCAGGGGGGCACTCCTCATGGAGGGATCCTTGTTCAGTCGCATATTAGACATGGAAAGGTAGGTCATGAAGATTTTGCCAAAATTAACCCAAAAAAGTTATAAAATTAATTGAGATATTTTTTTCATTTTATTCCAGGTCGGTACAACTAGTGGGGGTGGTGGAGGAAACTTAGGTGGGAGCAGTGGAGGCAGCGGCACACCTCCCACTGTTTCAAGTACAAGCAGTAGTGGTGGGGCGCAATTCCAAAGACTCAAGGTGGAAGATGCTTTATCTTACCTTGACCAGGTCAAATACAAATTTAACTCTCAGCCTCAAGTCTACAATGATTTTTTGGAGATAATGAAAGAATTCAAATCTCAGTGGTAATAAAAATGACAGTCATTAATAACTAAATAGTGTATTCAAAGTCAGACGACTTTTTTAATAATTTCTGTAGTGTAGAGATTTAATGTTCTTATACAGTCAAATGTTACTTTGAAGTTCTCTAAGTTTTGAAGTGAGTCTTGGTTTTTAATAATTTGGTTTTAGGATTTTTCCATTTATTTATATTCAATACTAAATGTTCCAGCATTTAAACTATACATAGATAGTTGTAGTTATACCTAAGTTACAATTACTTTCGTAATGAAAATTAAGTATTTTAGCTTGTTCAAGCTCTAAGCGTAAATATTAAAAAAATATATGTGTGGCTTTAATGTGTTTTTCAGTCATTTATTGACACACATTTCTCTTTTAGTTTCATTAGTTGTTTTATTAAAAATGTTTTGTGTTCTCCTGTTGTAATAGTGGCATTTCTTCATGAGGACCCAACATTTTTGATAGACAAAACTAATGAGACCAAGCAAGCCAGAAAGAACAGGAACTAACCTAGATCTAATCAAAAGTATTGAAAAAATTGGAAGGCCATCTGCAAGATTGTTTGATTTCAATACTAAAAACTATTAAATTCACTAATTTCGTGGTCCGGTTGACCAATTATTTATCTTATTTAAACTAAAAACCTTAATTAATTTTAACTAAAAACTATTTTAAAAACATATCCAATTACCAGTATAAATATTAGGTGTTTACATAGGTTTTTTCCGGTTTTCAGATGAAAAAAAAATCCTTTGGTTTCTATAACATATTGCCAATGTTCTAGCAGCAGATACCTATTTTTGTAAAAAGTTTGATGACATATGAGAGGAAATCTGCAAGTCTGATTTTCAGAGCCTTTGTGTTCATTCTGTGGTCACCTTTTAAGTGGTCATCGTTATCTCGGCGATTTTATTCTAAGTGCAGCTGTGTGAGGCCTGGTGTTAACTAGGGCTAGACATTTTTCCTTCAACACTGACCCAAGACACTCCAACTGTACACTGTACCTTTGTCGTAAGGGTTTAGTTGCATAGTAACAGCTCCCAAGAAATTATTACTCGAATATTCTACATTGATAGCAGCGTTTCATTGTTCATGTAAAAGTTACTTCGGGTTAACCATTGTAAAGAACCCACTTTTAATGCAACAAATTATGCGGTCTTCCTTGTTCCACAGGGACAATTCATGAGGAACACTTGAATCGTTTCACAACATAACTTTTTTTTTCTTTGCCTCAATGCATCGGCCTGTGTTTTCCTTTGGTGTCTGTGAAACTCGGGGGAGCAGCCCGGCCACAACCGGGCACCAGATGAGTGCCAGGAGGGGTCATTGCATCTCGAGTCTTATCAGGTCTTTTCAAGAAGATGTGGACGACAAAACCATTTACAATAGTTATGTGGAAAAGACCACATCTCCTCTGAGATCCAGGGCAAATGCGCCCACGACCTCTGCAGAGCCCAACGAGGCACCCGACACCAACTGAGGGCCCCCCCAGTCATCACCGACACCCGACTATAGAATTTACTATCTATTTTTAATACATGTTATTGTTGCCTTTTATATTTTGATGTCATTCTTTTTTATAAAGGTCATTATGCTGTCCAATACTGGTATATTTTTAGTGTCGCTCAATATATTGATATATTTGTTGGGAACACTACTCCAGGCTTTCTTAAATTCTCATATAATTCGTCTCTACCTTTGTTTCTGCTAGGGCATATTAATATGACAAGTTCCGGGTCGGCATATGCTTCTCCGTCTCATTCGCAATTTGCATTTTCTATGAGGGATATTTCTGCTAGATGGTGTGGAGGTTGGTTGTGGTTAAGTCTAAGCCTGATAATGGTAGTGAAAAAGTTCCTTGGTCTAGTCAGTTTGTGGAACCATGGTTTGTAGGGAACGGCAGGTTGGATTCTTGCATAATATTTCCCTTTAATTCGTTTAGATTCGACTATTCTTGTTGCCAATTTTGTTTGGCCATTTTATTGATGTGTGCTTTGATATTGCATGATGTTATCAATTTAAATGGGCTTCCATTTTTCCAGCATCTTTTGCCAATAGGTCTACTTCCTTGTTGTATTTATTCATATCGTGTGCTTTGACCCATATGAAGTGAACTTTACTTAATTTTTCCTCAATTCGGCAACTACCCCTAGTATTTCCTCTATCAGTAGGTTTTCTTCAGTTTTAGCATGTTCTAAAGCCGTTAGTACGCTAAGGCTGTCTGATACGATGGCTGCGTTGTTGTGTGTTAAGCCAGGTGCAGCAATGCCATGCAACGCTACCCGATGCTACCTGACGCCTTGCCACGTTTTGGCAGGGTGTGCACATCTATCCGATGTCAAGCACACGCCACGTATAGTCGACAGCGTGTGTCACAAGTCAGTATCACAATCGCAACGCCCCTATTGTTCTTAATGCCTTATTTTGAGCAAAACCATGAAATAAATTGTTAGTTAAATTTTACGAGCACAACCATGTAATAAATTGTTAGCGAAATTTAATTGTTTTAAATAAAGTTATTCCGGTGTTTTGATAAATTTTCTGCCTAACCATCGTAATTAAATAATCTTTATAAAAACTTGTGAATTTTTGATCTCGTTTAATTTGGGTTATATTAAAATAAGAATGTTGTAATTAATATAACGACAAAATTACATATACATAGTTTGAAATAAACTACAAAAAATATGGGTGACCTGTTCTGATGCTACTCGACAAAAATGGTGTGTAGTTTGAATAAAAATATGAGTGTCCGGTTCTTTTGTCTTCAACTTTACTTGATGCGACTCGACGTAAATCTGAACAGTGGGGATTGCAGAGCGTAGAGTAGGTTAGCGTGGCTTAGCATAGGGCAGATATGCACAGGGGTAATGCAACTTTATGGAAAATCAAAGTTTGGATTTGCATCAGGTAGTGTCGCATGGTGTAGTATCGGGTAAGTGTATTCCCGGCTTTAGATTTTCTGCGGCTAGATACTTAAGAGCTTGTAGTACAGCAATGAGCTCTTCCAAATAGATGGTGGTTATTTCTGGAAGCTTCTATTTTTGGGATACTGTTCCTTCTGTTGTCATTATTGCTGCGCCTGCTCCATTGTCTGACTTTGACCCATCTGTGTATACAACTTTGATAAAACTGCAATTGCCTCTCATAGCAGCAATTAATCGCATCTGGCTTTCCTATTAGGTGATTTGGATTTAATATCACACTCGGCCTAGTCACAGGTTTCCAATGTGCATATTGCCTAGGTTCTAATATCGAGTTTCCCAATACTAACTGCTTTAATTTCATGTGTGTGTCTAGAAGGAGGTGTAAATTTTGGTGGTTTGTGGATCTTAATCCTGTTAGTCTTGTAGGAGCTAGTTTGTCAAGGCTTCTCAATACTGGGTGGTCGATGTCATTAATTCGCTTAGCCAAGAATTTGCCTGCTGACATTCGTCTTCTGACACTGAGCGGAGATATCTTGGCTTCGACCTGTAGAGAGCTAGTGGGTGTTGATTTCATTGCCCCAAGGCAGCTTCTCAGATAACCCAGAGATCTTCTTTCTTTTGTCGTGTGATTAACCTAAAATCTTTGAAAGCTCTGGTATACTTAATTTGTCCTTATCCTCCATTGCAACTAAGTCGTCATTTTTAAACTCGTTAAGTGTTGCACAAAGAGGCTTGGTCATTGATTCGTCTCTCATTGCAAAAATGTCGGAACCACTCACACATTCAGATTATCACTGTAAATTCCACATAATTTTCAAAAGGGCTCTGCTGTTCCGAGATCTTTTCTTAACAGTGCTAACAGGAATAAGGATCACTTGTACAAGGGGGAAAGTTGAAATTCGACACAAATCAAAAATAAATTTTGCGTGTGTGTTTCTTAGTGACCTGCTGTTTCATAATTTGCTGAAGTCATGAGGAGCGGTCAAGAATAAGATAGTTTAGAAAAACACCTTTTTCATTTTTTTTTTTTTTTTGCTGATGTTTCGACTGTTATTTGGGTCATCTTTAGGGCTTAAAGTGTGGTGCTATTCTTGTGATGTCATATTGTTTTTGGACTGACTGGACTGTTTTCTATTAGATACATCGGACTAAGACTTCAACTACTGAAAATACTAAAATGTTTATTTATAGAAAACTAGGGGGAAAAGCTTAGTTGTAATGTAAAATCAGATTTTATTTGGCACATTGCTCTTCTATGCTTAGCATTTTTTTTTGGCTTGCTTCTCAGTTTCGTTAATCTAAATTCTTTTATTATAATTGTCCTATAATAAAAGAGTGATTTCATTCATGTCTTTATCATTGGCCTGTAAGCTCACCTCACCCAGTGACGCATAGACAATCATGATTTTTAAAGTGTGTATCAAATGTTTTAACAATTTTAGAAAAAAAATTAGTGCTATGAATTTTATCACCAACCTAGTTAATTTCAGTAATTTCTTTGCCGAATTAACAGAGCAAGATGTAATTTTCTTTCCATTATTTTCAGCATTGATACTCCTGGAGTTATAGCAAGAGTGTCTCAACTATTCAAAGGTTACCCAGAACTAATCTCTGGTTTCAACACTTTCCTCCCACCTGGATATAAAATTGAAGTTCAAGCAAACGATACTGTGAGTTGTTAATTTTCACCGTTGGAAATTATTTGTTAATTAAATTACATATGTTTTACAGGGTTACTCATTGCAAGTATCAGTGTCAAATCCGTTAGGACTACAAACAATATCAGAAATACCTCCTTTAACACCAACCCAGTCTCAGAGTGTAGTGGTGACGAATCAGCAAAAACCGCCATCAACTGTATACAGGTATGAAAAATATTCAGCATTATTATATTATAATAAGTATTGTAATCTCAAATAACATTGTTGATGTTTAGTGGTGTAAATTCAAGTATTAATCCTTCTGTTGGAACACCTTCTGCTGGAGTGACTATAAAAGGTGCTGTCAATGACCGAATAAGCACATCTGGTGGCGTGTTACCACTCTCAGTGACTCCTCCGACAAGCACTGTCCAGGGTGCTGCTGTTGCCTTAACAAGCGTTAGCAACATGCCCAGCCTTGTGCTGACACCCAATGCAAGCAGTGTTGTAACGGCTAATCACCAGGCTAGCATCATCTCGGCAGTCCAGTTACAGCAGACCTCCACCAATCAGCCAGTTGAATTTAATCATGCTATCAATTATGTAAACAAGATCAAGAATAGGTTTCAAGGTCAGCCAGATAAATACAAGAAGTTTCTTGAGATCCTTCATACTTACCAGAAAGAGCAGAAAACTGTGAAGGTAATAATAAATACAGACATTTCTTTTCTTTTGTGTGCTAATAATTGTTGCTGTTTTTAGAGCGGTAGCACAGGAGGAATAAGCATTGGTGGAAAACATTTGACGGAGGCGGAAGTTTATTCCCAAGTCGCTCAGTTGTTTGAAAACCATGATGATCTGTTGGTTGAATTTGGACAGTTTTTGCCTGATGCTACATCCCACAACTCTCTATCTTTAGCATCACTCGTAAGTACTTTTCTTATTCTGAAAGAAATTATTTTAACAACAATATCATTATCCATTAAGTATACAACTTAACTTAATATGCTTATAATGCATTAATGTAGACTGGTGTATATAAACTAGTTTAGTTTCGAAAAACTGAAAATTTACCCTTAAATTAAGAAGGAATTCAATCAGTATTAAATTTTATAATTACATAATTGGTTTTGTTTATTATCAACAATTGGTGGATCATTCATTTTTATTTCTAAATCAAACTAATTTATGTACTATCCTTGTTTCAAGGGTGCCAAAATCAGCGAAAGAAAAGGAAATCTGAGCTCCAAGTACCAAGGAAGTAACCGTTCGGGGCAGAATGTCGAAGGTGGGAGAATTTCATCAGTAGGTGGCAGCGGAGAGCCTCTGAACAACTCAAAGTCTTCTCCGCAAGGAAATTTGTGCAAGATGGTGAGTGGGCGTGATGGAATTTCCAACAAGAGAAACGTCGCTGAGCTTTATAACAACGAAAGGCTGACGATTTCACGGGCGATGGACAGCAGCCTTCGCCCGCACAGCCCGGCTCTTCCGCACCAAGGACCTCTACCCCAACCTCCGACAAAGAGGCAGAAGAATCAATCAATTGGTTTTCCCAGCTCAGGAGAAAACTTTGAACCTGTAATCATTTTATTTTTATTTACTTTTTAAATAATTGTTATCATCCAAGCTAACCAAAGACCATTAACATTAAACAACCATTATGATCTGCTCATCTTCACTGTTTTGGTCATTTGAAGGGGGGAGGAATAAAAGAAACAGCAAGAATAGGCAGACCAAAATGGCCAGAAAAAGCAAACTTATAATTCCACCATTATGATTTATGGACTAATAAATATCTCAATAATAATAAAAAGAGATGAGAGATGTCTCATAGTCTAAAAATTAAGACTTTTGTGATAATGTAAATTTTGATTAACTCTAACATTTAACACTGATTAAAATTTTAATTGTTTAGATAAAGAGAGTGATAAGAAACCAGTCAGTGTATGAGAACTTCCTTCGTTGTCTACTTCTTTTCAACGAAGAGGTCATCTCAAAGTCAGAATTGCTTACGTTGGTAACACCGATGCTTGCGAAGCACTCTGAACAACTGAGTTGGTTTAAAGATCTGCTTGGGGAAATCGGGAACGGAGGAGCTCCCGGGTCTCCCCCACTCCCGGTGTCCTCGTCGTCACATCAGACTCATCCGCATCACCATCAGCCTCATCAACCGGTACACCAACCCGGGCCACAACACACCGGCAGCACCCTTCCGACGCCATTACCTATACCACAGATCCCATCAATTCACCCAAGCGCAACATCTTTTGAACATCGAAGTGTCAGCCACCGGGGGACAGATTCAAGACCTGATCTTCTACCTACAGCGTCGACAGCTGATATAGGTTTGTGTATAATTGTTTTAGTGATTTCACAATCAATTGTATTAATTTTTTTTTAAATTTGTAATTTATTTGCATTTTCCTTTCAGACTTTTCTTCCTGTAAGCGAATAGGAGCAAGCTATTGTGCTCTTCCCAAATCAATTCCTCCACCTCGATGTAGTGGGAGGTCCTTACTGTGCAAACAGGTGCTTAATGACACTTGGGTGTCTTTCCCCACATGGAGCGAGGACAGCACGTTTGTCACATCTCGGAAGACTCAATTTGAAGAGTATATATATCGGTGTGAAGATGAGAGATTTGAGGTAGGGATTGAAATTTTCTTTTTCTTTTCTTTTTTTTTAAGTAAAAAAATTAATAGTTACATTGATTTTCAGTTGGATCTCGTTATTGAGTGTAACGCGGCTACAATCAGAGTTCTAGACGGGATCCAAAAGAAGATGTCTCGGATGTCTTCCGAGGAACTGTCTAAATTTAGGTTAGATGACACTCTTGGTGGTTCATCACCAACAATACATATAAGAGCAATTCGTAGGATATATGGTGATAAGGCTGTGGATGTTGTAGAAGGTCTTAAAAAGAGCCCAAGCATCGTTGTACCTGTTGTTCTACGAAGGTTGAAAGCCAAAGAAATAGAATGGCGACAAGCTCAAAAGGTTCTTATTGGGCCATTTCTGCTCATTACAAAACTTGATTGTGCATGAGGACAAAATTCATTTAATTTTTTTTCAGGGTTTCAACAAAACGTGGAGAGACCAAAATGAAAAGTTTTATCTCAAGTCTTTAGATCACCAAGGAATTAATTTTAAACAAAATGATCTTAAAACTCTCCGTTCCAAATCTCTCTATAACGAAATAGAAGTAATTTATGATGAGGTGAGTGTTTTCCTTTTTTTTTTTTTTTTTTTTTTTTTTTTTTTTTTTTTTTTTTTTTTTTTTTTTTTTTTTTTTTTAATTCAAAATTTTACATGACACTTGCTCCAATGATTGTTTAATTGACTAATTAACTAACAAAAATTTAAAAAAGTATTAATTGAATGTGTTAAATAATCTTTGAAATGTATTTTATGTCCAGTAGGAGTGGGGTTTGACAAAACTACTATAAACAGAAACACCATTCCAGAGATATTCGGATTATAAAAAAGAACATTTATTTATTTATCTGTATGGTTTATTAATTATGTGAAAATTTATGTAGCAGCTTATTATAATTTTGAACTTACTAAGCTAAATTTCATTCAAAATTAAAAAAAAGAAAAAGATTTTGGGCTTGTACACTTGGGATTTAATTAGGATCTGCTACAAAGCCTGTTAGCTTGTTTTTCTTTTCTTGTGATACTGTTATTACATGTTTTAAAAATATTTTTAAGTTGTTATTGTGTTAGAATTTGTTTTAAATATATTCATAAATGTACATCTGACTGATTAAAAAGAGGAAACAACCAAAAAATGCAGAAATATTTATCACAGAAATTAATTTCAGGTATCTATACTGACAAATGGCAATAAATACTGTTTACCATAAATCCCGAGAATGTGAGGTGTGAATGGGCAGTGAGGTGCCCATTTTTATGAAATTTTAGTAAACATACGTACATCTAAAAAATTGTCACCATTAAAAACTCTTAATTAAGTTAAAATATGGAGTACATTAGAAAATTGTTCAATATAACAATGCCCAGGAGTTAAACATTGCTTGTTCTAAATATTGATCAATGCAGTTATCAATGATGCTCCTTAGATTAATAATACTTTGATAAGACCTTAGCTTTTCAAGCTTGTTCTAAGGTCAGGTACGGAGTAGACAATTCAAAATTAAAAAAAAAAAAAAAAAAAAAAAGATGGAAATGATTGGTTTATTATTTCTATGTTGCAGAGGAATGAGAATGGTGACGGTGAAAGGACAGGCCCCCATCTTGTACTGAACTATAGTGATAAGAGTGTCCTTGATGATGCGGCCAACCTTCTCATTCACCACGTCAAGCGTCAGACGGCTATCCACAAACAGGACAAAACGAGGATAAAGCAATTGCTGAAACACTTCCTTCCAGACCTTTTCCACCATCCACGGCAGGATTTGAGCGATGATGAACGAGACAATGGTATGTTTAATACAAGTTTTAACAATGCGAATGCAGAAAAACTGGAGTTATTGATACATGGAAGTTGCTCTTGATAAACTTTCATCACTTGCGACTCCTTACAAAAAACCAAAAGGCTTATGATAACTTTTAAGTTGGCAAGTTTTGATTTAAAAGACAGATACAAGCCTACAGAAATTAGTTTTTATATTATTTATGAAAGTGATTGAAAAAATATTTTTAAAAAATAGATGTCTGGTCGATATTAGGTAAATGCTATTAAATAATTCATAATAATTTACATTTTAACATCACAGTATTTTTCTTATAAACAATCACACCTGATGTGGAGAAATGCACGTGGCATTAAGCAAGCTAGGATGATCGGAGGTATCCAAATGATTTCTTTTTTTTTTTAAACCTCTACAACCCTTAGTTATTTTTTAATTTTAACAATGGGGAGGGTTAACCAATGCTGGCATTAAAAAAGTCATTTTTTAATGTATTTTTATTTTTATGAAACTAAAACATTTTCTGTATCGGTGGCAATTTTCGAGCACCGGAAGTGCTTGTTTAAAATAAAAATTAAAATATTCACAGATCAGAATGGCGTTTAAGAATGGTTAATCTCAATATAATTTAAACTGTGCTATCTAGCAGAAATGTATCAGCATCAGCAGTACTTGTGCAGCTTCAAAAAGTGAAAAATCGAATGGAAACTAATAATCCTCTGGTGAAAAGTCATGTTTTTTACCTTAGTGTTCCTTTTTCTCAGTTTCTGTTCAATATTTTGAATTGCTTATTTTTTTAGTTGAATAAGTAAAACAAACTAAAGGTTCTGTCTAGAGTTTTTTTGGAAATAAAATTCAGGCCCTGACAAAAAATAATAATGATGTTAATTAGGGGCAGGTTTTAGCGAAATGTCCATTAGTAAAAAAAAAAGTGAATAAGTTAAGCCGTTCTTGAGATAAAAAGGACTTAGGAAATTTTTTGGTTTGCATTTTCAGATAGTTCTTTAACACTGAACAGCGTTTAAAATAACTATTTGCAATAAAAGTTATATCAAAATGTTGACAAGAAAACCGTGAATAAAATGAGCCCAGTCATGTTGTGATGAGCCCATTAGTTAAAGAAGAAGGAAGTGTTAGGAAAAAATATGTGAAAATTGGTTGACCCACCACATAATGCAAATTATTTGGCAAAATAAGTAATTCTAAAATTAAGTATCAAAATACAGAAATTATAAATTTTCATTCATTAGTTTATAATTTTTAGTCTTTTGTTTCAGTGTAATATATTAATAATAATTATTTGTTTATTTCAATCTCAATCTTTTTTCTACCTAACACTGGATAGTTGAACGTAAATTTATTATTCCAGACAAAATGGATGTCGACCCTTCAACAAATAAAGAGAACAATGGGACGACTGTCAACAGTGTTTGCAAGAGCAAGGAGTCTACATCGCCAACTTGCAACAACAACAGCGAACCGGTGCATGAACTTGCTCCCAAGAACTTGCCAGAGCCGTCCTCAGATATGAATTCTACTGAAGAAATGGCTATTGACATCAAACAGGAGCCCGATGATGATGAAAAGGATGGTTTAACAAAACAGAAACACGATCCCCACAATCATGTGAGAATTTTCACATTCATGATCTCTTTTATCACATTTTCATATTCACTTTTTTTTTTTGCAGGATGAGTCATATTCTCTGTTTTACGGCAACAACCATTGGTACCTATTCGTTAGGTTGCATCAGATATTATGCGAGAGATTGGCAAAAATGTCTGAACGGTCGGTTAAGATTGCAGAGGAAGAGGCGATAAACAGTTTAAACCGGCGGCAATCTACAGCAGTTGCACTTAGATTAAAACCAAACGGTAATTAATATTTTATTTGGTACTCGTTTTCCTCACCACATGCATTGAAATCAATTGTAAAATTTCAAATTACCTTTTCAGAACACTGTCAAGACTGCTATGCCGTCATGCTCGATATGGTGAAGAGTGTGCTGGATTGTAGTTTAGACCCGCAAACATACGAGGATATGCTGAGAAACATGTTCGGCATTCATGCTTACATTGGATTTACATTAGATAGAATAGTTTCTTATGCTGTGAGACAGGTGATTTTTTATTCTCTATACAATTAGTTGAATCACTCATTTTTGTTTTATGTGAGTCCTGATCTTTGTTTAATGGCTCATTTTTTTTATTTTTATTTTATTTTTTAAGCTTCAACATCTCGTTTCCGAAGAAAACTGTGTCGAATGTACTGAGTTGCATATGAGGTTCAGCAATAAAGGAAGCACTGGAGGGCTTTGTAGTACTGCCAACTCAAGGTTGGGCGCAGAAGCTGCGTATTATAAGGCTGTGTCATCTTGTCTCGCTGGTGATAGCTGTTACAAAATGTATTTTGTAAGTGTTGATTTTTTTTCTTGATAATTTCGTAATGATAATCCTCCTTTTTTCTTCCTCTAGTACAAGAAGGAAAGCAAAATCACACTGGAAATGCTGGACACCGAGGGTGACGGAGAGGAAGAGGATAATGGAGGAAGAGCCGAATGCTCTGATGTTTCTAGGTCTAAGGGCAGCGAAGGATCTGTGAAGTGGAATGAATTCTCAGGACGGGAAGTTTCACGTCATACAGGGTCGATGTCTGTCTCTGACAAAGCGGACTCGGTAAGGTTGTTTTGATAATAAATAAGTTCAAACTTGAAAACTATTGTTAGTTCATTCCTGTACTAATTTCTTCAGGGTGTGAGCCTCAATGACAGGGAGAAGTGGAGCAAAGCGGTGTACTTGATCAGGAATTTAAACCAACGGAAATGGAGAGAAAACAAACTAGATGACAAGTAAGAATAACATTTTGCCCGACATAATAAGCCTCGTTTTTATAAATATATATATTTTTAATATTTCATTTGTTATCATCAGGACTATAAAAGGAGATAGCAGAGGAACTGATAAATGTCTAGGTTCTTCCAATAACGATAAAAAGGTATATGTAGCAATAAAGGAGAGCTTTCTTTTTAAACACGGAGCTATGGCTAGAGCAAGAGAGGTGAGTTTGTCGACTATTTTATTAAATTGAATTACATGTTTCTGTTATTTCTCTTATCATCCTTTAAAATTTGTCAGACTGCCAGAAATAGTTTCTTTTGTTTATTGTGTTTCCCTTGTGATGGATGTACTTTTTTAACTTTTATTGTTACCTTTTTTTTAACCCATTCAGGGCGCTCAGCACTATTCATTACTCAAGTGAGGTACTTAGAGCATATCACATGCTCATCCCTAACTTTATGAAGGCACTGTGAGGGTGCATGCTCTGAGAGTCAGAAGATTGTTTTTCCCCATGATGCACCGCGCAGCATTTTAGGGTATTACAAGAAATTACAGGTCTCATTTTAAATTTACATTTAGATGAAACAAAAACTTAATGTGTAACTGAATCGTGAGATGCAGTCTGGTGTGACATAGGTTTTAGAAAAACATTTTCTTTATCATACCAACGTTTCGATCTTTATTGAGATCATCTTCAGGGCCTGGGATTTATAAACATTGTTTAAATTGTGTGGTGTTTAGTGAGAGTTAGTCAATAGCGTTAGCCAGCCCACACCTCACAATCTCCATGTAATCATTAACTGTCACTAAACACCACATGTAAGGATAGATAATATTGTACTCATCCTGTATGAACATACTGAGAGTGTGATATCGCACTCATCCCTACCTCTGTAAAGTTAATGAAGGCATTATATCACACTCTACTCTCTTCACGTTAAGAAGGAAGTTCATGCTGTTTAAGTTATTACTTTTAGTGCTAGTGAGAGTGGAGAATTTGGAATTTGGAAAACTATTGGAAAAAGTGCAGATCTAACAAAAGAACAATAGAAAGTTTTAAACAATTAATATTGGAAAAATACTAAAGTATTACATTTAGTAAAATCTAATAAATTATTTTTTACTCTTCTCTGGTTGTTGACTTTTGATTTCTTCGTTTTTTTTTGTTTTTTTTTTCTGAAACTAGACAACTATCAAACTCATTTTCTTTTTATTGATATCGATTTCGGCGGTATCAGACTACATAACAAAAAACAATGTGACTATTTTATACAAACTATTTATGTAACATTAATTTTAATAAAAACTTTTAAATTACTATAATGAGAAACACTAGGTATCTTGTTTTTTCAAAGTTTTATTAAAATTAATGTTATATAAATAGTTTGTATAAAATATTCACATTTTTTTATTATGTTTCTTACCTGCTGTTTCATAATTTGTTGAAATTGTGAGTAGCAGTGAAGAATGAGGTGGTTTAGAAAAACACCTTTTTCATTTTTTGCCAATGTTTCGACTTTTATTCAGGTCATATTCAGGGCCTGGGTAAATAACAATACATATGTTTATTGGAAAAAATACAATTTAAGATATAAATTTTTTATTTTATTATGTAGACTGATGCCTGGATATCAATAAAAAGAAAATTGGTTTGATGATTGTCTAGTTCTTGAAAAGAAACCCAAGTAATAAATTATTTATTACTTGACTAATAATAATAAATGTATGGTATTTATTTTTTAATTTTATTTATTTCTTTATTTTTTATGGGGTTCACAACAGCAGAGGTCATATATCAACCCCTGGGGGGCAGGGCTTAAAAAAATCCCATTTGTAAGCATGTTAGGTTCGAGTTCAGGGGTTGGAGTTCAAACTGGGACCTTCACCTTACAGTGATGAGCACTTTGTCCTTAAACCATTGTGGCCACCGACTCCTCTACTGCTTTTAGACAAAGCTGTTGTTTACCGTTTTAACCAACTTACTGAGTAGTGCTCACAGTGCATTAGTGAAGGTAGGGGTGAGTAGTACACTTTCAGTACCTCACTGGGGAAGCAAGTGCTTGATTTCTGAATGGATTAAGAGAATTCTAATTTTGGCCATTTTTATTTGAACCTAACCACCCAAGTACCCCTGGTAAAATTTTTTCCTGCTAGTGCAGAGGAATAGATAGAATCAACAACTTATGAAAGTCGTTTCTTGGCAATCCTTATTGTTAAAATTTAATTATGTCAATACTGATCATATTTGTTCATTGAATAATCTGTAATTTTAAACATTGTTTTAGAGTCACTGTCGACTTTCAAGGCGGATGTTTTCAAGGTTTTCCTCATGGCACTCGGCGTGGGCAAGGTTGCATGTGGGACGTGAGGCTAACGAGATGTGTTCAAAGTGGTTTTCGGGAAAGGCTTTGACCGATATCCACCCTTGTAGGACAACGCAGATATCGCACGATCCTGGCAACAAAAGGGCTCCTTACCGGCCTTACATGCAATATACCGTCCAGTTTTTTAATCAAGCGGAGAGTGACCGCACTCCGAGCCCACTGTAAGCCCTGGGCACTCCCTTTGTAAATAACACCCTACCTCATCTTTTATATGGACCTTAATGTACAAAATGAATCTACAACAATGTGTACATAATTTATTTTACAAATTTCCTCTCCTATGCCCATTTCGGATTACCAATTTCAAGACTAGGGTCGACATTCCTTCCCCCTCCTTGTTATACCTTTCTCTTTTCCTTCCTTTCTCTTCTCTTGCTCTCACTCTTTTGAGATACATAAGAATATTATCTGCCTTGTGTGTGTATAACGGTGTCTCAGATATGGTGAGAAGTATTGGATGGGAAGATAAATTAGGCAGTTTATATTTAATACTTTTTGATATTGTGAACTATTTTATTATAGTAAGAAGAAAGACAATTTAAGATCCAGTAATTCTCACCAGCTTGTATCTGATAAATCTTGTATAGTATTTATTTATTTATTGTATAAATATGAGAAAGTACAAAATAATATTATATTGTAGAGAAAAAAAATACAAACTTGATGTGATCTAGTGTTTGTGTGGAAAAGAAATCCAGTACATAAAGACAATTTTTAACATGTAGCTGCGGTTTTGTAATTATTGTATTATTGTTTATATGCAAATTATTTGTAAGAAGTGGTTTTATTGCATTGAATGCAGTAAAATTTCTGTTTTGTAGATATTTAATTAATTTAATTCAAAGATGCAAAATGACCATTCTTTAGTGTGAAAGTGAATATTTTCATTAAGAAAGCAGAGGAGATAAATTATAAAACAAAAGAGCAATAACAAATTTTTGTACAAAGCAAATGTATTGGAATAAATAAAATTAAAATTTGTAACTTTGCCTTGTATTAAATTTTGTACATGTATACTATATTTTTTTGTTATAAATATGTTGAGTGCGTGTGTATACACTGCACACGCACACTACATTGTGTATTATATCTGTATTGTATAGTTATGAACTAAAAATTACCTTTTTTACCAAATTTTGAATTGTTCTTAATTTTTCCTATATTTTTAAACTTATTTTATTGATTTTTGTATTTACAGTAGACTTACTTATAAAATGAGTAATATTAGTAGGGTTCTTTTGGTCAAAAGTATTTCAGGATGTATTCAAAGATCAGTCAGGATTTTTTTATTTTATTTTTTTTTAAAGGAATCCATTATTGGGATGCTAAAAAGTCATCCAGGTCTTCACATTTAAAAAAACAATGTTTATTATCTTCTTAAAATCCACAAAGGAGGTGTTTAAGCCTTTATCCAACTTTCCTTCTAAAGCTCGCTCGCTCTATAAAAATCTGACAAAGGCTTAACCCACTCGTCTCCATTTTTCAACCGACTGCTGCATTCAAAATCCAACTTTTAACAAATCACTGGGCACTGATTTTGACACATAAACTAACTGTAACTGACCAAGGTCAATTCAACTAGTATCAATCGTGTCAACCCCTAACTGCCCAGAAGGGTAGCACCAACCTTGACCATTTGGTTAATCTGGTCCTTATGTGACTTTCACATGAAACATGCGGTTTTGTCCAAGCTTGAAACAAAATAATTATTTTCATTTTATACTAAATTAATTACATTAAAATATATTTTTTTAAAATGATTGTACAACAAAATTAGCACGTAATAATAAAATAGCAATTATGCCCATTTTAACGTCATATTCACTTTCAAGATAATTTTGTGATAAACATTTTTTCCTTTGATGCTGTGTTTTCAGTAAAAACCTCTTACCGGCCTTCTGACAAACTAATATCAGAAACGCGTGACCTATATTAACTTTTTCTTTAAATTTAGCGTCATTCAAAATCACTGACAGTAATTACTTTTGACGTCTGTTTTAAAATCTTTACACATACACTGATGATGGTGACTAATAATTTCAAAACTAGGCCACAAAAAGAAAAAATGTGGAAAGAATGGCACTCGCATGCCATATAGAGTGCTAGTTTGAAGGTAATAAAAAAAAATTTTTTTGCCCATTAGTAGTTGGAAATTTTTGAAAAAAATATCCACTGCGTCCCCAAGACTTCACGTCAAGAGTTAAAGGTATATATATTAAAGGTATATATTATATTGTGAAAAAGTTACTGTTATGGCTTCACCCAACATGTATTATTAAGTCTCCCTGCTTAATAAAAATTAATGTTTTTCCCCCTTAAAAGTAATGAAATTTCACTTTATTTTAGTTGCATGACATTAATTATAAATTCACTAATTTCGTGGTCCGCTTGACCAATTAAACATTACAATTAATTAAGGTTTTTAGTTGAGATGAAAAAAAGTTAATGGCACGAGAGGGATTCGAACCCACGACCTTCGGCTAGATACGCCGCTGCTCTACCACCTGAGCTATCGTGACCTCGATCTATCTCAACTAAAAACCTTAATTAATTGTAATGTTTAATTGGTCAAGCGGACCACGAAATTAGTGAATTTAATGAATTAACTGAAGTACACTTCACTAAAGCTCTCCGTCGCCATTTCAATTGTCGTCGAGAATCCAAACCGATTACACGACATTTTAAAAATGGCAAAAGGAAGGAAAACTCATAAGGTGGGGTTGAGATGGGGAGTTGACGTCCGAGTGGATCGAGGTCACGATAGCTCAAGTGGTAGAGCAGTGGCGTATCTAGTCGGTCTTGGGTTCAAATCCCTCTCGTGCCATTAACTTTTTTTCATCTCAACTAAAAACCTTAATTAAAAGTAATGATTAATTATAAAGTATGAGAATTTCTCATGGGGGCTGCTGGATAGCCTGAATCATGTTTCTGATTTTTTTGTTCTGTATATTGACAAGACTATTTTAATCTGTCAGAAGCGTTTTGGCCTTTTGCCATCTTCAGTCATTGGTTTAGCCATTTGTCACGCTCTGCTTCTATCATGACCGGCCACTAAATATGGCAAAACGCTAGACAAGTATTTTGACATTTTCAAACTGATAGACACTAATAAACTTGGGGTATAAGTCAGTTAATTAAAATAAAGTATAACTTTGGTAACTTTAATTTCTGTTAACAAGCCTTACAACATATAAAAAATAAGTGGATTTATAAAAATAAATTTATAGCCTCTACACTTATCCTAAGTACTACAATGATTAACTAATGTTTCCTTTATCATTTAATCAAGCCCCAAAAAAATTAAAAATTATAGCCTTAATTTTATCCTTTTATGATAAGAATAATGATTTATTAATAAGAATATTTAAATAATTGAAAAAAAAAGTGATTGAATTATGAATGATTGCAAGGATCCGTGTGAAAGACAATTAAAATGTTTTAAGATTAATTGCATAACCCGATTCAGAAAGAAAAAAGCGTTCTGATTGATTGACGATGCTGACTCGTTTTGTTTTTAATAGACTAATCTCATCTAATAAATACTTAAATAAATAACTTGAATAATGATTTTAAGCCGAATTATTGTCTACATCTAAGAATTCAAATAAGTTAGTGGCATATGGTTAGAAACCATAGGTCTCTTTTTTTAATTAGATCATTCCATATAACTAATTGTGCATGTTAAAACAATCCAGTCGGTTCGTAAATACATAATTTTTTACGTAAAGTTTATTTTACAATTTAATAAATATTACGCTGGACTATTTGAGAATAAACTTTCTATCGTGTTAAAAGAGATTTGCTCTGGACTGTATTTTAAATAATTTAATTGACATCTCTAAGAGCTGTTAAAACTTATTAAATATAATTTATTAACTATAAAAATCTATTATTGTTTATTATTAATTTTAATTATTGTTACTATCATTCAGTTTTATAAGTAATCAGGTTCGTTTAAGGAACTTGTTGAAATATATTTTTAGATATTCTATTTATTTTAACCATTGGGGAGTTTTCCAAGAGGAAAAACATTATTAAAGTGCACCCCCCATTGGCAGAAGCTTTTATTATCATAAGCACCGCATTGCAAAGCTAAACTTTGAATTCATATTATTTTAATTTATAATTGCTTTAAGGTTAATATTAGCATAAATTTCTGTATAATAATGCAAGAATAATAAATTTAGAAAAGTTTTGTATTATTATAACGATAGCGATAAAAATTTGAATATGATTGCCAAAACAATTTAAATCAACATTTATGACAACTTGTTAACAGTCATTTCATAAGGCACGTTATAAACCCTGAGTTATTTCTATATGTAACAACACGTGGTTAAACCACCTTTTAAGAATTGAGACTTAAAGAAAAAATTTTTGTGATTGTGATTATAAAAAAAAAGTTTAGAAGAATGAAAGGTAGGCCACAATGTTTTCTTTGAGCAACCGGTTAGAATTCAACTCTTGCGACACCATGTAAGAGTTCGTCATCGGGCTTGTACAATGCCCTGATGCAAACCACGACTGTATCGCTGACCTTTCATACGTGAAGCCATCTGAAAAAATACGCAAGCTATTATCTAGGAAAAACTGATGTATTGGCACTTAAATGCTTTAGAAATAGTTACCTGATGCGACTACAGGGTCCTGCATGATTTGGTGTGTTATCGGGCACAAAAACTCATGAGGAGGTCCGCTTTTGTTTTTATTTCTTAACTCGGCTAATCTTGTGGCTAGAAGCTCCTTTCTCATATCATCTGAAAAAAAATTGAAAAATCCAACAATTAATAGATGTAAATAATCTCATTTCTACAATCTAATTCTTGAAAGTTCAATTGTTTATAAGTGTAAATGAAGAATAAGTAATAAGTACCAATGTTCAATTGAGATAAAATATCTTCAATAGATGTCTCTAAAAGCATTTTACCAGTTAGATTGCCTGGAGGAAAATTTTGAGATTGTAGCCACTTATTGACAACATCAACACTCCATGTCTCGATCTGTAATGAAATTAAAAGCCTTATATTTCGCCTTGGGACAAAATAATTTGAGAGATTAATATAAATAAAATAATAACTTACATTATTAATACAATTATCATTAGCCATGAATGATCTAAACTTTATGATGCCCGGTAATCTCCAAATCATAATATTCTTATCCAATGAGCCTATAAAAAAACCTTATTTTTATCTTACTTCCTTAATTTACTAAAAAAAATTTATAATTTAAAAGAAGACCTATATAGAATTTTTACCTTAAAGTGTTAATAAAATATGATTAATTCAGAACAGAAATACCTGTAGCAAGCATTGTGGCATCCGGTGAAAATGCGCAGGACGTCAATACACGCTGTTGGCTCTCGATGACATGAAGGCAGTTCCCAGAGTACTGCAAAATTAACGAAGCATGAGAAAATTGTAGTGTAAACTAACTGCTAGATATATGTGGTATTACTGGATCCCATAATCTGCACGTCTTGTCGATCGAAGTTGAAGCTATTAACTCCGCCAGGCAAGGTGAATACTTAACGCACGTGACACTTCCGCCGTGTCCTGGAAAAATGAAGTTTTTCAAGGAGAGAGTAAATTAAAATAAAAACTATGCACGTACCGGTCAAATTCCACACTATAGAAACTGCTGGCGAGCAGTTGATGTTTATGTTCCACACTTTAACTATACCATCTTGGCCAGCAGTTACTAATTCATACCTGCCATCATTTACTACAAAAAAGTTGATAAAACTCAAATAAGTGTCAAATTATTATAAGCAATATTTTTAAGTTATTACATCATTGAGTGCATTCAATATATTTAGGAATTAGAATTTTATGCAAATTATTACACTTTTTAAATCAAACACAAAATTAAACTTTTTAAATTTTCTGGTTTTATCATCCTGATCAGCTTATTCATGCTCGTTTTGGTTGTCAGACAGTTGATACCAACCACCAAAAAAATTGTTTAAAAAAATTTACATTTGTATGTACACCCTGAACTTGAACCCGGGACCTTAACCTTAGTCATATGCCTAAACCGTTGCAGCCACTGACAGCCACCATTTTAAAATGTTTAAATGCTATCACTTGACAGTCAAAAAAGATCAGCCAACTGAATGCTCAAGTTACTGAAAGATAGACACTCATGCTTTGACATACAATTCTCAACAATAAATGACAGGACGACACTGGATTTGCAAATTTCAAAATGACAAATTTTGAGCACTAGAAAGATCAGGTCATATTTGCCCCAGTTTTCAATACCATATCTGCTGTTTGTGCTAGCAAATAATAGAAAATAAAAATAATGTTTTAATAGAAGGGATATTCATGAGGTCTTTGAACTTTTGGGGACTAGAGTCAGGTATCTCATTCAGTTTGACAAGTTATCTCGTCCTCGTGGTTTTTTGCCTCTTAGGAGCCCTTGACACTCACATCATCTTTGGTTGAGGTTGTATCCAATGTGTAGAAGACACCTGGTAGCAAATGGAGACCTCCCACACCCTACATTCCCGTCTTCATCATCTACAAACACTTTTCTCCCCCAGTCAGGCCTCTCTCTAACATTAAGACTGACAATGCATACTACAAAATCAATCAAGACTTGCCTTCAAAGTACACACACTTGTCTTTTTAAACTTTACAAAATCCATGTACAAAAGAAATTGGTCAACTGTGTCGACATTGAATTATGTATTATATATTATTTAAAACTAGCATACTTACTCAATTGAGCATGAACTGTTTCTGCGAAATCCATTCCAGAGACTCCCAAATCATGCGCATTTTCCAACATATAAATAGGTGTGACGGTTGGCATGAGCGAAAAGAGCTTGCAGTGCCCTTCACCTGTTCCTGCCATGATGTATTTGGAATCGGGTGTGAAACTAATCCCAGTCAAGCTTTCGTTATCCATTGACATTTTTCTAAAAGGGTTTTTTTGGTTATTTTATTTTATTTTATTGTTTCAGTTTAATAATCTTTACGCAATTGTTTCATATGTGTCCAAATTGTAGATGTGAAGCAGGTCATCGTCTCCACCTGCTGCTATTAGGTGGGAATCGGGAGAAATTTTTACACTGCGAACACCCGAACCGCTCACATGGAATCCGGATTTTTTAATTTTCCCTAGCTAAAGGTAAAATTGATTTAAAAAAGGATGAGAAAGGGAACGGCTGGGATACATACTTCTGGATCCCAGATAACGACTGTCCCATCTAGAGAACAAGAAGCTAATATCCCCGTCTTGTCACAAATATCAACTTGATTAATTGTGTACCTGTGAATGTAATAAAATATATTAAGTGGCGATATTAAATATAATAAAAACAAAAGACAACCTGTGGGCATTTTCTATGCTATGTAGCAAGGTGATATTATTCGCACCGGTCCATCTCCAAATGTTAATCTTATGATCACTAAAATCAAATCTAACATTATAAAAATAATGGCACATAATAAATGAAAATAAGATAACATGCCAAAAAGATTTTTGTAAAACACTACTTTTCAGTGTCTGGTGACTATATTTTGTTGAAATTTTTATTTTTATAAGCATTTTTTTCCCTGTTCATATTCAAAAGATATTGACCTCTATTTTGTTAAATTATTATAATTTTTATTTTCCTCCTGTGTTTATTAAATTATGGATTATTTATATTATCTCATTAATTTAGGCCGTTTTTTAGAAGAGAAGGTACAAAATGCCACAAAAATTCCAAAACAATCTAATAGAGGGAATAAATTGCAACAATTGTAAACTATATTGGTATTAAAAATAAAATAAAATAAAATAGTATATGAATTGAATGAATAAAAAAGTAAGTAAAGTAAAGCCTGTCATATAGGAGGGCTTAATGTATTTCTATCAGCTGGGAGTTGCAGATGGGGGGTCAAACCATTTTACAAAACATTTTTCATGCTATTTATCAATTAAAAATCAATGGGCTATGTGGAGACTCGAACCCAGGACCGCTAGTGAGGCAATACAAGTCGAACGCCCTAACGCCCACTCGTTCACTTGATCCTCTTGAATTGAATGAATAGAAAATGTTACCGGAAACAAGTGAATTATCTTTTCATAGTAATATACCAAGGATTAGAATTCAAACAATCATTATGCAATATCTCACTGTCCTTAAAGCGAAGACTGTCTATTGAGAACTTTGCCAAGGAGATTAAAAGGCTAGGTATTGTTAAAAGAAGAATACCATCTACTCGGACAACTAGGCAATATTGAGAGCAATTACTGCATCAATAGTATACTGCATTATTTTACAAAAATAACTGTCTGGGTACCAGAGTACACAAGGCAGAGGAGCAATTTGTCAGGGAAAGTACAATAGGATGCCTATTATCCCTGAACCCTTTTTTGGCACACCAAACTGCCAAAAATATGGATCCGTCAATGGGAATGAGGCCCAGGACTAAAGCATGTGAATAAGTTCATCAAAAGATCATCACGGAAACTGATATCAGAACTACTAAATCTAGTACGTGTTAGAACTAGAATTATAGTTGCTGCTGCTAATTGAACACTACAGATTCCGGAGGCATTTGTATAGAGTGGAAAGGACAGAAAACAAAGGGATAAAAATCCACAGAAGAACATGTCTTCTTTCGGTGTGAAAGGCTTATTTAAACTAAGATTCCTACTAATCTAATCTCCCTAATCTTTTTGCAGGAAATGTAATTAATTTAAAACCACAATTTTGATTTTGAAAATATAAAAGCACAAAACCTAAATAAATGAGATAATAGAATATACTAGAAATTTTTATTTGAGATGAAGAGAAAATACTAGAAAAACTATTTTGAATATAGTTAGAATAGTTAGTGAAAGCAAACCACATAATCAAATATTCGAAGTTTTAGAATATTAGCAAACTTTAATTTAGAAAGAATAAACAAACCTGCCACCTGAGACAAGTAAAACTTTACTGAAACTAATAGAATTAACAGAAGAGAGATGGTTTTCTAATTCATGTAGAAGTATAACATCCTTTTCCTTACTTGGGTTTGACAACACACTTGAAAAGAATTGTGGCTGAAAAAATCGTTCTATCAGAAAAGAAAAATCTGTACAAAAAGATTAATGGCGTCAGTTAAAAAAGATGATTTACAGAATGTCTTGATCCATGGCCAACAATGTCTGAGTGGAGGTTGAGATTTCCTTTTAAGTCCCAAACTATTATTGCTTTGTCATTGGAGCCTTGAAAAAAAAGAAGGCTATGAAAAAGTGGCAGACAAGTAGTTTTTGTTTTAATCGACCGAATTGGTAACCACCTGATACCAGAAGTGATTGATCTGATGAAAAAGCACACGAAGTCACGTATCTAGAATGTTTTTCCAAAGTCTTTAAACAACGTCCACTTGATATCTGTTTAAAACAATATAATTATGAAAAATGTTATATACCAACTGTTTAGCTATTATAGCAAAAGTGATAGTAAATGAGAGTTTTATTGACTTTTTGATATTTTATAGACAAGTTTTATTCATTCTTTTTTTTTAATGTTTTAAGCTGATAACTAAGCTTTACCTGCCAAATTCTAATTGTTTTGTCTATGGATGCAGATGCGATGAGGTCCCCTCGGGGACTAATCCGCACCTGAGTGACTGCCGAATTGTGTCCAATAAAACGTGTCGTAGGGCCTGATACGGTTGCACGACAGAACGTATTTTGCTTGTCATCTGTGATGATGTGCACTTGCCAGAGTGCGATCGTATGGTCGTTTCCACAAGTGGCCAAGAGGTATATGTTTTCCAACAGGCCATGACTGGCTAAATTTCATAAATATAATGAAACTATGAAGTAAAACTAATGATTATTTAAATACCAGTATGCAATGTGAATTCCGGGGAAAACTCGAGATAGTTAATACCAAGGTCGTGTGCATCCCGGAATGTGACTAAAGCCGATGGTTCGGCTTCTTCCCTCAAAGCGGCCAAAGACCAAATTTTGAATGTACCTTTTAAAAAGTTAAAGCATTAAGAATGCTTAATTGTGAAAAATCCTATATTATATTTGTATATTTAAAATCAGTGGCAAGACCAATTATCAACCTTTGAACTTACTTATCCCTGATTTTGAACATGCGATTTCTATAAATAATATCACTAACAAAATATGTTATCATTGATGATTATTTTTTCCTGGCATGTTATGAACATACAAGCTACATACAACATTTTCAAATTGATTTAACAATATTAATATTGATATTTATTTATTGATATAACATTAAAAAAGTGACCACAGGCCATATGCTTAATTTATTTTTAAGTATATCTAAAAAATTCCACTACTCACAAAATAACAAATTTCAATACACAGCACATACTTTTTTACCAAGGCAAAAATTTAGGTCAATAATTTAAATATTTGATTCCACCAACCTGTGACATCACCAGAAACTATAATATGCTGATCTGGTGAAAATGATATGCCTTGTACACTTTCTTCATTATGTCCATGTATTGCTCTGAAAATTTCTTCAATATTAATAAAAATCACAAAATCCTATGAAGAAGCTAGACAATATCAATAATATTATATTAACAAGCTTATAACAGTTTCTAATAATATTACAAAATAGATCTAAGAAATCAATTTTTTAACTAAGCACTACAGTATTTTAAAAGAATATTGACAATGATTTAAAGATGTTGAGAAGCGATGAATCTTTCTCTCTTTGCAAAATAATGTTAAATCTGTAGCTTAGTTGGTTCCAATCATTTTGGTCAACCACACAGTGTCTCCTCATCTTAAGTGGTGTTTTTTGACCCACCCTGCCTATTTCCTCACCATTGAAATACGTTTAATATACCAAAAATGACAGGAATTTTCATTTCCGTCTCCAAATTCTATATGTCAGTTTGTCCTTTTTGTTCAATAGCATATCATAAAAAATGATAGAAAGCAACTAAATTATATATCATCACACTGAAGACATCAAGAGAAAATCTCACAATAAACCAGTAGTTTGGAAAATTCTGATCATTTCGGTCAACTTTTCCTTAAGATTTTGGTTGTTAGTGGTGGGTGAGTGATGATGCAGTAATGCCAAAATGCATTTGGCAGACCAAAACATTCAGAAACAACAAATATAGACGTTCATCCCCTCGAGAATGCAAAAGAAAATCTCACAATAAATCTGTTGTTTTATTATTTGTATTGTAGGTGGTTGAACCCTTGCAGCTTGGAATTTTATTTATTAACAAGATGAGAATCTGTAGTTCGGTCATTTTTGGGTGTTTTGGTCTGCCTATGCTCAAGATTTTGATTGTCAGTGGTGGGCGAATAGTGATGGCGTAAGACCGAAACTCATGTGATACACCAAAAATTAGAAAAACCAATCTACAGGTTCATCACCTCGCATAAAAAGGAATAATATAACAACAAATGTTTTGGAATTGTTATTAGCAGTGTCTCTACCAAATACTCAATAATTTAACTTAAGTGTATTACTTAAGAAAATGATCATACTTAATCAGTGTAATCTTTTGAAGCGTGATCGACCAGACGCACAGTATGCCTCCTTCTCCTCCAGAAGCCAACAGGCTGCTGTCCTGGGAAAAAGACAAACACCTGACCCCGCTTCCGTTAGCCTGGACCAGGGTCTGGATGCAGTCTCCTGTCTAGAAACCAAGATCCACAATAAACGTACAATATTGAAATGTAGTTCGGATAAAAACCCACTTTGATATTCCACAGATTAATGTGGCCATCAACAGAAGCGGATGCAAGAAGCGGGTATCTCGGCGAGAATCTTACACTCGTAACTGCATATTTATGCCCGGTGAACGGTGAAAATAGCACTTCAACATATCCTGTGCTTGCCTTCCACTCGAACAAGGCGACCGACTTGTCCCTATAGAAACGATGTTATATTAAATTGATTTTAATTCTCTTTTTATATTATGGAACGACAATCAATAATTTATGTATAAATAAATTGTATATACTAAAAAAAGGACGATTATAAAAATAGGTCCGACAATGAAATTTTCATTAATCGTGATGATTAGTTGCATAACGAAATGCAATGGAAAATTTGTTCTTACAGATGTGAAATAAACGAAGGATTCTCAGTAAAACATGCTTATTTAACTCGACTGTTTGCGTTTATAAAGATTTATTTTTTGTGAAATGGCGTGACGATTTGAGGATCCAGCGTACCCAGATCCTGAGGCGAGATGGAACCTATCGCTGAAATCGCAAGACGTCACGTCGCTCGTATGTCTAGCTATTCTCTGCAGTGCTACTGCTGAATCCACACACATGCCCATCGTTTCTGCAGGCTGTCAAAAATCTAGAGCGTGATCCAGCCCGTCGTCACTGGACTCGGCACGCTACTGCACAATGCACCCTATAGCCCTTATCGTTTCCAGGGCGTAACCAAAAACACACATCGTCGATATCGTTGTCAACGAAGCCTCTCTTCCGAGCGGAATTGCGCGACTTAGGATAACATTACGAACTTGGTGAAAGTTTTCGATTATTCGTCAGAAACGGGGGGGTTGGAAGAACTGCAAAAAACCCAACCCGTCAAATAAACTCGAAATAAATTCCTCCTTTTCAGTCTTTCACTTAATTAAATTTAATTTTTAATACAGAAAAAAATATCTGTAAATTCAAGGTCTTTTCTGAAGACTCCCCCAAGGCGAGATCTTTCGCACCATGGCAACCGAACCAAAACAAAAAAAATTGTCTCAAACTTCACAAGCGTTTCGGTTTGATTACAAGGTCGATTTCGACCTGGCAATCAATAGTTAATTGAATTATTATTTTATTTTTGCAATTCGTCGTTTGCGTTTCGTCAGTTTTAATCTTTTGAAGATTCCTAATTTTTTGACTATGTCTCTGACAGCGAAGAGATACTCGATGAGAGACAGTAAGTTGCAGTTTTACATTACAAAACCAAGCAATAGAATTTACATTTCCCTCCTGACAAAATGACCTTTGGATTGAGTGAAATCCTTATGTTTACCAATTTTCCCATTTTTCCCCCTTTCTGCACCGACTGTCATCATTTCACCCCCCAAAACTTATAAAATCATTTCATTGACAAAATTTCCATTAGAATTGAAATTGAGGAGGCAAAGACTTCAACAAGAAAGTATGGAACTTATTAAAATCCTTTAAAAAATACTTTGGTGATTAATTTTACTCAATAAATGATAAACAAAATCATGAATAAGTAACATAATTTCTTTGGTTTGTGTTTTGCATGACTATTTTTATCATCTACCAAGCTGAAAACTTTTTACAAGATCCACAAGACTTCTTAAGTTGGCTGTTATGAATGTATGTTATTCTGCCATTTTTGTTTTATATTTGTCTATTTTACATTGCTATAATAATACATTCAATGTTATATTGTTGCAACTATAGGGAATTGCTTTAGCTAATTATATTCTTAAAATCTTTACAAATATTATGCTCAGTCGCTTATTAGTTTGAGAAGATTCAGCTAAATTACTACTGGAAGAACAAGCTGGAGTTAGCAAAAAAGTGCAGTTTATGCTCGCCTTGTGGATTCCTATTGAGCTTTTGATTCGATTAGTCATGATATTTTATGGCAGAAATTGTTCCATCTTGGTCTGAGGGTCTGAATACCCTGAAAATTACATCTACATCTCTACCAGTGCTCTCTTAACTACCATCTAAAAAAGATGGGCAAAGCAGAGACATGCCGACTTTGTCAGGAGCCAGAGACATTGGTATATGTCCTTTGTGAATGTGAAGCATCAGTCCAGTTACGGTACAGCCATTTTGGTAAGGCAATTCTCACACCAAAAGACGTGTGCAAAGAGACACCGAGGAAAGCGCTTCGTATTATGTGAAAACTTATAAAAATGAATATTAATCAAAGCTGAGGTCTTGGCTGGAATATAAGAAAGGAGCCACCTTCCATACTAATGATGAAGTCAAACAAGGTGATTTCTTGGCTACACTATTTAATTACTTATTCCAGAGTACTGTAAAAGAAGAGAGCATCATTAATAAAACTTGTCAAATGCGCAGATGATATAGTAATCTAAAGCCTAAAAGTTCAAGCACTAAAAATTGTTTTTGAAACTTTTGAAAATAAAGGAAAAATAGTGGGATTGAACATACATGAAGGAAAAGGCAACAAATATTTAAAAATGGCTTCCTTATCTCGTCGAACAACTTCATAGACTGTCACCCTGGAAAATTGCAAATTTGAAGTTGTAGATAATTTAAATATCTTTGATCAGTTTTAACATCACAAAACATAACATAAGAAATTAAAACAAAAATATTACCATTAAATGATCAAATATAAGCTGTTCAACCTCACAGTTATTGTCTCGTTAAACAAAGATGCATCTATATAAAGCATTAATTTGCACAGGATAGGCTATGGTGCTGAAACATGAACCTTAAATAAGTATGACATAGAAAAAACCATGAATAAGTATATAAGAACAGGCGGAAGGAACTAGAAGGAAGGGAAACCGAGAATCAGATGGAAGGATGATGTTGAAAAAATTTAAGGACGATGAGAGTTGTTAACTGGAAAGAGGTGGCAAGAGACCAATCCTGTCTTGTGAGAGAGGCTAAGGGCCACATAGGCCTGTAATTCCAGCTTAAGTAAGTAAACTAGATATTGATAATCCACATATTCATAATCCAACAATTGAAAGAATCAACATGGTAATTTTTGTTGGTCCTGTATCCTCAGTCTTTTAGTTCTGTCAGATATATTTTGAACTTCTAGCCATTTTCAGTGGTAGTCTTGACAAGATGCCGAAATGCATCTGATATACCAAAATGCTTGAAAATGACCCAAATTACAGGTCCATTTCCCCAAAGACATCAAGAGGAAATGAGACGATGAATATAAATGACATAGAGGCAAAATAAGGAGTGATGAAATCGTTAATTGAGTCAAAGGAAACACTTGATCGCTCAGAAACGAGAAGTTGCATTTCATAGAGTATTATGAGAACTACCAGAAATCTCTTTTTAAATTTAGCTAATAGAAAGGAGTTGGAGAACTGGCAGATCACTATAAAAGTAAGTTCTAAGTGAACACGGACACATTAGTCATTGTTTGTTCAAATGGGAATCATTGACACACCCCTAACATTTACCAGATCTGTGATATTTCTCCATGTGATTTGTGGGGTGATAAAATGTGAAATTTGGTCTTTACCGATTTAGTAACAAAACTTAAATGGAAAGACCAAAACATTACAATTATGGCCTGTCATCAAGGGGGTTTGTTCAGTTAATAATTTTACATTCTTCCTTATGTCATTGAGCACAGAGCTAGGAATAACAAATGTAATGTCTAATTCATGATCCAGCACTGAAGATGGCAAAATGTCGAAACGTATCTGACAGACCAAACCAGCAAGGATAGATAGACGAAAATGATTGGTAACGAGTAATGACCAAATTTCATTTCATCTTTGATTGAAGATTACTGGAACAAGAAAGGGTGCCAACTAGGATTCCGCTGACCTAAAAAAAGTAATATTGGAGAAAGTATTGAAAACATTTATAAAACATTTGATATTGTTTTAAACTTGATGTAAATAGCAGCACGCATTAAGACCAAAATAATCAGAAATTACCAACTGTATTAATATAAATATGTATGAGTATATATGTGTGTAAATGCCTAGTATATATGTATGTCTGGAATAAATTAAACATTTAAAAAATCATACATTAGTAATATCAAACTTGGGTTTTTATGTTTTCAGCTTACCCTCTCGACTACACTGGGAAAAACATTGTCTGGGAGAACATGGCAAACCACTACCGCCGTCTTTACTGCGCTAAGCCCAAGGTAGACACCAACCTCAGGAAGACTGTCCAGCAGCGTAAAAATATGTATATTTACCTAATATTGCATCCCCAACTATTTGTCAGAAAATTTTAGCAAAATGCCTAATTTTAGATACTCTGCACAGCAAAATGCTGTTAGGCCTAACCCTCCAAAACAGAATTGTACCAAGGTATGTGAAGTTTACTTTGAAAAGATTGATAATGATCAATGGTTATTGCATCGTTACTAATTGTCATAAAGTTTTATAGTTATAGAAATAACACTATAGAAATTAATAATTTATTAAAAGAGTACTCAAAAGAAAACAAAATGTAATATTTTTAAGAACGTATGGATTGTAAGTTAGATATGAAGCAAGCACCTTCTTTTGTATATAATTTTATAAAGAAAAAGTATTTCATTTTTAAAGGACAGTCCGAAAATAAATCAGAGCATGAAAATTGGGAACATCACCATACCAGTAAGGTTCACAGTCAACAAAGCTATTCAAACTCAAAATTTCAATGGTTACAGGTTTAAAAATTAAATTTAAGTTTATTTGAATTGGAATATTCTAGCTTTTTTCCATTTCAGGCCAATTGACAAGAAATCTGTACGGTTTTTGAGGGACATAACGGATGAAGCGCTTAAGAGGGGGGCTTACACGGATTTCACTTTGGAAAGAATTTTCATCAAGCATGACAAGAAGAACAAATACAATCTCAGTAAGGTAGAGATAACAAATTCCATTAGTGGCCAAGTGGTTTGGGCATGGTAACCTGGGTTCGAATCTCGGCCCATCCTGTATATTTTTAATTGAGTATAGTATGAAAGAAATGTAAAATGGTTTAATCTCTCCATCCTGTATGACAGAATTTTTCAAAAAATATGCAGTTTTGAATTTATCAAAGAAAATCATGATTTTATTTCAGGCACTGAGAGAGAAAGAACTTAACCAATTAAGAAGTGAGCTTGGAATGCCAATTAAAATAAAAAACGTAGAAAGTGAACAGAATGAAAACCGTAAGGCAAAAGACTGTGAACAAACCCATGCTGATAACGAGGCTGTTGATGCGTTGAATACATTACTGGTTGATTCAAAAATGAAGCATAACATACTTGGCTCACTTGGCATCTCCTCACCTGAAAATGTTCTAGTTAAGGATTTCAACGAACCAGGAAGACTTGTAAAAAATTATGGTACCGAAAAGGTGACAGTTTAGCTTTACCTAAGTTTATTAAAATATTTGAATTTTTTTAACATTACTGTGTACTGTAATGTTTCTGAATTCATATTCCATTTTAGGAAATTATTTAAAAACTGCCATGATAAAAAGTAATTAAGGCATCACTAAATCTTGTTATTTGCCATGCATCCAACTGTCTAACATTGTGATTGTTTTTGATTATATAATTTAATTTTTCTTATGAAAAACAATGACAGCAGAGAAAGCTTGCAGATATACTAGCTTTTGTTAATTTTTATTGTTTGGGGTTTGCTTCTCTGAAGAGCTGCAAAATTATTCCAATGAAAATAAACCCTTTTTAGTAGCACTTCTAAAACAATATGAATTTAACTTGATCAAACGAGTAGCTTATATTCAGTAGAAACCAAGGTTTTATCTATTTTCTACATGGCAAGTTGTTTTATTTCTTTTTTATTGTTTGTTTTGTATTCACTTTTATGTATAAAATATTGAAATATACCTAAACCAATTTATAGAAGTATTAATATTTATTTTTTTGTTTTGTAAGGATGAGAAGATATTGAAAAACCATGTGAGCTTTAAGAATGTAGATGTGTCATCAGAAAGTTCATATGAAGAGTCGATCAAGGAAGAACTTTTGAACGTCTCAGAAAAGGACTTCTTTGCAGACGAGGCTGAAATAAAAACTTACACTGTCCTCAAAAGACAATCGCCAGATGAAATTAAAAAAATCGAGATAAATGAAAAGGAATTGCCATTACAAACAGAGGAAATAGTGGAATCTATCGACAGTTCCAGTAACGAAGAGGCCAAAGACTCCAGTGTATCAGCCATAAAAGAAGTGGACATACCATCGGAGAGTTCGAACATTTCAACTAAACAATCAACAAATTCTAAAGAGAAAAACGTGGAAGCTACAATTGACAAAAACGATGCTGAAAATCTTGAACAACACCAAGTATTAAGCGAAGCACAAAGTGAAAAGAAAACAAATTCCGATGGTAAAAATTCAGAAAATGTTGATGATCAGTTATCTAACAATGATGATAATGATGATTTTCAACCTGATACAACAAGTGAACTTTCCTCAATCCACACAGAATTGGAATAAAATAAGCCATTATGCTCTTATTTGGCAAATATAATAAGTATACTTGTGTAATATTATTATACATGAGTTCAATATATAATGACATCAAGTTTGTCTTTTATTTTTTGCCCATAACTCTAAGTAATTGCTACTGTCTTAATGTATGAATATAAAATGTCATATTAAAACTTAGATGTAGAACCAATGCTGGGTCCGTCTAAACTCTGTGTTTTTAATGTTTCTTAAACATGTTTTGACTTTGTGCCAACCTCTGTAACACTTAATAATTTACTGTACTGGTTCAACATGAGTTTAATGACTTGCACCCACAACTTTAAGACTTAATGAAATAAAGTTCATTAAACAAACACCAAGAAGTTTTTATATAATTTAAAATTAAACAATTTTGGACCAAAAACATGGCATACTTGAAATATGTTGGTTTGTCTTTTGGATATATCAGTGCAGACAATAGATGCAACTGAGACAAACCTGGCAATAATCTAGTATATCTTTTTAAAATACCCTTATGTTTTTCATTTTAGCCAAATGCTTGATTCATTTTTTACTTTTTGGGGAGCATGAAAAAATTGGCGGGGTATGGTGGGATCAAACCCAAGATTGCAGGGTCTACAAGCGATAATCACTCCACTACTGCAGTCCCCATTCTGAAAGTTTCAGAACATTTTCAACCCTTATTAAATTAACATGTCATTTTAAAGAACGTTATCAAAGCAATAAAAAAAAAAATTTAGTACTTACAAAAGTAAAAATACGCAACATTTTTTTAACTTAATTGAGCGTTTATGTTAGAAATATGTCAATAGCAAATAAGGATGAATAGCAAGCATACATCACTCAAATATGCTACTTTTAAAGAATAATTATAAAAATCTTATTTTTTCCTATTAAAAAATATTACATCTAACAACCTTAACAGCTCTTGTAAAATTAGGAACATGCATGTGCACACTTTTTACAAATTTGTATTGTGTTGTGACCTAGTAGGAATAGGGGAAAAAATTAATTTTCTTACCATTTGCTGTTTTTGTTTTGAACAAATTGAAAGGAAAAAAAATGTGTAAATGGATTAAATTGAAAGAATATTTCATACAATTTATTTATGTATTCTATACATTCTATGAAATGCAGTCAATGTTTATCAAATAATTTAATTGTAAGCTAATGTACTTGTCAAATTGGCAGACCCAATGATATAAACCATTTAAATGATTTGTATGGTGCAACGATAATTAACCTTTGTTCAGTTAAATTTGATTTGATTGTTGTTCAATTCATTTTTTCATTAACCGCCTTATTTAAAGTTTAAAATAAAATTCTATAATGTAAAAAAAATATCCAAACAAAATAACAATTTTATTATCACAAAACATCTCAAAGATAATCTTGATTTTTAATTACATATTTTTATACTTTCTAATTCGTACTTAAGGCCCACAAACAGTATATTTGGTAAAATTATATATTTTAATATTCATCGAATAAATGATGATTATTTACATCAGTTCAATAAAATGTATTCCTCTGATTAAAAATTGAATTGCTTATTTTTGAGATAGCTTTTCATTTTCTTCTCCTTTACATGGTCTTGTCGTGCTATTGCTTTTTCCTGGTCAATCGGTTGAGTATGAAAAAGACAAAAAATGGCCATAACACTATAAAGACAGCTGTCTCTCTACGCATGTTCCACAAGCTGAGACATGAACTGCGTTTTGCCATCTAAAATAAAATATAAATTCCAATGAAATAAAAATGTTAAAATTCGTTTCAATGTGTGATAATTGAACTTACGATGACCTGCCGATCTTCCAGCTCTTTTACTTTTGCATTGGCAAGCGATAGGTCACGCCGTAATGATTCAATCGCTCTTTGCAGAATTTCATTGACTGAATCTAAATCAAACTTTAATTAACCCTCTTCTTATTTCTTAATGGAGTTATTCAAAGAAAAACATACACTTTAAAATAAATATAAAAAAACAATCACAAAAGTCTAAACAAATATATGCTGAAGTATACTTTAAATAATTTCTTTCAAGTTTGCCTTATCTCTGATTTTTTAAGTACAATTTTTATGCTTCAAATGATAATTATTCAACGTATGATTTTGTTTCTCTCTATAATGTTAAAAATGTTTTGACTGAAGTGTAACATTTTAATAGTGTAGAAAGAGAACAAGATGGGGAGAGGGTTAATATATTTTTTTGGTTTAAACTTTAAAAAACTATTTCATATTATACATCGTTGGAAAGAGGAATATTTTTCCTACAGAATAAGCTTAATTTGAAATTAATTAAAGTTTTTAGTTGAGATAAAAAAGTCAGTGTCACGAGCAGGATTCGAACCCACGATCTTCGGCTTGATACGCCGCTGCTCTACCACTTGAGCTATCATGACCTCGATCCGCTCGGACATCAACTTCCTATCTCAACCGCACCTTTTGAATTTTCCCTCCTGTTTGCCATTTTTGGCCCATGGCAAGGCCACGAAGGTCATGGGTTCGAATCCCGCTCGTGCCATTGACTTTTTTATCTCAACTAAAAACCTTAATTAATTGTAATATATTAATTGGTCAAGCGGACCATGAAATTAGTGAACTTAATTTGAAAGTTAGATGTAGATGTATTAGTCGAGGTATGTAATATACTGCGCATTTAAGAGCTGTTGTATCCCCCCATTCTGGGCCTATATCACACCGGTGAGTCCTTGTTCATCAAGGAATTTGATTAGTAGGCCCAGTTTCAGTGGTTGAATTTCTTCTACGGTCACATTGTATGTGCAAGAAATTCCTCCTGCGGGCAAGTGTAGAACCACATTTTGTTAATAGGTGTGTTGGTGTTTCCTCTGCTTTGCAAAATCTGCACATACCGTCTTGGATTATACCTATCTTCTTTAAATGTCCATTTAGTTTGCAGTGTCCTGTTAAGAATCCTGTTAGGATTCGCTGGTTTTTATTGCTTCCTTTGACACATTCTATTACTACTTTCCTTCTGAAATTTGTTAGGAGGTTCTTGGATTGTTTGCATGACAATGTGTGAATTCCATTGTTCCCTCATTTTCTTTATGCCCTTCTGTCTCATTGAGTGGGTTCCTATGCCACAGAAGGGTTCGGGCCTTGTCTGCGCTACAGCAGTCCCTTTTCTTGTAAGGGTGTCAGCTTACTTGTGGCCTACTCCCACATGTTCTAGGACCCAGCAGAGGCTGACTTTTTTCTGCATACCTAATATGTTTAATGTGATTTTGCAGTACAACACCAACTTTGATCATCTTCTGATCATTTCCTCAGTTTCAATAATTTATCCGATAGGAAAAAAACAAAAACAACTGCAGAATCTATATTAATGCTATTTTTTATCTTCTTGCTCGGTAACATTTTAATCAGGAGTATTACCGACTTTATTAAAGAGTTAAAATATTTTATTTACTTAGTAACTTGCTGTTTATGGATTAATGGACTTTAAAGTAACATTTTGAACTAATGATGTTTGAGCCTAGTGCTTTGACGGCTACATGGATATCTGGCATGATAATGACATGTTCTTGTTTTGGTAGCCCTATTCAAGTCGAATTAAGTACACCTCTCAATTGCATAAACCTCAGCTTAGAAGATACTAGTGAGGTTATTTGATTAACTCCTAATTTGAAAGTTAGCTTTGTTTTTGTTTGGTTAAAATAGTAAAAGATTTTCTGGAAGGATGGTATTTTTTTACATAATATTAAACAGCAATTTATGACCAATTGAATTAAAAAATAAATGAATAAAAATAGTGCTAAAAATGGATTACAATTTGTGAAGTTACAGAAATATTTTTAACATAAGATTTAATCCAACTAAACTCTCTTCTAAAAATGTAATTTCTTCCATCTCTCACTCTCTCTCCTCCTCACTCACTGGTAAATGTTCTAATTTTGTGACCGCATTACATTTTTTCCGATCATTTCCTCATTATCAATAATTTATACGATAGGAAAAACAAAAACAACTGCAGAATCTCTATTAAAAATATTTTATCTTCTTGCTCGATAACATTTTAATCAGGAGAGAATTACAGATTTTATTAAAGAAATTAAAATATTTTACTTAGTAGCTTGCTGTTTATTGATTAATGGACTTTAAAATAACATTTAAATTCCTCAATAGCAAAAAAAATTTAGTTAAAAAAAATAAAAACAAGTTTGAATAGTGGGAGCACTGTTTGGTAAGCATTGTGTAACATTCCACATAGCGAACTATGTGGAAAATTATTTAAATTAAATGATAAAATATTAGATACTTTTATAGGAAGTTAATTTCTGCATACTTGTCAGTCATGTATATTAATTTGTAAGTTATATTGTGTGGACTTTTAAATATAAAAAATCTGTTATGAAAGCAGCAAACAGTAATTAAACTAAAAATTTGAATAAGATAAACATATTTCATGACAACATCAAAAGACTAAACATTGTTTTTCTTCTAATATTCCAATTCTTTCTAAACAATTCAAAAATTGGTAGCATACTTGCATAACGATAAAACTACCTTTTTGTGATAATGGTGCGGTCTGGGAGTTGTTCCCATTTTGTAATTTAGTTTTGTGAGGTTTGACAGTTCCATTCATCAACTCATGATGGTTCTGAGATGCTTCTTTTTTCTTATGGTATTTAGATGAATCGAATACATCTGCATTCTAAAACAAAAATAAATTATTATTATTTTTAGTATAAATAATTTACAAGTATTAATAATGGCTTTATACCACAGGAAATGTACAAGACAAAGTTTGTTTAAAACGTGTAGAATTAAGTGACCATTAATTAATGATTATTTGGAGATTGTGAGATGCGATCTTTGTTTAAAACATTTTGTTGTCTGGCAATTTTTACTGAGTTGAATAGTTTGGTTAATTTTTTAAACAAGCTACACAATTAAATAAATTTATAATATTTGATTAGTCGATTATTTTAGTTTTACTGATGTAAGATGTAAAACAATAACCAGAACAGCCAGGACAGAAGAAAATATACCTCCTCCACAGAATCGAGGAAGTCTTCGTCATCGTCGTCTACATCTACAGGTTGTGACAAGTGTTGTGGTGAAGACTGACTCGATGGATTAGATGCTACTTCCCGATTTGGAGATGTATCGTGTGAAACTGAAAATGTTACAGTTCAAAATTTCTTTTACATTTCTATTCTCATAATAATATTTATGTAATATAAAAAATTACCAAACGGTGAACCTGGTTGTGACCTGACTTTCCTCAAAGTAGGGCCGATGGACATTTCAATATCCTCAACATTGCCGGAGTATGTGCTTACGCTTGTAAGGAAATTGGCCACATTGTCTGTCAATGCCATAGTCTCGACAATCTACAATAGAGAAGTACAATTATGGTTGAAAATAGTTCATTCCACGATGAAGTTGCCTTTAAAAATATTTTGTTTTATTATGGATTTAGAGTACAATTAAAAAATAAAATAATAAATCTGTTCTTTTACTTAATATCTCTAAATTAGCTTGTATAGCAAAATTAGATTCATTCATTATAAATCATTTAATAAACTTCCTTCAACTATAACAAGTAGTTAACAATCTCGAATCACAAAAATTGTTTTGTTTACTTTCTTTTAGTAATATGTGGGGAGTGAGTGGTTAGGTCAACCGACTCATTTTTGCCATGCTAGCAGTTCTGGGTTTAAATCTTGGTAAAGCCATGATCGTTTTATTCACGGTATGAAAAATGTATTGTAAAATGGCTTGACCCATCGTCCAGGACATCTAACGCCTAATGGGTAGTTGGATGTTAATTCCTACTGTATGGCAGAAATTATTTTACTATTAGTAATATGCATTATTACGTAAACATCAAACAAAATTGATCTTAAATAAAATAGGAAAATTTAATTTAGAGTGGCCATACTTATTTCAAGCTAATATCCCTTTACTTTTCGGTCAAAAATTTAAATATTTTTAAAAGATCGCTTCTGTTACCTTGTTAAGCTGCTCAACATATTTGTTCATAGCTTCTTCTTTAGGCATTTTGCCAAGCTTGTTCCAAGCATCCCATTTGGCCCTTCTGACAACATCCCAAAATGGAGGGCACAATCCTCTATTTTCCCAGCCTTCTGTCGCCTGTTTGAAATAGGCGTAAAATGTAAGCATCAAGTCATTTGATGGCATAAAAGAACCTAGAAAAATAAATTAACTAATTTTAAAAAAATCAATCTTTGCTTAATCAATATTATATACCAAACACAGATACCCTTTTTTCAATCTTTTAATTATTCAACCACTGATTAAAAAGTGCCAATGAACTCTTGTTGAATTAATAATTTATGGTTTTTACACTATTGTCTGTACCAAAATAATAATTCAATGACTCACCCCATAGCCTATCGTCTATAACTTCATGTTTTCAACAATCAAATACATATGCATATATACAAATACATGACCCACAAAGTACCACGGCTGACTGACCCCCCCCCCCAAAAAAAAAGCTGTTTATGTAATAAAAAAAGAAACTGAAGATATGTACCATTACTTGGCAGTTGTGCTATACATAATTAACAGTATAATTAGCATACTTTAGCTTCCTTATTGAAGAATTTAATAATGCTTATATATTCAACAGCTTATATTTTGGTTATAGATTGGCAATTCTAGCCTGAAATTATATTTTAATGTAATCATTAAACTAACCATATACAAAATTTTACTGCGACCACTTTGGACAGATGGTGGAACTCTGGCATTCTGCCAAACTATCCAACATCCAATTGTATACATTTCTCCTAATCGAAAGTCCTCAGACAAATTGTCTCCTTGATACTCATTTACCACTAACCTTATTATCCACAGGCTCAAAATTCCTTTTGTAAACAAACTGATCTGTTCATGATTCAAAAAATTTCCCACCAACGATTCGATCCATCCTAACCCTCCTGCTTAAGCACTCTCTACATTAACATTCCGAGAACCCACCACTTCATAATCGACGCTGGTTTTTCATGGCATCTATCATGAGTGATCACATTTCACCCTAACATGTATAGATTACAAACAAATACTTTAAAAAAATCTATTTGATAATTGTGGATGTGTCAAGGGATTTGCTGTTTTTCTACAAGATTGAATAGCTTTGGTAATTTCTTGGGGGTATTTGTCAAGTTGTACTGATTTTGTATAGTTATTTTAGCAGGGGTCATTTCCAGTCAATGAACAATGACAGCTTCAACAGTGAGAAGTGTAGGCAATAAAAAAAAATCTAGATTTGTACCATGACATGGCAGTTGAACTGTATAATTAACAGAATAATTAGCATACTTCAGCTTGCAGATATGATAGTAATGAAAACTTAAACAATTAATCTTAAGAATGGGCAATAATGTTTTTATAATAATTCAAAAGTTTATTTTTTGGCTGAGATTGGCAATTCTAGCATGATGGTTGCCAATAACGCTGCAAATTGTGTTTTCATTTGTGTTATTTAATGTTGTTCTATTCTATTTGATACAATATGGGTTGTGATTTTTTTTTGTTACAAAATTTAATCATTTCAGAAATTTCTTGAGGATAATGACAGCTTATCATGCCAAGTTGACCTGGTTTTGTAGGCTGATTATTGTAACTGGTACCATTTCTAGCCAAAGAACAATGACAGCTGTTTCTACAAAACAGTCATTACATTTATTCATGTTTTTGTTTTTTGTTCATAAGGTTGCATAACAAAAATATTTTGATTAGACCCCTAAAAATAACTATTTAACTGTTATACATTGACGTTTTTATCTGACAAGGATGATAGCCTACAACTGTCGAATCACAAAAGTGGATGCATGTTTGAATTTAGAAATAAAAGCAAAGGGCAACTTTCTAACTGTGGAGAAAGTTTAATTGTCGGTCTTGTTAATTTTTTCTTACGAGAGGGGGATAACAGAATACTTCCGAGTCATTCCAGATCTTTCTCGAGATGGGTATTGGAAAATTTATCTGTCTCATTACTGATAAAGTACCATTACTTTTTTGTTTTGCTTTTATTGATAACTGTGAATCTATCGTCATTTAAGATTAATAATGTTTTTAAAGTCATTTATGTAGTTTCTTTACGTCGTTGTCATTCGAGTGTGATCATATAATTTTGGTAGTGATATAATTTTTTTTACAAAAGTTACCATTTTTCGGAAGGTTCCGTATCACGCTGACGGCCGCGTTGAATCTCTCCTCGGTTGTCATTTCGCACCCTCCAGTGAAATTACGTTTAAAAGACTGGCCGTGGAGAGGCGATTTTCTGGGCAGACTGTACGCGAACGGGCCGAGGGTCGGAGATCGGCGAAGAGGTCGCCCGGTGACGGCACGGGCGAAACGTCAATGTAGAGGGGACGAGGCGCGGGCGTTTTGCGTTGGCCTTCGGACGTGAAGCGCGAGCAAGGCCCGGGCGTCAGAGAAGGGCACGGCGGACGGAGGCACACTGACACCGTGGCCGGGACTGGTCGGCGGTCGGCTGTCACTACTCCCTGAGCCTGAGCCTGATCCCCGATCGGAACCAGAAGCGCAGACACATCGCGCCTTAGCCTGCGGATCAAGTATCGATACTTCACTCGTATCGGCATTCTCATTTCGATACTATCTAGTACTTTTTCCCGCGAAACTTTTATTGTGATATCAAAACGATAAAAAAATGATTGATAGATATATTAGATCAGTAAAATAAGTATTCTTACTGGAACAATCGGGGGAGCAGGAAATAGTTTTAATATCTTCATTTCAATCTAATTAAAAATAAAGAGCTCAGTAATTCGCACTTATTGATGCAAAGAAGATTCGGATTAATGAAAAAATTCAAAAAAATTTGAATTGAAAAAACAATTTCAACACAACACTTTATTATTATTGTATATCAAAAACGTTAAATAGAGAATACATGCATATATTTTAAGAAAACCAATAAAAAATATATATTTAACATTTTCTTCCTCTTTTCCACTCAATTATAAACAATGGCAATAAACAAAAAAAAAATTAGTAGTGAGAGAGGTGAGGGATTCACTGAACAAAACGAATTGTCGAAAATTCGTATAGTCTAAGCTAGTCTTTCGTATGACCCATCGAACACTTTCTCCCTCACTCTTCTCTCTCTCACACAGTCTCACTTACCTTCTGTCGCACTTACTAACTCTATTTCTCTCTTTTCTCTCTCTCTCTCTCTCTCTCTCTCTCTCTCTCTCTCACTTACTTTCTCTCGTATACTCTCACTCCCTTACTTTCTCTCGATTTATATTTTTCTCTCTTTCGCACTCATTTACCCTTTCTATTTCTCTCTTTCTCTGTCCTCCTGTCTCTCGCACTCTCTCACTCACTCTCTCCTTCTTTCTCTCTCTTACTTTCTCTCGCACGCTCTCACTCTATTTCTCTCTTTTTTTTTCTCTCTCTCTCTCTCTCTCTCACTTACTTTCTCTCGCATCACTCACTTATTTCTCTCGTATACTCTCACTCCCTTACTTTCTCTCGATTTATATCTTTCTCTCTCGCACTCATTTACTCTTTCTATTTCTCTCTCCACCTCTCTCTCGCACTCTCTCTTTCTTTCTCTCACTTACTTTCTCGCGCACGCTCTCACTCACTTACTTTCTCTATTTCTCTCTCTTTCTCAACTTTTCCTCTCTCTCTGACTCTCTCGCACTCTCTTACACACTTACTCTTTCTAGTTTTTCTCTATCTCTCCTCTCTCTCTCTCTCTCTCTCTCTCTCTCTTACTCGCTCACTTAGTTTCTCTGTCTCAAGCTCTTTCTTTCGCCCTCTCTCTCGCTCACTTATTCTCTCTTTCTCTCTCACATAATTTCTCTCGCCTCTCTCAGTCAGTCACTCTCTCTCCCTCTCTCAAATTATTTAATGTATTTTATAATATAACATTTATTTATAAATTAATCCACGTTGTATGTAGAGGACCGAGAAACCTAATGCTACGTGGAAAAATAAAACGCTATCAATCAATCAATCTTTCAAATCACACAGTTACACCTTCAATTTGGATGTTCTTGAGAAACAACGATCTACGGCTTGCTGAAAACTATTACCTTGGTTTTATTGTAATTAATTTTAATTTTTCAACGGTTGCAGAAGCTTTCTATCTGTTCGATAATGTATCTATCCGCAAGATAGCCATTTTTAAGTTCTTTGGGCGAGGTATTTTGTTGAAATATACTAGGAACAGAATGGGTTCCAGGATAGAGCCTTGAAGAACACCAATGTCTCTCGGTTAGGAAAGGGATGATCGAAAATGTAACGTCGTATGTTGTTTTTGCAGTATTTACTGAGGAACCTCTTGGTCGCTGGAAGGTATGTGGCGACTCTTCACAAATCACTTAAGATTACGAATTCAATAACAGCATTATCTCTCGTGTCAGTATTGCAAGCAGGACTGTAGGCTTTAAAGTCACCGCCTATAAGGTAAGGGATGTGCTTATATTTATTTATTATGCTTGTTATTTAATCGAGGTCCTCCTCTATATTTGAATTTTGTGGAGTAAACCGAAATTATAAGCATTTCTCTTTCATCATTTTTTATCAAAGTACATGCAATGTTGCTGTTTTTGGCAATTTCAAACTTTAGTAATCGGGTTAAGTACATAAATGGCTGCCATGATTTTACCCGAAGATGCATGTTTTTGCCCATGCTTCTTGAACAAGTCGTATGCGTTTTTTTCCGGCCAGTACTTTATTAGCTTATAATTAAGTTCGTCGTTTACCGGTCTTTACAAAATTCTCTAACCAACCTCGAACGTTGGTGCTAAAAATCAAATGTTTCTCAAGAAAGGTAAACTTGTTACATTCTCTCACTATGATTTAAGTTTTATTTATGACTATAAATTATTTGGATTTAGCATTAATAGGTGTGCTTCTGTAAAAGATAACCATCGGATTTATAAACCGATCAAATGCGAAATTTAATTATATTTCTTACTTTTCTTATATAAAGCCCTAGTATGACTGTAGTACTGTATCATTGTTATTTGGAACCAATATACTAAGCACTGAAACCTTGGCGACTGTCCAGAGGCATTTTTGGAAGGTAAAAGTCACCTGGCTGTTTTTTTAAATTAATTTTTATGTTTTGCACCATGGGACTCTTGAATGTTATTTGGATGGATGTTGAGGATAACCCTGTTATCTGCATAGGTATATATAATAATAGGTGTTATTACAAGGGAATTTACACATGCTCGCACAAAATCACGCATACATTCAATCTCCCAACTGTTAACAAATAATAAATATGATTCGAAAACAGAAATGTAACGCTAATGTTCGCTCAAAGATTCTTTAAATTGGCCAAACTGATGAGAAAACAGATGTCGTGACTGGTGCATGAATATCGAGTAGTGGATGTACCCGCCAGCGATATACCATCTTCCTCCAGGATCTAACGAGAATTACGAAAGGCATTTCCGCTACCTCTTCAGCACCAATCCTTACGGGTGCGGCTCTGCTCCCCGGTTCATTCCACCACGGAGATCAGGTAACAATCCTGGGTCTCCGGGAGAGACTGCACCTCCTTCGCAGCCATCGGCAGTTGAGGGGCCAGTAGGTTTTGAAGACAGATCGGCGAATACGACGGAATCGTCAACCGACAAACCTAAATGGAACCCCTCTTTGTTCGTCACTATATTAGTTGTGATCTCAGCTGTTGTTTGTTTAATAGTTGTTTTACTCTTGTTCCTTTAATACATTTGTAATTTTTAGTTCGAAATAAATTTTAAAAAAGAAATTGCTTATTCTGATATATCCCTTTTTGATTAGCAGTTGGTTTGTCCTTATTTTTACTTTCTCCTGCTGTACTTTTCAATTGATTTGGAGCATTGAATTAAGTCAGGTTGACTCTCTACTGTTAGATCTATTCCTGAGGCGGTATGCAGAAGAGGTCGTCCTGGTCTAAGAAACTCCATCTACAAGGCTAGTCATACTAGCATGACCGGGAACGACAAAATAAATGTTAAAAAGCAAAATGATCATTTTACACTTTATCATTCATTTCACTATCAGACTATCAAAGTTGAACGAAAGGTGTGTAGAACGAGTGATTCTATAACACAAAATCCTGCTTACTGATCACGTGCTGCCAAATTTACAACCTTTCTTTCAAGATCGTACTGGAACTCAGGTGCTCAAATTTAGCCAACCAAATAGAATTTGTAATACTGCACATAAAGTTATGTTTCACAGCATATATAGGAATTGCACAAGACAAAACACTGGCTTTCGGAGAGTATAAAGAAATCCGCATGTAATTGATGTCATGTCGATAGCAAGTAAAAACTGGAGCTGTCGACCAGCAATTCTGATCTGCATAACATGATCGATGCGAGACCCATCCTCGTTTAGGGCGATTGGTTGGCCAAATAAAGTCAGACAAGCAACAAAACAAAAATAACTAGGATAAACAAACACTCTTACAATTAGATCTTTTCTTGAACGTGATTTTTTCATCTTTCCCATTTCATTTTAGCGCCTAGTTTGGTCTGGTGCGTTTTAACTGAAATAGGATATTTGTCCACGTTGGGCATCGCAGTAGAGATTTTATCCCAGCCTGGCATTTTTCTTCTAATTAAGTTTTAATCCATCTAGAAATTTTTCTCTGCTGGTATTAAACTTTTCCTTGCAGTACATATTTTGTAACATTTTCTCCATACAAGTTATGGGACCTCACCGCTTCTATTATAACATAGATACATGCGAGCCTCAGCTTTGACTATATTTTGATTTTGTTTGTTTTGATTGGCCCAGGTAGTTCGCGGAAACTTCTCCTCTGAGTAAATTGTTTTGGGACCTACTTTGTTCCTAATCACCGATTTATTATAAGTACTGAACTGGTGATAGAACTGCTTAAAGGGAACACAACCCCATGAATCTATAAATTTATGCATATATTCAATACCGCATGCATCGCTCGTTCACTAAGAAGAAATAATAAAGCCAGTTTGATTTATTTTCGCGTAACTAAGTTTCTGCCATTTTATATAGCATCCAATCAAAAATAGCGCCGTGGTTAATCAATATGAACGGGCCAAGGAAAAATTTTTACTTCCATCAGCAGACTTCGTCTGAACCAAAACAGTTTGCGATATCACCTTTACAAAACTGCATCTACCATAGCCCGGTATGTGAGTGTAATAGCCTACGTTAGATGATAAGAGACTATCTTCTTTTGTTCGTCCTCTTACTCGAGAAAAACCTGATGTGTTCCCCTGTGGTCGGTGCTTGCTGACCAAACCCACTAAAATCCTATGCCACGTGAACAACCCACCAATCAGACTCTATATATAGCTTCACTGTAGCTAATAAATTATTTAATTGTTTAACTAGTAGGTAAGTGGAGCGGTCCTGCCCAGGATGCCATATGGAGTGGGTTTCTTGTTGCTCTGAGCTCAAAATAGTGGCGGTGTGAACCTTTCCATTGCACACATCCGTAACAAAAAAGAAAGACCTTTAGTTCTGAGTACCTGGGGACAGCCGGATGTGTGTTGGCAACAGCTGTGTTAAAAAATACAACAAACTTTGGAAAATATTTAGTTTTACCCAAAATTTATAATGACGAGCCGTAGGCCAATTTTGACT